ATTAAGGATCTAGAGAAAATGTTAAAAGAAAGAAGATGCTTGAAAGAGGAGCTTGCAAACAGCTTTGCAAATGGATGATAAGTAGGTTTTAGTAGAACATTTATATTTTGACTACTAACCAATTAACTTTAGGAACAAACAAAATTTGATTGCATAGTTATATATACGGATCAGTACCATCACATCATCAATGTCACCACCAACCATACTAGATAATGAAATAGATCTTATCAGTTTACAAAATCTGATAATATGTACATACATGACATTCACATCTTAACGTCATTTTCGTTTACTTGAATCCACTCGTAATTTTTTGTTTTACCCACACTGTCGGCCTCCTTGATATCCGAGAATTCTTCGATTTTAAATTTACTCAGGCCAATTATATAAGAATTAAATAGAAAGTGGAATCTTACAAAACCCGCATTTGTTTTTTTTTCTTCTTTTTTAACAATAATAGAACTAGATTTTTCAGAATCGTAGTTTTGTATAAAAAGAAGATAGAAAATAGAACTGGAGAAACCCTATAGTCTTCATATCTGATACCTTTTTGAAGCACAGAATAAGTAAATGCTTTATTCACACACATTTATGTATGTATATAGGAATGTGTGATATAGGAATATAAATATAACGAATTTAGACAATATACTTTGACAAGCCATTATTCTCCTCCCTTCTGCGCCATACAGCCCATTTCTAACTTATCCCTGGCAAGTAGCAAGCATAGGCACATTTTTGTTTTGTTTCTATAAGCAAACAACCGAGTTTCTGATCTTAGATTCGTAGATCTTTTTAGTTTGGAACTAGAATGGATCACAATAATGTATATTTAAATTTTGATTAGTATATCCTTTTCTCAAACCTATTGTATAACGGGAGAAAACTATTTAGTCAAAAATTATAGATTTTGTATAACGGTTTAGTGAATGTTTGAATTATTCATTCAAAGTTCAGATATGGCCGGGGATAATTCATATGTACGATTGTAATGGGATGAAGAAATATAGAAAGAGGGAAGTTTTTTTGTCAACACAAGAATAGTTTATTTTGATTGGATATCCTTAGATGAACAACCGTAATCGAATGCTATACATTAATCTATTGAATCAGTGTATATAAAAAGTATTAGTAAGAATATACTCATTGTGATAATGATGTGTAATGTCACGTAACATGTTTTTAGTTGCTGACATATAACGAAAACTGCGAAATGACCTTCAACTTTGTGAGTTGACACTTGAATTACATTAATTTTTTCATCATCACTTCTTGTATACTGGTTGACTTTTGTCTAATTAACTTTTGTTTTGTTTTTGGTAGTGGATTCTTGATTAGAGTCTATCGACCTCTAAAGAAAAACGAGGTTGACTTGTATCAAAGCGATTGACACCAATGGTTACTTTCAAACATAGGGGTTTATACTTTTACAGTTTAGATGCTTCTGAAAAGAAAAAGAAAAATCTGATAGAGGAGAAATTAAGTACATTATAATTCATGGATATCAGTCAATTTGATCAAACTTCATAGGCATTCTCGAAAAATGCCTCAAAGAATGACTAACTCCATAAATTAACACGCATTTGTTGTGTGTGTTTATATGAGAACTGGAGGGTATGAATTATTGCCCCAATTAAATTGTAAGTACTTTCTCATAAGATACGTACAAAATATATTGGGGGTTTGTGGCAATAGCTTTTCCAAACCAATCAGAAGAGCAAAGAGTAGGGAAATGTCAATGTCACCTAAGATCTTAGTATACTCATATTATGCATGCATCTATATATACTTATTACATTATGAATTCCATATATAGAGACATAAGTGTACTATCTCTGCATCCTCATCGCCCAAATGGCGACAAAAGTGTGGGCTAACCCTAACATTATATACGTTTCTAGTAAAGTATGATGAAACCAACATTTTCAACTCTTCCTTCATTACAACCAGAAATTATACACGCCTTAATTACTCAATACTTCGGCCTTTACATTTTTGTCTTTGGTCGACATTTCCTGTATATAACTACTTACATGTTCTTTTTAGGCAACCAAATATTATTAGGTGACGTTTGATTCTTCATGTGTAATATTTAAGTTATGATGAGTTTCACACAATGATGTACTTTTGTGTATACGAACTTTTTTGGCGTTATATTACAATCGTCTAGGGAATCTATTGGTCATATTGTTTGAGTCCAACCCTTTCTCATGAAAAACTCTTCTTTGATGTAGTTAAAATGTAAACACAAACTCTTTTAAGAAAGTTGATACATAATTGCAGTCAAGCGATCTAACATGATTGATTTCGTGTTATAATCTAATTCCATAATAATCCGGATGAGTAGAACAATTTTGGTTGGACTAAAAATCGACAGATAGCATCACTTTGCAAAAAACCAAAAAATGGCATAGATATTTTCTTAGACATCTATACTTGAAATGAGAAAGGAATATATGAAAAACTTATGTAGGTTTGAATTTAATTACGTGTGGAGTTTTGCTCGTGGCTTTCACGAATATGGTGTTTCTATATACACGTACATATAAATGCCGCTTTTAAAACTATCATTGAGAAAATTACGATTTATTTGTTGTTTCTCTTCTTTTAACAAAAATATGTAACCTAGTTATTCGAATTATTATTGTGCCCTTGTTACTATCGTGTTAAAATCGAGATTCAAAATCTAGACTAGTCTACGCGCGTGAATGATATTTAGAGGATATAAAAAAAGTGATTGACTTATAGTAGTAAGTAAAAATACAAATAAAAATAACATTTAGATCGAAAAACGTAAAAATAATAATAAACATTTTCTTGAAAGTTAAACTACATCTATAGAATTAATTCACTTTCGCTTTCACGGAAAGTCTACACTTGGATGATTCAGATGAGGGGAAAAACACAATCATACAATTGACTAAAAAGCTAATGATAACCAATCAATAAAAATGGAGCATCATGTTTCTCTCTACATATACATACATACAAACAGAGTATGTTTCTCTCTATAAAATAATGTGTTTTGGAGGGCAGAAATTGAAATTAGTATTAGTAATAAAAGTAATAAAATAGAAAAAGGAATTGTATAGAGAAACGAGAAAAGCAAATGGCAGTGGTAATTAAGGAATGACAACAACAGGTGAATGAGGCGACGCTTAATCACTCCCATGCACACGTCCCTTTCTTCCCCCCACCTCTGCCGCCCTCTCTCTCTCTTCCTCCATTGGGAAGTGCGAATTCTATTGCAAACCCATTTACTTTTCTCTTTAAATCCCTCTTTTTTTCTTAAGTATTCATCGTCGTTTCTTCACTTGCTTACAAACACACAACATTACATTACATGTGTACATCTGTTCACGTGCAAACCCGAAGCACTAAGCTCGTGAATCTTCTTGTTCATACTGTATATATGTATACCCAACTCCTTAAGTTGTGACTTGTGAATACTGATGAAGTGGTTAATTTGTAGTATATATATATGATCATCATAGTAATCGAAGTTATAGATAGCTAGGTCAATCATCGAACTTATCTTCTTAGTATAATTTATATGTGGTAGCTAGAATTTTAAAATATAGTTAGTATATATAGACATTTTGTCTTTGATTTTTTTGGTAGTCATAAAACAAAGTTGTGAATACTTTATTATGTAGATACGTCCATAAAAGCCATTTTCAAATATATTATACCACATCTTCTGAAGACGATATAATCTTTTAATTGAATAAACCAAAATTCAATTCATTGCAAAGTTAATTTTGTATTTGTTTGAAAATTAGATGGACAAAACTCCGTCTCTAAGCGATAATATCCTTAAACGGTTTTGTCATCAGTCTTGTCTTCTTGTGACCACAAGGTCAGCTTAGAGGTACAACGGATTAGTATTATTGATATATACTTTTCTAGCGAGCGTGAGACCGCATGGTCAACCGAACTTCTTATATAGGATGTTGACATAACTTATACTATTCAATTTTAACTTTTGTCACTTAATTAAGAGCTTGTGTAAGTAGAAATGGTCCAATTATAAATAATGTCTGGATCCACTTATAAAAATCTCACGCCTTGGTTAAGGTATACAACGTACAAGTGAGGTCAACTATACTTGGTCACCATTTATATATCCCTGTAATGTTTTAATGCGGTCTAACCCGATATGAGAAAATAAATAAAATTTGACTGTGTAAAAGTATACCGCGTGCAGTTCAAACAACAACACCAAATTTATACGGTGTTTTAAGTGGGGTTTGATTTGTCATGAGAGAGCTTCAAAACTTTGGGAAATTGGTTAAACAATTTTGTCAACCTAGCTCTATTAACAATTAGCATAAGTTTTCATATTAGTTTTTAACTTACCTACATTGTCGCATTTTAGTGAAATCATATTCAATTTTAATTCTGCTTGTTTAACCCTTTTTGCATTAACCAACTTTTTTTGTTTGTTCATCACTGTCACTCATTTTGTCACCGGTATTCATAACCCAAAAGTTAATTCAAAGGATAATTTCTAACAGAATACTTTAGATGTAGGTTATTTTACCAACGACTCTATATAGGGTTTTTTTTCGAAGCCTATAGGTTATTTAAACATGAATCAATTAATACCCAATAATATATGCAAACACAAGTATTGCCTAGCACTAAGAATCAATTTATTTGTTGTCAAATAATTAATGTAACTAGAATGTTAAACAAAAACATTATTAGAAGACGACCTAGGTGTAGGGCCTTTATTGTTTTTTACCACTCTAATATTAATATCTCCTCTCCCTTCCCCCTTCATCTCACCCTTTCTCTCTCTATATCTTCCTTTGTGGTATATAACACACAGCAACCCAACAATCAAGAAGATCAGATCATGGTGGGGTTTTTAATTTTCTCCTTATCAAGAATCCTCTGATCAGTCAAATACCCATCAATCAATCAAACCCCTAAACACTCCCAAAAAAAGGAGATCAGCTTCCAATCTCAAAGCCTTTTTTTCTTACAAAAACATGTCTATGTCTTCTCCTTCCTCAGCTGTTTTTTCACCGGACCACCTCTCTCCTTCCGAGCATCTCTGCTATGTCCGTTGCAACTTTTGCGAAACCATACTTGCGGTAATTTATAACCAGTCTTCTATACACTCTCGTTTTCTCTTCTCATCTTCTTGATCTCTAATTATGGATTTCATTGTTTCTCTTGTGTGCTATACAGGTTAGTGTTCCTTACACAAGCTTGTTCAAGACCGTAACTGTCCGATGTGGTTGCTGTACCAATCTTCTCTCGGTGAACATGAGATCTCTTGTCCTCCCAGCTTCTAACCAGCTCCAGCTCCAGCTCGGTCCTCACTCTTCTTACTTCAATTCCCAGAATATTCTGGTAATTAACAATGTTTATAAACTAATCTTATAGTTAGGGCCTCCGTAGTATATACATATATCTCAAGCCTAAAGGATATCAAATGTCATTGCAGGAGGAGCTGAGAGATGCACCATCAAACATGAATATGATGATGATGAATCAACATCCTAATATGAATGACATTCCATCTTTCATGGATTTCCATCAACAACACGAGATCCCTAAAGCACCACCTGTTAACCGCCGTAAGATACCATCTCCTTCTCTCTTTTTCTTTTGAATCTTTGCTAGCCATTTTTAAATAATTCGGTTGTGTTGATAAATCGCCATTAGGACATGCATAGCTTGTCTATTTTAACCGTTCTCAGATCTTGTCTAAACCCTAACATCGTTGAATTACGCATTGAAGGAGACTTATTTGTTTTCATCACACTGAAGAGATAGTCTTTGTATATTTTAAATATTAATCGACCAATGACTTTTTGTATGTGTTGATTGTTTATATACTTTGGATGGCTTTTAGCGTTTGTAAACATTAAAAGAGTGAAGATAAAGGAAAAGGGGGAGATAGATTCATGGATCCCCCGGAAATCTAGAGAGAAAGAATCTATGTAAGATGTTAGTAGATGGGCTTGTCTTTAAAAAAAATGATGAAGTGATGATGGGTTAGAGAGAGAAAGTGTTTGTGAGAGAGAGAAAAAAGACAATGAAAGTAGTTTTAATGAGTGTTTGTCTCTTTCTGTCTGATTTTTGGTTTTTTCACTTTGTCTTTGCCGTTGAATTTTGCCATTGCCAGCTCCAGAGAAAAGACAGAGAGTCCCATCCGCATATAACCGATTCATCAAGTGAGTGTTATTTAATATTCCTCATGGCTCATTCCTATTCTCAAATCGTAATTGTATAACATTAATTAGTATAATTCCTTGTCATGTCATTCATGTAGGGAGGAGATCCAACGTATCAAAGCTGGTAATCCTGATATAAGCCACAGAGAAGCCTTTAGTGCTGCTGCCAAGAATGTAAGCGCCTTAATTTTTACATCCCAAAAATATATATATTAATAACTCGTTGGTCCATTGGCTATCAAATAATAACAAAAAAATAGTCCAAACCTTTGGTAAATCCAGAGCCACACACAAGTTATATGCATATATTATTCAATATTCCACAAAACGCTAATTAGCTAGTGAATTCAACATATAAACTTGTGTTTCCAATGTAGTAACTTATCCATTTCAAGGATTTGTTGTTTCCCTCACAAGAGAAAATAAGCTATTGAAAACAACAAACATAAAAAAAAAAAATTGATTTAGATTGTTGCCGAAAATTAGGGCTTAACTTCTCATGAATGTCTATATGCTCGCATGTGTACATACATGCATGTGTATAGAAGTCAGGTTTTAGAAAAACGTATATAGCTGAGATTAGGAGTAAAGAGTTTTGTCCGGTTATAACACAAGTTGATATGTCTCTTGTACGTATGTTGTTCATGTGTAATGTAGTGGGCCCACTTCCCCCACATACACTTCGGGCTCGTGCCAGACAATCAACCCGTGAAGAAAACCAACATGCCCCAACAGGTAAACCCTAATCTGTCGACATACCCTACATTTTCCTGTATCATATAATTATACATACATATGTCATATGAGTGTCTGGAATTAATTAATGTAACAAAAATTTCAATAGATTTTGATCATATCTTGTAAAAATGTTGTATAGGAGGGAGAGGAGAACATGGTGATGAAAGAAGGGTTCTACGCTCCTGCGCCCAATGTTGGTGTGACTCCTTATTAAAGATAAATATAATCGACAAGTGTTTGAGAAAATGAAATCCCATTCCCATTTTCTAGGGTTTAAAAATGTCCAAAAGTTGGGTTTCTTTTTCTTTCTTGAACTTATATATTATGTATGCATGCGTTTTCTTCTGTTGTTGTAATCAAAATCTTGCTAATTAATGGGGTTTATTATGTTAGTTTTCATGTGTACTTGTATAATTAACTCATTTAGCAGAATGCCTGTTTTATTTTTACTCGTATAGTCAAGTTATTAGTCCTATATTGATTTCTAGACCATTGCTAAAATTTGGTTATGAAATTAAACAATTTTTAAGAGAGCAAAATGCAGACTAATATTCATGGATTACTCTTTTTGTTTCTTTGTAAAAGTATATAACTGATTACTTTTGTTAGTCCAACGGTTTTACAGTGATCCTACATGTAAGAGCCAGGTATAGGGAACTTTTTATACATGTAACCGTAATATGCTAGCTTTACACAAAACCAAAAGAAAAATTCCATCTAAGTTTCAACTTACATCAACAGCGAGCCGTCCAACAATAGCCTTTCTAATCTCATCATCTATAAATCATCAAAATATTAAATATATATTGTTAGCAGAGCAGAAAGATTACCTAGCATAACCTAGTCTAGTCATTGATAAGAAACAAAATATAATAAGTTAGATATCACTACTCTAACATTGATATCAGAGGTAAACTAAACTCAAACTACCTACGAAGTACGGACTCACTAAAACTAAGACAGTGATGAGTTGAACTTTTAAGTAGCAAACGGGACAATAATTGACTTTTACACTAACCCCAAATTAAATCACAACCACGTTAATGATTAATAACAAACAACAACAGTAATTGGGTCAAGTGACTATGTATTGTCAGGCCTACCAGAATTCGGCCCATTAAGAGTAATAAATATATACATTGTCAGGCCTACTATACTTAGGTGGCTGACCAAAACGGTGTCGTTTGATTTCAAAGATTTGGTGTGGCATTGAAATCAAGAGCCGTCGTTACTCGTTACTACCAAAGCAAAAATTGCTTCGCTGAACTTTTTTTCAGTCACCGACAATCTGTATTCAATTTCCGATCACCGTACTGTACGCTACTCATAGACATCAATAAAGTAAGCTCTCGGTCGTCGAGAGAGAGAACAATCCGATCGAGCGGAAAAACAAATTCGAATATCGGACCACACGATTTCTTGACTTCTACGTATTTGTGATACGACGGTTTTACACTCCAGCTTTATAGGGCCTATATTGGGTTTGGATAATAATTAAACAAAAGGCATTGAAGCAAGAACACGATGTCACAAACAAATTTGTGGATATGTTTATGTCGTTAGTCTAAAGATTCAAAATCGTGTTCTTGTCCAAAATGTTAAGAATGATTAACCTTTGCGATGACTCAAGAGCTCTCGTCCAAAATGTCAATAATGATACTACGAAGTGTAAAAATCTAGAAGAATTATTAAGAAAATCCATTAAAATATTTCATTAACAAGTTACATTGCATTGCATTACATTACATCAAACTCAAATATGAAAGAACAAAGGTTACATTACATCCATTAAAATATTTCACCAACAGAAAGTAGAAACTAACAGAACAAAGCAAACAAAAGAGATTTCGATTTTCTTTCTTTCTTTAAAAGAAAAATCTCAAATCTTTTCAATCACATTGGAAACCATAAGGAAGTTTCTTGCCACAGTAGTTCAACAGCAAACTTAGATCAACCGGAACATTGAGATTAATCCCCAAGACATTGGCCTTAAGAGCGGTGCAGAGACAAACCGCAGCTTCAAGATTGACAAGACCCTTAAGAAGTGCACAACAAGGACTCTTTGGTGGAGAACCACCAACAATGTTAACTAAACCCAATAAGTCTGAGCATACACCGAGCTTAAGTGTGTCGGTGGGACAAGTGGGTTTAACCGCAGGGTCCTTCTTTGGGGTTTTTGGGGGTTTAGGAGTAGTGGTTGATGGACATGTGGAGGCTACAAAAGTGAAGAAAAGAAGATTAAGTGTGAGAAGAAGAGCCGTAACTGCGAGAGCTTTAGAAGCCATTGGTAGTTTTAGTAATGTTTTGGGATGATTGTGAAGAAGAGATAGGAAACTGTTTATATAGAAGAAGTTAGTGACTTGGTAATAGTAATGTGAAAAGAGATGAGGTAAAAAAAACATGTGATGTGAATGAGTGTGAAGAAATTTAGAGTAAAAAACAAACTATCCAGCTAGTTGGCTTTTGCAACTTGAGACCATGGAATTGATTTGACATATTTTGGAGGGTTTTTTTGAATATCCTAAAAAAAAGGGAGAAGACAATAATTTTCTCTTGTTTCCTTGTCAATGTAATTATGTAAAGGGTTCCACAAACTTTGTTTCGACATTGTTGTGCCAGAGTGTCTCCCATGGGGGGTATGTATCAGTTTCATCACCAAGATGTGATCCTTTACACGTTGTTGATAAGATTTTATTTTACATTGCATTGGTCCCTATTAATTTCTTTAGATTTTCCTCTATGAAGGAGATCTTTCATTTTTCAGTATCAATAGTTTTTATTTTCTTTTCTTTTCATCACTGTCTTTTCCCTAAATAAACATTTGTCTAGTTTAGTCGGATCAAACACTTTTGTCGAAACTAGAAAGAGAGATTTGTTTGATATCCAAAAATAGGTCACATGACTTCATCAATCAAATGATATAAGCCTTGGATTTATGAACTCCTTTGAGGAAAAAAAAAAAAAATGCACACCAGATTCTTTTATTTAGAAGAATTTTATTAAAAGTTATAAGATAAATAATACGAAGGATGATAATACTTACAATATTAGTCTATATACATTTTTAACAAAGTGAAAGAACATAGTAATCACAAGTTGAGAGAAACAATAGACAGAAATTGAAAGATGAGAAGCATCAAAACGCAGCCGTTTCTTAGGTCAGAGATTTTTAGATAGAAGAAGAAGCACCAAAAGTGTTCTCGCCACTGTAAGTAATGTAAAGGAAGCCATCATCGTCTTTCTTCTCCTCGTAGACGCTTGACATAATCTCTCCTGTAGGAGGAAGCACATTGTCTACAAATATGAAGATCGCTTTCTCTGCACTTAGCTTGATCCTCTTCCGAATCACATACACAAATTGCCCCACTGTTAGGTCTGATGGCACAAGGTATCTGCATAAATATATACCAATCCAAACCATTACTAAAATTTCCATCTAAAAATACAAAATCTTTAACACTGCAACATAAGAACAAGTAAAGATTGAAAAAAGAAAAGATGATTACTTTTTCTTGTCAATGTTTGGGATTTCACTTTTCTCAGCCTTTTCCACAATCACCTGCAACAAACACACATCATACCATCAAAATCTTGAAGAACAACATCAAAGTTTTGGATTCTCAAACAAACAAACAAACAAAGCTAATGTTCTGTAATAGATCTTGGCTAAATAATGGTCCATTATTGGTCCATTAAGATCACTAATATATAACCTAAACTTCGAAAATTACCACAAAATTATCTTAGATTCATGTTCTTGTTCTTGCAACTGAAAACAAGTATAAGAAGCCTTAAAAGAAGAGAACAGAACAGAACATACTGGGATTCTGTCAGGGTACTTCTCTCTGATCCTTCCAGCTTCAGCTTTCCTCTTTTCTACACATAATATCATCTTCAATGAATCAGATATACACACACAGAGACATACACAACACAGCTATGATCACACATGTGTTGATACTGATTCAAACCTAAGACCACAAAATCGAATCAGTAAAGGAAGACTAACCGAAATCGTTGTCCAGCTTAAAGCTGCTGCCTTTGTTCATCTTTACACCTGAGAATCTACAGAAAAAGAAGGAGATTTCAAAAACTGGGTGATAGAAAACGAAATTGAGACGCAATCTTTTCGCACCCAAATCTAAAGTCGGCGTCTTTTCTAAGAACGTGCCTTCTAATTCTGGAAAAATCGAACAGAGTATGTTACAGATCGAATGAATTGAAAACTTACAGAGAGAGAATTGATGGAATGGATAAGGATAAGACTCTGGAGAAAGAAGAAGAAGAAGAAGATCTGCAAATACAACAACAAAAGTCACACGGAAGCTTTTTCTTTTTGCTTCTATAATTGGATAACGTTAACTGGTCACGCCTATATATACACCTATATATACATGCGATGACGTGTCAGCTTAGCTTGTTCTCCAAACAAAATCATTTGCGTGCGTTATTCATTTTTTTTTAGAGTTAATTATTTAGTTAATTAAGACAAGCCTATAATTACTACTACGTTATATAATAAGGTGAGTACCAAGATTATTTTAGTTTAATAATGTAATGTTCCTCCTCAGACTTTTCTTTCTAGTGGATGGCACGTCTCCATTGGCCTTTTCTTAACCTGCGATTATTTGATTTTGGTTATTTTTTTCTCCTTTCTTTAAGGTGTTTATATTTTTTGGTTTAACTCGATTGATTTTGTTAACTAAACATGTACTGAGAAATTACGATGCAGAATCATGTATATTGTGTTGGTCGCTGTCTTAGCAAACGAGACCATTGTTGTATTCAGGCAAATATTTGTCATTTTCTGCCATAAACATACAATTTCTTCTTAAAAAACATACAAGTCCGAATGTTATATTATCAAACTATGTATGTTCATCTCAGTTTAATAAAAATCATATTCCATCAGGAAAACTAAGAGAAACTAATTCCTTGAAAGAGGCAAAAACCCCCACAAAAATAAAACAAAAAGTGCATTTGTCCCTTATTGTGTGCCAAGAGAGTCTGCTGTGTTCATATGTGCATGTCCTCAAGGAAGTCAGATAACCTACAAAGACGAATGACAGAGATAAGTTGAAACTGATTGAAACAAGAGACTGCCTTTTGACTGTTGGTGGCAACAAGTTTGAAAAGGCAACAAAACAATACCTTATCTCTTTTGCTATCACAGTCTGGCCATCTTCTGCATCCAGATGCCGCAAAACCACTTCCTCCAGACGACCATCATGATAAGCATGCTGCAATCAACAACCACAACCCCTTATGAGCTTTAGCCATGTAGATCAAACTATACATTCAAAGCGGCAAACAATTAGTGATCCACCAAAACGACAAAGATTTCTACAGCCTCCCAATACCATATATATATATGACCTAAGACTCTCACTTCTGAAACTTTTACATGTGGTAGCTAATAGCTATCCTCATTGGACGAGTCCTCGGATTCGACATCCATGTGCATCAGCAACATCATCATATCCGTTGAAGTCAGTTCATCGTCATCTGAATCTTCAAATCCAATAGAACCATACTCGCCTTCCGAAAGTATGTTCCCCATCATATTAACAAGCGAGTCCACGTCTGACAAGTTAGATCCAGAGGGACGTGGACGTGGACGCCGTGGAGGTGGCATGTGGTATTTCCATGCATATGACCCTGGCTTCACAGTGTGCTGGAACACAACAACATCCAATAAGGACTAATCAAGCTTTCTAAGGACTTACTGCAAAAATTCTGCAAACCCACCCTTCCTCTATGCAGAAACCTCATCACAGTCATTTTATTTTAGGCCTATACTACTTCACTAACCATAGACTAATCAATTTCGTATGCTTTCTTCCATATAGACAAAAACAGTTTAAGCTGAAATCTCTATGTAAACTAATTGCTGACTCTTGGATTATCACAATCCTACGGTTATCAGCAAAATTTAGATAGGTAAAGCCAAATATAGGCAATACACAAGAGTTTTCAAGAGGGAGTCAAATTTTATGGTGATTCAAAATTGCTTTTCAAATAGATACCGGAAAAGTGTCCATGAATGAAATCAACGCAGCGAATACAAATATCAACTATCAACTAAGATTGAAGCAGCATAATAATTTTATACAACTATCAACTATCAATTATACAAAAATCAGTGTCATCTTGAGCATGCATGATATAATTCAAGTATCAACTATAAATGCATTGAAGGAAGTACCTTGTAGAAACAGCTTGTCCCGAACGGACAATTCCCATCTCCAAAATTGAAGTGCTTACAATCGATTGACCTGGAGCATTTATTGAGTTCAAAAGAAAAGAAGAGGAAACATTCAACAATTTGACTTATAAGCATACAGAATGTATGATGAACATTGAGACAGTAACAAAACCACCAGACTGAAAAACTTTTTCGCAATTATTTAACTTAGGCAATGATCATAAAGCATCCAATTTTACCTGAGTTTGTCCCTGTAGTTGTCGATAATTTCCTTTTTCTCTTCTGGAGCCGAAAACCAGATTACACTAGGAACAACAAAATATGACAACTTGCGGCATATGGGGCAAGCCCTCAGTGTGCTGTTGACATCCATTCCAGTGGAAGGCGAACTGCTACGCCAATTCCTGATACATCCAATGCAGAAAGCATGATCACATTCGGTGAGTACCCCGAACTTCCGTTCAGCTGGAGTTGCCTTGGACAAGACACGTTCCAAACAGACGCAACACTCGATCTCCTGGCTACGTTTCAATGCTTCAAGCTGGTTGTGCTTTTTCTCACACACTTTCTTGTGCTCCTCTCTCTCCTCAGGTCTGAAAGGATGCAAGCAACGTTTCCCACAAGTCGGGCAGATATCTCCATGGATGTGAGGACATTCATCACCACGTGGGCAGTCACCAGCTGCAGCAAAAGAGCAAATGGGTTGTTCTTCTGGCTTGGCTGTACCAGGGACAAAGGTGTCGACCTCGTCTACGGAATCCTGGTGAAGAGAATCCAAACTCCACGCTGGTTTTGAACATGATGAGGGAACTGGGCTCACATCAGTAACAGGAGCACAAGCGAGAAGGTTGGAAGCTAAAGTAGGAGATGGCCGAGGCACACCCGAGGAAGATGAAGCTGATGGTTGAGGCCGAGAGGCTTTGACATGTTCGTACCTGCATCGGCTTCCATAAGAGCAGACTCCTCTCTGGTAGTAGGTGCAAATCTGTGATATGATTTTGATTTAGAATAACCGAAAAATTACTTTAGTTTAATTTGGTGCAAATCTGTGATAGGCAAGGAAGAGTTAAGACTTACATTATTTGTAGGATCTTTCCAGTCATGTGAAAATTCACAGTTGTCCCCTTTCAAGCATGCACCGTGAGCAAAGAACTTACAAAGGATTCTAAGAGACACAGGAAAAATTGTTGCAAGAGGGTTAAAAGAGCATCAATGAATGCAACCAGCAAACATACTGAAAGATGAAACCATTAACATTCACAGAATCTTGGCAGAGCACGCACCTCTTCGACATTGGAGAGAATCGAGAATCTCCTCCTTGGATTTGCAATGATCTGGATCTGGAGAAAAAAAGGCAAAAACCAATTGGTATCAAATTTGTAAGAGTTGAAACTAAATTCAAAATAGTACTAAAGAGGAATCATTGAATCAATCAAGCGGAGGCCATTACAATTCAAGTCAAGAATTGTAATACTTTGCTAACAGTCAAGAAATCATTCGAAACAAAAAAACAAACTGAATCAGAATGGAAAATTATTAAACAGCTTGAGAAGAAGAGTGAAAAAACGAAGTCTCAAAAAATAAACTTCATTCAGACATTTTACCGAACACCTTATGTCTACGGGGAGAATGCAACAGCGAAGAAGGATTTATGCATGAGATATACAACACCCAAATGCTCAATCGCAAGCTAAAAAATTTATTCAGGTGAATTTTAGCCAATCAAGCAACCAAAAAAAGCTCGATCTTAAAAGCAACAACTTCAAGCAAGCTCAATCACAATCCAAATCGATCATAATACCAACACTTCTTCACAGTTCAAGCTACGTAAAACAAATCACAAAGCCTTGTACAAGACAGAACATGAGACCAAAAAAGATAAACTTCAAATGTAAAACATTTTGAACGAAACCCAGAAACTAAAATCGAAGGTGGGTGATTATACCTCTTGTTATCTTTCTTCTGCGCCGGAAAACAGTCGAGGACACCTCAGAAATCGGGTCGTTTCTCCTCCTTAAACGGCACTCATCATCGATTCAGAAATTGTAGATGATAGACCCTAAACGCACAAATCATAAAACGGTGTCGTTCCATACAAATAAAGAAAATCAAAATCAGGTCTAAACGGGTAAGAGAATCTGAGAGGCCCAGGCCCAATGTACGTTTGTCACATATGTTTTTTTCCGTTCATAACCTCCAAAATAGTAATAGAGATGTTAGGGAACATGATTAATATGTCAAACGACAACTATATAGTAGATACACTGCATCATTACCAAATGATTGATGGAGATTGTGTGTAATAGTGCATCGTATAATTTTATATTACAACTATCCCTAGATTTTAGCAATTTATAATTAAGTTTTAATGACGTATTAATCGATGATTATTTTGTGTTGGTCGCTATCTTAAGTTCTTAACAAACAAGACCATTGTTGTATTTCCGTATCTGTTAATTGTTATTCTCCGCTACAAACATATACAAGTCAGAACATAACACCGATGTAAATATCCAAATATGTATGTTATGTTCATCTCCAATTTATGAAATGTTAATTAGAAATTCCATCCTCGATATGTAAAAGGTGATGTAGATGTAAATCTAAATGCCCCTGAGGTGTGAAGCCTGGGTTTGGAAATATATACCATTAAGAATTTGAATTTAAAATATAAAATTACAAGAAATATAGTAGTTTACAAAAATATATACATTTGAATATCAACACAAGTGGCACGTTAGTGGTGTCCCTTCTTTAGCTAGTCATCACCCCTAAAGATTGAATAAGCAAGTTGGTAATTTGTATTCTAAAAATAACAAAAAGGGCACGAAAATTAATTTAATGCGATAACACATTTTGTTTTAAGACAGAGTTACAATAGTGGTGGAAACTCACATGGAGGTTTGTGGTTTGTCTTGGGAAATAAACCATGTCTCTCATAATGACAATGCTCAATAATAATTTTATTTAAATGATTTGTTTCTGCTTCAAGATATAAAATGATGGCTAACTTAATGCAATACTGATGCATAACAATAACATACTGTAAATAAGCATGTCTACTTTACATTCATACACAAGCAACCAAAATTTCCAATCTTGTCTTGGAAATCCAGCTGCTCATCTGTTTCTTTGGTAGTCATTTACTCCACTTATTGTTTTTAATCACTTATTTATATGCCGTAAAAAAGCACTTAAATATATATATATGACCACTTGATTATTAATGTAATGTTATTGTATTTTGTTCATTTGTTTGTGTGATGTGGTTGTATAATACTACTAGTACTATTGTTTATGGAATAAACAATATGTTAGCGTGATCCATGTTATGTCATCGAGGTGTTTCATTACCACGAATTTTCTTAGAAGTTGTGAACAACATATTGGGACCGTGCGATCAAATTGATATATGTTGGCAACATTTTATAATTTTAAATTAGTTTGGTTTCCAACACAGTTGTTTAGTGTCTTGATATCTTATACCTAATGCAAAGAGTTTAATACGTTATTGTTTTGTACTTTCATCGATTAGTATATTTTTAATATGTATTATTAGCGAGTAGACAGTTTTGACATAACATTTAACGACTTAATATTTTATGGGATAATTAAAAAAGGAAGTAGATAGATGTTTTTGAGCATGGCATTGTCATTTTCATTGACCAGAACTAATATATTTAAATCTTAAAAAATTATTTGTAAACAAAATTATGGAACTTTAAACACTTAAACCATAACATGTTTGCACACAAAACGGGCATTTCCTTAAAACTTAAAGACATAAATGAAACCAAAAGAACTTACAAATTGATGATTACGAAAGCTTTAACCAAAAAAAAAATGCTTAGGATGCAACTTTGAGAATAATCTCCAAAATATGCATAATGCATCCGTCATAAGGAAATGAATGTACAAAAAGTCATAATATTTCAAAATAAATACGTTAGGTATTTTTTTTTTTTGGTAAAAATAAAATACGTTAGTTATCTAACTAACACATGTTAATGTTATCATTAACAACTTTGTGGCCTTTTCTCGTTAAAAAAAAAACATGACAAACTTTGTGGTCTTTACAAAAAGAAGAAAGATTTGAGAATTTTAAATCACGAGTTAAAGTAATCGACACCACCACCACCATCTTAGATTTTGTAGTTAAGATTTACTAAAAAAAACATCCAACATAATCTAGAGCCACCGGATCTTTAGGTAGAAAAAGAATCTGAGCCGTTGAAAGATTTGGTCTCGATGTTGTCAAAAAATCTTCAAAAAGCCACACAGAGAGACACTCAAATAGAGCACCGGTCCGTCAGATTCAGTTTCGAAAACCAGGCCCAAAGCCACCTGCCATAGTTGTTTCCCCTTCAATTACCATAACATCCTCCACTCGTTTCGATGTTCCCCTCGAATCTCAAGGGTAAAAATTGGAATTCAGGTAAATAAAAGTAATGAACCATCTGCGTCAGTTTCGTCTTTTTGCTCTGCTTCCTCGGCATTTGTAAGATTTGTTTTTTTTTTTAAAACAGTCTTCCAGATCAATGAACTTTTTTACGCGCCTCTTTTTTCATCGTTTTTGTAAAAGCATTTGAACATAAAAGTACGTTAATAGGAAACAATTGACAAAATCATATAGCCGGATTTGAATTAAATCTGAAAAGTTCAAGACTTTACTAATGGAATCTCATTAAACCAAATCACAATAGCTACTTTTGTTGTAGCTGTCAAAATGATTCAATTTGGTAGCTTAAAACAGCTCGAAGAATGATAATCAACTAGTAGTACTTTGTTGTTAAACAACGATAAAGTTTGGAAGTATATAGAATTATAGCATGTTCAATCCCTAATCTCTCTAATAAATATTAGTGCAATTAGAAAGCAACATTCTTGTTTTAGAAAATAAAGGATTAAAACCAAAAATTTCAAAGAGTAAGACAAAATGAAAAGAGGGAGAGTAGAGACACGCGCTGCCATTTGCGATGAGACTGGAGACAATGATGGCACAAGAACACGGTACATATGTAGATAAGTACATCTACAGACACAAGCCACACATAGAGGCAGAGGAGATGCAAAAAAAAATAAAAAAGAAAAACAAAAAGATTTAGAGAGAGAGAGAGAGAGAGAGAGAGAGAGAGAGAGAGATGTAGGAGAAGAGCTTTGGGCATTGATGAAGACCACTTTTTATATATTGCACGCATCCATATAAAACAGCATCAGAGAAAAGAAAAGAAAAGAGAAAACTAAAGAAAAGTGATTTTAGAAAATAAAAGTTGGGGCGCCAATTACAAGTTTTGAGCTTTGCATGTGTTTCTTTCTTCCGTACATTAACACAAAACTCTCTCTCTCTCTCTCTTTCTTCTCTTTTGTTGTCTTTCTGTTCTGTTCTTAGATCTCTCTCTCTAGGTTTTCATTTTTCTTTCTCTGTTCTTCTTAAACTGTGTTTGAGGCGATGCCCTTATCCTTTGAAAGATTTCAAGGGGAGGGGGTGTTTGGTGTTTCTTCTTTCTACTCAGATTCTCAGAAAACCTGGTTTAACCAAGACAAAATCGGATTCGGTACAGAAGAAAACCAAAAACAAGATCTTGGTTATGTTGTCGGTGGTGGTTTACCGGAGCCGACGTCTGTTCTCGACGCTTTAAGGAGTCCTAGTCCTCTCGCTTCTCACTCTTCTACCACCACCACGACGCTGTCTTCCTCTCACGGCGGTGGTGCCGTCACCGCCACCGCTACCGCCGGTGATGATAAATGTAGCCACATGGGTCTCGATGATCTCGACGGTGTTCTCTCCGCTTCTTCTCCTGGTCAAGAACAGAGCATCTTGAGGCTTATCATGGACCCGGGTTCCGGTTTCGGTGTTTTCGACTCCGGTTTCGGGTTCGGATCCGGGTCTGTCTCCGTCAGTGAAAATTCGAATCCTTTGCTCTCTTGTAGCTTCCCGTTCCAAGAGCAGCAAACTCATCCAGAAGCGTTGATCAATAACAACCCATGCCTGTTCTCTAACCCTCCGTCGTCTCCGCCGGCGAAACGGTTTAACTCTGGATCTCATCAGCCGGTTTTCCCATTTTCGGATCCGGATCCGGGTCAAGACCCGTTTCTCGTTCGTCGTCAGCAACAGTTTCCGTTTCCGTTTCAGTTTCAACACCCGTCTTCTTCTTCGTCTGCGGCGGCGGCGGCTATGGTTCCAGTTCCGCCGGCGGGAATGGCCGGCGATGACCAGTCAGTCATCATCGAGCAGCTGTTCAACGCGGCGGAGCTAATCGGAACAACCGGAAACATCAACGGCGACCACACCGTTCTCGCGCAAGGGATATTGGCGCGGCTCAATCACCATCTCAACAGTAACTACAACACCAAACCTCCGTTTCAGAGAGCGGCTTCTCACATCGCCGAAGCTCTCCTCTCGCTCATCCACGACGCATCACCACCGTTAGTCACGCCGGAGAATCTCATTCTCCGAATCGCCGCCTACAGATCCTTCTCCGAAACCTCGCCGTTTCTCCAATTCGTCAACTTCACGGCGAACCAGTCGATTCTCGAGTCCTGCAACGACGAATCGGGGTTTGATCGGATCCACATTATCGATTTCGACGTTGGATACGGAGGACAATGGTCATCTCTAATGCAAGAGCTCGCTTCCGGAGGAGGAGGGAGAAGAAGAAACAGAGCGTCTCTTAAAATAACCGTCTTCGCTCCTCCTCCGTCCACAGTCTCCGACGAATTCGAGCTCCGGTTTACAGAGGAAAATCTCAGATGTTTCGCCGGAGAAGTCAAGGTTCCGTTTGAAATCGAGCTGTTGAGCCTCGAGCTTCTGTTAAACCCAGCTTATTGGCCTCTCTCTCTCCGTTCGTCGGATAAAGAAGCAATCGCGGTTAATCTCCCGTTAAACTCCGTCGTCTCCGGTTACCTTCCGTTAATCCTCCGTTTTCTTAAACAGATATCTCCAAACGTCGTCGTTTGCTCAGACAGAGGATGTGACCGCAGCGACGCGCCGTTTCCAAACGCTGTGATCCACGCGCTTCAGTACCACACCACTCTCCTCGAGTCTCTCGACGCCAGTCAAAGCCAAGACGACTCAAGCAGTGTCGAGAGGTTTTGGGTGCAGCCTTCGATTGAGAAGCTGTTGATGAAACGACACCGTTGGATGGAGAGGTCTCCGCCGTGGAGAAGCGTCTTCACACAATGTGGGTTTACTCCGGCGGGTTTGAGTCAGACTGCGGAGGCTCAGGCGGAGTGTTTGCTGCAGAGGAATCCGGTGAGAGGGTTTCACGTTGAGAAGAGACAGTCTTCGTCTTCTTCGTCATCACTTGCTTTGTGTTGGCAGAGGAAAGAGCTTGTTAATGTCTCTGCTTGGAAATGTTAGAAAACAAAAACACCATTATCTCAGCTAATTTTCTGTTTTTTTTTTCTTCTTCTTAAGGTTTTAATCTTTTCTTTCTTTTTTAAAAATGTTGTTATGTTGTTTAATGGTGTTCTTAATCCGACGTGGTGTTTAACATTTGAAGGAAGTAAGGATATATAAATCAAAATCTCCTTTTTTTGTTAGATTTTATTTTGCTATTTTTGGTTTATGCTTATATTTCTTATCCAAAAAAAGAAAATTGCGAACACAAATGGATTTTTGGGATCTCTTGTGTCTCCACTCTCCATAACTTGAGTTTATGTTTACATTCTAGTGGTAAGATAAAATGTTTTTTGATTGATATATACATATGTACATGCATGACCTTAACATTGGAGCAGGCTCTTTAACAGAGTTTTTCGCAACTCCATTTCAAGTAAACCGAGATAAAGATTATACAATCCAAAAGAATGTAATAAGGAATTAATGAATACCCACGGTACATGCAGGATAACTCTATTATCACAGCCAAATTGTTTTTATCATATGCTTTTTGGAGCTTCCAAGGTTGAATGTTTGTTTAATCGTCTCGGGTCCCCAACAGATTTTTCTTTTTCTCTTTTGCATTGAAAAAGTTTTTTTTTTCTGTCGTTAGGAAAGGTTAGGGCTTTAATTTGCGTACATTTTTCTATTTATTAAAACGTATATACTATATAGTAGTAGTACAGTGTACATTACTACATTATTGTAATACGACTTTTGTTCGTGAAATCACATGGCCCTAAAGTCATTGGTGCTTAATATTTTAATTTCACTCAGTTTTGGTTATTTGCGACCAACCGCTTCATTAAACTAATATTGATTATTGACACATAGTTTTATGACGTCGGTGTAGGAAACTAACGTGTTATTTTAGAGATTGGCCGGATTAAAAAAATGGATTAACAATAATGTATTCACCAATCTGTTATATCGATTATTGTCGTTATTATTTATTCAGATCTATATCTAATCCACTAGTCTCTTACCTAACTCTTAAAACACTCGATAAAAATGTTTGTCTATTTATAACAAAAGACAGCGTTGAATTCCACTTACGGGTTTTATTTGGAGGAACCGAACAGTTTTATGAACAAAAAATTTTAAATCCTGAGAGGCCTGTCCAAAGTCATGTTTCGTTAACTTTTAAATTAAAAAAGCAAACAAAACCAAAGGTTATTTTAGTTATTTAATACTATTATAAAGTTTGGTTGTGACACCTCTAGTAGCGGATCGAGGTTTGCATGTTACTTCGTATGAAATGTTTTTGTTTTGGTTGCCTAATTTCCAAATTATCAGCTTTTGACATTATAGAAAGCACCAGCTTTACTTATTACAACTTTAAAACTAAAAAGACATATACGTCATTAAAAAGATACGAGAATTTAAACTAAGACTATTATAACGTAAATTAACATGGAGCCAAACCGACAACAGACATTTTTGTCTCCATGACTGCCAAAGAAAGCTTACATAATTTTACTTTGTAAATTAATTAAGAAAGAACCCCGGTTCATGCACACCTACGTACTTAATTTTTTTATTTTTAAACTCATTGAATCTACTAATTCTCATAATTCGTTAAGGACTTCAATTTATTTTATCTTTCAAAGCCTTTTCATATTATTTGATTACTTCTGTTTGTCATAATTTTAGGAATATTTAAATGTACGTTAAAGTTTACCAATTTTTGAGAAAGGAATAAACTTTGATAGATACAAAATCTTAGGCTGATGCTTGCTCCACCAATGTCTTCGTCTTCCCAATCATTTCTTCCTTTTTATTGTATGTTTCCTTTTGTTAAAAAGTTAATTTACCATATTTTCCACTCGATTTATTTATAAAAAGTCTGCTTGGGAACAACGCATTCTCTTTCAACCCCACATAGTTTTAGCCCTCTTTTTAGTTTTCTTTTCTCAAGATCTCTTTTTAGTTTTTTATCCATTTGATAAGAAAGGAGACAGATATATTTTTATTTTCCAAAAACTGTAAACGAACCAAAATAATATGTGCCTTATAAAACAAAAATATGGAGTATATGAACAACATATTGTGCAATTTAGACTGAGCAGCGTTAATGAAGTGGTGGTACACCACATTTGTCCATCACCATCATAATAGTTGCCATTATGCATTAATTTTGTAATAATTTTAGAGTAATCTAATAGGGACAAACGGAATTACCTAGTATTTTATCTAATATAAAAAGCATTTGTATTCCCAAATAATCAAAGTCTTTATTGATTGCGTTAAATTATAAACACGTTAAAAAATATATTTGAATATGATATCGATTTTAAGCTACAGAAGTTTTTTCGTGAGTTATGCCCGCCAACCGTTTCCTGAACGATTAGGACACCACCATAACGTACAACGGTGATTTGCCAAGAGCAAAACAAAAGTTTTGGTATGTAAGAAGATACTACAATTTTGACTTATAGAAGCAGCTAGGTGAGCCATAGTGCAAAAACTGTGGAAGTCCGCTAGATTAATGAAAATAATAAAAATGTAGTATATAAATATATATAACGGGCTGATTGTTATTTTATGCTACATTATTAAAATTGTTGTTTTTACATTAAAATGTTTAATCTCCTTAGATACAAGTGCGATGCGATAGATCGATTCTTGTAAACTGTAATCTTAATAAGTTTTGTCTTGTTACATCAACTATTCATCTTTATTGTGTCGGATACATATTTGAAAAAAAATGGATGGAAATTTTATAATGCGAGTGAATTTGTTTAGATTTTGAAGTATCCATTTTCTTGAACTTGCTAATCTTTGTTGACTTTTGAACAATGATCAACTGTTAAAAAGAAAGAGCATTCACTGTAATTCTTTCGCAAATTCGAATAGACTTGCTCCAAAAATCTATAAATAACGATTTATCCATAAAATACATCGATTAACTATATGACATAACATATAGAGGCGGATTCTATTACACAATCTTGTTCATGGTAGATCATCAAACTCCGTAAAGTCTTAGTGATGTTTTGATGAATGAGTAAGCTAAAGCTCCCGTGAAAATGTAACTATCGACTCTATCCAATATTCCACCTGCATCAATGGAAAAGAGATGTCAGAGGAAGCAGCGAATGAGAATGAGAAGAAGAAGCGTTGATCTATGTATCGACGACTTTACCATGTCCAGGGATAAGCGAGCCAGAGTCTTTGACGCCGGCATCACGTTTGATCATTGATTCAGTAAGATCACCAAAGACTGAACCGAAGAAGGTAAGAAACCCAAAAGCTATTGAGCTGAGGAACACAACAAAAACCAAATTAGAAAACAGAGAGAGAATGAGAAACTGAGTATCAACAAATCGAGATCTCTTGAGTACCTGAAGAGAGATTGAGGCCAAGAGAGAGATTTAGAGAGAAGAATGGTAATGGCTATACAACCAACAAGTCCTGTAAAAGTCCCTTCCCATGTCTTCTTGGGACTGATACTAGTAAGAGGCGTCCTACCAAAAGCCTGCACATTTCCATACTTAAAAAATCATCCTCAAAGCAGGTTTTAGCTACAAAAAAAGCTTATCCTTCAGGCTAACGTTTTACCTTCCCACCGAGAAAAGCAAACGTGTCAGTCGCAATCACACCGCTGAATGAAATCAACGTTGCCACAAGTCCAACTGTCCAGTGAGCTTGCCCACCAAGAAGAATCGGCCATGTCCTTCCGATACCTGTAATCAGAAAGAAGTCAAAAAGGAGAAGAAAAGGCAGCAGCTTTCGTTGTGAGAGGGATAAAAATGAGGAGAAAAGGAGAGAGCTTGCTTGCCAGTGTTAAGCGAAGGAGCAGCTAAACCACAGCGAAGCTTAACCCAGAAACAAGGGAGATAACCACAGTAGAACAACCCAAACATTGTACTACTCAGCTGAGCAAAACGAGGGCTTTCTCTCTGTACTAACAATGCCATTGCAACAACAAACGCTGCGCATGTCACCGATATATCAATGTTACCATAGTACCTAAAAACACACAGATATATTCATCAACACTTCTGATTTTTTAAGAAGAAAGTGAAGACGGATCAGTACACTACTGAAAACTCACAGTGTAAGGATGGGCATAAGGGAGCATATAACGGAGCAAGCTCGAGATACGTATCGTGGAGGAGGTGTCATCCCTTTAGCTATGCCTCTACTTCTAACGAGGTCGAAGTATTCGCGTGAACCGATGAACACAGAAGCTGCTAAGGCTACAGTGAAAACCCATCCTCCAGCTAACACAACACCTCCCACTGGTAATCCAATGCCAACACCAAAGATGACTCTTTTCTTAAGCTGGCTTGATTTCCTCTGCTTCTCTTCCACATTTTGGATTGTTCCGTCATCTCCCTTATAAGATAGACATGGCCATTTGAGGAATCACTGAATTAGACAACAAAGTGACTACCTCTATATCTAAATTCCGGAAGACTCTCAATTCCCTAAGCACTAATCAAAAGCCATTTCTCAATTAAGCTCAAAAATTGACTCTTTGTGTCTCTCTGATTCAATGCCGATTTGAGGAGAAGGAAGAATGATAAAGTGCATACCTTTGAGTGGTCATCACCAAGCTGGTCTGATTCAGCTCGAGCAACGGCCGTGAGGAAACGCCGTTTAAAAGAAATCCGACCAGCGCGGGAACGAAACAATGGTTTGGGTTTGACATCACGGACGATTCGTAGGCTCGAGTATTCGGAGAAATGCGGGAGAATTAGGGCTTTTCTAGTGGATACACGGCAGGGACATACACAGGGGAGAGAAGTCGAATAAACCGGTACAGGCTTATTGGGATTATACCTACAGACTTCAACAAAAGACGCCATTTGCTTTCCTTCTTTCTCAATGACACGAAATTAAGCTCGAACAAGGGAAACTGGAAAAATGATTCTCTCTGTAAGTCACAATCTCTGAATCATGATGTCGGAGTCTGTGTGTGTGTGTGATTAGCTGAAAGTCTCGGCGTTTTTTGTCTTGAATGAACTAGCAAGAGGTACGAGGTAAATTTTGCGGTTGGATCAAACCCTCCAAACCACAAAGAGTCTTTCGTATCCTCAAGCTATTGTTGTTATTCAATGACAATATTTATTTGTATATAACAAAGACGAATCAAAGGCGTAGAGAAGAAGGTAGTGGAGGGGGTGACACACAGAAACAAAAGAGTAATTTGGATTACAAAAGTTGAAAAAGAGGAAAAAACGAGTTTTTTTAAGGGGTGAAAATTCTAAGTCTTTAATGAAAACGGTAATACAATAATCCTCTAACACACTAAGTTCAGATTCAACCAAAGGTGAATGACGACGACAAGACAGAGACGAGAAGAAGATGTCCTTCTGACACAATTTGAATGTCTTTTTTTGGGTTTTTTTTTCGAAGCCACTTTCCAGACTATTGTGGGTTTGTTGTGGAATATGTTTTCAAGGGTGGTGACGATCATTAACTCTTCATTATGTATCCCAAGATTAGACCGATGAGTCCCACCAGCAGAACGTACATGAACGGGATTCCTCCACCACTCTGACTTCTCTTGCTTTCACGCTTCAACTGCTCCTGTAATTTTCACATGTTGTTTTGTTATCAGTCAGGTTACAAAAATCAAATTTCACAAATTTTTGATACACATTTCTTCAACTAGAGGAGAGATTCTAGGAGCAATTCTTGAGCCCACAAAAAGTACCGTTTTGATAAAGGATCACGTAAAGGAAATGCAATTAAAGGCCAATGAAAATGATGAGCTAAAGAATCTTACTACTCAGAAAGACAAGAAAATGGCTGCTTTTCAAAAACCAGGGAAACTAGGCACTAGCTATGAAAGTGTTTGCAGAGGGGGAATAGTTCAAAGACAGATGGATCAGGTGGAAAAAGTTCTTTACCAATTCTAGTTGAAGTCTCTTGTTCAGTTGAACCGCAGAGTTCTTTTCCTCCGTGAGCCTTGTGATGAGAGCTCCAGCCTGAAATCACACACGCCGATACATGTAAGCAACTCAGATGTAACAGAATGGTAAGTTTTGCCAATTGGTATAGCCCCTAGGTTACAGTATAGACTGATTATATAGTAAGTTGTGCTACTGCTAATTAATATCTACTCAGACCAATTTATAAGCCGATTAGTAAAAAGCTTGAACCACAGCAGAAGAAACCATATTTCTTTCAACCACAGTATTGACTTAAAGCATCAAACAAGAAAATGATTATTTTTCAGCAATAAATAAAATATTATTCTTGGCCTAACAGGTTTAAGAAATTCACGTGGAACAGCAAGGCTGACAGCTATTGCAAGCTTATACAATAAGTGAGCAGCAAGAATGATCTGAATAATTTTAAAAGGAAAAGACCTGACAGCAAAGATAATTCCATAGGTTTGGATGGTAAACCAATGTAGACTACGTAACGGTATAATCTTTTTGAAGCCAAGGTAGTTCAACATTATGAAAAAAAGCAGATACAAGATCAGAAGGGTTATTAATTTACCTCAGATGAGTTATCCTGAGGTTCAAGCCTGTCAACGCTAAATCTTGGAACCTAACATTAACCCAAGGAAACAAAGAAAATCAACACAATTACCAAAGGAAACGTTTACCATATCCCCTCACTTGTTCTTAACGTTTCTATTTCAAGGCTAATTAAGCTGAGTTCTATACTTACAGCAGTAAACTCAGAAGCGTTCCCGTTATCAGAGACGGAAGCTCTTGGTGAAGAGCCCTCTTCCGATCCTTCTCGAACAGGTGATGGTGGTCGTGGTGGAGCAACATATATAACTCTCAATTTAGTCTCATCAACTCGATGCCCCGCCTCTCTGCTAAACTGCAGTGTTCATCACAAGAGAAAAACAGCGTGTTAAGTAACCAAGGCCAATTTGTTGCAAAAATTAGAAAGGGATCATGAATTGTTATATTGGTAAACAAAATCAATACCATCTCAGGAGTCACATCCTTGGCCGTAGCTCCGGGACTAGCCACCACACATTGAAGCAAGAACTTGTCCTTGCACTGCATATCAGCCGGAGCTTCCTTCTGAGCTTGCATGGTCACTAATTTCAAGACAACAACGATCAAATCCTAATAAATTCCTCATCTGCCAATTTTGGGATAAACAGAAAACGATCTATCACGAAGGGAAAAGAGTCAGAGACGAACCAAGAACTTCAGAAGATGACCTCGGCAAAACAACTCCAGTATTAGGCCTAACGCAATACTTCTTTGGATTCGTCGTTTTAACCTAAAAATCAAATCGACCATCCGTAAACCTAAGATGCACAAAATCTCCAAGGCGTGAAATCAAATGGAAACAATTCTCTGATTAATTCACCTTGAAGGCCACATAATCGTCGGTCTTGTTAGCCAAATACAGAGAGCAAGAGATCTGTTTCTTCAATTCAACTACATCAAAATCACAAATCAATCAATCAATCAACAGTAAAGTAATCGGGAAAAGGCAGATCTAGAAGAAGGAAGACATGCGGAGATCATTGGTAATTCGGAAATATTAGCTCACAAGGGAATTGAAGGTCGATGGGATCGATGTCGAGAAGCTCGTTACTCATTCTGATAAGATCGATGGAGAATCAACCGATTCTATCGAGAAATGGAATTTTGTTCTCCGGTCGAGAGAGAGAGAGAGAGAGAGAGAGAGAGAGAGAGAGAGTGGTCGTCGTCGTCGTCGATCGAGAACGGATATTCAAGGAGAGAGAGAGAGAAACAGAGACTTTTGCCGTCTCGTTTTAGACTGGAGACGATATATGCCCTTCCTCCGACTACGTCAGCGTCTAAGGAGGGGTATAATTGTCATTCAACCTCGGTGTTTTCTAAATTTTGACCAGCGAAAACCAGGTGGAAAACCATGACCGACCCATCTCTAATCTCTTTTTGATTATAATTGATGTCAAAAGAAAAGAAGATTATATAAATTACACCATAATCTATCGGGTAAAAATGTGATTGAAGGTGAACCATTCTACCAGGAAGAGTATGCAAATATCAACGAACAACTAGTCACTCGTGTATGGATGATCACATTAATATTCTGGATGCAACACGAGATTTCTATCTTAGGCAAATTCCTAAAAGAATTAAACGCAGCAAGTTAAAGTTGCGATTGAGCATTGTACATCCGCGTTTTGAAAATAGTTGGATTTAAATTTAATCATTTGAAGACACAACGCCCCAAAAGCATGTGGTTTAATTTACTGTACTTAGGCCCATTAAGATTCAATACCGAGGCCCATTTAGATTTAGTAGATATAAATTAAGCCTATAATTCAATTTCCCCTTTTTCAATTTTGTGGAAGAAACTCTTTCCATCCCAGTGAGTTAAAAACTTAAAATTCAATCCGACGAACCAAAAAAAGAAAGTCAAATCCCTAAATTCTCCCCTGAATTCGATCACTGCAAATTGGAATTGGAGTAGAAGAAGAACAAGAAATCCAGAGGAGGTTACTCAACGGCGATTTTCTTCTCGTTAACTCCACCAATGACGAAGACGACGAAAAAGAAGAATCCGTCGCCGCTGCGATCAATCCCAATTCTCTCACTCCCGGACGAATTGCTACTGAGCTGCTTCGCACGCGTCTCAAGATCGCAATACCCAACCCTCTCCCTCGTCTCCAAACGCTTCCGATCGCTCCTCTCTTCACCGGAGCTTTACAAAGCCCGATCACTCTCCGGCCACACCGAGAGCTGCCTATACATATGCTTATGGTCTTCTCCCGGTTATCGCTGGTTCAAGAAGACGACGAATGGCTATGTTTTGGCTAAAGTCCCGGTTCGATTTTCTCCTCCTCATAGCGCCCGGTTTTGGGGTCTTGTGGCGGTTGGTTCGAATATCTACAACATCGGCTCCAGATCAGACTACGAAGCTTACTCCTCCACCGTCTCTGTTCTCGATTGCCGGACTCACACGTGGCGCGAGGCTCCGAGCTTGCCGGTGGAGCTAACGTCGATCTCCGCCAGCGTCCTTGACCAGAAGATATACGTGGCAGGACTCTGCGAATACGGCGGTTCCGTGTTACAAGTGTTCGACACGAAAACCCAAACCTGGGATCTCTCTCCGCCGCCGCCGCCGGAAGAAGGCGAGTTTTGTGCGTCGCGAAGCGCGTGTATCGACGGGAAGTTCCACGTGGTGACCAGCAAGAAGAAGGTGGTCGCTTACAACGCCAAGGGAGGTTGCAGATGGGAGGTTAATGGAAAAGAGATGGGTCGTTACATGCGATCGGATTGTTACTGCGAGATTGAGAATGTGTTGTACTCTGTTCTCAACGGATATTTCAGATGGTTTGATACTGAGGAAGGCTTGTGGAGAGATCTGAAAGGTTTGGTTGGGTTACCGGAGTTTCCTCCCGGTGCTCCGATTAGATTGGCGGATTACGGTGGGAAGATGGCGGTTTTGTGGGAGGAGAAGGTTGTTTACGAGCATAGTTTCAAGTCAAGGACGATTGTTTGGTGTGCGGAGATTTCGATTGAGAGGCGACCAAAAAGCTGTGAGATTTGGGGGATTGTTGATTGGTTTGATCGTCTTCTTCAAGTCCCTCTTGTAAATGATTTGGTTAAGGTTCTTGTTGTTACTCTTTGATAAATTTTAATGTAAAGCTTAAAAGAGTTACAAATTTTTTATATCAATAAGGAATGGGAATCGGAGAAGGGATGTGGATTGATCGGAGAGACAGATCGGAGTCGGAGAGATTTAGCGGCGGGAGTGAGAAAGCGCTGTGAGTGGAGCTTACTCTTCGCATCTCTCTCATGGTCAACAATGCAGCGACTGTATTTCTGAATATTCCTTCTCCGGCTGCCGCAACCGTAGATCTCTCGTGTTCTTCTGCGTCTGCTAACGACGATGGTGAATCAGACGGCGGCGAGAACATGGCGTCCATCGTCGTCTCCCACTCTCTGACCAGCCTTGAAACTAGATCCGTTTTGAAAAACGGTTGACGGAGAACTTTCTGGATAAACGGCGATCGTAATTTCCCTCCTCTTCTCTTGTCGTACTTCTTGAGAATCTTCGCCAATCCTGTGGAAATTTGAGATTTTCTTCCTCCGATTCAGATTCATTCGAATATCTCAACTTGAATTTCAAAAGTAAAAAAAGACTGACCAGTGTAATTGATGTTGCTGTAATTGACAAGAAGAACCATTTCGCCATGGAAATTGACAATATCCTTTCTGACTTCACCAATCTCCTCTATACGAATGTCATCGTTGTGTCCACATTTCTCTACCAATCTCTGAATCCGATACTGCAGCTCCTGCAGATTTGTTTCAAAATATATAAAATCACACTCTACTGAAAATTTCATATTTTATGGTTATAATATTTAACAACCAATAAAAACGGTTTATTTCTCCTACATTTTTAAAAGCGGGAAAAGTTCGATCAGTGATTGGTTAAGAACTAAAACTACATTGTAGCGAGTCAAGAATGAGATGACTCTGTTTTATACATACCTTGTGGTGGATGATGAAATCTTCTTCTTGTTCGACGAAGAAAGCATTAAACTTGTCGATCTCGTCGTTCAACAAACCGATGAAAACGGATTCGGACGGTGCCGGAGAAGAGATCAGATTTTTGAGTTCTTTGTAACGGAGAAACTTGTCTCGCCACTCCGGCAAAGACTCTTGTATCTGTTCTTTAATCCTTTTCCCGAACTTCATCAGAATAATGAAATAAAAACAATTTAATGTTTCTTTTTTTTTAACGTAGAAAAAAAATTGAAAGAAATGTATTATAATCAAAGTGAGATATGGAGGAAGAAGAAGAGGTTGAAGTAGAGAGATATATAAATAGTGGTTGTGTAATAGAATATGTAAGAGGATATGCTTAGCTTTGGCGTGACGAAGTGTTGTGAATGTGGCATGTAATAAAGAGGTGAAGAAAAAAAGTTTAGACTATTGTTGCTGTTGATGTAAAAAAAAAAGATAAAATCCTCAGCATATTCGGTCTCTGGTTTCTCTTTGAGTCTTATGTTTGTATTTTTTATATATAATTTTGGGTTTCTTATTGTTTGACCGGACCTTTTATGGTATGTTTGGTATATTACTGCTGATTTCATGTTATCTTTTTTCAAGGTATAAACTCTAGAATTTGAGGTTGATTCCTCGATCTACAGTTTGTCATTGTTCTTTTTTGATGATTTAATGTGTTTGTTTATTTTTGAAAATGCATGCTATTGATGTGACCGTGAATATCGTCTTCTAGAGACCGTCGTGCAGAAGAAAAGGAAGAAATTGCCGGGACGTTTGTGAGATTAAAGGTGAAAGTTACCAAGATGACCCGGACCCGTGACCAGAACTCAAGGGTAAGAATGGTATAATTGCATAGATCCTCATCAAAGTCCTTGTTAGACAAAGAGAATTCAAAGATTCCAAGAGAATCAAGCATATGTTGTTTCTTTAACTTACGACTTAGCAAACACAAGAAGAAAAGACTCGAGGAGAAAACGAAAGCAAATGTCTTAGCATTTCAAGGCCCAATACAAAGTTACAAACTCATCATAGGGAAAGTCCAAAACAAAACCTCATGATGAATTGGAGTATATAGCAGTTGGTTGGTTTATGAACCAAAGTCTAAACTAATAAAATTAGAATAAATGGTAAAATACAATTTGTACAAAGTACCGAATATAGGTGACGTCTACGTTTTAGGCGCTTTATACCCGCCGTTTGCCTTTTAAAGATTTACGTTAAAACGGGTGAGAATCATTTACGCAGTTGAATGACTACATTACAATTTACAAAGGATTTAAGATTTCACTGGTTCAAGTAAATCAGATGTAGAAAGGGACAGTTTGTACGTGTACGTCTAATCGTTATTGAATGGTTTATATGGTTAGTATAGCGGTAGGAATTGTGTACGAGTTTGTGACCTTGTGTGATATTTATGATTGGTTTGACAACATCTTCTATGATTTTTTTTGTTCAAACAGTTGATTTCATTAATTAAACTTCCAAGCTACAAGAAGAGGGAATGGAACATCCTCTTTGAAAACTACAACAAAGCATAAGAGCAAGAAATAACACCCGTTCGTTCTCTTTTAAAGTCTTAGTTTTTCTAACTGTAAATCGCCTTCTAGAAATAACACCCGTTCGTTCTCTTTTGTTAAGTAATTAGTTTGTAGATAAGTGGATCAGTAGTTTCTTCTTTGAGCTGAAGGGGTAAAACATTAGATGAGAGTGAGACGCAAGAGCCTCCTTTTTTGTTTTTATTCTTTAAGAAGTCAACTCCTTTTCTTTACTTGAATGTTTTGTATTGGCCTTCAACAATATCCTCGTATACATTATTAATCCATTTTTATTTTCTTTTTTATATATAAAGCATTTTTTTTTTCTGAAGAACTTTCGTTTTATATATATATAAAGCTATAGAGGCAACTTTGTACAACAAAGTTAGAAGTTATAAGGTGATAAAAGTTCACAACTGATTTCACTTTATTCTATCAATGCTGGTGTTTACGAATAAGTTGGATTAATTACGTCTAAAATAAATAGTATCAGCGACTCTTCCTGGGTCTAGAAAGACGATACCGATCTGCAGCAACTGGTTTCACTTTATAGATAGCACAATAGTCGCATAATCACGAAATTTCAGAAACGGCAAAAAAGAAAGTTTCAACCTTCACCAAATTCAACGCGGCTAATCGCACTTAGATGCCATCAATCAAGATCTATTATTATTTATGAATCAAAATGTGTATGTAATTTTTAAAAATAAGAAACAAGTGAAGTGGAAAAAAAAACATACAAATGGCATCTTAACAACGACAACAAAAACATACAAATGGCATGAGATATTGGCATCTAACACAAAACTAATTATTACGGTTTTGGTCTGTCTCTCATATGAGCTGACAACAACCTGTGACTCTACCATGCAATGCATGCATGCTTTCACTAACCTCTCCCTACTTTCTCCTAATTGAACCCTAACTACATGTAAAAGAAGCTGAATTAACAACTTTTGTGTGGATTAACTAATTCGTTAGATTGATATATAGTACTTGTTATCGTATTTGAAACGCATTTTCAAGTTATTACATGCAATTACTTTACCAAGCGTATGTGTACCGTGTATGTTTCAGATTTTATCAAGTTGCCAGGGAATATTTATTAGCCGTTCCGAAGAAGTCGAGTAAAAACTTTTGTATTTTGCGGAAGAAATATGAGTGAATATATTTCATACCTAGTCTATACTCTATAGTTTAGTTACGAGCTTTTTGATTAGCTGAGTGTTTGTTTGTATATATGTAATTGTGTGTTTGCCCTTTTCATAAACGAATGTTAGAGAGAAGATGTTCGTGTCAGCAAGTAGCTACTAAACGTTTTTGTTACGCTCAATCCATTAAATTCGTACACCGTAACCATTCCAAACTCTATTACTCTTGAAAGAATTACCAAACAAGTATAAAAGAACCCTCTAATCACAATTTCTTTCTAGAAAAGCACATGGATTAGCTAGTGATAACTTTGTAAACACTAAATCCAAGTGATTAGCCACCAAACAGACACATGAATTAATGATTTTTAATTTCTCAACACTAAGTCCTAGTGAGTAGCCACCAAACTATGCAAGACTAGTTGAACCATATCGCAACCACTTTGAATCACACAACTTTTTTTGATATCTATTGGGTGGTGATTAATGAACATTAGTCATTGGGTTTGATATCAATCATAAGTAAAGAATAAAGTATACGTGAAGAATAATTCTAAGTTGGTGGTAGCTCAGAACTCAAAAGGCCAAAATTTGATTCTACAGTGAGAGTGATATCGAAACTAAGAACAAAAATAAAGTTGACTTTTTCTTTTTATATTTGACTTTTATTTTCCACCTTCAAATAGTAGGCTAAAGAGATAAAGATGAAGTGGGCACTCTGAGTTCTCTAGCTTCTAAAATTAGACAGTAATACCTAAATTGCCTGAAAAACCAAGAATTGACATAATTCGATTACTATCTTAAAAATGTGAAGAAAAACTTTATAAAAAACTTCACAGTTCTTTCTATCCAACTAATGAAAATTCAATGCTCTCTGATTTAGGCCAACACGACGTGAGGCTAGTAGTGAAAGACTTGGCGTTAGAACATGTAAAAGTAGCCTCCTTTGCATTTAAAAATAATAATAACAAATAACCACCAAAAAGAAGGAAAAACAAAAAAAGAAAACATAAAATTTGATTTCAGAGAGTAGAGTTTGATCAACCAAAAAGAATAATAATAACCGAAAAAAAGATTAAAAATTTGTGACAACCCGAATCACGCAAAGTCTGTTACCTTTCGTTTTCACCATTCACCATGATCGAACACCACAGAGGATGATAATTCATCTTCTTCGTTAGGTGCCGGAAGATTAAGATCTATCATCCTCTGTTTCACTGATACTTCTTCTTCTTTATCAATTCGATTCACAGACAATCTTCCGACGTTGCTGCTTCCGTGAGATCTCTTATGACCTCCAAGTGCTTGCCCCGAAGCGAAAACTCTAAAACAGATCGGACATTGATGAACTTTCTTCTCCGCGTACTCTGTTTTTACCTGCTCTGTTTTCGCCGTCACTGTTGTGCAAGTCTTGTTCTTCTTGTGACTTGCTCTGTGTCCTCCTAATGCTTGATACGATTTAAACACTTTACCACAAGTCTCGCACTTGAATCTCCCTCTTCCTCCTCCTCCTCCTCTGTTCTTGCTCGATTTGTAATCTCCACATTCATGATCTGTCTCTTCTTCTTCATCTTCTACATTTTGCTTTGTCATCGTCTTGTTCTTCTTCTGCTGCTTCCATTTGTCTCTGGAGAGCATAATGAGACAAAAGGCGAGATCTTCCTCCGTCGTTGTATCGGAAGCAGAGCTGTGATGCTCTGGCTCGGTCACTGACTCACCTGGTTGGCTCGTTCTCAGCTTCTTATAGTCGAAATCGAACGATCCGAGTTTCCGAGTTCGCTTCGACCGTCTCCGAGTTAAGTTAATCCTCGACGACTCGGTTTCGCTTTCTTCAAACTCCATTTCATCACCATTGTCAACCATCTGGAGATGATGATCTTCATCAGACGAAGAAGAAGCATCATCCGACTCGGTATGGCCGTCACTGAGTTGACTCGGCCGTTCTTCTTCTCCTTCTTCGAGAGTTAATTCGTAAAGCTCACGTTTCGCGGAGAGAGTAAGCATGTGAGATCTCATGTGACCACCTAAAGCTCTTCCATTGATGAAGCTCTTGAAGCAAAATCTACACTTGTATCTCTCCATCTTTGCAGAGGAGAGAGATGAGAAAGAAAGAAGGAGCTTTTGGGTGATCTCTGAAAGAGGAGAGAAGAAGAAGAAGTAGAGAAACTACAAAAGGAGAGTAGGTGACAAAAGCATTCTTCTTCTGCAACCAAACGAACTAAAGAAGAAGACGAAGAGAAACAATTTACTTACGAATTTTTTTATTTTTATCTTCTAAATCTTCTCTCCCCTATATTTATAATTTTCTTTAATTAATTTTGATCTCGAAACGGAAACAAGGAAGAGTAAATTTTTGTTATTTTTTGAATAATCTAATTAAAGCGTTTGCCATGAAAGGACAATGTAACATGCGAGCTTTGCCCGTTTCTGCAATTTCATTTTTTTTACCCTTTAAACTTCCCAAAATGCCCTTCTCTTCAATCGGATTAAAAATAGCAAAAATTCTATTTTAACACCCCGAATTAACAGACGCTACGCGGCTTTGTTGTCTATTTTCAGCGGAAGTGTAACTTCAATGCGCCAAAAATAATTAATTAACTTTAACCTCCTTAAGGGTATCTTTGACATTACACATCTTAAGCTAGTTTCTTTTGTTGTTGTAAGTTGTAACAAGTCGGACCAGAACAAAGCGTTGTCCAAAAATGAGGGGAAGAATGTTATTTTTCAGTTTGTGACAGCCACGACGGTTTCACAAATTTATCCTCCTCACTAGTAACTTTAACTCACTAATGTAAATAAATCAAAATAAAATAAAATTTTAGATTCTGCTTGCCCTCTCCTTTTTATGAGTTTTCGCCAACTGTCACTGACGATATCTCTTTAAGGCCAGCAAAGTTTCTAATACCGACTTCTAAATCTAGTAGTATAATCTTAATCTAATTCCACTAATCACTCGAGTAAAAACGATTAGGAATGTGAACAAATAAGGATTGTTTCTCCTTTGATTTTGGATCTTCCAGGTTAGAAAATCTTGAGAAAAGGTCAAGAGACCGTAATTTACGTTTATCAATAACACTGCCACACGTTCTTCTTGTTCAACAAAAAAACAAATACCAAACTAAAGTCTACTTCGATATAAACCTAAACTTAAATGAGAAGTTCAAACAGATTGGATCAGACAATGGATTGTTTTTGCCAAAGTAAATATATATGCGTAATATAAGAGTAACAAAATAGATTGTTAAGCTACAAACGACATTTTAATTTGGACCCACTAGCCTTCGGTTTAATACAAACCTAACCATCTCACTTTTTTTCCTCGTAACACTGTATTAAACGTGATCAACGTCCCACACAACGATCATGTGATCTTTTTTCAGTTCATGTACCTGATTATTCGAAGATCAAATCACCCATAAGTGAAAAAAATTGTACACATGGGAGTTTAAGTCTTACATATAAGTTATAGCAGCAGTTAGAATGATACTTATGTCACAAATCTCAAAACAAATTAAAGCTCAAACGTTCTAAAATTTGTCGGTTACAAGACAATAAATGTACTCAAACAACTTTACTAAGCAAGGTTATTTAACACACGCAACGACATTATTTCACCGTAATTTGGAAAATCTAAATCTGTGGAAGCAATTCGTCTACGCAAAGTGTAAAGTTGTGATTTTTTTCCCCCATTGGCATGACTTAATGGTGGTGGTGCCAAACCACTTACGCCACTCTCTCACTTAAAGGAAAAAAACTCATCACCCCCTTAATTTTCTCGTTGACTTGCCTTTACACCTTCAATTTTATATTTCATCATTAATTAAGTATATCCAAGCATATAACATTCTTAGATGGTAATGACCTTTTTAATACACAGATTATTCAAATTGGTCGATGAAGTAAAAGTAAGCGGCAAATTGTTTATTCATGACCTATTGATATTTCTGGGCCCATATATATTAACGAGCTTCCTCGCGCCGTGTTGTGGAAGAAAAAGCCCGTTAATATTTATAGGCCCATTATAATTGGGGGAGCAATACGAATTGAGCTAAAACCCTAAATCTTTCTTCTCCGCATTTTCTTCACCAGTAAAATTCTTCTCAGACCACCAAAAACCTCAGCCTCTGAACATGACGGCGAAGAAGAGCGAAGCTGCAGCTGAGGAAGATAAAATTATAGACACTAAGAGGAAAAGCGGCTCTGTCAAATCTCAGAAACAGAAACCAGCAGCAAAGGAAGCGAAATCAGTAGAAAAAGAAGTGAAGAGCTTGAAAGAGGAGGACCTGCTCTTAGAATCCGGGACCGATTCCGAGTACGACGGCGACGGCGATGTAATCTCCTCGCCTTTGCGCATTCTCCTTCTCCTTCTTCTATTTTTCGTAGCTTGGACTTTTTTTCCTTTTTCTAATCGTGCATTTGGTTTTTGGTCTTTCAGAGTTTGTCTTTGAATTCCGATGATTTCGACTCCGATTTCTACGATTCCGAGGACGACGGTTCACAGAGAGAGACAGAGAATGGAGACGAGGTCCATGGTAATTGCTTGCTCGTGCTTTTCCTTTTCCTCTGGTTTTAGCTCATCTTCAATTCGAGCTTAGTTGATAATTAGAAATTGAATAGACGAATCATATCAGCTAGAGAGACTAACTATGCCGTTTGTTGCAGGACATGATGGCTCAGATGGTAATGTTGACGATGATGATGAGAGTGAACAAGTAGATAGTGAAAATGGTGAGGAAGATGGGAGTGAAGAAGGTTTTGAGCAAGACGAAGCGGTTGAAGAGAGTGATTCTTCTGAAGATGAGGTTTAATGCTCTCTCTATTCATTTTAGATTTTGAAACAATCTTCCTCCATTTTTTCCAGAAGAAAGATTATATATGTATTTTTTTTTGCTTTAATCTCTAGGTTGCTCCTAGAAATACAATTGGGGATGTTCCCATAAAGTGGTATGACGATGAGAAACATATTGGTTATGACATTACTGGGAAGAAGATCACCAAGAAAGAAAAGCAAGACAAGCTCGACTCTTTTCTTGCAACTATGGATGACTCCAAGAACTGGTCAGTTTCAATAAGACTCTTTCTGTTTATTGGTGGATATTTAGTGATTCAGTAGCGTTATCCTGATGAGATTCTTGGTGCTTTAGGCGCAAAATTTACGATGACTATAACGACGAGGAAGTTGAACTTACGAAAGAAGAGAGCAAGCTCATTCGTAGAATGCTCAAAGGAGAAGCTCCACATGCTGACTTTGATCCATATGCGGTATGTATCTGCTTTATGTGTAGCCGTTTTCTACTAATATATTATAACTTATCTCTTCAGTATGTGACCTTTTGATTGATTCTCTTTTGGACCAGCCTTATGTCGATTGGTTCGATTGGAAAAAAGAGTCAATACATCCACTCTCAGGTGCACCGGAGCCCAAGAGAAGGTTCATTCCTTCAAAATGGGAAGCCAAGAAGGTTGTCAAGTACGTTAGAGCAATCCGGAATGGGACGATCAAGTTTGATAAGCCTGAAGAAGAGCCCAACTACTACCTTTTGTGGGGTGATGATTCAGCTTCGGATCTAAGGGGCAAGAACTTGAATTTTGTTCCCCCACCCAAAGTCAAATTGCCAGGTACTTGACGATCTGTTTCTCTGCTTCTTCTCTCTGGGAGTTCTATTCTTCAAAGATTTTTAAGTTTGTGCAATTTTGGTTTTCCAGGACACGAGGAGTCGTACAATCCTTCTCCGGAGTTTATTCCAACAGCGGAAGAGAAAGCCGCTTATGAGTTGATGTACGAGGAAGACCGTCCAAAGTTCATTCCTAAAATGTATGTAGTTTGATCTCTTGAGATAATCTGATGTAGTTTCCTTTGGAATTTGTTAGCTAAAGCCTTGTGGTTTATTATATATGTGCACAGGTATACATCTCTGAGAAGCATCCCAGCATATGAGAACGCACTAAAGGAGTCTTTTGAACGTTGCTTGGATCTATACTTATGTCCCAGAGTTCGAAAGAAGAGGGTGAGGGCTTATTTGATCATCTCATTTTCTTGTTTTTTTTTTCTTTTTCTCTGTTTCTAATCTCACATTGTGTTTTCTTTCTTTCTTTCTCCAGATAAACATTGATCCTGAATCTTTGAAGCCGAAGCTACCTAGTAGGAAAGATCTTAGACCTTATCCAAACTCATGCTATCTTGAATATAGAGGCCATACAGGACCTGTTACTTCCTTATCCACTGAACGTTCTGGCCAGTGGATTGCCTCAGGTATTTCATTTTGTGTGCTTTATTCAATTTTCTTGAGCTATCGTTTGGATTCAAGATGCTAATCTTGCATTTTCCCTTCAAAGGTTCGATGGATAAATCTGTTCGTATATGGGAAGTGGAAACTGGTAGATGCCTTAAGGTCTGGGAGTTTGATGAAGTCGTTACGTGTGTGGCTTGGAATCCTCTTTCCGACTTTTCAATTTTAGCCGTCGCCATGTGAGTTAGGATCTTGAGGAGTTTTGTTTTTTCTGTTTTTTTTTCACAACTTCCAACTCTGAAACCATCACATCTTCACCATTGCAGGGGACGAGATTTGGTTCTCCTGAACACTGAACTTGGCACTGATGAGGAACAAAAGAAAATTGAAGATCTGCTTAACGTGAAAGATCTTCCAGAACTAGTTCCATCTGGTAAGTCTCTCAGCATAAACCACCACCTCAACTTTATAAGTAATTGACATGAAAATTCGAATGAGTAAACCTCTCCCTATTGGTATGTAGTTGCAAAAATTGTAACCTGGCGTCAAGATGAGAAACATGGAGGAGTTAAGATCACACATTTCAAGGTAAACATTCTCTTTTAACAGTTAATTACATGGAAACTTCTTTTAACTGGTTTTGATTTTGTGTGTATATGTTTTATCAGACCATAACATATATCGACTGGCATTCAAAAGGAGACTATCTCTCAACAGTGATGGCGTCCGGAGAAACTCGAGGTGTTGTAGTGCACCAACTTACAAAGAGAGACACACAGAAGCTCCCACTAAAGATCCGGGGACTTCCAGTCCGTACGCTATTTCATCCCACACAACGTGGTATCTTCTTGATCGCGACGAAGAAGAACATTCGCGTTTACGATCTCCGCAAGAGAGAGGGTCCTATCAAGAAGCTCGAGACTGGACTAAGAGAGATCTCGTCAATGGCGATCCATCCCGGTGGTGATAATCTGATAGTAGGAAGCAAAGAAGGAAAGATGTGTTGGTTTGACTTGGATCTGTCTTCTAGACCGTACAAGACTCTCAAGAACCATCCTAAAGACATTACCAATGTGGCGTTTCACAGATCGTATCCGCTGTTTGCTTCGTGCTCGGAGGATTCAACGGCTTATGTGTTCCATGGGAAGGTGTTTAATGATATGAACGAGAATCCTCTGATTGTGCCGTTGGAGATTCTAAGAGGCCATTCTTCTTCAAAAGGACAAGGTCAGTTTCTACTTTCTCTATGGTGTTTTGATTTACATTGTGACATTTCTGATTACTTAGTTATATGCGTTTTGATTTTGTATGGCAGGAGTTTTGGACTGCAAGTTTCATCCGAGACAACCATGGCTTTTCACTGCTGGGGCTGACTCAATTATCAAACTCTATTGCCATTAAATTCAACCACAAATCTGTTTTTTTTTTGACGATTTTCATATTTTCTTTTTTGCTGTTGTATTCCGTTCACCACCTATCAGATTACTATACTTTTTGTATTAAAAGTTTTGCTCAAACCGATGATGATGTATTTCTACTGCTTTTTAAATTGCCAGTCTCTGACAAACTTCCGATTATCGTTCTTTTTGTGTTGGAACAAAATATATAATATCTATTATTATCTTTTAATAATATGATATTGTTTGATCTAATTAAAAACAGCAAAATTCATCTTTCCTTCTTTACTTTTAGAGATTTCGCTTAGAAGGAAAAAATAAACCAAAGATATCTAGTGAACCGTGTGATACACCAACATTAATTCCTAACCTGGTGGGATAATGATTCAAGAAAACATTGTAATCTATCTTTAAAAACTTATTTAAACTTTTATATATACTTTTCTAACTTTTTTAAAAAACTGTGTTGTTGTGATTCGCTCCGATCTTGTACATAGTTCATAGCCACCCAAAGTACCACTCAACATGTATTAAATTGTACCGTTTGAAACCAGATTGGTAAATGGATGAAAAACATGGACGCATCCGATTAGGGAAACAGAAGCTAGTGTCAATCGAACCGTTGGAAACCAAATTGATCAGATTGGTAGATGGGTGGCTCATGGTCGCAAAATTCTCATTAGCGAGAGAAATCTTGTGGTTGCCTACAAAACAAAAACTCGTTTTTATAGACAACAACAACCTACCTACGGGATGGCATCAATATGAGTACAGCCTGAGATCCCAAGAGTTTCAGCCTCTAGTAGGAAGCCATGTTGTTTACAGGTCAGAGGATGAGGCCTAGCAGCTGAGATTCAAATTCAATAAATTATATAAAATATATTGTTTTAAGAAAACTTTTTTTATCCATGATCAAAGTTAGTTGTACAACAAAATAATTTTTGTATAAAAATATTGTGCCAAGAAAACTCAATTTTAATGTTTTTTTCCTGATAGAAATAAATCTCGTGTCGTTGTGATTCTCTTTGTAATTTGCAAAGACAAGTAGCAGAAACTAGGGCAAGCAAGCAGTCATGAAGAAACGCAAAAAGATGGATCATGAGATCCCTCTTGATCTACTGATGGAGATTCTCATCAGATTGCCGGCGAAGTCTCTGAGAAGGTTCATACTCGTTTCAAAGATATGGTCGTCCATGATCCAGAGCCAAGTATTCATAGATTACTTCTTCTCCATCTCCTCGACACGACCGCGGTTTTTTGTAGCTTTCACCAACGGTTGTTTCGCAAAGTATAAGGATAGACGCTTGTTCTACTACATGTCGTCGTCGTCTTCACAATCACATGAAGGACATGAATCATCTTCTTCTTCTTCTCTGGTAACCAGTCTCGACACGATAATGCCTTACCTCGCCGTTTGTGATCTCTACGGGTCTTGTTCTTCCATCCATGGCTTTATCGGTTGCTCACTTGGCGTTGGGTTGCACCAGACAAGTCATTGTCTTACCAACCTTACCAAAACGTCCCGCTCCAGATATGAGAGGCACGTGCTTGTGTTACGATCCTGTCTCTGATCAGTTCAAAGCTTTGTCCCTCATTGCTTCTCGCATACCTACTCAAGATCGTGTAGAGCACCTGGTGTTAACCCTAGAAGGTGATAAAACAAAATATTCATGGAGGCAAATCAAAGGTGGTAATAAACAACATCCCGCCTTATTCCCCTGTGACTATGAAAATATGCATCAACGGCAAAGTGTATTATGGTGCTTGGACCCCTAAAGTTCGCATGAATCCAGTGATTGTTTGTTTTGACGTTAGGTCCGAGGAGATAACTTTTATCAAAGCACCTATTGATGTCGTGTTCTGGTATTCCGAATCGGTTTTGATGGAATACAAAGGGAAGCTAGCTTCCATTGTAAGAAACCCTTTTAATCGTTTCGATAGGTTTGATTTTTGGGTGCTAGAGGACGTCGAGAAGCATGCATGGTCAAAGCAAGAATGTGTATTTCCCCTCTCTATGTGGGATTCTGTTTGGGGTTTGAAAATGTCTTTTCCAGGCACCAACAAATCTGGTGGCGATGAGATCATTTTAGCCCCAAGATACTTGTCACGCCAACTTGGACCCTATTACATTTTCTTCTACCATTTAGGAACCAACAACATCAGAATAGTTAGGGTCCATGGGATTGCAGATGATGAAGAGTTTAGGCGCTCTTATGGCTTTGAAAACACTGTTCGTGAATTTCCTGTTTTTATCTCACCGGAACATGTTGAAAATTTAAGGATTTTGTAATTTTTTTTTTATTTAGATTCTTTATCTATTACAATGTAGAAGCAATCGAATTAGAAAGGTTTAGCATGAAGGAGTTGCAGATGATGATGAAGGTTTTAGGCGTCACTATGGAATTGGAAACAATGGGGTGATATATTGCCATGTCTAATGTCTTTATGGTGGAAGTTTTACCTTTTTGTATTTCTTTTTCCTTTGTGAATGATTGATCTAAGTTTAAGAGAATTATGGAGGAACTTTGGGTTTCTTAAGACACCAATCAATCAGCTGGTTCAGTATTTTAATTTAACTACTAGTTACAATGAACAAATCTGGAAGATCTCTCATCTTATATTGTGTGCGAGCCAACGATTCAAATAGTTTAATAATAGGGTAAAATATATTCCAGCTATTAAATTATGTCCAACTTGGTTATATTAGTTCCTTGAAATTATTAGTTGATACGAAAACTCTGAAATTCTGATGTTGTTAATTGAGAAGTGAGATTTAAACGAGTCTCATCTGTTTTATTGAAACCCTTGAGGGTTACTTGGGGTAGAAGGCAACCGATTATTGGACTAGAAGGAGGGGCCTGATTTATGCAAGGAAAGGGCAAGAAACCTGGGAGAGAAGGCCAAACCGGTACCGGAAAACTAGGCTTGTCAAGATCGGGAAATGTGGCGGTGTTGGGAGCAGAGGCAGATTAGGCGGAGGCGCTGCGACTGTTTCTTGGAAAGACGGAAAGTCAAGGTCGCGGGATGGTGAATTACAACAGGAAGATGTTAACACGACGACGTATCTAAGCACAAGTGAAAGTGAAGAAGCATTTGTGTATCAGTGTGGATTAAGATGATTTTTTTTTTTTTTTTTTTTTTTTTTTTTTTTTTTTTTTGTAATTATAGGGTAGATGAAGATTGAAAGTTGTAGGTTTGAATGAATTTCTTGACGATTGTAATTTTATTTTTTTTCATTTACATAATTATGTGAGCTCTTTACACATAACTGTCTGTAAAAAATATTGTAAACGTTATCAAATATCAAAGCATCTCCTTTTTGTTTCAGACTCTCTCTCTCGAGCCGATTTCACTTTTCATCTTCTAAGACCAGCGAACGATTCAAGTTAAATTACCCTTGACGGGTTACTTGGAGTAGAAGGCAGTTTTATCATTTTGTTTAGATGATGAATATTGAACACCTAAACCCGTTTATGATCTGAACCGAAGGCAATTAACGTCGAACCAAGAGACTCTAAATACTCGGTTTTTGGATTAACGAAACTTTAATTCGTAAAAGCTCCAACTTTTCTCCGGTTATATGAGTCATCATTACTCATCTTTCTTCCTCCACACTCGTGAGTTAAATTCAGTTATACATCCTAACGAACTTGCAAGATTCCAAGAGTCTCTCTCTCTCTCTCTCTGTTACAACGCCGCCAGTTTTATTCTCCCATAGCTCCCTTAAGCCGTCTCTTTCTCCTCCTCCTTCACTTCCCCGTCGTCTCTTACGCATCTCCTCCATCACTCGCGAGATAAAAAACAAGTTGCATCCTAACGAACTTGCAAGATTTCATCTTTCTCTCTGTTACAACTAACCCCAAGTTTGATTCTCCGATAGCCACCTTAAGCCATCTCTTTCTCCTACTTCACATCCCCGTCGTCTCTTAGAGAATAACTTACGTTACTGGGCGGCTGATATCCTCTCCACCGTCGACAACCAGCACAGAATCTCTCTCTCCGCCACTATATTCAATCCTAACGATTTCCGTGCCGTAGACGTATCCTCCTCTACCGGCGGCGCTTCTTTACGTCGTCGATTCATCGTCCATCAACGTCTTTCATTCACTGATCTCCGTCGCTTGTTTTCTCATCTTCTTCGTCATCTTGGATCCGGATCCACCGGCAATCAAACATCTGCTCTGTCTCCATCGCACATTCCTCAACAGGCTCGTTCTTGCTTCCGTTGCATCTGTTTCTTCAAGATTCCACTTAAGGTATAGTAAATATCTTTTTAATTTTTCTACTATCAAGATTTTCTTGAATCTGAATTTTATTGTTATAAACAATCTGTGAAATTCTGTACGTCATCGAGTTCTATAAATTTTCGTCTGAGCCATACAAGGAAGTTATGCATGCAGTTCTCTATAGTTAATTAATTGCGGCATTTTGGAACTATATTTATCTTTTTTTTTCATTTTTTATTTTACGATCCTCTGAAACTTTGCACATTTTTCAACAGGCTCGTTCTATATTCCATTGGTCTTGACTCTACATTCCGGTGACGGCAATACGGACTGTTAAAGTTACACTCACGGCAAGAAGGTATATATTTCTTGTTGTTTCCATTTAAGATTTTTTTTAGGCTCAAATTTTAATGTTTTCAAGATTATGTGAACACTCAAGTTTACTTTTCGTTTTCAAGATCCATCCAAAACTGTAAATAGCTTGTATCTTGTGAAAATCTTTGCAAAGCTTCCATTTTATTCTGACTCTACGTTTCTGTCTTACTAACAGATATATGGATATATATCCATGCGTGCGATTTGCTCCAACCGATGAGGAGGTGATCACCTTTTTACAGCTAAGGGTCCAGGGCATTCAAGTTTACAACTGTCTCATTATGGACCAGCCATTGTATCAATTCCATCCTGTTCACCTCCCGCATTTTAACACATATTTCATGAGACCAGGAGAGTTTTGGTACTTCGTCACAAGGCCGACAAGGGGACCCCTCAACCGAATAGTGAATCGTAATGTTGGAAACCATAAATGGGTGAAAAGTGGTCGCAAAACTCTCATACGTGAGGGAAATATTGTCATTGGTCATAAACAGAAGCTTGCTTTCAGAGACAACAATGGCGTATCTACCGGATGGCAGCAATTTGAGTTTACCCTAGAATCTGAACAATTCCAACCTCAAGTGGTCAGCCATCTTATTTATCGGTTAGAAGATGATGACACTATAGCAGCTGTGGACAATCTGATAGATTTACCGCTGGAAGAAGCAGCCGATGATAATCTTCACTTTCAACAAATTCTCAATGGATATCAGCAAGTGCTTGGGATGTAAACTTTATTACAAATGTTTGTTTTTATATTTTTATATATATTCCTTACTGAGTTGTACTTTAATTTTGCATAGAGGAAGAGATGTTGTAGTCGTATGTGCTCACATGAATGAATATCCCTATTCATACAACATTAATTAGAAAGATCACTCTCGGTTAGTATAACGATTCAGATTAATATACGTGTACTATATAGTCGCTTTCCAACTATTAAAGTTGTAACTTGGTTTCTTACATTCTTCAAATCATACATATACTGTATATAGTTATTAATTGATACAAAAACTTTGAAATTTAGATGTAAACTCTCACGTTTAATTCTTGAGAAGTGGGGGTTTCAACGAGTCTCATGTGTTTATGGAAACCCTTGAGGGTTACTTGGGGTAGAAGGCAGCCAATTATCGGACTCGTAGACTCTTGGACCAAAGGGCTCGGAAGGAGGGGACTGATCTGTGAACGGAAAGGGCAGGAAACCAGGGAGAGAAGGCCAAATCGCTACTGGAAGCCTAGGGTTTTCAAGATCTGGAAATGTCGGCGTCTGTGGAAGCAGAGGCATACCAGGCGGAGGCGCCGCTACTGCTTCTTGGAAAGATGGAAAGTCAGGGAATCCGAGGTCGCGAACATCGGCTCCAATTTGAGCTACTTTAGCCGTGGATCTCACTAGTCCCGGTGAAAATAATTCTTGGGAGTTTTTTACCAAAAAAAAACAATTCTTGGGAGTTCAAGAGTATGAAAATGTTAACACGACGAGTAAAACCCTTTAAAAAAAAAAAAAAAAAAAAAAAACACGAGTCTAAGCACAAGGTGAAAGTGAAGAAGAGTTGAATTTATATATATATATATATATATATACTAGGGGTGACCCGCGCTTCGCGCAGTTGTGTTAGTTTTATTGTTTTTCCACAAATTTAATATTTTTTAAATATATTATACACATATGACTTAAATATAACTAAAGTTAGACAAAAAAAATTGTACCGTCTTGTTCCATTTTGTACGTTCTTTTCTGTCCCGTCCGTGCTGCATGTCCCGTCCCGTCCAGTCTCATCTTATCCCATTTTGTTATGTCCCATTTCGTTTCTTCTCGTCTTGCTCCCTAAATATAATTAGGGTTAGGCATAATTCTGTTCAATTCTATTCCTTTTCATCTTGTCCCGGTCTTTCCCATCCTGTTCGTTCTGTCCGCTCTATCCAATTGTATGTTATCCTATTATGTTCTTTTTCATATTAACTTGTTTATGTGTCGCCTCTAAATATAATTAGGATTAGGCAAAATTCATGTCCCGTCCCTTTCCATCCCATTATGTACATTTTCATCTCGTCCCGTCCAATCCCGCCATATTCTATTTCTTTTCATTTTGTCCCGTTCAACCTTTATGTCTTGTCCTCTCTCATCATGTTTTTTTTCCGTTCCGCTCCTAAATATTATTATTATTATATTTAGAGGTATGTGGAATTTATGTCTTGTTCTATCCCGTTCTTTTTTATTCCTTTAGATCTCGTCTCGTCACTTAATATAATAGGAAGTAAACAAAATTTCCTTATTCTCAAGTTCTATTTTTTTTTCATCTCGTCATGTTCGATCTCATTTCATTTCATTCCAAAATAATAAAAAAGTGTTTTTTCTATAATATTTTTTTTATTATTATTATTAAATAATAGTTTTTATAAATCTATAATATCTTTTTATATCTTTTCTAAAATGAATTTTCATATTCTTATTAAGTTACTATAGTAATAAATGATAATTCTTATAAAATTAAAATATAAACAAAATATAATAAACAAATTGATATGCTAAATTTAGAGATACCCTCTTCTGCTGAAGTGACATCACCAGAATAAAATAACATGAACTTTATATATATAAATTTCCAAATAGTTGGATTTAATAATAAAAATTCATGGCCTAGATTATATATATATATATAGACATATTCATAGTTTTTTTGTCTTAAACTCTTAATCATGGCTTTCTGAATATAATTTATCTTTTACAAGGTATACATATTTGGTTATACTATGCATTGTTCTGTCACTGAACTAGTAAATATTACCGTTCATAGTTACTAGTTGTGTTATCTTAGCATTAATAAATAGTTATACTACGACGTATGTAGGAACAAGTGACAGTGAAGAAGCCATTGTGTATTAGTGTGGATTAAGATGATGTTTAATCCTTTTTTGGATGATGAAGATTGAAGATTGAAATTTATAGGTTTAATTTCATTTGTTGACGACAGTAAAATCTTTTGTTTTTCTGTTTTTGTCTTGTGTTCCTACTTTCCACCAAAGCATTTGCTAATATTCAAAGTCAAATAACGTCATGTCAAATCATTAGAGAAAATTTGGAAAAATATTCAATCAAAGTTTTCATTTTGAAAAATACCATAATTTTTCTTTAATTCAAAAATTGGTGAAATTTCAAAACTACACCTAAAAAGTGCACATTTTCAAAACTATATATCTAGAATGTCTATTTTCAAAACTATATTTTTTTCATTGAGTAAATTTTTTTTAACCTAAAATCTAAACTCTAAACCCTAAAATCCAACCTTAAACTCTTAAATCTAAACCTAATTAGGGATTAGTGAAACCAAACTTAAATGTTAAATTTAGAAAAAATGTAATTTTTGAAAATTAACACCCCATAAGGAAATGTAATTTTTGAAAATTACAAAAAAGTGAAATGAGTTTTTGATAAATTTAATTAAAACGAAATTTAAATATTAAATACAAAAGATTAAGATTTGATTTTGATTTGTTTCATTTTAAAATGATAAACATTTATAATTATCTGTATAAGATTCTACTAATTGTTTTTTTGTTCCGAACCAATAGTTTTCCATCGTAGATCATATAGGTATGAGATTTAACTTATATCAGAGTCCAAAAATAATTAAATTTGTTTAAAGTTAAACTTTAAAACAAAATATCGATTTATTAAACACGTGGGATGCATTGGCTGGCATGGAAGAAGTTGTGCCGTCACAAGCGAGAGGGGGGTTTGGGTTTTCGGACTATTGAGGATTTTAACACGGCTCTACTAGCAAAACAGCTATGGAGGTTAATGGATTACCCGGATTCGCTTTTTGCTAAGGTTTTCAAGGGGAGATACTATCGGAACTCTACTCCCATGGACCCAATAAGATCTTACTCTCTGTCATATGGATGGCAGAGTATTAGCTCTGCTCGATCTCTGGTAAACAAAGGGCTCATTAAAAGGGTCGGTTCCGGATCATCCATCTCAGTTTGGTATGATCCATGGATTTCTGATTCCCGCCCGAGGTCAGCTATTTGTATCGGTGTTAATTACTATCCCCACCTGAGGGTGAGTGAGCTAATTAACACTCAGACTTCAACGTGGAATCTTCCACTATTGCAACAATTGTTCGAGAGCACTGAAGTTGCTCGTATTACTGGGATTACGATTTCTACTGGTCTTAAGCCAGACAGGCTGGATGGATGTTCACTCAAACAGGGCGATATACGGTTAAATCGGGGTATAAGGTCCTCCAGGAGTTCCCGGACGTGGAGGGCACACCGGTATTCGGACCCGACACACGTAGACTGCAAGCTCAGTCCTGGAAAGTAAAATGTACTACGAAGCTACAACATTTTCTTTGGCAAATTATTACTGGATGTTTATCAGTTGGGGCACGGCTGTGCAATCGAGGGATGCGCGTGGACCCGCTGTGTGTGCGATGTGGAATGGGGGATGAGACAATTAATCACATGTTGTTTGAATGCCCCCCGGCTCGACAAACATGGGCCTTATCACCAATTCCAACCCCACCACAATGTTTTCCGACGGACTCTATTTACTCAAATATGGCACATCTCTTCTGGAATCTTCCAGACAATGACGATATGCTAATATTTCCATGGTTACTTTGTTTTATTTGGAAGGCCCGGAATTACAAAGTTTTCTCCAATACGGATCAAGATCCGAGAGAGGTTTTGGATTCTGCAATAACAGAGGCTCGTGCATGGGCCGCAGCCCAACCGGCTGGAGAGATGGACAATGTGCGGATAGACATATCAGCGACGCAACCGCCTTGTGGTGAATGGTGTCAAATAGATGGAGCCTGGAAAGAGTCAGAGACTCGAGCGGGACTTGGGTGGTACAATCTAGACCCGGAATCGGGTTCAGTTTTGGTTGGGGCCTGTAATTTACGACGGGGTCTATCCCCTTTGCAGACGGAACTGGAAGCGTTGGTGTGGGCCATGCAAATCATGTTGGTCTACAATAAACGGCGAATGCAGTTTCAAACTGACTGCACTGAACTGGTGAAGATGGTGTCTACACCGACAGCGTGGCCGGCGTTTGAAACACTGCTTGAAGAGGTGGAGAAGTGCAAGAGGCGGTTTGAGGCTTTCTCCATAATCCACATACCGAGGACAACAAACACGAAGGCAGACAAGCTAGCACGGAGTGCTCGAGATCAGCCTTATGACGTGTATTATGTAAACTCAATTCCACCAACATCGCTCCCTGAGCTGATTTAGGGGGAATTTAGGCTGTTGACAAAAAAAAAAAAAAAAAAAAAAAAAAATATCGATTTATTAAATTTTAAATAATTAACATATATTTATCTATAACAAAAATAAAATAATATTATTAAAACTTCAATTTCGAATTTCATTTTAAAATTTTAATAATATACTATTGCTTGTTTAAATAAGGTCAAAAAGTCTTTTTACATATTAAAAAAGTTTATTTAAAAAAAAAACTAAAGTATTTTTTTTAAATAATAATTTCTAAATAAGGCAATATGCCAAGAATCCCAATACATAATCTACTATTGTTCCTTTTTAAAATTAGCTTTTGTATATTTGGATGCAAAATTATTCATTTATATATAAATTTGCGAAAAAACCTAGATGATAATTATATAAAATATATTGTTTTAAGAAAACGTTTTTATCCATGATCAAGTTAGTTTTACAACAAAATAATTTTTGTATAAAAATATTGTGCCAAGAAAACTCAATTTTAATGTTTTTTTCCTGATAGAAATAAATCTCGTGTAGTTGTGATTCTCTCTGATCTCGTAAGTACCTACCTGTCTTTGTAATTTGCAAAAGACAAGTAGCAGAAATTAGGGCAAGCAGTCATGAAGAAACGCAAGGAGATGGATCATGAGATCCCTCTTGATCTACTAATGGAGATTCTCGTAAGATTGCCGGCGAAGTCTCTGAGAAGGTTCATACTCGTTTCAAAGATATGGTCGTCCATGATCCAGAGCCAAGTATTCATAGATTACTTCTTCTCCATCTCCTCGACACGACCGCGGTTTTTTGTAGCTTTCACCAATTGTTGTTTCGAAAAGTATAAGGAGAGACGCTTGTTCTACTACATGTCGTCGTCGTCTTCACAATCACAGGAAGGACATGAATCTTCTCCTTCTTCTTCTCTGGTAACCAATCTCGACACGATAATGCCTTACCTCGCCGTTTGTGATTTCTACGGGTCTTGTTCTTCCGTCCATGGCTTTATCGGTTGCTCACTTGGCGTTGGGTTCTTGGTCTGTAACCCTAGCACCAGACAAGTCATTGTCTTACCAACCTTACCAAAACGTCCCGCTCCAGATATGAGAGGCACGTGCTTGTGTTACGATCCTGTCTCTGATCAGTTCAAAGCTTTGTCCCTCATTGCTTCTCGCATACCTACTCAAGATCATGTAGAGCACCTGGTGTTAACCCTAAAAGGTGATAACACAAAATATTCATGGAGGCAAATCAAAGGTGGTAATAACAACAACATCCCGCCTTATTCCCCTGTGACTATGAAAATATGCATCAACGGCAAAGTGTATTATGGTGCTTGGACCCCTAAAGTTCGCATGAATCCAGTGATTGTTTGTTTTGACGTTAGGTCCGAGGAGATAACTTTTATCAAAGCACCTATTGATGTCGTGTTCTGGTATTCCGAATCGGTTTTGATGGAATACAAAGGGAAGCTAGCTTCCATTGTAAGAAACCCTTTTAATCGTTTCGATAGGTTTGATTTTTGGGTGCTAGAGGACGTCGAGAAGCATGAATGGTCAAAGCAAGAATGTGTATTTCCCCTCTCGTTATGGGATTCTGTTTGGGGTTTGAAAATGTCTTTTCCAGGCACCAACAAAGCTGGTGATGAGATAATTTTAGCCCCAAGATACTTGTCACGCCAACTTGGACCCTATTACATTTTCTACTACCATTTAGGAACCAACAACATCAGAAGAGTTACGGTCCATGGGATTGCAGATGATGAAGAGTTTAGGCGATCTTATGGCTTTGAAAACACTGTTCGTGAATTTCCTGTTTTTATCTCACCGGAACATGTTGAAAATTTAAGGATTTTGTAATTTTTTTTTTATTTAGATTCTCTATCTATTACAATGTAGAAGCAATCGAATTAGAAAGGTTTAGCTTGAAGGAGTTGCAGATGGTGATGAAGGTTTTAGGCGTCGTATTGCCATGTCTAGTATCTATATCTCATCGGAATATGGTGGAAGTTTTGCCTTTTTGTAGTTCTTTTTCCTTTTTGAAGGAACTTTGTTTTCTTTGATCGTTAGAGATTTTTTTTAAGTAATAATAAATCTTTTTTTATTTATTGATAACTCCATCTTTTTTACCATACATTATTTCATATTATTGTATTTTGACTAGACGAAATGAGTCCAACTACAATCTCACTCCAAAAGAAAAAAAACTCTAAAAGTTAACGACTGATCGGTAAGTCTGGTCAGGCTGCCAATTCGCTGGAATAACAGCTTGAGCAACGACTACTTTACGAGATTCTCGAGAAGTAAGTCTAATATTGAACGGACCTCTCAAAGGACTGCCGGAGTTTACCTTCCATACGGCGGACCTCATTTCCTGCATGGCGATAAACCCTCCACCGGCCGGTTGAATCTCAACGGACGCCAAATCTCCATCGCCATTTTCGTATTCAACGATAAATGCAACGTAGTAGGGATTTGCTCCGGCATCCATACGGAAAGCTATTGTAGTCCCTTTATATAAACACCGAGCACTAGAAACAAAACAAAAACAAATACAAATCAGAATTGTATAATGTTCTAGTGGTTTGTGAGAGAGATAATGAAATAACATTTTAGTTGAATAATAACATTTTATAGCTGAATAAAGTTTTTACAAAAGAGGTCATAAGACATTAGAAACTAGTTTGATAGAAGAATGTTTTTGTTTTTACTTTTAAGATGCCATGATTATCTTTCAAAAACATAAAATATATATATCAAACCGAGTTTAGTAAAGAATAAGAACCAAAAGCAAAACACAGATTCTTGTTTATGTCCAAATCATTTTCAAATCAGGCATTGTAAGACAAACATCATAAAGTCTTGGGAGAAAAACTAATTATACGTACCGTCTGTAACCAACACGAAGAACACCAGCGGCTCGAAGTTGATTGCCTTGGCCAGGTTTGGCTAAAGCACCAATGGATTTGCCGCTCAGGTCAAAATGGACTGGCTCAGAGGCGCAAGGACCACCAGGGCACTCGTCGGTTATCGTCACCGTTATTGGTCTCGTTGAACACGCTGGATTTCCGGTGCACAAAATCTAATACATATAGACATTTTATATTTACGATATGTTTAAGAAAAATATATTGTGTGTAACATCGTAACTGTATGACATAATTCAGACTTGGATGCAAATGCAATGTATACGTATAGTTTTTTTCCAGACAAATTCTACCCCGACAACGACCTACAAGGCTATAAGTAATTTAATACCACTTTTTATTTTAATATCAACAAAGAAATAGGCCATTTTTATTGAATATATTTATGCATATGCATGGATCTTATGTTAAATTAGATATCGTGCTTAATTTTTCTTATATATAAAAAATCTATATTATTATAAATACGAACCTGATAACATGTTCCACATCCTATTCCATTGTTGAATAGTGAAGGGCCTCCGGCTGAAATCATCGCGTTAAACGGTGGATTTGCCACTGCCGGACCATATCCGCAAGCTCCTCCTATATTATAAACATCATTGAAATCGAATTATTCGAAGACCAACATTATAGATATACTATATGATGTAACAAATTAATCAATGGTAATACGTACCGGTGCTACCGGCGCCCTCAGGTTCACCGTACCAAGTAACACCAGCGTTGCCCCAGCCGGCATTTATAGTTTCATTTTGGGAATAACAAAGCTTTAGTGAGACTGCAAAAACAGCAAAGAGAGCAAACCGTATGTGTGATGATGATGATGATGCCATTGAGGATCTACTATTGTTTGGTTTAAACAAAGCTACAAGTGAATTTGATTATACATGATGTGGATATTTATAATGATCAGTTTTTTTGGAGTACTTCTCAGGAATACGTTCAGTGCCTTTGGTAATCGTATATTGGCAATATGTTTAGGTCAATGTAAGTAATTTAAGCTTGGTAAACAAATTACTGATAGTTGATATGAAGTACGTAAAAGGTAACACTAATTATAATTTATAAGAGAAATGCATTAAGATATTAGTGACATTTGTTGACTAAACCCTTCGAAATAAAGGATAGGGCGGGAATCCTATATAGGGTATAACTAAAATGACATACTTGTCAATTGACTACTCCAAATTATATAAAACTGAAAAATTGTGAAGTTATTTTTACGTTTGACTCCATTGAATTTAAAATTTTGGAAATCAAGGATTTAAATCATGAAAATATAAGACAGATCGTATCCGCTATTTGCTTCGTTCTAGGAGGATTCAACAGCTTATGTGTTTCATGGGAAGGTGTTTAATGATATGAGTGAGAATCCTCTGATTGTGCCTTTGGAGATTCTAAGAGGCCATTCTTCTTCAAAAGGACAAGGTGATCAGTTTTCTACTTTCTAAAATCAGAAAAATGTAAAAGTCACAAAATGTTTTACGAGATGTTGTATCTTTTGTTATATACAAATCCACGCAACACGTGGAGTTTCCCCTAGTTACAAATACGATTGAAAGACATATTTCAAGACAAGATCAACACATAACAAAAGCAACAATAGTTCAAAGTCCAGATAAACAGAACAAGCGACACAAAGTAGTGAGTCTGTCTAGTGACATAACTTGTTCATAAAAGTGAAAACATGACAAGCATCAAACCAATCACAAATCAGGGGGACAATGAACCAATCACAACTCTGATGATCTTTACATACAACATTAATATGATCCAAGTAACATCAGTGTTAAGCTAATTATGTGTAATCACAGATTAAGCATATGAGAAGATAATTCTGGACACATATATAATAGAAACCGCAATTAAGTAACATTAGTGTTAAGCTAATTATGTGTAAAAATGAGAACATCCAAGGGCCTGTCTGTAAAAACAAAACACCAACCAATACAAAATTGAAACGTCGCACAGTGAGATTAAATTTTGATAAACCTTTTCTATGTAGCACCGGGTTAATAATAAAAAAATTATACTGACTCTACACTTGTGAATATACCGAATCACACATAGTCACACATTTCACGAATCAATAGAACAACAAACACAGAAAACAAAGCAACAATTACACTACACTTTCACATCACCAGATTTGTATTTTGCTTAAAATTTGCTTATTTTTTCCTAATATTTTGCTTATGTTTTTCTTATTATAAAAACATTACGGTGAAGAAGGTTAAGACGTTAACGACAAACTTATGGAAATAGGTAGAAAGTCCGCAAATAAAATTATGGTTATCAACAATAATAAACCCTATTTTTTTTTTTTTTATCTTAAGTGTGTCCACTCATTTTTTGTGCTAATGAGCTTGTCTAGTAATTGATGTTTCACGACCCTAAATGACTTACACATTTGATTTTTGGCTGGAAATTTTAATGGAAACCAGCTGTGGTATCGTCTGAGTTCACCACAAGGGATCGTCTGAGTTCCTGGGGTCTCATCGTCCCAACAAACTGTCTGCTTTGTGATGCTGCACCAGAAACAAGGAACCATCTTCTCACCGACTGTGCATACTCCACTGAGGTTTGGGCTAACTTCTTTGCACACTCGGATTTTACTCTGCCTTCTTCAATTGATCAGATTGTACTCTGGTGTAAGGATACTACTGGGAATGAGAAAGTAAACTCTATTTGTATGCTGCTGGTTCAAGCAATAGTTTACTTCCTTTGGAGAGAACGAAATGCAAGGCTTCATTCCTTATCTGCCAAGTCTGCTTCAACTCTGATCAAGGAAATACAGCTTCTCCTTAGAGCAAAGTTGTTCGGTTTGGATCGTGCACGCTTGACCTCAGCGAATTTGAATCCGTCCCCTCTTCAGAACTCCTACCTCCATACTTGGTTTCAGTTCTTCCAACCCTAATTCTTCTCAAATCTCTTTACTTGTCTATGCTGCTGCTGCTGCTTATTTTAGTTCCCTTCTCTCTTTTGTATTGCTTTTTGTTTATTCATCTTCTTCCAGTAAAAAAAAAAAAAAAAAAAAAAAAAAAAAAAAGAAACCAGCTGTGGTAAACATTATAAACCACAGCTAACTTTGGGTAGCCCGATTTTAATGACAGTTTAAGCGATGGTTTCAAATTTTTATCACAACCCTAATGATGTTTTAAACATTGTATATATATTGTAATTAATTTTTACTAACATGTTATTTCTCGTGTTTCATGCAGATGAGATCACAGTCTTCTTCTAATGGTCCATATGTAGCAGTCAATGTTCCTACAATATACTTTATTGTATTTTTTATATTCTGCTTAATTATTAGTTTTGTTGCAAGAATAGTTTACCATTGTATTTCTCGACGTCGGGGAAAATATTGTTCAGCAAAAGTTACCCCGGCCCCGGCGGAAATTGCATGATTATAAAAATGTAAAATTAAATACTCGTGTGGGCATCGGATTATCTAATGTAAAAAATAAATTATTTTAATTAAAAGAAATTCTAAAGAAGAAAAGAAAGCCTTTTGGGTTCGAAACTAAATCATAATTTCCAATAAAAGCAAACCTGTGGTACTCAACATTTAACCACCCATAGCTGTTAATCACCAAATCAATTCTTCTTGAATCGACTGTAAAGAAAAAAAGAAACGTGGATGCCTTGTTCTTTGGCTTAACCTAAATCATGGGCTTCGATTTGAATTATGTAAATTATTTATTATTAGACAAATTTAATAACAAAAATGTTTTAATTTAGTTAAAAAAAAAGAAAGAAACAGAAGCGATATCATATAGGTAGCCACTTAACAACTAAAGTGGCAACCAAAATATCTTCACTTCTTTTACCGTAATTTTTTCTTTGGTTCAACACATTGATTACATTAAATTAATTTCTAGTCAAAGTATTATCATTTCCCATTTAAGAACTATCTATTTACCTTATACGGTGATAATTTCAGTCCACTATTTATATTATTATTAGATCTATTTCCTTCTTTAAACAAAAGCAATACCATGGAACTATATATATAACTTACGTAGTGTTTCAGTCTTGATAAAACAAAACTAATAAAATGTCAACAGCAATTAGGATGGTTCTGGCTATCAATCTTTTATCTATTTTGTTCTCACCAGTCCTAGTTCGTTCCGATCAAACTATGGTGCCTCTCGTATCTTTCAAGGTCAGCTTTTAAAACAAAGAGATTGGTTTTCCATCTACATTTTTATATATTTTATTAAATAATTCAAGGTCGTCCTTCTTATATATCTTACAGCTCGGTGGAAATGTAACATATGACTGCATCGATATTTATAAGCAACCAGGATTAGATCATATCTTGCTAAGAAACCACACAATCCAGGTTCATTGTTACAAAAATCCGTCTCCTACTTTTACTTTTATATATGTGCTAACTATTAACTTTACAATTTATTCCTTTAATAGATGAAACCATCAGTTTTAAGATCTGAATTAAAGAATCAAACTAGCAACGACAAAACATATAAGAAGAAAATATGGTGTCCATACAAAACTGTTCCAGTATTGAGAAATGCAAAAGAATTCATCCCAAATACACCATCTGTTGTAAACCAGTATTTTCATCCGTTATCAGTTGATAATCCTGGCACACATGTAAGTGTTTAATTTATCTCAGTTCTCCTAGATATAACAATGTTCTTATTTCAAATAGTAATGTTTATATACCATAATTAACATAATTGTCTCTTGGTAGATTGCTGGAGTGAGGTCACGTAATGGTCCATTTCATGGTGTAGAAGCTTTTAATAGTGGTTATTCACTGGGCATCGGAACAGATCAAGTCTCATATAGTGAAATATATATAGGCAGTGGACTAAATAAAGAGGTCAATTATATTTCAAGGGGTTGGATGGTACGTTTTATATTTTTGAATTTTTTTTTCTATTAACATAATCATCTTAGTAGTTTGAAGTAATGTAAAATCTTTTTTGATAGATAAATCCTGGATTTTTTCGAGACGGACGTACTTGGACATATGGATTCTGGAAGGTCTTCATGCGAACATTTTACCCTTTTTGCTATAAATTATGCAGATAATATACTAAATCAAATAACATAAAAAAAAACTAAATCTGATTTTGATAGGGCAAAGATGGAAAAGGATGTTATAATACTGCATGTCCAGGATTTGTTCAAGTATCTCGCGAGGTTCCCTTAGCTGAACCAGTTGACATGTTACCAGAAAAACCTACATGGATGCATAACTCCATCCATCAAGTAATTTCTTGATTTTCTATATTTGTTTTGTTTATTTGTTATATGCCACTCCCATTAGTCTAATGAAGGATTAATGATTCTTGAAATTAATTAGTAATGAAACCATATTAGGAGATGTATTTGACATTTTCACAATAACTTCTTTTGCTCCATGCACTTTTCCCATCAACTTATTAGCACATATTTATTATTTGATTATTTTTAATATTTTTATTTTTATATTTTAATGTACATATAAAGGATAAACAAACAGGAAATTGGTGGCTTACAAAAAAATCTGTAAGAATAGGTGATCCTGGCATAGATATCGGTTATTGGCCAAAAAAGTTATTTAACCTTTTCGATAATGGTGCAAGTATGACTGGAGCGGCAGGTGTGGTTCATGCTTCTCCTTCGGTTTCAAGCCCTCCAATGGGTAATGGTAGACTTCCCAATGGGCGTCGCCTCGGAGAATCAGCAATATTTGCATATATTGAAGTCTTGGATTCTAACTATAAAAAACAAAAAATGGATTCGTCTCCTTTTGAAACATTGTTAGATAATACAAAATGTTATGGGTTAAGACTCGGGAATAGTAATCTCGGGCTTTTTTTCAATTATGGTGGTCCAGGAGGGTATTCTTGTGGAATTTGACATTTGCAAATATAATTTGTAAACTTGGAATTTAAAAAATAAAGTACAATTTATTATATACTTCATATGTTTTTTCTCAAACTGCACGTTTTTTTTTTGACTTACCAATGGTTAATGTTCAACCAAGACTGGCTACAGACAACCTTTATCAAAAATAGTCAAAAATTGAAGAAGGCAATATAGATATGTAAAAAGTGAACTAACAGCCGTTGAAGAATCGTTAGCTGGAGCCGTAAAAACGACATCATTTTTGAAAAATAAGTGAAACCCCCTAATTTGTCCGAAAATCTCTAATTTGCATCTCAAATCCGCAATTCAATATTCATTCTCTCTTTTCCAGTTCTTAATCCAAATTGCCAGTCCTCTCCTCTATTCTATCTTCTCTAATCACTACAAAAAGCATTAATTTCGTATTAATTAATATGACTGAACCAAATACTTCAAGTTGTGAACACCATACATGAGGAACACATTGTGCACTCTGATTTGAAACCCACAAATTTCCTTCTTGTTAGAAGCTTTTTAATTTTTTTATTGATTTTGGTATTGCTAAGGGCATAACGACACTACGAATATTCAACAAGATTCACATGTAAAAAATCCTCCCATGTTTCTGACCCTAGCAATGCTAGCATTGATAACAAGATTCATACACTGGCATTTTGAAATGTTAGATTTCTAACACCTGATTTCAAAGAGCCCTCATTGATAACTCAACATCTTTATTATTCTTAATTACCATACACTATTTCATATTATTAGCTTTCTGTATTCGTATTTTGACTAGAGCGTACAATCTGACTCCAAAAGAAAAAAACTCTAAAAGTTAACGACAGATCGATAAGTCTCGTCGGGCTTCCAATTCGCTGGAATAACAGCTTGAGCAACGGCTACTTTTCGAGATTCGCGAGAAGTAAGTCTAATATTGAACGGACCTCCAAGAGGACTGCCGGAGTTTATCTTCCATACGGCGGACCTCATTTCCTGCATGGCCATAAACGCTCCTCCGACCGGCTGAATCTCAACGGAGGCCAAATCTCCGTCGCCGTTTTCGTATTCAACGATAAATGCCATGTAGTAGGGATTTGCTCCGGCATCCATACGGAAAGCTATATTAGTCCCTTTATATAAACACGGAGCACTGGAAACAAAACCAAAAGAAATTAGGGTTTTAGTGGTTTGTGAGATAGATAGTGAAATAACATAATAGCTGAATATATATAATAACATTTTTGTTTTTTTTTAACAATACGTACCGTCTGTAACCAACACGAAGAACACCAGCGTCTCGAAGTCGATAGCCTTGGCCAGGTCTGGCTAAGGCGCCCATGGCTTTGCCGCTCAGGTCAAAATGGACTGGCTCAGAGGCGCAAGGACCGCCGGGGCACTCGTCTGTTATCGTTATTGGTGTCCTTGAACACGCTGGATTCTCGGTGCACATAATCTAATATAAATAGTCATTTATATATTACAATATGGCCGAGAGGGAAAAAAAAAACAATATACAGTATTGTATATGACATAATCAGATTTGCATGCTAGATATAGTCTCTTCAGTCCAAATCTAAAATTAAATTAATACCAGTTTTTAGTCTCATGTAAAATAATCTCACTTATATTGAATGTATGTGTGTACGTAAGTGCATGGATGATGGATCTTATGTTAAATTAGATATACATCAATTAATGTCTCATTTTTGGTCGCTCTACAAAAAAAAAATCTATATTATTATAAATACGAACCTGATAACATGTTCCACATCCTATTCCATTGTTGAATAGTGAAGGGCCTCCGGCTGAAATCATCGCGTTAAACGGTGGATTTTGCACTGCTAAGCCAAATCCACAAGCTCCTCCTATATGTATAAATATATATAATTTAAATCGAATTATTCGAAGATAAGATTATAGATAGGCTAATTGTAACAAATTAATTATTAATGGTAAATTGGTAATACTTACCGGTGCTACCGGCGCCCTCAGGTTCACCGTACCAAGTAACACCAGCTTTACCCCAGCCGGCGGCATCTACAGTTTCATTTTGACAAAAACAAAACTTTAGTGAGACTGCAAAAACAGCAAAGAGAAAAAACCATATGTGTGATGATGATGATTTTGCCATTGATGATCTACTATTGTTTGGTTTAAACAAGGCTACAAGTGAGTTTGATACTTATAATGGGTTTTTTGGAGTAGTATCACGAATACATTGAGTGTTTTTGGTAATCGTATATTGACTATAATTACGTCAACTGGAGTAATTTAAGCTTATCAAACAAATTAATTACTGGTCGTTGAAATGAAGGAGGAGAAGAGGTAACATTAATTATAAGAGAAATTAGTGTCAGTTGTTGACCAAATAAACCCTTCGAAATATGTAAATGTGTAAGGATATGGGAATCTTATTAAGAGTATAACTTATATGACATATTTTTCAATTGACTATACTCCAAATTTTATAGACCGAATTATTGGAAAGTAATTTATACGTTTGACTATTGAATTTGAAACTTTGCAAAGTAAAATCAAGGAAATCTAACCAAACAAAAATGACTATATTCTCTGTGAAAAAAAATAGGAGAGAGGGAAATTGGATTCAAATACATTTCTTGCTTATGTCATCATATATAGGATTTACTCTACAAAGTTAGCCAAAATTACAAAATTTGTAAGCTAATGATTATTATTGCTCCAAATTAGATACATTGCCTAACCACGGGCATGTTCATTAAAATTTTATTTTATTTCATTTCCGTTAATGTTTCCCCGATAGTAATTCCACAAGTGACTGATTATCAATATAACCAATTCGCCATATGAAAATATTAACCAATATAATGAAAAATAAGTGGACGCTGAAGAGAGAAAGAGAGAGACACACACACACATACACAAGCACTACACAACGTTAACTACCAACTAGCTTATAACCATATACTATATATTAACTTATAATCGACCCACTCGTGACGTGACTCGTGAGTAAATTTATTTGATTCAAGCTAGACTTGAAAATTTACATCCGATTTGTACTTGGCACCGGTCTGCCAACCGGCCGGAATAACATCGGAAGCCACAACGGTCTCGCCGGAGTCTAGAGAAGTCACTCGAAGAGACAGTGGGGCTCGCAAAGGTGATGTCACGTCGAGCTTCCACACGGCTCCCCATAATTGGCTCATGGGAAGCCACGTGTCGGAATCTAACGCTTGTTTGAGTTCGACTCGACCGATTTCACCGTCTCCGTCTTCATACTCAACTACAGCCGCGAAGTAGTTAGTGTTTGAACCTTCCTCCACTTGAAACGTCACCGTTTTGCCAACATAGTTGCACTCAACTCTACAAGCACACATCAATGAAAAAGGCATATCAAAACCTTAATTACTATACAAACAATGTTGTAGTGATCATTAATTAATGTGACATATATGTATACTTTCTATAAAGAATCTGCAAAACTCCGACACCGCGAAGCTGACTATCGTGACCAGAAATCGCCATGGCACCAAACGATGTACCGCTCAAATCGAAATGGACCGACTCTGTGACGCATCCTGGACATTCGTCTGTAATCACTACCGTAACCGGATTCTTCGAACACGCCGGTTTCGAAGTGCATTTTATCTGTATCATTAATATATATATAAGCTCTAGACTTTGGTTTATTACAATTTTTAATCTCTTGTGCTTATTTGTAAATAGTTGATCGTATAGAACCTGATAACAAGCGCCACATCCTTTTCCCGACTTAAACAACGAAGCACCTCCAGCTGATACCATGGCCGAAAACGGAGATTGTGCCACAGCATTTCCATATCCACAAGCTCCACCTTCATATAGTAGTTAATTAATCATTTTATATACATATGTAACCAGTTACATAGTTTTGTTTATGTATGTAATACATATTTAAATACCGTCGCTTCCATAGCCGGTGGGGTTGCCGTACCACGTAGCTCCAGCTAGAGACCAATCGGAACCACCGGTTGATAAGGCTGAGATATTGAGTTTTTTTGGACTAAAGCAATGAGTTGAGTTTAATAGAAGAAAAGTTAGACCAAGGAGTAAGTTCGTGATCGTGGAATATCGCTCTACGACAAGAATTGCCATTGTGATTATATGGCTGATTAATTAGTAATGACTGGCTGGAGCTATTTATAGATCGATGATCGATCGAAATCCGTGACACTCTATTATGCCCAACTGTTTTAAGCCACGTGTCGCACAAAATATAAGGACACGTGAAGTTTTTCTTTTTTGTTTAACTTCGAAGTGGGCCCTATGTGACGGTTAACGGTTAGGCCCACGTGGCATTTGTCGTATTTGCGTAATAAATTCTTCATTGCCCCCTAAATTAAGGAGATTTGGAATTTATACGATCTTCGTAATACGGTGATTGATGGCGAAATATGTGCGTTAATATAGCCGTTAATGGTGGTTTGCTTGGCCGTTGGAAATCCATCCCAGCCGTTGAATCTCAATCTTACGGTTGTAGACGATTCGATTCATAATTATATACTGTATAAAATTTATCTATATAAGCTTATGTGATGTAAGGAGGGGTTTGAAAATAATCGTAGGCTGTTGAACGTAAAACCTGGCGTGAATTAGGTTCGTTACTGAAATCGCTCTATTATTTTCTTAATTATAAAAAACGTCATGGTGGATCCCATGAGTTAACTTTTGAAATGAATCGCATGGTTTAATTCTGAAAACAAAAAAAGTTATAATAAACTCTAAAATAAATAAAAACTAATTAGATTTTGATGATGCACACACATCCGGGCCAAAAACCTTTAGACGTACACGAAAAAAAACTCATTGGACCGACCCGTATAAATTAACGGACTATTTGGCCCATGCACTCTTAATAATCTTTCTCGTAGCTGTTATCATGATTTTTTAAATTATGTATTTTTTCTTGTTAGTGGAATTTTTAAATGATGTTTCACGAAATCAGTTGTACGATAAAGAGAAAATTAAAGGTCAAGGTACTTTGTTTGCAATATAAATCTGTATACCTCTTGCGAGGCAATTATTAGACATCATATCAACACATCCATCCTAATCTTATATTGAATGATAGAGTTCAAAGGATTAGATCGAATAATTGATCATTGCTGTCTTTAATTAGGTAAAATGCTCGTGAACGACACTACACTATTCTTTTCTTTGTATAATGTTTTTCAATACAACACCAATATTTTAATTATGTATGCGTGTTACTGAAAAACATTCGGATAGGTATTTTGGTTGATTGAAAAATTGAGCGCCGTTTTGCCTTATTTGCTCATACAAAACTTCGGAAATATTCAATGAACCAACATTTTATACTCGTTTATTTTATTTTATTCAATGGTTGAGGCACATCATTAAAATAAAAGGACGATAAAGCTATTGGTAATGCTTGTTTATGTCCACCGATTAATCAAATTATTGGACACCAAATCAGCACCCGAATCCTAACTTCATCTTTCTTTTCATTATGTATCCAAAATGATTAATGTGGACACAATTCATGTTTAATATCCGCATGATTTGTGTACGAACAATAATAGATTTTCAAGAATTTCAATATTAATACTTAATTACAAACATCATTTTTCTTAACAATTCCTGGCTGTGATCATGTAATTAGCGACCACTTTTCATATTTAGGTACACAATAATCATAGCCATTCAAAATAATCTTCTAACTAACACTGTTCATGTTATAAAGCACAAAATGGCCCAACATAATATATTCTTTTGAGATCATTTCTAATTCTAACTATGGTCCTTCCAATTTTTAACAACATACTATTTCTCATGGTGCGTAAAAATGAAAGTCTATAATTATAAAGCTACCATCATCAATTTTCAATCGCAACATAATGGGCTCCATCAAACTCGATGTAGTAATTCATAATAGTAGATGAAGATTTGGAGTTTGTGCAAAATGAATGATCTAAGAAATCCAAAAACTACTATTTCGTTTTTGGCGGATTCGAATCTTTGTAAATACGTATGGTCGGCAACTCATATACAACTAACGAACCGATTACAAAAACAAATAGGACTAAAAGAAACGACGTCCATGGCTGTTTTATTGATTAAGAAATACATCAGGGTAAGGAAGTAATCAGGAAGATATCTATCCGACCATTTGAAAGGGGCTCCTTTGTTGAGATTGTTGCTCTGGGGTACGTACCTGACCTGTTGTTGTTTTGTCAACGAGTTTATGTGGAAAAAAAAGACATGATTACAATATCATTTAGTTAATTGTTCGTAAACTCTTTTTTTGTTATGGTAGATTTGGAACTTCTTATATAGATTTCGATTTTCATACACTCAGCGTGTGTAAATTAAAGTTGTACAATCCTTTGAACTATTCTTGTCGTAAAAATAATTAAAAAAAAAGAATCTTTTGAACTATTGTTTTCCTAAACAAGGACAATTCATCAACTGTTTTTTTTCAGTCATAAATAAAGACAATCGGTGATCTCATTTATGTACTGTAATAGTCTCGCTTTGTTTCTCACATCAACACCTTTCCAAGGTGGAGAAAATGTAAATATCTGCTTACTTTTAAAAATATTAAAGTCACATTGTATATAACAACCAAAAAAAACACAACATCTTGTTTGGGTTTTGTGTTAAACATGACCCTAAGTCCTAAGATTACCATCAATCTTAACAAATCTAAAGCATGACATCTATTTTCTGAGGTTTCACAATCACGGGCATAAATTTTGTTGACAGTCCTTTTCTTAATCAATGGATTCTAGTGCCTAACTCTATACCAATGTTAATAGTCTAAGAAACTTGTAGATGACTAAAGAATAGATTAACCAAGATTTTGCAAATTTAACCGATACACAGAATCTACATGGCTGATACATAGATACATACAGCATCAGTCTCTATATTTTCTCTCTATTTACATTTGAAGAAAACCCACCAAAAAAATAAAAATAATTACCCAACCGACAAGGCAATCAGAAAGTCAAAGACCCTCAAAAGCAAAACGACAAAAACAGAAAAAAAATAAAATAAATAAAACAGAGTTGTTCTTGACTACAACAAGATTCGGGAAAACTGATGGTGATGATGGTGTTTAGGATCTTGAACAATTTGTCTGGATTTGATTTCCTCAGCGCAACGTAACGCCTTCTCTATCTGATAACCTCCTCCGATACTTACTTCTCTCTCAAGATGACAGCAGTAACTCTCAAACACACTCACATTCACATGCAACTTAAACCCCATCAAGAACAAGAACTCCAATTCCAACTTGTTCAAATCTTCCGTCTCTAGTCCCCCTACTTTCGCAAAGTACGAGTTTCTGTAATTCCTGTAATAAAAAGACAACGAAAATGAGTTTAAGAACAAAAAACAGAGAAATTTCTACTTTTTCTGTTTAATAAAAAAGTTTAATAAAGTTTAAAAACTCTTTTTTAACTTACATGTCTTCAACGTATTTGGAAGCGACCATGATCGTTGTGATGAGGAGACGATGAACATTAGTAAGACTGATTCTGAAGCCTTGATTATTCTGACAGAACCGGTCAATGTACACATAAGCCACAACGTAAACCGATGGACCGGCTTTGGTGTACCGGAAAATCCTCTCTAGGTACGACTGAATCGTCATATCAGGAATCTCGCGGCAGTCGAAGACACGTGTTTTACCGTAACCACCGTAGCTCCGGCTGATCCTCTCGTTCCGAGCTAAAGTCCGTTCGATCAGAGAGGAGAGAACAGAGATGACGAGTGGCGTGTTTGAGTCGTCTTGGTAAGAGTATGAATATAGGTCTGATCGGAGCTTCCTCGGAGAAATCGCCACTGAATTTGAAGACGCCATTAAATGGTTTTTCTTGTCGTTTAGTTAAGGGTTTTTTGATGAGTGGTGAAGAAATTTGCAAAAATGGAAAATTGAAATTGAAATGAATATAAGGGAAAGGGTTTTGAGAGGCTTTTTATATACAGTGAGAGAGAGAGAAGAGTAGCTTTCGGTTGTAGGGCAACTTCCTCTTCTCTTCTTTTATTTTTTTAAATAATTTATGAATTTGTAGTTACGAGCTACTCAATAGTGTGTGTACTGGATATTTAATAGTATTAAAACGTAGCTCGTGCAACTACGAAAGTTCAGGTTTTTTGTTGAATCCGTAACAATATTCCAGATTTGAACCTCTTTCGTCTAGATAAAGCAATTTAACTTCATTCACTCTGAGGGGATAAAAACGTTTTATGCTTAGAAGAACCTTTTTGTCGGTTTTAGATAACAGTTATGGTCTTTTTTGTTGTTGAAAAGGAGTTAATTATGGTCTTTGTTGGTAAATATTTTCTGATATCATAATAGTGTTTGAAAGATTTACAATGGGGTTGGAAGATATAGTTCGAATTCATCCACTATAGTCTCAAAACAATTAATTGTCGTATATATCTGAGAAATAGTAAAAAATATGCTGTATTTTTAACAAATGGGTCGTTTTCCAAACATATTTAAACACGTTTTTTCGACATCTCTTCACTCTCAGGAATGCAAACTATTGTAGATCATGACATATGAGTCATTTGCTCAAAACACGAATTATCAGATAAACCGACGTACTTTGTACAGATTCCCAAACCAATTTACAAAGGAGTGTACGTTGTGAAATCTCTTTACATACATAATTTTCACACGAAAAGGTACACTGAAATCTACAGGATATATTATTAATACGGGATTTTATCGAAAAGAGAATCGACATGGGTTTTTGTAGTCATATGGAAGCTGTATAGAAGTTACTAAAATAAGTAATTTAAGCTCGAACAAAAAAAAAAAAATTTGTAAGTGCAACAGCTAAGCAATTTTGGTTATTTTTCCATATTTTATTCACGTAATATTTAATCAATTGATTTCTCAAATGAACCTACTCCAAAGTACTTCAAACGAAATATATAATACAAAAATAAAAGGAATCGAAAACTATGATTTAATTAAGCAAAAGGAGAGTACTCCCGCCGACAGTCAGACGGTGGAGAGAGAGATGTCAACTCAACATCGGTAACACTCTCTCGTGGAGCCGGAGGGTTTTAGCTGGTGGGGCCCACTCATGTTAACGCGTGTACTGTTTCGACACACACGTGTGATTTTCGTCAACGTCGACGTCGCGAGCTTCCAAAGACCACAAGGAGACTCACACGTGTGGAGGTAGTGATCAAAGACAACGCACAATCACAACAATTTTTCTTTTAATGATCATACATTTTTCTCTTAATTCGTGTTGTCAATTAGAATCAGTCGTACATCAATGGTTTCATTAACACACACACCAAATGCTAAAATATTGTAACCACACTTTCAAGAAACTGAAATAGTCTAAAAATTTGTTAATACCTGTTTTATTTGAACTTCGAAGCCAAGATAGTCTCTATAAGTATAAAGTATGACTTCATAAAAGTTGTCTAAACGTTGGTATTTTTGAAAATACATACTACAGTAGTATTTTCTGAAATTTCTGTTTGTTTATGTAGATAATAGTATAACTCTACAGTTTAGATTTCCATTTCCAAATGTTTATTTTGGACCAGAAATAAAAAGGACGAATTAAGTTATTTTGTTAAAGGGCGTCATGAATGCAAATCCCAATAACATCAGTGTGTTCCTGCTATCTTGGTAAACGCAATAAATATGTTAACCATTCAGATCTTTTTCATTCTTACATATCTGCTCGACAACTGCAACTCAAACTAAAAACATAGTACAAGTTTTTGATCTTTTAGGGTACAGGAAAGTAAAGAAAATAAACTTGAATGATCTATTTATTTCCATGTGGTAAAGAAAAACTGAATTATTAAAATAAATAAAAGTGGAGGGACAAAATAAAGTACAAGTCATAAATTGACGTAGCCGAAACGAAGCTACCGCCACCGCACGAATACGTTCGATAATAAATGCAAAAAGAAGGGACCCGTTTTGATTTTCCCTTCACAAAATATCGTCCCTTCAAAAAACTATTTACCACATCATCATTGCCTGGTTCAATTATTTTTTTCTTATTTATTTGTTTCTCCCCCACCTAATTTATTAGATTTAACATCATCATATATTTTTTGTCCCTTACTTTAAATTCACATCTTTGAGTATAAACTGTAGTTTTATAAGTAAGTGTAAGACTATAGTGTGAACATCGATCTACGAAATGGATATAAGATACGGCACACTCAATAATCAAATATAAAGAGTAACTAATAGTATGTATTTTCACACAAAGACTTGAATTTCGCTTGGTTTTTGTTTGTTTTTTTTAAAAAGTGTTTTCGGGAATTTTCATTTTGGTTAATTAACGTACCTTTTATCGAATACAAGCCAAAATAGTGACACAACAAAGATATTACGATAGTAAAAAAACGTTAGACTACATGTTGTGGTCAATTTTTATTCGAACAAAAGTAACTAACAAAAAATGTATACATTGCCTTTTTGTGTGTGCTAAAAAGCCTAAAAGTACACATTACTTTGGTAAAAATAATACATTGTTTTAATTTTCATTTAGCAGCATGAATTGATCTTGATTTGTTACATTAGATATGTAAAAAAGTAAAATTCAATGATAAAAAGTAAAAGTTAGTGTTTTTAAACCCGGACCGACCCGGTGATCGAACCGGGTTCAACCATGAACCGGAAGCATCTCCGGGTTGGGTTACTACTAAAACCCATAGATAGTTAGACCGGTTAAAAACCCGGGTTCGACCAACAAAAAATCAAAAACCGGTGATCCATTGAACCGTATTGAACCCGATTTTCTAATTAAACAATAAATTTTCTATTTTATTTGATAATTTTAACTTTTTCAGAATATTTTGTTAAAGAATATTTTCAAATATTATGAATTTTAAATAATTTATTTGATATTTAAAATTATATATATATATATATTTCTATACTGTTTAAATATCATAGATATATTCATATGTAAACTTTATAAAATTATATATATTATTTTTGTAAATAGTTTGATACCTGGTCAAATCATATTAACCCATGATCCAAAATATTTTCGGTTCGGTCACCGGTCCGGTTTTAAAAACACTGGTAAAAGTAGTAAAATACATTCGCTAGAGGCTCAATGAAACAAGCATGCATTATTGCTTGCTTTCTGATAATTTCTAGATACATCACTGATTGATTGGAACACATTAATGAAAATAAGATTTTGGAGTGGATCGATATGTACGAAGGTAAAAAAAGTACTAGTACAGTATTTGTCGACTCTGTGACCGTACACAAAATGTCAGGCTCCATAACTCATGCCCGATAGATATGTTTCATTACACTCTCTGATTCACATATCTGTCTCCATCTCGAGATTCGTGTTTCAGATCTATCAAAAAGATGAATTGCTTTTAATGTATACGTACTTAGGTACGTACGTACGTGCCCACGTACGAATCTTCTTTCATCTTTCATTTATCTTCCTCGGTTTTCTCCATCAGTTACCAAAACGTAACAAACTAACAAGTAAATCAGATTTTGATTAAAAAAAACCCATTCATATGAGTTTTTTGTAAAAGAAAAAATGTTTTATAAATACACGAAAAGGAGTCTTTTGGAAAATTCAAGAGAAACATCTTCAATCGATAATGGAGTGGGCCTAATTCAGCATTTAGTTGGCAGATATTTTGTTTATCTATTGTCCTTTGATTTAGGGAATCAAAAGTCATATATCAACATTAATTTGCCTGTAAAATCACACATTTCACTTCAGACTTCTTCTCTTATGACCTACCAATAAAGTAGATGATTACACAATCTACTTTAGATTCATTATCCGTACTTAGTTATCTTCAGTAAACATTTACATTTTTCTTCATGCCGTGCGCAAAAATGTGGACTATAGTCAATATGCTTAGACTTTAATTTGGGCTCATTCCGGCCTTCTCTTTGGGCCTTCATTTTGGGCTTTAAGTTAAGTTAAATCCGAACTCTCCCACTTCTTGTAAGAACACGCTTGTAAAATGATCTGATAATTTCGCTGAGGTGGCATTTCTTTATTGGCTCATACAATAAAATGTGCGTGGCGAGAATAAACGCCTCTTATAAATTGCGTCAATTTCCAGTCAACTCCAAAATCCGAAAAACATCTTCGTCTCGAATCGTTCTCGTCTACATCAGAATTTCTAAGCTAAATCAGGTAAGCTTTTCGGTTTTGTTGCCGCCCAATCTAGTCTCTGTTATAGTTATGTGAAATCGGGGTTGACGAATCTCTAGATCTGTGATTTGTTAGATTAGCCACAGATCTGATTACGAGATCTCGATGTTGAATCCGGTGCTTTACGGTTTCCGATCTGATAAGGTTTCTGATTTTGCATGCTTAATGTTGCATTATTATCTGAGGAATTCATGGTGTGAGTAGAGAGAATTTTCCATTTTCATCGTTATATACGTTTCGATGTTGAATTCGACTCGATGTGTTGAGAATTTTGCATTTCTCATCCGAAAGTTGTCTTGAGTGCTTATTCTTACAATTCTCAATGTTGAAATGAAATCGCTGGGTTTGAAATGTCGCATTAACATTGAATTCCATTAATGCTCATCTTCACATTGAGTCTATTAAATTGAAAAGAAAAATTTCTCTCTAGATACTTGATAACAGGACGATTTTGAGTTAAGTTAAACCTTTTTTTAGTTAAGTTGATGGAAATTGGAAGTTTTGTGTTTTCTATTGTGTTAATTTAGATGTCTTATGCAGTTTAGATACAACTTACATGGCAGTGCTTCCTTCATTAGACTTTAATGGGCGAGTTCTTGCATTAGATAATATATGACCAGATTTCAAAATCTCCTAACTTTCTACACCATTCCTCAGGTTGTAAATCAAAACCAGAAGTCAAGAAAAAATGGTGGTGGGAAGTGGAGCTCCACAGAGAGGAAGTGCAGCTGCAGCTGCAAGCATGCGTAGGAGGAAGCCTAGCGGCGCCAGTGGAGGAGGAGCCTCAGGTGGTGCAGCAGGATCCATGCTTCAGTTCTACACCGATGACGCACCGGGTCTCAAGATCTCCCCTAACGTTGTCCTTGTCATGAGCATCGGTTTCATTGCTTTCGTCGCTGTCCTCCATGTCATGGGCAAGCTCTACTTTGTCAAGTGATGAGAGAAAGAGTGAGAGAGGCTTGACATAAAAAAATGGATAATAGTTGCAAGAAAATACCCCAAGTGACTGCTAGTGAATCAGTATTAGACAGTGGTTTTTCAACTTTTAATTTTGTGGAGTAAAAACATATCTTAAAAATTCCAGTTTCTCATACATTCGTAGTTTCAATATGATTCATACACATTCAATGGATAAACTTTTTATACATATCACATATTGATTCGCACCACATATATATAACTCAAAGAATGCTATAGTTGAGGAGAAATTAATTAAGGAATCAACTAAGGTGTTAAGTTAACCGTTCTAAAAGAGTAAATAAAACATGAAGACTTCTGGAGTTTGTTGAACGATTAAGGAAGAAAAGGGAAAAATTGGGAACTAAAAAGAGCTTCAGGGGCTTAAGGTGTTAATAAACAATTTAAAACGGGGCCCCGATTTTTATATTCGGGTCATTTCTCCATCCACCGGGTTTTTTTCCCTACGAACTTTGAGCGAAGGAGGTCGTAGTTTCTGGAGATCTTTTTCTAATGGCAAGCTTGGGAGAATCATCCTCAGAGATGGAAGGCGCGCACCCACCGGCGATTCCACAACCTTCGCCGGAGCAGAATCTGATTTCTTCGATTCCAAGTGCTAAGATCGCGACGACGACGGTTGAAAATGCGGCTTCCTGGATCGACGACGCGATGCGTGAGGCGCTGGTGTACCAGAAAACCATCCTGGAGTCACTGGACTCTACCATTGACGCCTCCAAGTCTCGATTGTCTCAAATTCGTGACACTTCCGTGGCTCACACGAGCCAAACCATTGTAAGCTCACGACTCCTCTTTTTCTTTCAAATTGGAATCCTAGCGAATCCGAAATCCACAGTAATCGATTCTCAAATGTCATTTTAGTGGTTTTGCTTATCCTCTGAAAAAATCGATTGTTTTTGGGATGTAGGATTCTCTTAAAGACATTGCTTCTGAGTATAACGTTTACGAGCAAATGGTATTTGGGAAGATTAAAGGTCTCTTCTACATTCGTGGATACCTCCGTGTTTACTTCGTCGTTGTGAATTGTGTCTCACATTTGGATTTCTGTATGCAGAGGGTGTAAACCTTGCTGCATCTCGTCCGGTAATATCAGGCACATTAGCTTTTGGAGTTGGGATTTTTGCTCTTAAAAGTACGCTTTCTGGATATTTAGCTCAATCTTTGTGGATGTTACGCTATGCACTCTTGTTAGTGACAGCTATGTTTGTTTTGCAGAGACGAGACGATTTGTATATCACAGTACTTTACGCATGTTCTTAAGCGAAGAGGTCAGTATTGTTGAATGTATAAACTGGTCTGCCTGTGGCTGTTATTTGCTAAAGTTGTTCATTGAGTGTGGACCCTATTTTGGATTCAGGCTTTGCTTGCCAGAGCTGATCTTAAAGTAAAAGAGTTGAGACAATCAATGGATCGTCTCAAAGCCGAAAGTGACAAGTTAGAGGTAAGCCTTTTCTCTTGTGTCAAGAGTTGTTCTATTTAGTTAGCTCGATTCCTCGTTTGTCCGTTTGGTTCAACATCCCTTTGTTATGGAATTAGAATATCAGGTGTTTACTGTTTAGTATGAAAATGAAAATGGCTCTGGTCTTGAACAGAGAACTATCTGTGTAGCCTCAATTGAGTAGATATAGATAAGGATGGTGCTGCTCTAGCCTTATTACTTTCAACAGTAATAAAATGGTTATGCTTCTTGAGTCTAGCTCTTTTTTAGGCCAATGTGTACATAAGTTGGTTTCTCTTGATTGAGATAGAATTGTAGTATATTGGAAGCCCTTATTGGATTACGGTTTTAAATTTGTGATAATTCTGATTGTTTCAGAGAGTTGCAACTGTGGCAGAAGAGGAGTTTACTAGAGGAAGGACGAAACTCAGGTTTATGATCCAGAGAAAATACAACATCAATGTATTAGATATGTATCAACATGAAATGTTCTTAAACCCTCTCTAATCTTCTTTACACAGACAAGCCGGCATGCAGATCCGAGGTGCGATCCGCTCAGCTTATAAGATTGAAAAGCAAGCAGCAGGTATGTTCAAACCCATAGTTTGTGAAACAGCAGAAGAACACTCTCTCCGTAACAGAGCTTATCGACTCTTTACGGTAACACCGCTATCATTATGTATGTACAGGTTTGAAAGATGTACTAAAAGAATTGCCAACGAGAGAAGCTTCTCGATTCCGCTCTCTAGTAAGTATTACTCGCCCTCTTTGCTCTTCTAGGAGCACAGCTAGCTTAAGAATATATAGAATCAAATCATTAGAGCATAATGGAGATATCTCACTTGTTAATTCTCAGATATCGAGCCGTGCCTCTGAAACGAAGCAAGAGAGAAACGCTTTGGCAAAGGAAGTGAACAAGATCAGCAACTACGGTATCTCCGTATGAGGAAAACATAAAACCCCATTTTTCTAGTTACGAATTTGATTACTCTTGGGGGGAAGTAAAATTACACAGACAATAATAACGTCTAAAACTATTTACTCTTTGCTTGGTGTCAAGATTTTCAAAGATGTAATCTCTTGTTATCTTGTGTTTTTAAATGCTTTAGTTCTTTGACAGTAGTTTAGCCATACAAATTCATGATGTTACGTTTGAATCTCGTATGATAAGTTTTGCTATGGTTTCAAAGTCGTTATTTTGCTTAGATTAGATATACACTTATGTTTCATGTAAATTCAATACTCTTGATTTGTGTGGAACCCATACATACAGCCAGAAACCAAACTTAAGTATGAACCGAACCGAAAATCAACGTTGAGCAAACCGGAAAATTGAGTCCATGATCATCCTCGGACTTCTGGTTCGTGTGGCTAATAATGTTGGTCGAAACGTAAAGTGGCAAAAAGGGAGCAAGAGGATAATATATACAACTGTGAAGTCTGAACTGAACACTGAGACGCCGTTTAGTGTAAGCACTCTTTTCTTATTCATCTTCAATAAATGATTAAATCATTTGAGAATTTTGAAGAGAAAAAGAAAAAAAGATTTAAGGATGAAAAATCATAATAACGTAGGAGAAAAGGCAAAACAAAAGTTTAATTTTTTTTAAAATAATTAACAAATTAATGAGGTTGATTTTAAGCAGAGTTCGATTTTTTTAATAATAACACTTATTTTTAGGCTCCCGTCGTCGTCGGTCACGTGATCAACGCCGGTAGGAACGCGACACGTCATCATCACGTTACTCTCCCCAAACCCCAACCCCCAAGAAGAAGAAAGAACAAAAAAAAAAACTCCAAAAAAAAAAAGTGACGTCGGACTAAAACTGAGAATGGTGGTGGTGATGGTGGTGAAGCTGGACTTGTTGCGGTTGTCTCATAACCTCTTTCTGGCGTCGAAGCTCCATCACTTTCCGGTGAGAATTCGAATGCTGAGTCAACACAAAAGTCGGACTCGACGCCGGTCTGTATTCCGGTACGAGTCTACCGGATTTAAACCGGACTCCGCACGCGTTGCAGAGCGTCTTCGGTCCGAGTGGTCCCGTCCTCCATTGCGGCGTCTTCTCCGATGCACAGTGAGTGCATCTCCTCAACCCTCCTTCCACAGTTTCCGCCGGAGATTGATGATGATATCTTCCTCCTCCTCCTCCGGATTGTTCTTTCTTCGGCTTGAGTTTCCCGGCGACCTGAATCTGCTGGTCGGATTCCGTCATCGGTGCCCATGTTCCGGCGAAAGCAGCTGGAGCTCTCGATCGTTTGCTTCTTGGCTTCCCGGGAAATGACGTGGGCTCAGTTTTGACTGACGTCATAGTTCCTCCCAACGGATTCGCCGGAAAGTCAGCGAAGGAGTCGTCGACGAATTGTGAAAGCCACTCCAAGTGAGCAGCGTCCTCACTCTGCTAAAATAAAATAAAAAATCAATTAAAAAGAAAAAGAAATTTCCAAAAATGGAAGCTAAAGTCAAAATTGGAAGAGAGAGCATACGGGAACGCAAATGTCGTGGAGGAAGGAATGATCGGCGGAGGAAGGGAGATGGTGGTGGTGGTGGTGGTGGTGGTAGCTAGGGTTTTGAGGAGGAGGGAAAGAGGAGGAGGAAGTAGCGGCGGTGGAAGTGGAGGAAGAGGCGGAGAAGATGTCTTCGTTGGAGAAATCGAGAAGGTCGTCGATTCGAAGTAAGTCTGAGGAGCCATAGACGTCCATTGTTTAGGAGTTATGATTGAGGGAGTACGCTCTTGCAGACTCTCTGACTCTGTCTCTGTCTCTTTCTCACTCTCTACGCTCTGTGACTGGTTAGAGTCTTTAATAGTGGAGATAATGAGAGAGAGAGAGAGAAAGAGGAAGAGGGCAAGAGAACGTGCAGAGAGAGTGACCATGCACCGTGAGTGAACCGACTCGACTTATTCACTTCTCATTTCTTTTTATTATTACTATTATTTATCATCATCTACCTTTTTTTCTATTCCTTCAAAGAAAAATTAAACAAAAATGGAGTTGAAACTGTTAGCTGTTGAAATGCTCAAACTTATACTATTAGTTACATAGATACCTCAAATTAGCTAAACAAGGTTAGATTAATTATACAATCGGCACCACAAAACTAAGTATATGAATTGGTAGTGGTCAATATCTACAACATTTCTTATGACTGAAAGATTCTTGATCGAAATCTAAGCTAGTCTGGAAAGTTTGCGGAAAAGTCCATATTCTAGATATTTAGTGCGTTTACTAGAAAGCAAACTCAAAGCTTAACATGTCATACGATGATATTTTATAAAAAGACCAGCATAACTTGATTTTGCAAACGTAGTTTTGTTTGTTGATTTTCACCTTTTTCTCTTGTGATTCCATTAAAATAAAACTTGACTAGGACAACATATATACATTATGATATTAGGGGTTTTCGGTAACTGTTTTGGTGTTATTACGTATGTTTTGGAGGTTAGAGGACATATGGTTTAAGCTGTGAATTTCAAGTTATCTAAGGCCACTCAAGTTTGAGTTACATCTGATGATGATAAGTAGAGCTATTTGTAACATCACACACAATCCATCAGTGGTTTGATAGAATTTATTTTATAAACTTTTAGTTTTGAGAGAACGAAGACTCTTGTTGCCTACTGTAGATATTTCTTCTTTTCACTGAGTTTATAAGTTCATACTTTGTTATTTTTTCCTATTACAAAAACATGTTTCCGGTCATCATATATACGTCTCTTTCATTGCTTCTGTACTAACGTATTATGTACGTACTATTCAGTGGGTCTATCTGTGTTCTTTTTCTTTCAAATAATCATATTTTGGCTACGTTTGAAATTTTTGAAGATGAAGATAAACACATGTACCGAAACTAGCTAAATTTGACAATTTGCTCTTCTCATCATGTGCTATAACATTATGCTCCATTCTCCAACTAACTTAGGCGTTTACACAGGCATCGATTCATATACTTAAATTATGAATTTTATTATCAGCTGTATAATAAAATTAAAGTAATTTCATCTACAGAATATATGCTGCAGACGAATCATGTAAGAAGGCCAGTTAATCTGAATTCTTCTATTTTACGAGTAAAAGAGTTGTTCGGCGGATAAAATTATTGATTAACTTCTTCTTACTCTCTCTCTCTCTCTCTCGTTTTTTTTTTCTTTCAAATATATACATAGGCATATTAACACATGCTTTATGGTATGTACCGACAATTCTTGTTCTTGACCTATCCACACAAGTTCTAAAGATAAATTATTTTCATCTTTTACGAAAATTAAATAAACGAATGAATAAAGGAAAAGATGAATTAGCCACGTGGCTGCATGTGGGGGCCATTAAAATTACAAAAGAAGAAGAATAAGATGATGAAATGAAAATATTTGTGGAAAGAACCTCATAAGTTCTAATGTAATCTTTATCTTTGATGTTGAACATGCTGTGTAGTACTTGCGAGTTGCGATGGCCCTACCAAACGGGAAACTAATTGCACGGAAAAAGTAATATTTTCTCCTTTTTTAAGAATCTACACAAAACGAAATGAAAAATATGGGTTTAGTTAAAGAGAATGAGAAAGAAACGGGCCGTGTCGTGTGACGCTTGCTAGGGTTTATCACATTAAGATAGATTTTAATATATAACCAAATTTTTGGATTAACATTTGTTAATTTGTTTACTAACAAAGTGACTCCCCACAAGTGCCCAACCCCACTGCACATTCAGCATTAAGTAAACACGATGGCACGGAACGAGAGGTACCTATATGAGATATTTGTTTTTTACTATTTCTTTATCAATTCCGTTTTTAATCGTTTTCACTTACTACCGACAGTGTCTTTTCCAGCTGCCACCTTCTTCTTGGCTCAGAAGGTTCACTTTCTTACGTGGTACATTCCATTTTACTATAGTTTACAGTAATTATATCATTATTTTTATTTTTTTGACCAAATATTATATCATTATTTACCATGCAAAAATTAGATATTTGCTGCAATAATTATATTCCCAAAACAAAAATAAAATATAGAGAGAGAGGAAGAAAAGCAACTTAAAGGAAGTACATCGACGTACGTACGGTGGCACTATCTTTTCGTTAGTCCCCTCTTCCTCAGTGAGAGCCTCTTGTTTTGGTCTAATATTTTTATTTAAAAAAAAAAATTATTGTAATTTTCTCAACGAAATTTTGACTTGCGGATTTGATGCCCTCGAAATGTTGTGGTCTCGTGACTCTACTAGTAGTGGAAGTAAGCAAGTGACCACTAAGAACGCTTGTAACTCGCATATGTTAATATTATTATACATGTAACCACGAATATATATGCATTATTTGATATGTAATTATATACTAATCTTTTTTTTTTTTTGGTTTATTCTTTTGATTTTTTGTTTCTTGAATCACGTGACGTGACAGAGGACGGTGATCCCAAAGTAAACAGCAAGAACACGTGCGGCCTCATGTGCCCATAATGACACCGAATATTATTATATGAGTTCTTCTCTAACAACACTCGAACTTTTTTTTTTTTTTAAGTCAAATTTTAGAAGAAAAATATTACATATACATAAAAGAAAAGAAGTCTTCTTTTGTTTTAGATAATATAATCCCTTCTGACGACTAACATGCAAATATGATAGACCATATGCTCTTCCTTTATCCCTCTTGTCCCCTTCTTTAATATTTCTAACTTTTCAAATTTAGTGTTTACCACAAACTTTTTTTACATACAATACAACTAACTCATTTCACATTATATCATCAAGCAACACTCAAGAATTGTAGTGGCGATCTGGTTCTAGAGAGTTCCTCTAATTCAAACTTCAAAGTCTTTATTAAATTCATATACGTACCTCCCTACTACATGTACCTAGCTAGCGAAGAAAAGAGATGAGTCAACGACTTAAATGGATTTATAGAAAGAAAAAAAAACAGCGTACATAATACAAAAGAAGATAACGTATAAGAGATTTGGCTTTGTGACCAAACAAAAGATAGGTGTTAAGCAATAATTTGTCAAATGAACTATAGATTCTGCGCCCCTAATGTTGGGAGCCAATGAAGTTGAAGATTATGATTTAGTTTGGATGAGAAAAAGGGTGACTTACATATACGCTTGTCCGTCTCAGCCACCGAAAAAGAAATTAGAAAAAATATCTAGAATATAGTTTTACAAATACGGAAAAACTCTGCAGTACACAAAATTATAGTCAAATCCATCATAAATTATGTACTGTTACAGCTGAAATATTTTAGGCTCCTATGTTTTTCTCCCAAGTTTAAAAACTAACCTTATTATAGAAAAACTATCCAAAATTGGTAAAAATGATCTGATACCAAAACAAGTTTGATAATTTTTCATGTTAAGAAACAATAGGAATAGTTAGTCTTCTACACTAAAACATATTTCCCAATTATTGTGATTCGTAACCAACAACCCCAAAAACGATAGAGAAGAGAGAGGGAAAGCGATATAACCAGGCCGTACCGTTAATATGATTATGGGCCGTGGAGCCTACTTTCTGTTGAATGCGACAGCGACCACTGGGTGTAGATTATCCAAAGAAATTGTGTCGGAGAGCTCTTCATTTTTTTATTCTTGTTTTCTTATAAAAACTTTACTCTGCATATGTCTAGACAAATTTAAAAGTGTATTTGTCATTTTCCGGTTATATTTCGCTGACATTATACGAATTCTAAGCATTCTCTGGTGTCTTCGTAAGACTCCAAAGTCTATAAACCAACAACCAACCTAAATGTATTCAATTATTCATCACGTTGTAACATCTACCAGGCCGTGAATCTCGCTAGCCCATTTGTAATGGGCCTCGTAGTTAAAATACCAAGAGTGTGTCCACAAACGTAAACACAAAACATAAACCACTTTTAAGTTAACAAATAAAATCAGACAGCTTTAATTATTTTCCATTATCTGTCTGATTTCTATACATTTTGAGATTTTTTGTTGGAACTAATCGATTTTGTTTTTGTTTAAGGTAAAGAAGAAGTGACATAATCTACGAACCTAGAAATGAAGTAGACCTAGAACGAGAACAGTACTCAAAGTGGAGTAGATAAGTCCTTCAGACCGAATCATCGTACCATCTGCTAAATTGGTCGAAGTTTCCGACGCAAGTAAACCACTTAACGTGAAGTTAGGGTTTGTTCCGTACAAAGACTGTACTCCATCGACGTCATCAATATACAAATCCACTTTTTTACTTCTAGGCTTCAAAGTTGGATACATAGCCGCGTCTTTCACCGAGCTATGACCCAGCCCAAGCACGTGACCTATCTCGTGCACCGCTACAGACTCCAAATCGATCGCCACCGTCGATTTCTCCTTATCGAAATCGACGGCCCAAGTCTCTGCTTTGTCTAAATGAAGCCTACCGTTTTCCGGCGAGAAAGTGTGCGCTAAAACGCCTAGAACACCGTCGAACGGCTCTCCGTCACCGTGATCACCGCCGAAGAATCCGATTTTGATGTCTGCGACGACGTAATCCTCTGTTTCGATGAAGCTCACAGGGATCACCGAAGCCCACTTGCCGAAAGCGCGTCGGAACACGCGCCGTATCTCTGTTGGGGTTAAGTGAGGTGTGAGATTCTCCTGCGAGAAGGCGTAGGTGAGTTTCAGTGGGACGTCTCTTGTCCACCTGGGCCTTCCAGGGAAGTACACGTATTTTTGTCCTGTGTGAAACGCAGTCGTTTTGGGTTCCACGTCATCAGGGAACCCACATCTTGGTAATAGGATATGCGACAACGTGTCGGAATCTGGTTTCCCGGTTATCGGTAGACCGAGGTTTTTCTGGTAACGAGAGAGGGCTTGCTCGAACGAAACGGCGTCGGAATCGTTGTTGTTTCGTGGGAGATAACCGAACCGGTGAAGGTGACGTTTAATTTCCGATATATTGACGACGTCAGGGGATGGATTGATCGTAAACTGAGAAGGGTTTCGAGCTTCGATGGTTTGTGGATTATGGAGACTAAGATAGAGAAGGAAGAAGAAGGAGACGACGGTGATGGATTTGCGATTGCATGGATGATGATGCATGGTGTGTGTTTTTGGATATTGAAGAGGCGTGGAGGGAAACGCTTTGCTATAAATATATAAAAATATATTTTGGTTTAGTGGGTTTGGACCGTTTGGTTATTACAGTATTTGATTGTGTTTAGCTTAGTAGTAAGTTAATTAACTAACCAAAACACACCAAATTTTGATTCAACGAGTTAAATAAAATAAAGAAGAACCATATATTTATGTTGAGTTTAAGATATAAATTAAATAAAATCCGGAAACAATACATACTCTCCTTTGAATTGAGGATTCAACAAGAGCAGTTTTGGAGGTTGGAACGACTTCAGTGGTCGGTACTAGGTCATATTTGCTTTGGTGAAATTGATCTAAGGTTTGGTTTTTAAGAAAAAAAGGACCAAAAATTAGTTGGGAGTAAGAGTAACAACTAAACCGAAGGGCGTGATGGTAATTACATAGAGGTGAATGTCCTCATCACCAAATCCTCTTCAAGAAGATGAAGGAGTGGCTTTGAGATGAAGTTATAAAAGAAAAGTCTGAGCTAGTTCGTTGGTGACAGTTTCTTCTTTCCTTTCTCTTATTTGACGTGAATACGACTCTATGTCAATGATTCTCTAACGATTTTTGGTTGGCTTGTTTCTGACCTCATCTTATTAGATACAGAGAGATAATTTTAGAAATGCTATAGTATTATTACATCAATTTCTGTTGAAACACTATGTTTTACCATGTGACTGGTGGTTGTGGACCAAGAGATGGGATCAATAATACTACCAAAAACTGTTACCTACCCTACAAAGTGTCTGAAGAGCTACTAGGCCAATAAGCTTAAAATAGATTTTTGGACAAAGCCCATAAGGCATTTTATGCTGAGTGATTCTGGGTCCTTGTGTGAACCGTATAAAATAATGTTGGAATAGGAAAGAAAAATGTAGACGTTTATCGTTTGATTCAAGGTCACAAACCCGTAATATCGAACTATTCAGTTGCTTTGGTGGCGTTGTAGGCGTTGACGAGCTCTTTCTGGACTTCGTTAGACACAGCAGAGTGTTCTTTGTATTCCATCGTGAATTCTCCTTTTCCCTGTTCATATACATAACAAAAAAAGTATGTATATTTATCCAACATCTCTTCATAATGTTCAACGATTATGATGGTGGTGATATTAGTAGTACCTGTGTCATGGAACGGAGAGAAGTGGAGTAGCCAAACATGTTGTTCAAAGGCACCTATTAAAAACCAACATATTTACATGTTAATAACAGATTCAAGATTGTAAAGGATTATAATTTAAATAGTAAGAAACTGAGATTCTCACATGAGCTTGGATCACTGAATCGTCACCCTCTTGATCGTTTCCAACGATGATACCTTTCCTCCTGAAAAAATGGAACAAGATTGAGTTATTACAAACTAATATGAGAACTAAGGAGAAAAAAGTGTTTTGTCAAATGGGTTTAAGGGTTTTACTTGTTGATGTCACCAGCAACAGTGCCCTGAAACTCTGTTGGTACCTTCAGCTCCACCAACATGACAGGCTCTAGAATCACCGGTCTAGCCGCTGTGTAACACAGCCTGAACGCGTATATCGCAGCCATTTTAAACGCAAGCTCGCTGGAATCTACTGCGTGTGAAGCTCCATCTGTCAATACTATTCTTAAATTCTCTACAGGGTGGCCAATTAGCGAGCCCCTGCAACGGATATTACAATCAGTAAACAAAACATGAAAGGAGAATCCAAAAGGTCAAAAAGAGAAAGAACACTCACGAGTTAGCAGCTTCTTTGAAACCTTTCTCAATTGCTGGAATGAAACCAGACGGAATCGCTTGTCCAACAATCATGTTTTCAAACTCAAACTTCTCTTTAGATCCCGGTGGTAGCGGTTCTACGTACCTAACAATTATCAGAATTTAAGCAGACTTCGTTAGGATTTGGTTTAAGAAGAGATCCAAAATCACTATCATTTAAAGTCTTATCAGTTTTTGATAACTCACCCTGTAACTCTACCGTACTGACCAGCTCCTCCACTCTGCTTCTTATGTAGATAATCAAACTCAGCTCGCTGAGTAATAGTCTCTCTAAAGTTGACACGTGGTTTGCCGACCGTCGCATCAACCTTATATTCTCTCCTGATGCGTTCAACATAAATGTCCAAATGAAGTTCACCCATACCAGAGATAATCGTCTGTTCCATTAAAGATAAATGGAAGAAACATCAGTTTTTGAACACTATGGATTAAAGAGAGAGAGGTGAAGAGAAGCAACAAAGTTCTTGAGATGATGGTACCTGGCCACTCTCGGGATCCAATCCCACCCGGAAAGTGGGATCCTCTTTCTGGAAACGATTTAATGCTTTCGAGAACTGGACACATGAAAGTAGATTTAAGTTAGAAGGAAATGTATTGAAGTTGTGTTTTTAGCTACAAAGCAGAAAGAAGATACCTGTCCTCCAGAATCTTTTGAAACCGGTTGAACAGCTAAGGACATAACAGGTTCAGGAACACTCATTGATGTCATTGTGTACTTCACTGATCCATCCGTGAATGTATCGCCTGGTTAGTCATTGACGCAAGAAGAAGCATAATGAATGTGAGTATCTCATCCCCAAAGAAGAAAAAGTGTGAACAAGTATAGAGGAGAGTTTTCTACTGTACCTGATGCACACTCGATACCAAACACAGCTACGATTTGTCCAGCGTGTGCCTCTTGTATATCCTGAAAACAGAGTCAGCTTTTAGAATTTGACTAGACAGGGTGCCACAACAGAGCTACCATAATGTAATCTTAAAGGAGAAAAATAAACATGACTAACCTCCATATCATTAGAGTGCATGCGGACCAGGCGTGGAACCTGCACCAAGAAACATTAAATAACATTTCAGTATGACAGGGATAAGAGAACTATAGTTTTTGTGATTTTGGTATAAAGTTATGCATGAGACTTCATGGCACTGAAAAAACTCAAACCAATACTATAAGTTCCATAGACTAACCTTTATTCTCTTTCCAGTATTAACATTTATGATAAAGTCACCCTTCTTAATCACACCTTCGTATACTCTTCATTAACAAAAGACAAAAGAAGCTGAGTTAGCATTCAGATATTCCCAAATTCTTTGATACGAATATTAAGCATTTACCTTAGATACGTCAGCTGACCAAAACGTCCCTCCTCCAATTTAAAAGCGAGTGCCACCAGAGGTCCATCTGGAGACCCAGTCAAGGTTACCTGAAAACTCATTCCTTTAGAACCCAATCTATTTTTTCACTTAAAAAAGTATGGCAAGTAGAGTGTACCCTCTCTTCGTTATTGTTCTGGTCAAGAGCATAGTTATTGACTTCAGTTGGACAGGGGAGATAGCTCAGTACACCATCTAGTAATGGTTGTACTCCCTGCAACAAAAAAAGCACAGAGCACGCCAAATGTTTATATCCAAATGGTAAGTGAGAATACAATCAGAAGTTGCACATATATCATCTTGATATCCAAAGAAGCAATTACCTTGTTTTTGAATGCACTACCCATAAATACAGGAACAAATTTTTGTGCTAAGGTAGCTCTGCGAATAGCTTCCTGCACACATACACAGCAGGCCAAACCAAAGTTACAGTAACAAAACTGCAAGTATAAGAGTAATAATATCTAAATGTAGCAATTCATGGACGCTAGGCAATGGCTAAGGCTAAGAGCTGCACCGCATGATACTGTATAACATTCCCTCAGCATTTATCTCAGTTTATGTAAAATCAACTAACTAAACACCTTAAAGCTGCCAACAATATCTATCTCAGGAACCATCTTTTTCTATTTCATTCATGCAAAGTTTAGTGTCAATGTGCTCGTATCTATGTGCTATAGCAGAAATTGCTACCAAGTTATATCACAAACACCATAAGGACAAAGAACACAACCTCGAGTTCAGTAGCAGTTACAGGCTCATCATTCAGAAACTTCTCCGCGAGTACATCATCAACTTCAGAGACAACCTCTATCAATTCTCGCCTCTTCTCCGCAACCAAATCTTGCATATCAGCAGGAATATCACCAGCCACAACATTCTCTCTACAAATTACAGACAATAAAAAACGTCACAACATAAACATACGCCACACTACAACATAAGCAATTATAAAAAATATAATTAACACAAACCCGCTTGATCCATGGAAGAAAAACGCCTGCACTTGAACAAGGTCAATAAGACCCTGGAAGTTCTCTTCTAGACCAATCGGCACTTGCACAGCTGCACTATGATGTCGAAGCTTAGCTCTTGCCTAGTAAGTTACAGAAAATAAAAAGTTACCTATCCAGTAAAAGCTAAATCTTCCCATAGAAAAGTATCGAAATGATGATGATGAAAGGTTACACACTTGGTTCAAGACTTTCCATGGATCTGCTCCCATTCTATCAAGCTTGTTGATAAAAGCGACTCTCGGGACTTCGTATCTCCTCATTTGCCTGTCGACTGTAATAGACTGACTCTGCACACCACCAACACTGCATAGAACCAGGATCGCTCCGTCTAGTACACGTAAAGCTCTCTCCACTTCTATGGTGAAGTCAACATGACCAGGCGTATCAATAATATTAACCTGAAAGTGAAATTGAATACCATTAAGATGCGATTAAGTAAAAGAACAGAAACTTAAACTCTGAGTGTTATTCAATTAAATTTCTAAAACCCACACGATTTTGGAATAAGAAATCAACAATCACAGAATTGGAGGAGGAATCGCTATACACTCACCTTGTAATCCTTCCAAGTACAGTAAGTGGCGGCGGATTGGATGGTGATTCCTTTCTCTCGTTCCAAGTCCATGGAGTCCATTTTAGCGCCGACGCCGTCTCTGCCTCTGACTTCGTGGATCTCATGGATCCGACCCGTGTAGAACAGAACACGCTCGGTAAGTGTAGTCTTCCCTGAGTCTATGTGAGCTGAGATCCCGATGTTGCGAGACTTGTCCATGGATTCCTTCCACCATGGTTCCTTCTGATCCTTTGCCTCACGAGCAGCGCTTCCGGCTGAGAATTGGCGCAGCTGGAATTCGCCGGCTAAAAGTGCGGTAGTCGGAGAAGACGACCGTTTGTTTGACGAGAAGAGTCTCCAGAGGAGATTAGGCGTCGGAGATGTCGGAAATCTCCCCATAGCTTTGAAGGAACGAGGGTTTTAGGAAATGGGTTTGAGTGAGCTTTTAGACGACATAGTCTGCTAAAAATTGAAAAAGAAAAAAAAAAAGATATTTTGTTCTTGGCGATAAAAAACTATCACACCCGGTGGGACTCGAACCCACAATCGTTTGATTAGAAGTCAAACGCCTTATCCATTAGGCCACGGGTGCTCTTTGTTTACTTTTACATCTTTAATTTTAAATATTAATAACGAAATCTTGCAAGAAATTACAGATTGCTTCATTTTGATTGCGACAAAGAAAAGAAAGATTACAGATTGCAGTATAGTGATAAGATAACCAATTAGTCATAGTGTCCATCCATAATAATAACGATTAAGTTCCTGATCCGAAGAGATTCAATGACCTCAAAAATTAAGTTCTGTAAACTGTAAAAGTACTAATAAACTTGTTCTTATAACAAACTTGGATCTGTAAAACCTAAGAGGCAACAGAATCAGCTGGTACGAAAACTTCTCTGCACAGAACCAAAAACAGCTTAAGAGTAATAAGCAGCAGAGAGATTATAAGGAACGTTTTTTTTTTCCTATAGAGGGACCATCTCGAGATCATTGTGTTGGCTTTTGGCAGACGATGGAGATGAAGATGATGACGAAGATGAAGACGAAGCATCTTTTCTCTCTTCGGTGTTCATGGCTTGAACTGGAGGAGGATCCATAGTAGTTGATGATAAAGCATCTGCATCAGAAAGATGATTCTTCATCTCCCTGTGTTCTTGACACAACGCACACCAATGCAAGCAACAGTGGACCATGCAATGATCACAAGGCGCATTCTGCAAGAAAATCACAAACGAGAAAATCAGAGATCATATCTGAAACATATATATACGAGAATGATCTTGGTGTTGGGATTTTATATACCCTGAGATGATATTTCTTTTGGAGTTCTTGGCGGAACAAGCCTGAATAGATTCCACACATCCACCAGGCAAAGAAGAGGCCTTCGCATATCACGACTGTGGTTTGTGGATCAATGTAGCCACCGAAGAGCGCGGTTAGTGCTGCAAGTGTCATACCTCCTTCAACACATATCGCATGGCACACACATGGTTGGGTCCATGGAATCTCTTCCCTCACAGCTTCAATGTTACGCCCAAACAACACACAGGGGCAAAAGAGACCAGTCCTGCCTGCAAAATCATTCAAGAGCAACGGGTCAAAGTAACCCTTCTCAGTTAATCATCTCCCATCAAGTAAAAAAAATGCTTAAAGATCATCATATGCATGGAGAGTTAAGAAAAACAAAGAAGAAATCATATCTTACAGCTCTCTGGATCTTCAGCACAGCCGAAAATGCCGGTGGTCCAGTTTTCATCAGAAGGGGGTTCATAGGTTTCAGGTAGGACTTGCATACATTCATGGCACTTGCGAACATTCAACTGTAAAACAATTTCAAACATTACAAATACAGTGGAGAGATTTGTAATACATGACTTATATTCAGCTCAGCTGTATCAAATGGAACACTACAATGAGTCACATTATCGCGTCCAGTAACAATGAGAAGAAGCTTTTAATCAGTGTTGAAACCAAAAATCCCAAAACGAGTAGTCCCAAAAAGAAATCTCTAAGGCTAGTGTCACAAATGATACAGATAATTTTGTGTATCACATCACATCAAAAGGATCTAGTGCACGAAGGATCACGAAACCATCCAAAATGGAGCAGAGACTAGTTACACTCATCCTCAATCAAACATAATTACGATTCTATCTCCTTCACCTAATCAAGAGGTCTAGATCAACACAACTAACAATCCGAATCAACAAGAACTCTGTTATCAAAATCATCAAAATCGAAAATACTCCCGATTAGGATACAGATCTGAAGGAATAGTTGAAGGTGCGAGATCGGGGTTCGCTATAAATGAGCGCAGAGAGAGAGAGAGAGAGAGAGAGAGAGAGAGAGAGAATCTTACCTGAGGAACATCAATGGGCTGATTGAGTTCGCCGGGCGTGATATCTTCGTCGACAGGAGCCTGCTCCTTCCTCAATTTCACGTAACGCGAAGCGGCGTTTCCCTCCGCCATGGAAATCGCTCAAGAATGTAATGCGAAGAAAAGGTATAATCTATGAAGAAGATTTGGATCGTCCCCACGCGAAGAACTGGGATTTCTCTAACGACGTTTTGTTTCGAAACGCGTGAGTCGTCGTCGTGACTCGTCTAATCCATGTGAGGAAAGTCTTTGATGAAAGAAATCTTTATAAATAAAGGACAAAATCTTTAATTAATGGACGTCATTTTGTACTTTTATCCACTTAAAGCGGTGTGCATTAAAAAGCTCTCTTGCGATGATGACTAATGGAAAGTATGTAATTAAGTTTTGATTTTCAACAATAAAACAGTCAATCAATCAATATCCAAATGATACAAATCTTTTTAAGGTACAAAATCTTGAAGGTGTGAAGAAGATATTCATGTAACATTATCAAGACATCCAGTGCTTTGGAGCCATCATCAATTCACGGTCTGCACCAGAACCTTGAGATGCGATATTTTGAATCCGAGAAGAGAATTCCTCTGCCTGTTCAATGATTTTTTAAGTTAAAACACAATTGTAGGTTAATGAAACAAGAACCAAGTTTGATTGTTCAAGATCACAAAACTTACTTTCTCATCAATCCACATTAAGGAACTGAGTTGGTTGTTCAAGATCCTCACAACTACATCCACTGGACTCATCCCATCAATTGCTTCAAGCTCTCCTCCCTATTTCAACACACAATAAAGTTTATGTTATGACTTATGATGCATGTTCACAGGGGAAAAGGAATAGTTATATGATAAGTTTTCACGATTCACGCACCTGGTTTGCATTTACGGATTGTATAATCGATCTGATTTGTTCAGTCATATGCTCCAATTCTCTTTCTACTAGCTCAGACTGTTCATACCTGAAATTAAAAACCAAATATATTGTAAACCATATATTAGGCTTGAAAAAATGAATAAAGAATATGATGGTGGAAAGACTTGAGAGTTCTCACATTGCATCTCTTGTTGAAGCTGCTTCATCGTCAAGAAGAGACTTCCGCTCGTCGTTATATATACGCTCAGCTGCTTCCTCCATGCTTTGCAAAGCCTTGTCAACCTTAAAACACAAGTAGAGAATTCAGATGATTAACACAGTGACTTTGGTTATTGACTCATTTACAGATTCACAAAAGAAAATAATAGTTTTACTACTGCATACCTCTTGCTGATGAGTCTCGATTAGTTCCAGCTGTCGTTCCAAGCTAGATTGTGTTTCAACCACTTTCGCAACTTCAATCTGTTTGTTGAGCAAGGACACAAAAAAGGATGAGCTAACTATATCAGTAGAGGCCTACGTGAGCTTAACATACAAAACCAGATGTGTGCCTACAAATGTCTATGAAAGATTGTAAAAGAGACTCCATGATAGAACAAAGGAATTTCACCTCAAGCCTCAGAAGAACATCACGGTTCTGCAAGATCCGCTTATCCCAGTCTGCTATAGCATTCGCCTGTTTTCGGAATCTCGCTGTACGCTCTTGTAGCTCAGTATTCCACTCCTTGATAATCTTCAAACGCCAAAGAAAATCATTTCAATACTATATCAAAGTATAAAATGCACCAAAAAGGATAAACCCAGAAGAAGGTAAATATATCCACCTCCTCCACAGTTTTGCCAGTTATCTCAGATGGCAACTTAGGAGGACCAGCCACTGGAGCTGCAAGACTTGTGCTTGTCCTATTACAAACAAGAAACACATCACACGTAAACGCCAGGAAACAAAGGGAGTATATATATTTCTTAGGAAGAAAACTAAAAATGAGCATACCCATTACTCGCAGCCACAACAAGAGATGTCTGTGTCGTAGTAGTAGCAGAAGTGGTAGAGGGAGCAAGCGTCGAAGTAGAAGACGGAAGACCTGAACAACAATAAGTTTTTCATAAGAACTAGCATAACATTTGATCGCTAAAACAAACAGCGAAGGCATCTATGTATATATGCAGTAGTAAACCATAGATTAAGGTAGAGCAACTACATCGATCACATCTCTATCAATAACCTCCATAATTCTCTAGATTCTAATTCCTTTTCATCGAAGCAAACGGGATAAGATCAAATCACAACAAATCCTGAGACAAAGATGATCCGACTTACTGAATGAGAATGCAGAGCTAGTAGTTTGTGGTTGTGAAGATGATACAGGAGTTGATGATGTCTGCGGTACAGCAAAACCAGTGAAAGAGCTAGTCGTAGTTCCAGCGGCAGAAGTCGAGCTATTAAAACCAAATCCTGTAGCAGCAGAAGTAGCCGGAGTGCTGTTGGTTGCAGATGTACCCACGCCGAAAGAAGGGAAAGTCGTTGTAGAAGCTGCAGCTGAAGATGCTGGTGTACTATTGGCAGCAGGAGTTGAAGAAGAAATAGTTGTGGTAGTGGTGGTGGTTGCAATGGAAAACAGTGCTGGTGATGTGGTAGATGCAGGGGCGGTGCTTGCCGTTGAAGGATTAAACCCCATAGAAGGTTGAAAGCCTGAGCTTCCAGGTGTACCAAATGAGAATGAAGAAGAAGACGAAGAGGAAGATGATGAAGCCGTTTGTGAAGGAGAGATTGTAGGCGCCAAGAAAGAGAATCCTGTAGAAGCCGAGGCAGGCGTGGGATTGGTTGTAGTAGAGGATACTCCAAACGTGGATGGTGAGGAAGATGTTGCGCCTGACGAGGATGACGCAAAGAGAGACTGTGTTGAACCAGCTGCCGAAGACGATCCGAAGATGGACGGTGACGAACCGGTGGCTCCAAATGGGGTCGGTGAGGATCCAGAGGCTGATAAGGAAGCGCCAAAGATGGACGGTGTAGAGCCGGTGCCTGACGAGGACGCGCCAAAGATGGACGGAGTTGAGCCGGTGCCTGAAGAGGATGCGCCAAAGATGGAAGGTGTTGGGGCGGTGCCTGAAGAGGATGCGCCGAAAAGAGGAGCAGTTGGAGCAGCGACGGATGAGGATGACCCGAAAAGAGGGGAATTTGAGGCGGCAGCAGATGAAGGAGCGCCGAATGAGGAAGATCCAAAGAGGGATGTTGAACCACTGGCTGGCGCTCCGAATAGAGATGAAGACGGAGCTGAGGAGGAGGAGGAGGTTCCGAAGGGAGTTTGTGCTGAAGCAGTCGCAAAAGAGGAAGTAGCAGGCTGAGAGGCCGATGAATTTACGAATCCGAAAGGAGAGGAAGCGGGAGCAGCTGCAGAAGCATTGGTAGATGATCCAAACATTGACGGAGCAGAGGCGGATGAAGAAGCGGCGGTTCCGAATCCAAAAGAAGAGGAAGCCGGAGCGGCTGCAGAAGCATTAGTAGATGATCCAAACAGTGATGGAGCAGAGCCAGATGAAGAAGCGGCGGTTCCGAATCCGAATGACGGAGCGGAAGCAGCAGAGGAACTGAACCCGAAACCGGTGGATGAAGGGGTTCCAAACCCGAATGATGGAGTAGTGGAGGAAGCTGGAGCCGATGCGGTGGAACCGAAGCCAAATCCGGGAGCACCAGTGGAGGAAGCTGGAGCCGATGCGGTGGAACCGAAGCCAAATCCGGGAGCACCAGTGGAGGAAGCTGGAGCTGATGCGGTGGAACCGAAGCCAAATCCGGGAGCACCGGCGGAGCTAGGGTTTGAGGACTGGTTGAAGGAGAAAGCTAGAGGGGATGTGGTGGATGAAGTTGTAGAGGATCCGGTGGCGGAGGAAGATGCGAACGAGAATCCTCCACCGGAATTGGATTGACCGAACGACGACGGGAACCCAGACATTGCGATTCTCTCTTTATTTTCCGATTTTCCCTATTCTCTTTCACTGGCTTCGCTCTTCTTCGCCGGCGTTTAAAAAAAAAATTAAGGGGTTTTGCAGAACCTCTTTTGCACAGAGAGGCTTTTAAGGAACTTGGAGCGTATAGTCAACGCAACATGTAGATTTTGGTTTATGGTCAAACGAGAGGGAACAAACAAACAAACTAATAAATAAAACCTTCAGTAGATTTTGGTAATCTAGGCCCAGCCCAATAAAATACGATGACGTGTACAAAAGGACGAGTTATATTTCTCGTAAAAGGGTCCACGTAAGCACATGTAAATAACACAACTACAACTAGTGTGAATACTTTGCACTATACTAATAACAGCAAAATACAATAACAATGGCTTCTGGTCGGAATAATTTCAACACCCTTTTCTTTACAAATTTCCTAACAAAATAAAATTTCATAAAAATTGCTAACTATTTTACGGCCAGTGAAACTAAAATGAATCATATCTACAAATGTCAATCATCGCTAGCCCATAAACCGTGAAACCCCATTGGAAACGTCAAATTCCTCGGAACCGCTAATCTCGCCACGACCGCATCGGATTCACCGATCTTCTTAGCATCCAAAATCACAAGGTAACATCTCTCCACAGAAACCGCATACTGTAACGAAATAATAGATAAGAAATTGTATAAAATAATAATTCTTTCAATGGCATCTTATGAGAAAAAATGAAGACAACAAGTATTATAGATAGATGTACCTCGACGACGACAATGTAACCATCGTCTTCATCTTCTTCGTTGGAGCTTCTAGGGACAAACATAGGCTCACCAACGAATCTCCTAGCTCCGGTATTCCAAGTACGGACCACATTTAACTCCAAATCAAACTTCACGACCATGTCGAAAGGGAAATGAGGAAGTTCACGTCGAGTTCCTGAAGAGGCTGCACAATACAAGTACTTGTTCTTTTTGCCAGACCAGGTTGAGTTTACAACCGGAAAATCTGACGGCTTGTTCCAATCGTTTAATGGCTCTACGTCACAGCTCTTGCAGTTTCCGATAGCGTCCAAGACCATAGACACCTTAACTAGATGAGGGAGTAGTTTGTCGTCGCCTCGATTTAGATTCATAACAGAAGGATCCAGCTTCTTCTTTTGCCAATCGTAACCTGCAAGAATTGAAAAATCAATCTCAATACTAACGTTTAAACATATAGCTTGTGAAGTTATTACTAGATGTCATGACTCACGAGAGTGAGAGGTGTAGAAATAACTTACCAAACATTTTCTTGAAATCGAACCAACGGTAAGAGCAAGCAGAAGCTTGTATCTGAATCTTTAAATCGCCGTTATCTTCCCTAGTCTCGTAAGCGTTTCCAGAGTGAATTAGCCATAACTGAGAAGACACCTCCACAGGAAGTCTCCAATCTCTATCTCCAATAGATTTGTCGGAAAATCTAGGGAGGATATAAATCGGAGAACTCTCGTTACTTGGGTTCAACGATAAAGCTGACACCATCGGTGACATCCCACACATCGCCGCCATGGAACCTGAAAATATATATACCCCATATCAGATTCCTTGCTACACAAGTCTTAATTATGTATTCATTTTGTAAAGAACATAAGTCAGTTAACAGTTTACCAATCGGATTAAGCTTGACTCTGTTGGCAAAGAGTATGTAGTGAGTATCTGTGAAAGCCCAATCATGGATCATCATATGATCATGGATCTTGAATTCTCTCGTTTGTATCAACTTGAACTCCGAATCATACTCTAAAAAAAAAAACATTTTCCGGATCCGTTACAATAATATTCCAAAATTATGATATTTTTATTAATAAAAACCAACAGATTATTTACCGCAGAATGTGAAGTTGCTACGAGGTAAAAGCATATCTTCGGCGTTGCAAGTCACGGTTAAAAGTCTATTTCTCCGATCGTCGATTTTGTAATGTGACAAGAACCGTTTCGGTGGCATCTTAAACACACCTACATAAAACAATTTTAAATTTAAATTTTTACGTAAACTAGTTTTTTCGCCGCTGTCTGAATAAAGGACTACATACTTTAATTTAATTAACTTTACTTTAGCACAAAACATTACCTTGAAGTATGGGTTTCAACAAATCTGCGGCTGTGTCCCATATATCATGACCAGCAAAATCTTTGTCGGACGAATCATCATCATCATCAACAGCATCACAGCCGTTGATCGCGACGTTAAATCTCCCGACGGTATCCAACGATCCAGATTCAATCTCGTACGGCTCACCACCTTCCCATAAACAAAGCAACCGCCCCGCCCATTTCAAAACGCTGGTATTCGCCACGTTTTTCATCACCTTCGTGTTTCCAAACTTCTTCCCGCCTTTTAGCACCGAGAACGGTCCTCTGTGAGTGAACTTCCACGTGTCAGTCACTGGATCGTGCTCTTCTTCTTTAGCTTCCGTTTTTACGTACTTGGCCGTGAACGTCGCTCTCCGTTTGTTTCCGTCGATGTGAAACGCACGGAGATAGCCGTGACCGTCGAGTGGATGGACCGTTGACCCGTGGTCGTCGGTAAAAAGTCCTGGACCGGCTAAGTAATACGTACCGGATGGGAAATCAATCGGTATGGAGCCTTGGATTGGTTTAATCACGACCGGTTCGACTGTCTCGGAACGTTGCGACACGAATAAAGCTTGGTAGTCTCGAAAAGCTGATGTCGTGGAATCGTCGATATTGGTGGCGGTACGTCCTAAACCGGATTCCGGTATAGATATGGATATGGCTGCTCGTGGCGGTGCAAGCGGTGGCGGAGCTTGGTGATGATGAATCGGTGGAGAATTATGCGGTGGAAGAAATATTTTGGGCGGGATAGGGAAAGACATTTTGGTCAACATTTTTTTGTAATATGCAAATTATAGTATATAGTTTTATTTTTCATACACGCAAAGCACATGTTATATATAGAGTTAATACCCAAACAGAAAATAAATTACATAGAGTGAATAAAATTGGATACGTGGCTGTGTGCATGTTCTGCAACTATGGTGGGGTATAAAATGTTTGGTGATTTTGTGGAAGACATGAACAAATTTGGACATGAATAAAAAATTAGGAAATGGCAGACATAATACGTACTACGCCATTGCTTTTCCAAACAATTTTTTAAAAATTATATTAGTGTGATCAGAACTTGGAACTTTGGAAGTGAATATTAATATTGCGTCACACGACACATGTACCGTTAATCAATTAAAATCTGTTTAGTTGTTACTCATGAAACTTACAGAATTATTGCTAATATTTACTCATAATATTGAATTATTGATTATGAGAAATACGTTTACTAAGTACTAAGAGTAGAAGAGTGAAGCAGACAACAAGAACCGAGACGTGATCACCGACACTTGACAACTTGATCCTAATGATAGATATTGAGATTTTATGTTGTATGCATATGCCTTGTGGATGATTATGTTGTAATCAATTAACTTAAAATACTATTAACTAGTATAAGAGTTCCTTTTGTGTGTCAAGTAATAAGTAATACTTATACAAAATCTCCACTAACATATTGATTTCATTGGCTAAAACATCTAATATTTGTTTTAATGAAGCTTCAAATCGACCCACTTTCGATTATAATAAAATACTTTTGAGACTGAAACATTATTAAACGAATAGAGGAACTCATTATGGTTTCGGGTTTCAACGTTAAAATCATAGAACCCTCATTCATATGTCTTCAGTTTGGAGAACATTTGGAGACAAGTCTTCATAACAATGATCTTCAATAAACCATGTCAAACCATAGGGCGCCCATATTTTATTAGTTTATGCCATGGTATCAATATACATGTTTTAATAAAGTTCTGAATTTTATGAAGTTAGCTGGTTAAAGATTTGATAAATACGTGGAGACGATAGTTTTTAAGCCTAAACCGTTATTAACCTGGAGATTTGGTATGTAGTACTACTATTGAACTGTTTTGTAGAAAAACTCGAGAATATTTTATATATGAAATTTAAAATCTTGTAACACTTCATGATGCCATGAACAAAAAACAGTTGTCTAGCTCCAATTATTGTGATAGAAAGTCGTATTTCTTAGTTTCACGAAACCACTTTGGTGCGATCAGCCTATGAGATACTGACCAAATAATAGCGCAAAATCTGTGTCTACTTGTTCAAATAAACGAAGGGTTACATGAAATTATTCCAAGTCTTTCGTTGGAGTACGTAAGTTACATGGCCAGTCGAATCATATCTTCCAAGTATTATCCATATATATACACATATAAATACAATTTAATTCAATTTGAATAAGATCGAGGAATTCCCAACTTACTTATGGTATACGGCAAAAAAATGGGTGTGTGATATGGCGCATTGCGTTGAAACATAGACGGTGGATCTTTCGTACCACAAAGCACTCGAGAAGCTGAGAGTGAATGGAGGAGTAATGGTGGGAGATTAGTGGTAAACCAAAATATTTTTTAAAAAACTAAAGAGATCACTATGATTATAGGTTTGATTAAATGTTTAATATCTGACCAACGATGGAACTAAAGGTGATTGTCTTTGGGTCCCATGTGTCTGCTCTCATCATTTGAGCCGTCGATGCCGAATCTGCTGACGTCAGACATTCACACCACTTGTCCGTATTCTGGACGAAGCTCACTGATTATTTCCTCAAATGGACTTTCATAAAACAATCTTAGTATTTTCCTCATATGATATTTTTCTTTAGCATACAAAATCTCACAATTATGATAGCACTGAAACGATGTGTTTCAAGTTTCAACCATGTTTTGATAAATTTTCGAGTTTTTTTTTTTTTGTCGTCAAAACTCCATTGCAAAGCGAAAGATGTTAGCGGGATTGCCTGACGAAATAAATTTCCGAGTTTAAAATAATAAATTTCTGCTAATTACCAATTTGTTTTTGTAATTTCACACAAACGACGTCGTTGTATTGAGTTTCCATTTCAGTCTATGGTTCAATTTCCCGGTTTACCAATTCCGGTCCTCTGCCATCAAGCGGCAAATCGATTACACTGAAAAATTGCCAAAAGAGAGAATTCACCGCCAAAAGTCCCTTCCACGTCGTAGACGATGAAGTACGAACGGCGACTTGAAGCGGCGGCGAAAATCATACTCGCGGATGATTCGCAAGCAAGCCCCGCGCCTCCAGATTGCGCAGAATTCGGTGTCACGGCGACTCTAAAGCCTCACCAAGTCGAAGGAGTCTCTTGGCTTATCCGGAAATATCTTCTCGGCGTCAATGTCGTTCTCGGTAAAGTCTTCGATAAAAGCAACCCATCTTCGATTAATCACACCCATTTTGATTTTGTCGCTTCTTTCTGATTTCATTTGTGTTTGATTTCGATTGCAGGAGATGAGGTACTGCTTTGGTATCACAATGCTGTGTGATTGATTCTCTTTGATTATGTGTTCTCTGTCTAATCGAATCGAAGGATTGAACAGATGGGATTGGGAAAGACTCTCCAGGCAATTTCATTCCTGAGTTATTTGAAGTTTCATCAAGGATTGCGAGGGCCATTTCGTGAGTCAATCTCATCTGCTTCTTAACGCTTTCCTGATTTTCTCTGATTAATATGTTTGAGTAAGGCAATTTCTGCTTAATTTTGGCAGTGGTGCTATGTCCCTTAAGCGTAACAGATGGTTGGGTATCAGAGATAAATAGGTTCACTCCAAAACTTGAAGTTCTTAGGTATGTTGGTGATAAAGATTGCCGTAGGAATTTGCGCAAGTCAATGTATGAGAAGATTTATAAGGTAAGTGAGAGTCAAAAACTGGTCTTTTAAGCTACTTCTTATGAAACTTGTGATAAGCAGCTCTTTTTGTATTTATATCCTTTTTTTTTTCAGGGATCTTTGTTACCGTTTGATGTGTTGTTGACGACATATGATATAGCATTGATGGATCAGGACTTTCTTTCTCAAATTCCTTGGCAGTATGCTGTCATTGATGAAGCTCAAAGACTCAAGAATCCCAACAGTGTATGCTTCACTCACTTCACACATATAGTTGGACCTTGATAGTTAAAAACTCCTTTGGTTACTACTTAGGTTGTATGCGAAACTGGCTACATTGAACATTTGATACTAGACACTTATTTATGAAAAAAGCTTGGTTATTTTCACAGGTTCTGTATAATGTCTTGCTTGAACAATTTCTCATTCCACGACGTCTGTTGATAACTGGCACACCTATTCAGAACAACCTTACCGAGCTTTGGGCACTGATGCATTTTTGCATGCCACTAGTTTTTGGGACTCTGGACCAGTTCCTTTCTGCATTCAAAGAGACTGGGGAATGTTTATCAGGTTCGTTTGCACTAACCATATAGTACTCTAGCCAGATGTAGAAGGGATCAAGTAACATATGCATTCCCTCTGTGTCAAAAACAGGTCTTGAAGCATCAAATGTCAAGGAAACATATAAGAGTTTGAAGTTTATCTTAGGTGCCTTTATGCTACGGCGTACAAAGTCTTTGCTGATTGAGTCTGGGAATCTGGTGCTGCCGCCTCTCACGGAGCTTACTGTGTAATGTCATTGTACTTTGTTAAAGTATTTTAGGATGTCTGTGTAATGTCTCCACCTCTCACACTGTCTTTTTTCTTCCATGATAGAATGGTTCCGCTAGTCAGTCTTCAAAAGAAGATATATACCTCAATATTGAGGAAAGAGCTTCCAGGGCTTCTCGCACTCTCTACTGGAGCTTCCAATCATACGTCTTTGCAAAATATTGTGAGTTAGTCCCATGTTTATCATGAACCTCGCTCAACTTATTTCCTAAAATACTTTTGTTATATCCAGTGAAAGATATGCAGTTTTTTACTTACATCTGGATCTGTTTCCTTTGAGCAGGTGATACAGCTCAGAAAAGCATGTAGCCACCCTTACTTATTTCCAGGTATTGAACCAGAACCTTTCGAAGAAGGTGAACACCTTGTTCAGGTACTCCAAATGTTTACTAACTATCCAAACCATCATCGGTTACTATATGTTTTCACTTTCAGTGAATAAACTAACAATTGGGTTTCTGACAGGCGAGTGGTAAGCTTTTAGTTTTGGACCAACTACTCAAGAGGCTCCATGAAATTGGACATCGTGTTCTCTTGTTTTCCCAAATGACCTCTACACTTGACATTTTGCAGGTTTTCGTTATAGAGCTATTTTATTTTTCTGTAACGTCTGTGCAGCGTAGAATATACTTACTTGTAGCTTATACCAAATATACAGGATTTTATGGAGCTTCGCAAATATTCTTATGAGCGGCTTGATGGATCAGTACGGGCTGAAGAACGTTTCGCTGCCATAAAGAGTTTCAGCAGGAAAGCAGAAAGTGGATTGGATTCTGAAGCTGATGCAAGTAATGCCTTTGTTTTCATGATCTCAACAAGAGCAGGAGGAGTCGGCTTGAATCTTGTTGCTGCTGACACTGTTCGTTATTTCTTCCTTATAATTCCTTGCAGAAAGATACGTATGATTTTGTTTCTAGTGCTTATTCGAGTGTTCTTTTAAATATGCAGGTTATATTTTACGAGCAAGATTGGAATCCGCAGGTGGATAAGCAAGCTTTGCAACGAGCTCATAGGATTGGACAAATCAGCCACGTGTTGTCTATAAACCTCGTCACTGAACATACTATTGAAGAGGTCTGCGTAGTGTTTCCAATCACAAAGTCATCAAAGTCTGTTATTCTGTTTAATTTTTTTTAATGTGTGTGTGTGTGTGTGTTCAGGTTATCTTGAGGAGGGCAGAGAGGAAATTGCAGCTTAGTCATAATGTTGTGGGAGATAATACGGAAGAGAAAGAAGAAGATCGTGGTGATTTGCGGTCTCTAGTGTTTGGTTTACAAAGGTTTGATCCTGAGGAGGAGATTCACAATAACGAAGAATCTGATAACCTGAAAATGGTAGAAATAAGTTCTCTTGCTGAGAAAGTTGTTGCGATACGTCAAAACGTTGAGCCGGATAAGGAATCAAGAAAATTTGAAATGAACACTTTGCAAGGAAATAAATCATCATCTGCGAGTCTGAACTCAGAGCTTGATGAAGCTTCTTACCTTTCATGGGTTGAGAAACTGAAAGAAGCCTCAAGATCAAGCAAGGATGACGACAAACTTGTGGAGCTTGGAAATAGAAAGAACGTATCTGAGGAAAGACATCTGAGAGTTGAAGCTGCCAGGAAAAAGGCAGAAGAGAAGAAGCTAGCTACTTGGGAAGCAAACGGTTATCAATCTTTGTCTGTGGAAGAGCCAATTTCACCGGACGATGTTGAGTCCAGGTCAGATGCAGGATCTGTTCACTTTGTTTATGGAGACTGTACACATCCATCAACCGTATCTCAAGAGGCAGCAATCATATTCAGGTTAAACTTCATTCCGAATTAGTTCTACTTAAAAACTAAGTCTCAAAATGCTCTTTAACTTTGAAATATTGATTTTTGTGGCAGCTGTGTGGATGACTCTGGAAACTGGGGACGTGGAGGAATGTTTGATGCTCTGTCTAAAATTTCTAGTAACGTACCTGATGCGTATCACCGAGCGTCTGAATTCAAAGACCTTCATCTTGGAGATCTGCATCTCATCAAGATTGATGCAGATAATGATGACCAACAAAACACAGAAGAAAGTGAGCCTCTTTGGGTGGCGCTTGCAGTTACACAGTCTTACAACGCGAGGCGTAAAGTGCCTCGTAGCAGCATTTCGATTCCAGACCTTGAACGTTGCTTAGCCAAAGCTTCGTTTTCTGCTTCTCAGAATTCAGGTATGAACAAAACTTCATTGCTTTCTTCCTAAAACTGTTCCCAAAGAGCTTAACGTTTGTTTTTGTTCTTTCTATTCTGGTAATGTCTCTCTCTCTCTCTCTTCAAAAGCTTCACTTCACATGCCACGTATTGGTTACCGAGATGGATCAGATCGATCTCAATGGTACACTGTTGAGCGTCTTCTTCGCAAATACTCTTCCATCTTTGCCGTCAAGATATTCGTGTAAGTTTCTCTGTATATATTTCTTCTTCTTCCTCTATTGGAGAAAATCCGAAAGCAAACTCATATCCTCCATTTCTGTTGCTTTCTTGCAGGTACTATTACCGTCGTTCTCCTTGATGCTCTCAGCTCAAATCTCCAGCTCCTGTGCTACTTGCTCTGTTAACTTGTAGTAGTGACGTAGTGTAGTCGTTTTTGGTTCTGGATCCAACACGGTGTCGTTTTTGTTGTCGTGAGGCGTATAATTGGGCCTAGTAATGGCCCATTATTTCAGCCCATTTAAATTATATATTTAAAATATACAGAGCCTAATCCTTAATTCTACTCGACTCATGTGACCCGTCTCGTCTTGATCTATGAGCCAACTGTACACGTGTTGCGTCTCCACTGCCTCTTGTTCCACGCTCGTTAAATTGTTTGTGCGGTTATAAATCTCGTTTTTCTTTTTCCCCGCGGTTAAGAAATGAATGATCTGAAGCATTATTCGAAGGTGGCTCGTTGTGCGTATGTTTCGTTTTGATCCGACATTCCTGAAACTCCAGGTATCTTCTTCCTTCTTCCTCATTTCTGATTTTCGAATTCGTTGATCCTTCCTCCTCAATCGATTCTTCGCAATCGATTTTTTGGATTTTTAGTTTTGGATCAGGTTCGCAACCTTGTTTATTTGACGAATTCGTAAACGGAAGAATTTTAGGGTTCGGCGTAGATTGAAAACTTGAGCTTCCATTTTGCACTTGCATGTTCTCAATTCCTTAATCTCGCTTCCCGTTTTTTTTTATTGCGGAATCGAGACTCTTCCCGCTGGATTTCTATCCTTCACGTTATTCTCTCTTTGTTTATTTGTAATTTCGTCTGGGTTCGATTATCAAATCAACTCGGTGTTTGCTTTTTGTTGCTTTAGAAGGCTTAGTCTATGGAATTTAGGAAGAATTTCAGTTGTATTTAATTAGCAAGAGAAATTTTTGTTTTGCTGCTTTGATTTGACTCTGTGTTTTGTGTATGGTTTTTAGAAATTGATCAGAATGGGAGAAGCTGGTCAATCCAGAGAGGCAGAATCTACCACGCCTCTAGTTGTAAGTAATGTGGCCTAATGACTTCCTTTTTTACACTATTTTAGCTATCTATACTTGCTTTATGCTCATCTTAATAACGTTTTTTCTATATACGTAGAAGCAATTAAACCATGTATTGATTCAGCTGAGTCTAATAAGAGGGAATTAGTAATTGGTCGGTGAATTTCTATGTTGATTACAGGGCGGTGGAGCTGGGGACAATGTGGCTGCACCACAACTGTTTCAGTCTTTACCAGCTCTTAATGAAGCTACTTCTTATATAAACCAAGCCACTTCTTACTTGGGGAGCTGTTTTTCTGACTATTCAGGTACCCTTTTTCTTTCTCTCTGTTGGTTTTCTACTCCAAATTCATCTGCTAGGCTTTCAAAATGGATAAATGAGGCTTAGCATAATCCAGGATCTTATTTCTTCCAATGTTTTCTTCAGTCGAATATGGTGGTAAGGATTCATTTGATTCAATTTCCCACCCGCATGAGTTGTTACGATCAAAGTCAGGAGTTGACGGAGATTCCCCAGTAAGTGTGTGCGTTTCTCCTGGTGGAAGGTGCTCAACTTCTTCAGAGGCATCTACCTCTACATTAAACAGCCCATCAAAGGAATCTACAGAGACTCTGTCTCAGGCAACAAATGCAATCGTGACAACGAATCGGTTAGATTTCAATGGGATTTCCATGTTTCAAGGGTATGTATTCATTTATCATAACAAACACAAATTCCTCATACTAAGAGAAATGAAAAGATTCAATATGTGAAACTAAAACATTTGGGTCATTTTTGGTTTTTTTTATCAGGCTCCTTGAGAGGGCACGGAGGACTGTACGTGGCTCAGCAGATGACATAGGATGGTTACAGAGAGACCCGGAGATGCCTCCTGTTGAAGATGGAACTGATAGGTTCAATAGTATCTTGGAAGAGATTGGGTATGGATCGGTTGCATGTTTTAGCACTGTGGTTTTTTTGTGTTATGTTGTTGAACATTCTCCTTTTATTGAATGGCTGCGTTGATCGGTTTTTCATTTCCAGGCATGGTGTACACAGGCTTCCAAATACATTGGTGTACTTATTGGTTCCAGGTAGCTTTTCTTGTTCTTACCTGCTAGACACTTAGAGACTACATAACTGTATGTTGTAGGACTCATAAACAAAAAAAATTACAGGTCTTTTCAGCAATCATGGACCTCTATATTTCGTTGATACGAAAACTAAATTCTCAAAGATGGGTTTAGCGTGTCATATTGCGAAGATTCACAGCGAGGTAATCATATAACTAACTCTAAACCCTCAATACAGTAACGTTTTGGTGTATAAACAGCATACTGATATATGGATTAAATGTTTAAATGTATCAGTCTTCGGTTGAGAAAAATGCGAGAGAGATAAAGGAATACATAGAGGAACTCTGTTGGGGATCTAATAAAAAGGTTCTGCTTCTTGGGCATAGCAAAGGAGGTATAGATGCAGCTGCTGCTCTATCTCTCTACTGGCCTGAGCTTAAAGATAAGGTCGCTGGGTTAGTATTGGCACAGAGTCCATACGGTGGAAGCCCAATAGCTACAGATATCCTCCGTGAAGGACAACTCGGTGACTACGTCAATCTGAGAAAGCTCATGGAGATTATGATATCCAAAGTTATAAAGGTTCGCAACAAGTCTCTTTTTACTCTGCTATGGTAAACTCATTTGTCTCTCTAATCTATTAATCTTGTGAAGGGTGATATTCAAGCGTTGGAAGATTTAACATACGAGAGAAGGAAAGAGTTCTTGAAGAATCATCCGCTGCCTAAAGAACTCCCCACGGTTTCATTCCGGACAGAAGCTAGCATTAGCCCAGCGGTTCTAGCCACTCTATCACACGTCGCGCACGCCGAGCTTCCTCTCACGAACCAGGCCGCGAAACTTCCGGTGGTGATGCCACTCGGTGCCGCAATGGCTGCTTGCGCTCAGCTGCTTCAAGTGAGATACGGCGAGAAGAGTGACGGGCTCGTGACTTGCTGCGACGCAGAGGTTCCTGGCTCCGTGGTGGTGAGACCAAAGCGGAAGCTAGACCATGCGTGGATGGTTTACTCTTCCTTGAACGAGGTTCCTTTGGAAGCTGACGCTGCTCAAGTTTGTGAAGCTCTCTTGACGTTGCTTGTCCAAGTCGAGGAAGAGAAGCAACGTAAACTCGATTGATAGACACGTTATTGAAACGCTTATAAACTACATTGTGTTCTTTCTACTTTCGTTTCGAGACTTTTAAGCTGTTTTGTTTTTTTTTCTGTTATCATCTACACTTATAACTAGATTGTGTAGTCTGTTTGTTTTGTGTTTTCTTGAGGACGTTTTGATATCGGAAATTTGTTTATAAAGTACAACGAACCGTGATCGTACGGCTCGGACTGGTTGGAGAATCTCTGGACGGTCTATAAGAGGAATGTTATTTGTTTCCGAAATTACCCTCCAGATGTTGAGAAAATTACGCAATCGTACTCGAATTTACTTTCATCTCTCTCTCTTTTCGTTCTCACTCTTGTCCTTGGCGAGAGTGCTTTGGGTGGGGACATAACTGTTTTGTAGCATCAGAGTCGCACAAAGATCAGACAAGGTCTGCGTGTGTTGAGAGAGAGAGTTTGGTTGAATTGAAACACCGGTGAGATTAGGGCTTTTTCTTCTTCTTCTTCTTCTATTCTTGGGGATGAGCTGAGCTATTGAATTTATCTCGGGTAAAGCAATCACGTTGCTTGGAAAGTGATAGATCGTGTTTAGGGTTTCCTCATTTTTTCAATTGGGATTGGGGTTTGTATCCGACTCATTTGTTTATCAGGCAATCTGATGTGAGGGAATCTTTATTTCTAGGGTTTTTGTGAGGGTTGTTTGAATGGCGAGCACAGGTGAGCCTGACCGTAGAAAGCGACACTTTAGCTCAATCTCTCCCACGGAAGCGGCTGCCGCCGTTAAGAAACAGCCCTTCTTCTGGCCCTCCTCCGAGGACAAGGTTCTCTCTTGACCTCCGTTGTGCATGCGTGTCTCTTCTCTTGTAACTCTCTATTAGTTGAATTGAACTTCTGGAAACGATCTAGGGTGATATCACTGTAGTTCTTGCTGTCTTCTTTGTAGCTTATTTGAGGGTTTGTGAGTTTGTAGCTTATTAGGGATTCTGTCTCTTAAGGAATTTGTTTCCGTTTGATGCAGCTTGATACTGCAGTTCTTCAGTTCCAGAATCTGAAGCTATCACAAAAGCTAGAGGCTCAGCAGCTTGAGTCATCTCTTCTTGAGGATAAGCTTTCTCAGATCAAGCAAAAACAACTACCATACGCTTCCAGTTTGAAGACTGTCCACAAGTCTTGGGATAAGGTAACACTGAATTTACCTTTGTTTCTAACATAAGCGGAATCCCGGCTAGTATCTAATTAGTGCTTTGATAGCAGCTTACAGCTGCAGTGGAATCATGCTCTGTTCGTGTGAGTGATTCAAGCAGTGGAGCTCATAGGTGTGTAAACAAGGAGGGTATGAACAGCTTAGCCCGCTTCTTCTTCCTTCTGTTGTTGCTTAAATGTGGCTTATATGTTAGAATTGTTAGTTACTGAAAGGAAAAACTTTAAACTGCTACGCAGATGGGTCTTCTCTGGCTCATAAAGACGATTTCATCAACCGGCTACTTGAAACTGGTGCCACGGAGAGCTCTTCTTCCAATAACTGCTTAAATCGGATGGAAGAAGATAGTGTAAATACATCAAGCCAGTTGACGCAAACCTTGTATAACCTAGTAGCTACGACCAATGATTTGAGGTGTCTGAAGGATGAGTTATATCCAGCTGTTCGCAGAACGGACCTTGATAAAGGTATCACTTACACTGCAATCTTACTGTCAGCTCTTGTCTTGGCATTCATTACAATCTAAGTATTAACCCAGGTCTTATGTGGAATTGCTTTCTTCACTAGATTTGTGCGGTCAGCTAGCACTGAATGAGTTGGAATCAGAAATTAAAAGTTTCAGAGTGGTTCTGGATGATGTACTTGTGAAGTTTAAATCACTTTCGAGGGAACTGCAGAGTCATCAGGATGCTGATGCTAAAGTTAGAGCAGATCTTAGACGAATAAGAGGTAGCTACTTCGTCTCTTTTCATTGATTATTTGACCGTTATATGCATTCTTTTTCATGGTAGTCTTTGCATTGATGTCATATCCATGTCATAACATATAATAAGAGGCACTGTGCATGTGTTATGTAGTATGTAGCCAGGATAGGGTTTAGATCATGTAGATAAGAAATAGATATTAAGAGTGGAAGAAAGCCTCTTTGATGAGTAAGCTGACATTATACTTTGCTTGGTGTATATTAAGGGGAGCTAGAGACTGAGGTTGTGGAGCTTCAACAATGTAATGGTGACTTGTCAGCACTAAGAGCAGAAAGGGATGCAACAGCAGGGGCGTTTTTCCCAGTTTTGACCCTTGGGAATAAGCTTGCTACTGACGATAAGGGCAGAGATAAACAAAGGGATCTGCAAGACATGGAATCAGTTCTGAAAGAGCTAACGGTATATAGATTGTTTTTTTCTTTCTGGTTTTGTGTTTTCGTTGGCAATGCTTGGAGTTTTGGTTTGATAACCTGCCTGGATTTTGTAGCGCTTAGCTTCAAGCAGGCTACAAGAGCTAAAAGATCTTCATGAGGAGAGGACAAAGATTCTGGGAAAAATGAGTAGTTTACAGGTCAGTTTATGATCCATTTGGAGTATTTACCTGTTTTTCTTTACTTCTTGAAGAGTTTTGATGCAAGGAAAACTTGTGAAATGTAGCTTCTTTCTATTGCTAAAAGCCTAACTGATAAAGAGTTTTCTAACAGAACAAGTCAAAGTCTGTGAGGTGCATCTCATCTTCTCGAGCCTACCTTTCATTAAAAGACCAGCTGGAAAAATCCAAAGAAGCAGTTTTCAAGTATATGGCTTTACTTGAGAAACTACAGGTTAGATCTAAATTGGGATTTTCATTTTTTGTATTTATCTTTGTAGAATTTCTGGTGTATATATAGATGTGAAACTTTCCTCCTTTCAAAAATTTCAGGTTGAAAAAGACAGTATAGTCTGGAGGGAAAGAGAGATCAACATAAAAAGTGAACTGATTGATGTTTCTCGAAGGTCTTCTGCTGTTGCTGATTCTAGAATCGCTTCTTTAGACGTTGAGATACAAAAGCAACAGGATGAAAAAAAGCGAATCAAGACTAGGTTGGGAAATATATCAAAAGAGCGAGGTGACAAATTGATGACTTTGACTTCCATTATATTTTCTTCCACACCTGTTTCACTTTGGAGTCTGATTAAATGATCTGTGCTTCAGGTAGAAAAGAAATCTTTGCAGATATGAAGGCACTGATTTCTTCGTTCCCAGGGGAAATGAGTTCCATGCGAAGTCAATTAGACAAATCTAAAGAGACTTCCGGAGGTATTCATTCTCTACGGGCTGATGTGCAGTCCCTCTCTGGGGTTCTATGTAGGAAGGTAGGGAATAATCGTGAATAGTGAATGCTGTTACATTTATGTGTTGCTTACTTATGAAGCCTAATTCGTGAACAGACAAAAGAGTGTGAATCATTGCATTTGAGATCAGCTGATTATGCTTCTCAGCTTGGTGACCTGAATGCTACGGTATGAGGCATTATATTTACCTTTTGCAGTTTTGATATTGATTATTTACTTGCATGATGTCAACCTTATTCAAAAAAGAGATTTCATGAGGGTATTGTGAAAGACGGCTGGCGAAGTAGTAGGTGTTATGTTCTTTACTTTCAAGTAATTTGAGTCTGTCGTTCAGGTTTGTGATTTGAAGAACAGTCACGAGGAGTTGAAGTTGTTTCTGGACATGTATAAACGCGAGTCCACTGATCCGAGGTAAGCACAACTATATCCATAGATCAAAATCCAAGATTTGAATACTTAGAGAACAGTTTCATTACCTTTCCTTCTGTGTGGACTAAGTATAGTATACCAAACACTGTGATTAACATTGCCATTGGACTGAACTGTCTGATCTTGCTGAAAGTTGGTTGTTTATATTTCTTGTTGTTTCTGAAGAGAATTATGTTTACTTTTCTTTACAGCTTCCAATATTTGATCAACTTTTACACTTCCATTAGATGAAATTTTCTTTTGCATGTTTTAGAAATTGTTCATCATCTTCTTCTTAGCCGAACACTCGTTATTAAATGCGCTTAGTGCCTTGTCTTAAGCATCAGTCTGGATATTGTGCTATTGGCAGAGACATAGCTGAAGCCAAGGAGCAGGAGTACAGGGCTTGGGCTCATGTTCAAAGTTTGCAATCCTCTCTTGATGAGCAGAATCTGGAACTGCGTGTTAAGGCAGCAAATGAAGCGGAGGCTGTTTCCCAGCAAATGTTGGCTGCTGCTGAAGCTGAGATTGCTGATTTAAGGCAGAAAATGGATGATTGTAAACGGTGAGTAAATAAAACTCGTCTTGTGCTGCATAAGGGCATTCCTCTGCGATTTAGAAGACGCATAGCATAGTTATTTACGGGGATGGGTCTTATCTATTTCAGGGATGTGGCAAAGCATTCTGATATCTTGAAATCTAAGCATGAAGAACATGGAACATATCTTTCTGAAATACAGGTTTGCTTATGAAAATTTCCTGTTTCGTTGATTCAAACACATTTTAAAAACCTTGATGTTGGTTATCGATTTACAGTAACTATCTTCTTTTAGACAATTGGAAGTGCCTACGAGGACATTGTACCACAAAACCAACAGCTTTTGCTTCAAGTTACAGAGAGGGATGACTATAACATCAAGGTGCTAAGTCCAAACTCTTCTTGTTTCCTCTATATATGCTAGTGTTAAACTTATTTGGAGACTGATGGATCCTGTCAATGGCATGGACCTATTTCTGTTGTTATTGTTTTTGCAAGAATGTTGTGAAATTAAGATTCATAAAGAAAGATTGTTCCTCTGATCTGACTATGAGATGTCTACTTTTCTCGCTCATTGCTGTTTCAGCTTTTCTTGGAAGGCATAACATCGAGGCAGATGCAAGATTCTCTGCTGATTGACAAATATATCATGGATAAAGATATCCAGCAAGCCAGTGCAACTGCCAGTTTCCTGTCTAAGAAATCTTTAAGAATTGAAGATCAGGTAATATTTTTGATGTCTTCTCTGTGCGCTTGTAATTTGCCGTGCGTGATCCTTATTTTGGCATTGACTACAAGCTGTTTTGTTCTCGCAGCTGAGATTCTGCACAGATCAGGTTCAGAAACTAGCCGAAGACAGATATCAAAAGTCTGTTGGACTGGAAAATCTGCAAAAGAAACGGGCAGACATTGGGAATGGCTTGGAACAAGCGAGGTCAAGGCTAGAGGAGTCGCATTCCAAAGTTGAGCAAAGCCGGGTGAATTATGGTGCATTGGAACTGCAACTGGAAATCGAAAGGTAAATCAATCAATCTCTTTCTCTCCCCCTCTTCTTTGTTCTTGTAAACAAGTGGTGGAGATGGGACTTACAGGCATCTTGTGCATGTTTCAGGTTCAACAGGAGAAGGATAGAGGAGGAAATGGAAATAGCCAAAACGAGAGTTTCTCGCCTCCGGTCTCTCGTAGAAGGATCATCGGCCATTCAAAAGCTACGACAAGAACTCAGTGAATTCAAAGAGATTTTGAAGTGCAAGGCCTGCAACGATCGGCCAAAAGAGGTAAAAGACTCGCTGACACTCAAATCATGTTTTTGTCTGCGTGTGTGCGTGCTGATTGGTTTTGGTATTTGTGTTAATAAACAAGGTGGTGATCACGAAATGCTACCATTTGTTCTGCAACCCATGTGTGCAAAAGCTCACAGGAACTCGACAAAGAAAGTGTCCAACGTGCTCTGCAAGTTTCGGACCTAATGATATTAAACCTATCTACATATGACGTGCACGGAAGCTCTCAGAAGGCTGTTTCTTCTTAGCCATTCACAGCATTTTGAAGCTAATGAAAAGGTTTCTCCAAGTGTAGTGTAGTGTATGATCATGAAACTGTGAACCACAGGGAGTTGTTTCTCATATAGATAAACATAAACATTAGATCTCTGTAATTATTACTCTTCTTATTTTGGGCATGAAGAATTATGTGATATGGCAAATCAGAGATATTGGAAAGACCGACCATGCTGGGATTTTGAATTTTTGATCATGTGATAGAGAATAGGTTAAGATTCGTTACTTGACACTTTTTAGTGTTTGTCAGTCGTGATCTTTTTTTTTTTTTTTTTTTTTTTGTAATTTGGAACATGGTGGCATCCAAAATTTAATGGGATGGACCGATTTTTGTTGTTGTTTTGCAAGAATGTTGTGAAATTTAAGATTCATTAAGGAAGATTGAAACTTGGATCTGACTATGAGATTTCTATTGTCTCGGCCATTGTTGTTTCAGCTGTTCTTGGAAGGCATAACATCGAGGCAGATGCAAGATACTCTGCTTGTTGATAAACAAATCATGGATAAAGATATCCAGCAAGCCAGTGCAACTGCCAGTTTCCTGTCTAAGAAATCTTCAAGAATTGAAGATAAGGTATATTTTTTGATGGATGATTACCAATCATGTGATTTCTTTTCACTGCTTTATGTAGGAACTATTTTGTATGTGGTATTGCTTGGAATTAGAAATTGTAAGAATTTCTTGTTAATATTAGAGCTAGCCTTAAACGAAGAAGAGGTACCTACTTATGTCTCTTATGACCGTTAAATGCACTCGATTGCTAATCTTTTACATGGACATCAAGATAAGTTTATACTCGTTATTGAAATGTACTATCATAGCATTTTAATTATTGACCTCAATACCATGCTTTTCGACTAATATATATATTTATACTCAGTATTCGTTATACGTTTTATTCTACACTTTAATTTTTTCATTCGTCTTCGTATTCCTTTTCTTTGCCAAGATTTGATCATTGGTATTGCCGCACATGCTCTTTTTTTTCTTCTTGGATAAACTTTTCTTCTTCTTTTCCTTTAAAAAATGGCTGAGATGTAAAAAAAAGAAGTTATTTATTTGAACCATATGCTCTTAATTATTTTCTTCTTCTACTACTGCTTTCAGTTTGGTCTTTCTAATTGCTTGCTTTTCCTTTTTTTAGCCACTTTATTCCTAAAGATAAAGATCACATGTTTTAGCTCCATTGTGGTTCTGTCTCTCCATTAATATATACGTATAAAAGTTACTTACCAGATTATTGGGAAAAAAAAACATAAATGATGAAAGGTAGAAATATGTTTGCGTTAACGTACAAAACTATCCCCTTTGGATAGCACAAGAATCTCCGACTACGTAAGCTAAGTTTTCTAAGCTAAATACGAATATAAGAATGTAAATATATATACATACATGATACATTCGAGTAAGTCTCAGTACATTATGCACATATCATATGGTAAAAGTTACTATAGCTTCAAATTTAAATGCAATGGTGTCGTATTATAGTGGCTCCAAACATTTATCTAACCATTTCCAAGATTGACAACGAGCTAAGATCTGTTTCAGTTCAAGTAATCTTATTCTTTTTAACTACCAGTCCTTAATATATTAACCGTGTACTAATTATTAGTCATTATTTGGATATCTGAAAATATGATACAAATCAACAAATCTGATTAAATGCTCTATTCCAGATCACTGTTCTCTCTTGGTACATAGGGTTTTTATTTTGTTTTAATTTTTATGATATTATTAGTTTTACACAAATCACAGTAGTAGTAAACAAAGAGAAAATTATGGGGGAAAAGAAGAAGAAAAAAAGCTATATATAAGTCGTACCTTCCAATAATATGGAGCCATAATATAGTAGCAAACAAATTATTAAAAGTCGTAGGTTTAAAAATTATACATTAGACAAATTAATTGTCTGTGCGCAGTTAGGTTTGCATGCCACAAGATGCCAAACAGCAAATTCACCATCTTGTAATTTGTCTGTCCTAGTAACGTCCAAACGATCCAGGTACATATATTTATTTATTTGTTTGTAAGGAATTGTTCTATATGGTCATTCACTCGTTCATATAATATTTGTTGTCACCATCTGACAATTGTATCTTTCAAACTGGTACTTATTATTCGTCAAAACTATAATATATCTTTATTTTTCGGTAACGTTATAAAAGTTTACTGACTTCGGTATTTGCATTGTTCAAACTAATCATAATTATCATCATCTGGTAAAAAAATAAATCAGTTTAAATCTAATGTTATTTAGGTACTAATCTTTACTTGCAGATTTTAATAATTGGTGTGACTTGCATCTTCTAATGTCATTCAAATAATAATTTTACAGGACTAGACTCTATTTTATACATTAGTTGCGATGATTGACAATTTAAATACATGTCAGGCCGGGAAATTATATACACTTAATTCAATAACAATCAGAAATTTCCAAAAGAAACACAAATGATATATTAGAAACTTGTGGAGGAACATACCTAACGTATATAACACGATAAACAATAATCAATAGGCTGCTATCAAATGGAGACTTCAATATGTGTTGTAATTGTCTACATACATTCAAACCTTAAAATCATGAGAAATAGAAAATTAACACAACATTTAATAATTACTACTATGTATTTAGATAATGATAGTGAGCTCACTCGTACACCCACTATGTTTCTATTTAATGACCTGTCTTCAACTATCCTTAAGTCTCACCAAATAGTATATCCAATATATGTATATATTCGAATATTACAAATAATAGATCCAAACTTATTTTTCTCCCTTTCGATGAAGAATTCGGATCTCAAAACCATTGAATGAATACAATGATACATATATGATGAATGAATTGTAGTTTCTGTAAATATTATAAGTTGTTTTTTCTACCAATACTATGCATAGTTATAAAAAAAATTATCGTGCATGGACGATAAATCTATATTCTCTATTTGTGGAAAATGTGAATTTGTCTTAACGAGTTTCATGTGGACCTTTTCTGCTTTTACTAACCTATCTGTGTGAGCAAATCGTTTCATGTGGTGGATTTTCAACTATTTTGCCATTAACTGTGATATGTAATGACAAAAAAAGGTAATATATATATTTTTTATATAACAAAAGTTATTTGTCGCTCTCAAATCTAAGGGTCCAATATGTCTGGGAATCAATAACAGTCTGCATTTGCCTCATAGTGGTGAACAAAGTAAGGTGTTGGCCAAAAGCAATCACCTTGTTACAGTTTATATCCTTTCACTTTTGACATATATTAAAAGAAGTGGAGAAACAAACAAAGTAAAACAATTGAAAATCAGCAAAAATGTAAAAGTTGTAAGTAAAAGATTCAAAGATATCATCAGCATGTGACTCATGTTATTTAACAACACCTATATTCGATTTTATTGTTTTGTTGAAAAATAGTTAAGTAAGTTCATCAAAAAATAGTCTCCTTCACTGTCAATTTCATAATCATCATCACATCAAAACTCATGCACTAAATATGACATATCCGAAAAGGACGTTAGTAATAAAACTAGTCCAATAACGTGGATTATGTGTGCCTGCGGTGATTATTCATGTCCGTACTGAAACCTTCTAGATAGTTGCATGTTAAATATTGGTAATAAGCGAACAATATATACAATTTTCTTTGTCAACCAGTGAAAGGTAACATATATAAAGGAAAAAAATATTAAACGATCAATGGACTATATCAAAATGCAGAGTAATAGCATGCAGCTGTAACTAGAGAAAAAGAGTTTTAAGAAAAGGACTGGATTAATCAACCAGATACGTCTTTTTCTAAGTTACTATATAGATGTATGGTTGTTTTTAATTGTTTGATAACACACAATTTTTTTTTTTTCTTCTTATTTTTGTTAGTCCGGAAAGTTTTGTTCTTTGTTTGATACTTGATAGTTTGACTTTTCGTAAACTTCAATTATATTACATTGCACACTTTTAAAAATGTTCTCGCCACATTTGTATCACACAATTATTCATCAAACACCCTTTTGCTAAAAAAAACACTCTCAAAATGAACCCGTTTCTTTACAAAAAAAAAAAAAATCACTAACAATCAAATTATATATAAAAAAAAAACAAAATCAAACGTAAATAGAGAAATTGGAAAGAAAAAAATAACAAAAAAAAAACAGAAAGAAAAGGGCAAATTAATTAGGAGTTAGTGAGCTGGAGGAGTGTAGTTAGTCATTGAGACAATAAAACGGCTCTTCAAGCCGAAACCCTGCATCAGCTCCACAGAGCTGCCACGTAGAAGCATCATAACAAAATGCATCGTGTGGTATCATCATCTCATTCTCATCACTGAACAAATCCGGCAAATCAAACAGCTTCTCTTCTTCGCTGTCTTTGTGCGTGCACGAAGTCGTCGAAGCACACGAAGTTTCCGACGACTCTTGCCTCGTCGTCGTCACAGTATCTGAAGAACACACCACGCTGCTTGACAACGATTGAGCCACAACAGCTCCACTCGGCTCGAGTTCAGCTACATCAGAACTAATCACACGGTCGCTATTGTTGTTGCCGGAGTCTTGCCAGTCGACGGCGGCGGATGTGGCTGCGGCTTGAATGTCTTTAGGAGAATTGGTAACCGGACGAGGAAGCTCGCCGGATAATTCAGGAAAATTTAGGTAAGCCGTTGAACCTTTGATGGCTAAAGCCGCCACGTCATGAGCTCGAGCGGCCATCTCAGCGGTTGGAAAGGTCCCGAGCCATATTCTTGATTTCTTCCTCGGCTCTCTAATCTCGGACACCCATTTTCCCCAACTCCTCATCCTTACTCCTCTATACGTCGGATGCTTGTCTCCGCTGTTGATCTTTCGCCGTTTTTCTTGGCCTTGATCATCTTCTTGAACGGCTAATGATCCTGATGATGATCTTGTTCGAGATGCTTTTCTTTTAGAGTTGGCATTCTCAAGAAAATTAGAAGTTGTTGATGAAGAAGAAGAAGATGTTGTAGGTGAGGACAATGAGGCTGCGGCGGCGGAGGAGGAGGATGAGGATACGGCGGAGATAAAGGTAACTTGAGAAGCACTCTTCTCTATATTGATTTGTGTTTTCATTGTTAGAGAGAGAAGCTTTAGAAAGAGGGTTGCACAAAAATAGATGTGAAGTGGGTTTGTATTAATATTCCTCCGCGATCTTTTTTTTTCTTTGGCTTTTTCATATTATATAGAAAAATACTAGAAAGAAAAAAATAATCATAATGATGTAAACAAAAAATGTAATGGTTTTCGTTATAATAAATGAAAGAGGGAGAAAGGAATGGGGTCCATAGAACAAAAAAGATATTATTGAGATTCACAGTTTAGTGAACCAGTTTTGTTCCATGTGAAACTAAATACAAACAACAAGGTTTTCTTTATTATATACAAGAAAATTTGTTGAAGAACAATAAAAGGAACAGAAGATAATTGAATGGCACTCGAGAATATTTTTTTTACTTTCTCTTCTAATATGGCCCGACCCTCGTGCATGTGCGTCACCTCTCAACACATGAATCCCCCATCTTCCTCTTTTATTTATTTCCTCCAAACAAAACTGGGGTTAGTGTGACGTCATATATTTGATTTAACGTTCCGTAAAAAATACGAGTGCAATAGGTTTAATAAAATAACACGAGATTCACACACTTCCTGGACCAAGGCAGCTATCTCTTGCAATAATTAAGCTTTTTGTTTCCTTCTCGAGATGGAAAAAAAAAAGGCATGAAAGCATAACTAAGATGGCTGTGATGCCACGTCGTAAGATTTTAATACGGATGGGTCATGGTATTAAATTTTGATTAGATATAAAACGTACACGTACCTAATCGATCAATCTATGTGAAGTTGGGAACAAATATGTATAGAACATATATGTTATTGTATGTCTATGTAACACTATTGATACTTGATACGTCATATTCGATTCGGCGCCATTTTTAATTAATGAAAGAAACCACTTTATTTGATATTTATTATCTATGGCCAATGTCCAATGGCCTCCACAATAAATAAAAAATGCTGCTTCAATTTTAAAAGAATTTTCAGATGTATACAAGAATTCATTGAACAACGAAAGCCATTATGCACACGAATATATAAACAGTATACGCAGATATGATGCATAGATCATATATATATACTGAATATATAGTTATGAAATAAATTGAGCACAGCCACTTCAGGAAAGTGTGGCTATTATTCATCAAGAATCTTTTCAGTTGATTAAGGAATATTGACCCCATTAGTCACACTGATCCGCAGGTTCTCATTTGTTTTATAGTATATAGCTGCAATGATGGTTCATAATATAGTAGTTTAACGAAATGATGAAAATAGTACATAGCTGAATAACGTTTTATATGGTAATCAATAATCATATATTTTGTGCTCAAATAAACATTAAGAAAAGTACTTTGTTTTTAGTAGGTATTTTTTGTTTTTTTATACCAATTCTTAGTAGGTGTTGGTTTGAAGAAAATATACGGCTGTTAAGAGAAAGGATGAAGAAGACATATAATGCCGCAAGAGAACACATGAAAGGTAGATTAAAACACCACGAAACTGTGATTGAGCTTGATCGATTATACGAAGAAACAAAAACTTTTGTGTATATACATGGTTTTATGTTATTTTTCCTGCAGATAGATACAAGATAAAAGTCTAAAACCAAGAAAGGAGCGGAGAGATTGTTGGAAAATCTGCGAGCGGTATACGATGATTGATGCGAGATTTAATATTTTAATATAAGTCAATGGGCACACATGGCGCACATGCCACTCATTTTTAATTGTATAAAAATAAAATATCAACGACTATAAGAAACATTACTATTTTTCGTTGAAACAGATAAAAAAACGTTTACTCCAGTGTTTATAAGTGTTTCTACTAATTTAGATACAAAAAACAAAAAGCGATATGCAATAAATCCTTTGCTTTTAAATGCTTGAGCCTAAATGGTTGTGTTTCTAGAAGAAGTAAACAAGCTGAAATTTCACCATTTGAAATATCAAAAGTCGTAGAAAAAAAATATTCTAACGGGGGAAAAATGAAATAACTAACAAATTAACCATCTACGAAATTGCAGAGGAATGAGTTAAAAACAAATCTGATTTTCATGTTTCGTTTATCAATTTTCCGTTCATAATAATTTAACTCTTCTGTCTTACTATTTGGAACCTAGAGACAAGAGTTAAGACGGTGTCAGCAAGTGGACCAACCCTGGCAGTAGTAAACAAGAGCCACTAAAATATCGTCATCTGGACTATAATGTGATCAACGGTGGAGATCAGAACTTTGTAAGATACTGACAGTATCATACGATAAAAGGTAAAATTTGTGAATATTACCGTACCCTAGGAAGAAAAAGAAGTGGCTCCTAGTTCCTGAATCTAACGCCTTCTATTATTTCGTGAAAATAATGCTTTGTGTTTCTTCGTATAGAGAAATCTATGCATTTCTAGATTCCAAAGTAAATATTATAGCTAGTACACATGTACTACAGTGCAAATGTTGCATATAATGCATATATACGTATAAATAAGGTAACAGGAGCGGTTCGGAAACTTAAATACGATGTTCCCTCTCACTCTTTTGTTCATTCAATTCTCTGTTTCCCCATAAAAGAGGTAACCTCTAAAAATAATAAAATAAAATACCAGTTTTTTGTTTTTCATTAGGCAATGGGCAACAAGAGTCATGAGAGACGTATTATTTTCTCGTAGATCCAGCTTGTTTTTATTTCGTTTTAAAGCAACTAGCAGTCTTTGCTATTAAAATTTAGAATTTAATAATTTAGTCAATAATTTGAGCTAGCTACTACTTTGTGTTGTTCGATAGTGCAACTTTTCGTTTACTTTCCCCTCTGAGTGAGGAACTCATTTCGCAGAAATTGGCAGTTCCTATAGAAGATTTGCAGTTCAAGAAAATAATAAAATAGATGTTGAATAATATCACCAAGAAGATTTGCTAAAGACATAATGAAAAAGAAGTACTTCAGCTAAAAATAGGATAGTAATCCACAATAATGGTTTTTTTTTTTGTATTTTCCTTTCAGATAATGCATGAATGCATGATGTATATATTATAGTTTTTTGTTTGGTAATTGTGGAAATTTGTTGAATGGTAACATCTCTTGGGCCACACCATATCAGATCCTCCAAATCTTGCTTTTGGTCCGACTAAATATCATAATACTTAAAACAATGACACCAGTAATAGCTAATATATATTAAAACGCATTGAAATTTCAAACTCTTTATGAAACACATAAAGTGTAATTTCTCTTTGTCTTCTACTTGAAACCAGGAGGACTCATTGTTTCAAATGCAACTTCTGCATTTGCATACATGTGAAACTAAAATTACACTTGGGCTCAAAATTTATTTTCATTTTTGACACAACGAATTTGTAAATGGAAACTTCATCATACAAAAAAACAACTTACAATTCACAAACGCATGCTTTACTACTCAGAACAGACAACTTATAGAAGTTACACTATATATAAGTCGAAAATCCCAAAGCAACATGTTATTCATCACGTATGGTCTCTTACGATGTTGTTTTTTTGTTAAAGAACTTGCGATATTAACTGTGCTAATTACATAATAGACATCAGTATTTTCAAATAAAAAGATAAAGAGTTAAAATAAGAAACTGGCGATTAAGACCTTTCATGAATAACTTTTTCTCATGGTGAAAGCCAAATTAAGATTAAATTTCTTAAAAAAATCCAATCATGCAAGAGAAGGTATAATATATAGGAAGAACAAAATTAAGAGAGAAACAGATCTATATCACATCATTTGTTATATTAGTGGGTGCCCTACAAATTGTCTTTGTCTCCATAATTTTATTTGTCATGTTAAATTGCATCATTAAAGAGACAAAATTTGATAATGATCCACTTTTTTCTCTTCTATTTTTCCACCCCCGAATAATTCTTGAAGTTTCTGCTTCTTTATCTACTTTTTAGTATTATATGTTCATCTTTATTTTGGATTATATGCTCGCTAGTGTAACTTTTGCTGTTCTTTCTACTTGAAAAAATTAATATTTCTAACCAATGAAAACTAAAATATTATAACTAATCAACGAGTGTCCTTCATATACACGATGGGTATAATGAATAAATTAATCAAACTACTACATTGTCACATATAGACCGTACCTTTATGATTAATTTGTAGGTCTAAGTCTTGATGTATTTTTTCCACCAAACTAATCCAACAACCTGATGGGTCATCTGATATTTAAAACCGTTACTAAATATACTATCGCACTAACTCATAAATATAAATAACAAAATAATTATCCTTTATATATTAATTAAGAAGATATAGCGAAAAAATAAGTGAAAACAATCTGAAATGTCAATCACATAAAGTTTTTAGGAACATATCATTTAATTCAACCAATCAAAATACTATTTTTATGTTAAGTAAAATGCCAATTAAAATAATTAAATTAAATGATTTGGCCCCAAACAATTAATAATCTAATAGAATCTCAATTTCAATTATTTTATTCTCTGTCCAATACATATGCAATAGATTATCAATTTCAACTATTTTTATACATAAATAAGTTTCTTTAATCTAGCTTTAGAAATTTGTATCTATCAATATGCATCAGTGTTGTTAAGTGATCTATTTAATGATTTAATCCCACATTTGATGCGAAACAGTAAAGATAGTTTACATCCGATTTGAAAGGTTAAGAGAAGGGACGCTGTTGTAGTTAGTTTGTGCGAAAACAATCATAGGTCCGATACGAGAAAGCCCAATGGGCCAATATTACGATGGGCTCCCGTAATTGTTTAGAAACCTGAGAAACTTGTGTGATCCCGAGGAAACATCAGATGATCCAACGAGTTTCACGGGACACCCTTTTTGTTCCCATCCGGACAGTATAATTCTTTGCTGATTATGGTTTTCCCGAAGTCGGAAGCAATATAAATATGCTTGAATTAAATAGCTTCACATTCACATCATTTATTTCTCTATCACCCTTTTGTGATCTTATATAAACCCTTATCCTCGTATTGTAACAATCAATGCACAATTAAAATAAATTCATAGAAGCAACGGTGCCTTTAATTCAAATTTTGTCATCAGCATACATGCCTCTATCAGCACGCATGTCCAAGGTTCGAGGAAAACTAAACTAAACTCATATGTAGTACTCTCTCCGTTTCAAATTAGTTGTCGTTTTGGCAAAATGTATCTGTAAATATTTGGACGTATCTGGACGTGTTTTGCATAGCAGATACATCCAAATAATTACATATACATTTTCCTAAAACGACAACTAATTTGAAACGGAGGGAGTATTAATATTTTGTTTTCTTTTCTAATATTTGATTATCTTCTCGTCGTCTACTTCATCAATAATCTTAGTTTAGTGAAAGTTTCAATATGAACATCAACTAAACAAACAAACTGCTTACTTGTAGGGGAAGCTACCGCTGATGGATCTAGAACAAGGAATAAACCTAACCAGTTTTACCGACAACGAACCAGCAGAGTTGATCGTGGATCGAGCCATGGAGTATGAAACCGGATCTGGTAGCGTGGCTAGATGGAGAGAAGGAGTTCATGTTCCATCGGATCCAAACCACGGAACAGCTCAGAAAGCTAAGGTTTGGTCCACGACTAAACCAGGTTCTTTCTCCGAGTCTGCGATTCCCGGTTTATGGCCTTCTTCGTTTAGCAAAGAGTATTGTTGCATCTATAGAGTCCCGAACCGGTTACGGAGAGTGAATCCAGAGGCTTACACTCCTCAGATGCTTCTCATCGGTCCACTTCAACATTCTAAAAAAGCTGATGCCCTTGAGCTCTCCAAAACCGACTCAAGGTACACATTACTTAGCATTTTAGTGTTTTTCGTATCAAATATCATTTCAAATTTATAAAATGCAAATGAACATTCATTAAAAACTGCTTGGTGTTTGATTTGATGTTTCTGTTCGTGCTTATACGCTAACATCTCAAATTATTGTGTTTATATTTGAAAAAAGTTACCTAGTATTTTTTTGTTATCTAACAAAGTTTATGTAAAGTAATTTCATACACAAATTTATTTTAGCTGGTATTATAATAGTTTTTTTTTTTTTAATAAACAGTTAATTAGCTGATTAATGCGGTTGGATAGTATTATTCCAGATATTTGGACTATATGAACATGGAACGTCACAAGAAGAAGTACCTTAATGGTATTGCAAATATATTTGGGACTCAAACGATCGAAGAGTTCAAGGGAATCATCAAAAGAGATGAGAAGTTTATAAGAGAAAGCTACTCCGAATCAACAGACTGGATCAAATCACAAGACTTCGTGGAAATGATCCTACATGACTCGGTATTCATACTAGGGTTCTTCATTCAGATAGGAACTCAAAAGTTTAACAGGAAAGAAGATATTTTATTCGAGGAGCCATGTCTCATAACCACCATTTTCGAAGACCTAATCTTGCTCGAGAACCAACTTCCGTATGCTCTTCTAGAGGAACTCTTCCAACCTTTCTTGTTCAGTCTTAAAACTGAGGAAACGTTCCGTGACCTAACCCTACGAGTTTTTGGGTTCGAAAACAAGATCGAGAGAGATGTGAAATTCCGACATTTTACAGATTTGTACCGACGTGTACGTGTCGCAACACTTGGTCTGACGGAAGAGCAAGCTAGTAATGCAAAATCAGAGCCACCGAAGAGCATAAAGAGTCTACACAACGCAGACAAACTAGACAGCGCAGGAGTAGATTTTGAGAATGTGGACATAGAGAATGAGTTCTCGTTGGTGATTGATTTCAAAGACGGAGTCTTGAAAATGCCTTGTTTCACAGCCGAAGATAACACCGAGAGGGTTATGAGGAACTTAATGGCACTCGAGCAATGTCATTATCCTCTCTCTGCTTATGTTTGTAACTACATCGCCTTCTTGGATTTCCTCATCGACACCGAGCAAGACGTTAACTTGCTCTTCAAGAAAGGTATAAACACTTTGCAAAATATATGTTTGCTCAAAAACTAAGTAGTTTTGTGATTCCTAATAAGATTTCTACATTTAACGTTAAAAGGAGTTGTAAAGAATTGGTTGGGACATCAAGGATCGGTGGCGGAAATGGTGAACAAGCTGTGTTTAGGGCTCGTAGATTTTGGATCTCACTATCACTCAATAGCTGAAACACTCAACAATCACTACGAAAGCCGTCTCAACAGATCCGTCGCCACGCTCCGACGAGTCTACTTCAAAGATCTTTGGACAGCAACTGCCACGGTGGCTGCTGTTGTTCTCCTCGTGTTGACTTTGATCCAGACGGTGGCTTCTGTTCTCCAAGTGACGCAGAACAACGACAAGTCATCGCCGCCTCCAGCTCCTGGACGAGGACCGTAGATTGTTTCTTGTATAACAAGTAAAAGCAAAACTTATATATGAATGTACTAATGTTTGGTTTTAATTCAAAAAATCTTCTCTAATGCCAGTAAAGAAAACCTATGTTCCGCAACAACAAAAAATTTGGAAGTATAATCATTTAGGGTCAAATTAAGATAATATTCTTGATTACTTGAATACCAAATTGATAAAGAGAACAAAAAGAAAGATTTAGGGTCAAATTAAGATAGTGTTATTACTTGAATACCATAATACAGAAAGATTTATGGTCAAATTAATAGTGTTATTACCTAAATAATAAACTTCCGTATAATTTGGGTTCTCCATTGAAGGTTTAATTTGAAGATGAAGAAGATCAAGGAGATGTTAAATTTGAAGATGGAATCTTGACAATGCCTTGCTTCAAAGCAGATGATGACACTGAAATGGTTTTGAGGAACATAATGGCACTCGAGCAATGTCATTAACACTTACACAGCCTTTGTTTGTCACTAGATCCACTTTTTGGATGGTCTCATTGAAACCGAGAAAAACGTTAATCATGCTCGTCAACACATGTACAATTTTACAATTTAACATGGTTGTATCGTAAGATTCTGCAATTCATATCTTATACATAATGTAAAGGACGTAAAGCATTTGTGGCTGAAATGGTGAACAAGTTGTGTTTACGGATTGTTGACAATTGACAATGGCTATCATTTCAAATATAATTCAAGAGATATTAATTGAATAAGTGACCTCATAACTTCAAATAACCCATTTTCAACCATTAAAAAGAAGAACACATCTATTAAAAGAGTTCAATAATTTATTAAATTTCTCTCAAATGAGAGAAAAAAGTAACTTGATCCACATAACAATGGACAAAATTCAGGAAAATAAAATAAAAACAACAGATTAATCTGTCTTTAAAATGGAGAAAACTTCGTTACATGTAAGAATGAACGATCACTCCTTTATTAATGCAATTAAAAACAAAAAAAAAAAACAGAAAAAAACAATTAACGCCCCACCCCATTCACTCATCATCACCGTCACTCCCAGCTTCACGGCGCCTGGTACTCCCGATGTCTTCGTCGGCGACTGGTGCAACGGAGGGCTCTGCGTTCTTGGACTTCTTGGAATCGAACCTGCGGCAGCAAAGCGCACGGCCTTCAACGCTGAAACTCACCTTTTCCTTGGCTCCCATCACAAGATTTGGAATCAGCGCACGTTTGAACACGATTCTCCCAAAGAGAGAAGGCTTGACTCCTGCCCTAGGTTTGTGCACATAAACCTTCTCCACTAAACCTTTGTACATGCTGATCACCATCATTAAACATATTAAAAATATAAACAATTAAAAAGCACAAACATTATAACTTATTTACAAAAACAAAAAAAACTTATGACTAATGACCAAACGTACGTGCAAGCTAGACAACTATATACACCTAAATGTCTAGCGAAACGAGATTTAGAGGATTTGAAACAATATGCTTAATTTGTTACTTACCTGTCAAAAAAATTGAAGACTTGGTCCTCCGACAAAGGGAACCCGTTTGAGAAAGTTAAAAAGAGGGAATGATCATCGGAGTGATCGGAGTGAGCCGGCTGAAAGGCCGGTGCATCTGGATTGAGCACCGACTCTTCCCACGGAACAACATTAGAAGTCGATGCATTTCCATTCATGGTTAATATCTTTCTGTTACTTTTAACTCACAACAAGAGATGCTAGATACTTTACTGAATTGCTGTTGTGTATCTATAACAAGACCAGGAGGGGGTTTTTATGGTTGCAACGGTTGGGGTTTTTTTATGGAAATGAAATTTTTATCTTCATGAACAATCAATGTCAAGAAAACTAATGATGACCTAAATTTGTTATTCACCATTCTCTTAATTTCTTTAAGGAAACAGAGCAAACGTGAAACATTTGACTTGACCATTGAGTATATATATCTTTCTTTTTTGGTAACGAAATTTTGTAAATTTCAGATATTCAAACAGTATTTTATCTTGTTTTTGTGCCAATTTTAAATGATCAGAGACGATAAGTGAAAGTTAGTTAGTTGAAGAAAGACCAACTGACCAACAATTAATGAAAGGTTTGCTTCTTTTCAATTCAAGGATTCGATACAGACAAGCATTAGTTTTTTTTTGGGTACAAACTCTCAACAGATTTTGTTCACCAAAATTCATTGAGATTTACAAGTAAAGTTCCACAGAAAAGAATGTCAAAATACTTTTGATTTTACCATCAAGTTTGGTTCCTTTGATACAATGCGTATATTGTTTTGTAGCATACTTTAATCATGAATATACATACATACACACAAACAACTTTTAACAATGGTCGAACTTTAAAAAACAAATCAAATGAAGAAGACTCTCCACAACACAAAAGCTTTACACTTGACAGTTTAGTTGCAGAGTAATGTGTCCCTTGTGGCATTCCCAGTAGTCGCATTAACCCTTATGAGTCAAAGAAAACAAGAATAAGATCAGACTTTTAGACTTTCAACAAAGAATTAAACTCTAAGAGATGAGAGGGGAAGAATTTTGTACCCATCAGCGATTTTGCAAAGGTATACTCGTTGATCATCTCTTAGAGGAACATCAGTAAAATCTAAAATCCACATTCAAAACATACACACAAAGTGTCAAACTTTATGTAAAGCTCAAAGTGCCAAACTTTATCAGAAAAAGGTTTATTATTTCTGATTACCAGCGCCTGTAATGTTTGATCCCTTGAATGATGTGTTTCCGGTAGCAGTAGCTCCTTCCAAGTTAGCGTTCGTTAAATTCACCTGCACAAAATGTAACTATTCACCATCAATGTCAAAGATCTCTTTGTGTTCCCTAGATTGATACATTAGACACATGTTCTCATCGAGAATATGACCTTTGTTACGTTTGCCAAGGAGAAATCTGCACCTCGAAGATCAGTTTCTGATAAATCAGCACCTGAAATTACAGATGTGATAAGACTTATTAACATAAATGAATCAGAAACTTTCTCAGTTACAGTTCTTTATTCTAGTTCAAGAAAGAAAAAGAGAACCAAAAACCTGTTAAATCTGCATCAAAGAAGCTAGCACCTAACAACTTTGCACCCTTGAAGTTGGCTTGCCTTAGGATTGACTGCAAGAAAATGCCATCAAACAGAAAATGATTTAAACAAAAGATTTGGTGTTTGTGTGACAATTTGATGATTGAAGAGAATAAAAAGGGAAGTATACCGTTTTGAAGTCCTGCCTGATGAGAGTCTGTCCACTGAAATCCTTGCCGGATAAGTCCTGTCCCCTGGTGACTCCTTGTCCATATGGACCTCCTCCCTTTTTTGGTTTCATCCAAATGCACAAAATACAATGAATTTTTATAAATTAAGACCATTTCTATGATAGTTGCAGCAATATATTTCAAATGGAAACGGAAACAAACGCATATCTAAATCAAAAGCGGATGCAAACTTATGTCACAGAAGGAGTTGCTTCTACTATTGAACATAGTTAAGGTTAAGAAGCAACTTTCTTTCTAGAAAATTTAACTGAGAACAAAATCAGTACAGATAAACCAGATTCAACCAAATGTAATATCAGTACCACCTCAAGAAAATGCCTAGTCTTACACTCAATGGTTGCATATACTGTTTCAAGCGAGACTCAACCAATTGAAACTTAAATTTCCACACCCTTTACACTCAATCAATGGTTTCATGTTAAGATTGGATTATTCTGAGAGCAAAGTATATTTCAGCACATAATCATTGGTTTATACTTTAGACCAGTATTGAGGGTCGTTGTCAGACAAAAATATATGATGATTGAGACACTTTACTCAATTCTATAGATAATCCACCTAAACCCTCAGTTTCAGTCTTTACACTTAGTTTGTTGCATTTGAAGTTCCCAAAGCTTTCTACTCAATCAATGTTTTCAAGTTAAGATTGGATTTATTTTGAGAGCAATGTATATTTCAACAACTATATTATTCGTTGGTTTATCCTTTAGACCAGTCTTGACAAACAAATAATTAGATGATGATTGAGAAACTTTAATCAACTGGTAATGATTGTAACCTTAACCGTTCTATGGTGATCTAGTCATCAACACTTCTTTTGGGATGAAACTCCAATAGATTTTATACCAAAAAACTTAAAATTTCCTTACATATGAAGAATACGATGATGCTTACAGAGAAGTAAGAAAGACAACAAGTTACCTTAAAGGCAAGAGCAGGATCAACAAAGAAGAGAGAAGCAGAGACAATCGCAAGCAGACTTCTCTTTGAAACCTCTTCTCCTAATGACAAAACCACACTTCCTAATGGACTTACCACTTCTTTCCCTTCCTGCCAAAACAAAACCCAGAAAATAGCAAAATGAATCTCTTTCTTTATGGAATGTTTCAATTCGACGCTGCGTTTCAGAGATTGAAGAAGATTTACCTGTGAGCAGCGAATGAGACAATGAGAACGAGAAGAAGGAGAATTGGAGAGAGAAGAGAGAGACTGTTTCGTAGAGATATTGCTAATGCTGCAAGAAAACGAGACGTTGCTGAGAATTGCCATTTTTCTTAATTTTGTGTATTCGTCTTCTTCACGAATCAACGAGTCTGTTTCAGTGGAAGAGGATGAGCCAAAAACAACAGCTTGTGGATAAAATTAATTAATTAACAATGACTGGATCAATTTACTACTACTTGACACAAGCCCAGTTTACTCGGCCCAATTAAAGCCCACTAATAGAGCGGAGATCACGTGCAACTGTAGTGTTCTGAAAGGCGGTCTAGCGGTGGTCTAGGCGGCCGCCTAGTGCCTAGGCGCTAGGCAGTGCTAGACGCTAGACGGTCATAAACCATAACAATTATCTTTTCAGCGCCTAAGTATTCATGTACCGTGATTTTATCTAAATTTTTATTTATAATTTAATAAAATTCATTTTATACCTATTTTTATCTAATATAAATATATTATACTTTTAATAAATGAAGTTTAAATACTCTTTTAATTTTTGAGTATATTTGAATTTCATATATTTAAAATATGTATAATATATAAATTTATTTTATAAACTTCAAAAACGTATAGCAATCTAGGTCCCGATTAGACGTTCTAGACGCTAGGTATTAGGCATTTACTCACTGCCCACTTAACGCCTAGCGTATTTTTAAACACTGCGTGCAAGTCACATGGATAACAGCTGTACACAGACCAAAACGCAAAAACCTAGGTTTTGAATTTTGATCATCATCATCATTACATGATGAGAGAGAGAGAGGAGCGTTAAGGAAAGGGTATAAATGTAATTTAAGTGTCGAAATCAAATGATTGGTGTCCGGTGAGAGAGAGACAAAGCGACACGCGCGGGGTGGTGAGAAGGTGGGATAGATTAATCACGTGGCCTTCCCACGTGAAGATCTGGCGTTTTTTAATTCCATTCATTCATTGCCCGTTTTATTTTTCACTTCCACCCATTTCTTTACACATCTTAGTCACGTGGCTCTCACTCGCCTCTGTCTCTTTTCTCAACTTTTTTTCTTGCTTTCTGAATCTTAAAAGTTTTTGCTTTTCAGCTTTTTTTTTGGTTTAAGATTTCTTATAGATCGCTACACTAAAATATGCTAGATTCTATGGAGTATTAAAGTTCTGGATGGTTCCAACTTTCAAGTACGAACAACAGTACAGTATATCATACGTCTTTTTTGTAAGCTTCGTCTACTACATTTATGTTCACTTCATTCATAACTTATCTCATGTTTAACAAAAAAAAAAATCTATCATATTAAGACTATTTTGGTCGTAACTAATCAGTAAAACTAAAATATACATTTTAAAGGTCGTAATTTCGTAAGCACAAACTTATTTTGTTTGAACTCATCAGAGCATATAATTAATATGACTATAAGTTGTCTAATCTGTTCATGCATGTGAACAGCTGTTATTCTAGTATCATATACTCATGACCATTGACCAGATAGCGTAGCATTTTTTTCCGTTTACAAATTTCGAAGTGTGGAATATGTTTTCTAAAGTTCCTTTGAATTTGGCTAAAACAGAAAAGAATTTTCTCTTTCAATTGTCGCTTAATTAATATCGATATAACAAAAATGATTAAGAATCAATCAAATCTTATAACGGACCAAAATAAGTGACGGGATTCCCACGTGGACATGTGTAATGATTAAGATTTCGAGTAAAATTGTTAGATACGTCGATACAATCATGTGGTACTTTGAAAAAATATAATAATTATTTTGTAATGATTAAAATTCGCTCAGCGGGCAATAATTGATGGATGGACTTATATACTTATATCTACAGTGGTACTATGGTTGAATGATTTATTTTTTTCCTTTTGACGTCATGGGTGGTGGTGGTGAGCAAGAGATTATATAAATGGGTACTTACAACTATGTCAGAAAAGCCATTATCATGTTGAAGTGGACAGAAAAACACACGCGTATATAATCATGTGCCTATAAATTATTTATGGATTTCAATAATTTGTTTACATAACTTTGAAATTTGTTTATATAAATATACTAAAACAAGTATAATCTGTATAAATGTATTTCGATCGGAGAAGGTGATAAATGTCAGCTCAAAGCCAAATCTAGGAAAATGATAACACATGCAATGGGAGAGCTTTGCACATGGATATGGCCACACACGTGGGGCCAATATTTGTATCATTTGTTTCTTACTAAGATGTGTCGAAAGTACTTGATGAACTCGTAAATTCATGATTAAGTATTTCAAAATTACTACTCCATGATACTGTAAAGTTCAACCAAAACAATTATTTTATATTCATGCATGATCAACTCAGAAACTAGTTATTGGTGAAACGTGGGCTCGGTTGCTTTGGTCGGTTCTCATCGGATCCTGTTCTATTCTTAGCTGTTTCTTACCAAAGTCATATGACAGTCTTTAATTTCCTCGCCAAAATTGTTATGAGAACCTCCTGGTAAGTAATTAATCAAACATATATCTGTACATTTTCTTTTTAAAAAGTAAAATATATAACTAGAAATTCAAACAAAATATATACATCCAGTACTCAGTCATCTAATTTTTATGTTTTACAAAAAAATAAATCATTTTTGCATTTTTCTTAATGTTTTGTCCAGTATACTACTGATGGCAGTGATTTAATGATAATATAGTCCAGATACTTGATTAGATAGTTTTGTATATATGACTATGTATGATTTTTATGATTTTATTTTTGCTGATAGTTTTATGGGAAATTATACTGAATAATCATATTGGAGAAGCAAATTAACAAAGTAACTATATCAAAACCATGGTTAGAATACAAGCAATATTTTCTGAAATATTGTCCATATTAACCTTGAAACTATTATATACTATTTGTTCTTTGTTTATATGGAATAGTACGAACTAAATATTTGTGTTTTGGGGTTAGTTTATTGAGTTTAGGGTTTAGATTTTAGGTTTAGGATTTATATTTTTGGATTTTGTTTCAATTTTTTGGGGTTTTATTTTTTGGTTTTAGGTTTAGTACTTTGAGTTTAGGGTTATTTTGGGGTTAGAGTTCTTTTTCTAAATTAGGAGTTTAGTTTTTTGGGTTTAGGGTTTAGTTTTTTGGGGTTAGGGTTTAGTTTCTTGGATTTAGGGTTTAGTTTTTGGGTTTCAGATTTATATTTTTGGATTTTGGTTTCAATTTTTTGGGGTTTTAGTTGTGTTTTGGGTTTAGTATTTTGAGTTTAGGGTTATTTTAGGGGTTAGGGTTCTTTTTCTAAATTAGGGTTTAGTTTGTTGGTTTATGGTTTAGTTTATTGAGTTTAGGTTTTAGTTTATTGGGTTTAGGGTTTATAATTTTTTTATTTAAAGTTTACATTTATAATTTAGGGTATAGGGTTATGGATTTTGGGTTTAAAATAGAGCTAAGTATATTTAATTTTTCTATGGAGTATAAGTTTATTAAGGGGTAATTATGGTAAAACTTAATGAATATATTCATGTACTATAGCCAAAGAATTGCTATGGCTATATTGTTAATATAATTCTCAATATGAATATTCACCAAATTAACCCTAGTTTTATAGCCTTCTTCAGTTGCTCTCAACAATTAAGTGCGTCATGTGCACGCGAGAGAGCGAGCGCGTGGAGTACTAGAACTGAGTCGGAGGATAGAAGAGAGAGAGTATCCAATGATTGAAGAGAAGTGGATGTCTGGTCGTAGAGGAACAAAAATTACGCCGCACGAGTGTGGTCACCGGGGACCACTTTCTGCCACGTTGGCAACCTCCCACGTGCTCATGCACGTGAACACTCCCATATCCCACGTGAGATCCACTTCCTCTTGTTCTTTAATCTTTGCTTGAGCTCTACATTCTCCCACACCGTCACACTCGTTGTTTATTCCAAAATTTAGCATTCATGAATATGTACTCGAACATCATTATATAATCTTAATTCTTAAACAAACTGAATAGATCTAACATTGCATATCAGAACGATATTCTTTATTAAACGGAGAGTTATTAATGATTAGTCATAATTATAATACCAATTTATATTAATTTTGCTCTGCTTCAATTCCATCTTATAAGGCTATGCTCTGCAATTTTTACAATTGTACCGAAAAATCATGAACTCCCTCCACTCTCAAACGAATTACGTATTTTTAGTAATATTATCTATATTACGAAATACGAACCCATGCTTGCTTTGTGTATTGTCACGCATCAACGCTCCGTTATTCTTATCCGTGTTAATAAAAACAAACAACTTAATCTGTGTGACAATATATGTATTAAACGATATATTTTCCTATACAAGTGTGTATCAACGCTCACATATATATATATATATATATATATATATATATGTATATATGTGTAGGAAAGGTGTGTGATGTATTAAATGAGATATTTTCATTTTCAGATTAGTTATATCAACCACAGCCTCAGATGTGAAATGACAAAACAGGATCATGCTTAGGTTTTTATAGCCACGAAATATTAACAAAAAACTTGTTTTTTTTTTCTTTTTCCTACAACATTTGAGGATGTCATTGGATTTGAAGCATACCCAACGATATCAGCTTATGGAATAAATCTGTATAAATGTTTTACCAAATGGTACTAATACGATGATAGAAAATTTTCTTCGAGATCTGGAGCCGTCAAATTCAGATCCATCACGGGAACACAAAGAACTAAATTAAACATGGGTTTATGGAAGCGTAACATGCATCCAACTACAGTTTTAGGTTCTTTATAAAAAAAATTCAAGCTTCTACTTTGGTTAACGTTTTTTATATCACTAATTCTATGAATCAAATCCTTACTAGTAGTTATTTAATGCAATGCTTCAGTATTTGTTTGAAATAAAAACTGTAGGAACATTCTTACTCAACGGAGGAGAATCCTTTTGTATCACTGTTGTTTTCAGACTATTATTAATAGTTTACCGAGTAGTATTAGCCAACCAATTAGGCTCCAAATATATAAAAATCAAAATCAATTATCTAAAAAAGTAAGTTACCATAAAAGAAGGTCAAAACAAGTATTGGAAACTAATGAAAAGCATGACCATATTGATTGAACAATAAAAGTCCTGATAAGAAGTCAATACACGCCTTCATTAAGAGCAAGAATAAATTGGAAAGTAAACAAACACACATTGATTTGTGGTTGAAAAGAGTGGGACGTTATTTAGCTTTAAAATTAATTAACAAATCCGACCTGTCTTGTCTGTAACTCTCGAAGTAACTGAAGCAGTCATAATGATGGCATTATCAACAACTTTGAAAACAGTAGAAATAGAAAAAATTATTGTCTCTACGATAGGAAGTAGCCGTAAACTCTACCACCTCTAACTAGTCATCTACAAATGTCCGTTTTACATTTGACTAGACAATTAACGGATAAACTTGAATTTAGTTGACCAAAGACACACTACTGCTAGTACTAATCAAGATTCAAAGTACAGTTTCCCGAAAGCGGAATAATAAATGAATTGAAGATTTTAGAATGCATGTTGTGTTCATAGGTAACTCTAAAGTTTTTCCCCATGCGGTGTTAGGCTGTATAAACCTACCAATACGACATCGTTTCCTGACTCCCATACCCATTTTGAGCCCAACGCCACACACTCGTACTCGTGAATGTACATCACGCGCTCTGATACACACACGGCTTTTTCCTCATAAATGACGCTTTCATGTTTTAAGAAATAAAACAATTCAAACAAAGATGTGTACGAGTACGACTATACTATAGGATATTTTAAAAATAATTCATTCCTAATTTTTGTTATATTAGACGTTTTCTAGTAGATCTACAACTGCAAGGCGTGTGCATTACTTTCCAAATGAATCCCCGTGGTCAGACCCGTTTTTTTTTTGTTTATTAATTAAACTGACCATACTTAAACTACAATATCTTTAATCAAGTCTGAAATATAAATTCTTAGAAAACAAACAAATAACTGATGTATTACACCTCAACAAGAAAGAAAATCTGAAATAACGCAAACGTTTGTTATTGACTTTTAGGAAGAGAACGAACAAACTTTAATTCCGCAGAAGCTCAACGTATTGGAGTTTTTAATTTTCTAACTTTGGTTAAAGTGAAAAAAAATGAAAGAAAGAGGAGCAGGTAACAGTATATATCATCATTGAAATGACAAGGGTCTCTCTGACACAAGTCATCATTGAAACCCCAAGCCCCCCACATAACCCCTCTCTCTCTCTCTACATATCAAATTATTGTGTATATATATATTAGTCGTATCTTTAACCAGCACTACCACATTGTTTTTCGATAAAATCTTGAAAACCAAGAAAGAAAGAAAGAAAAAGAGGAGATATTTTCTTTTAGAGAAAAAATGGGTGAAAGAGATGATGGTTTGGGTCTGAATCTAAGCTTGGGATTTAGTCGACAGAAGGAACCATCTTTGAGATTGAATCTAATGCCTTTGACAACGTCTTCTTCTTCTTCGTTACCTCACATGCAAAATCACAACATTAGCCAGCCCCAGAAGATTCATCACAACTCTTGGCCTCATCTATTTCAATCTTCTGGTAATTTCTTCTTTTCCTTAATTTTTCTCTTTCCATTTTTTTTTCAGACTTAGTTTCCCTTATTATGTTTTTTTTTGTTTTTTTTTTTGACCAAAATTCCCTTATTATGTTGCTTTTAAGATTTCGAAAGTATCTCAATACAGTCTTACACAAATCTATGTTTTAGATCCGATCTCTCACTCATGTTTTTCTTTTCTTTAGAGATAGTTACAAAAATTCTTTTTCTTTTTAGTTATGAAGAAAAAGAGACAGTTACAAAATTTTAGTATAAACGATTTTATTCGGATTTTGTTGTTTAGTAAATTTATTAACGGAACTAAAAACGTATAACGTCTACAGTGAGGAACACCGACGCAGGATCTTTGCTAAGAGGTTTCGACGTGAACAGAGCTCCGTCGTCGGTGGCGGTGGACTTAGAAGAAGACGTCGCCGGTGTGTCGTCGCCGAATAGCACCGTTTCTAGTGTGAGTGGGAATAAGAGGGATCTTGCTGCGGTGAGAGAAGGAGGAGGAGGAATAGATGAGAACGAGGCGGAGAGAGCTTCTTGCTCACGTGGCAGCGGAAGCGACGATGAAGACGGCGGGAACGGTGACGGATCGAGGAAGAAACTCCGGCTGTCGAAGGAACAAGCTCTTGTTCTCGAGGAGACTTTCAAAGAACACAGCACTCTTAATCCGGTTAGTGGCATTTTCGTAGATTTACCCCTTTTAAGCTACCGTTTTCGTAATTTTCATCACTAGAGACTAAAGATGCGTCTTTAATTGGGCAGAAACAAAAGCTGGCTCTAGCTAAACAGTTGAATCTAAGGACAAGGCAAGTAGAGGTGTGGTTTCAGAACCGTAGGGCAAGGTAAAGAAAATTCTCACTATCTGTAGGGGTATTACCGGAATTTTAGCTTTGCAGAACCTTAGTTATTGCTATGATGGGGATATAATTGTCCTTTTATGAGCCTATAAGATTTCATTTCCCTGTCCTGCTAGAAAATCCTATTAGGATCTTCTAGCTCTGTTACTTCTGTCACATTGAAAATTTTACTTTTTCACTACACAGCCTTAAAGAGAGATCAGAGATGATGCATGCGTTTTTATATAAAGAAAATAATTTTGTTTTTGTTTGTCCCCTTTATTTTTCTATTTGGAAGTTATCTTTCTTTTCTCAAAAATAAGTGTCGCTTTCAAATTTAGTGTCACGTTTTGTCACACATAACTCGTTTAACTCTAGTCAATCAATTAAAAGAACTTTGTAACATTAACATTTGTGATGAAACGGAAAAAGTACTGATAGACTGACTTTACTACATCTCAGGACAAAGCTGAAACAAACGGAGGTTGATTGTGAGTATTTGAAGAGATGTTGCGATAATCTAACGGAGGAGAATCGACGGTTGCAGAAGGAAGTATCTGAGCTAAGGGCGTTGAAGCTGTCTCCGCATCTCTACATGCACATGACTCCTCCAACTACTCTTACCATGTGTCCTTCTTGCGAACGTGTCTCGACTTCCTCATCCGCCACTGCTGCTGTGCCTCCTCCTTCGTCTTCCTCCCCCACATCTGGTGGTGGTGGACGGCTTCCTACGGTTGTGGGGCGGCCAAGTCCACAGCGATTAACTCCTTGGACTGCCATTTCTCACCAGCAAAGATCAGCTCGCTAGGGAGGATGTTTCCGGTAGTTTTACCTTAGTATATAGAGATGTTATATATTAAAATATATAAGTATGAAGCTGAAACATAACGTTTTTATGCGAGATTCTCATTTAACTTGAGTCTATTGGAAATGAAGTCATACAAAAAAATGGTTATAGATTTATGTCCTTAACGTTCCGTTTCTCTGTTGTATTATCCAAAATTCCAAAAGTTCCAACACCCAAATCTTTCGATGGATAGTTAGAAACTTACAAGAAGATCCCAAAAGCCCAAATAAAAAACGACGACGTTCCAGAAGGTGTTGGTTTTTGTTTTTTTTGTAACTTAATTATCACGACTTTGTTAAAATTATTGGGTCCAAATTAATTAAGGGCTCATCAAATTACACTACCGACCTCCTTTTTGCCTATCTTTCGTTTGACATTTCTTGTGTCTTATCTTATCCCTAACATCTTTCTGTTAGACAATAAGTAAAGGCTGGTAAACACCAATTAAGGGTAGATGTTGCATGCTGCTGACAACGTATCAAGCTGTTTAAATACGTTTCATATTTGAGTAAGAACGCATGATTACATTTAACTTCTCAAAACGTAATTCGTTTGGGATGAAAATGTAAAACTGAAACCAAAGTAAAAGAAGTCGATGGAAAAGGAAAGGAGTTGTACTAGGAGATGCAGATCCCTTTATTCATTATGGTCCAACATATATCTCCTTCCTTTCTAATTCCAGTACATTCATAAGTGTATCTTTTCAAGTCTTAATGGTTTTGTTACCAAAATAGTATCACAAAACCAGACATCCCTTTATTAAATCCATTTCCCTTAACGTTCAACCAAATTTTTTTCATTTATAGGACTTGTGTTTTGTTATCAAGGGTTTGTGTCTTTTCATGCACAATAGTAACTCTAATGATCTGATAGAACATGCTCCAACAAATTAAACCTTAACACTTCTCTAATTACACGAGAATAGATGGGATAATTGAACATTATGTCTTGAGTTGGATAGATATGGATAATGAGTCCCTTAATAAAGCAATTTGTTCCTATCTGTATCAAATTCTTTGAATATGATCTCTATAGTTTCAAAAACCAAAGGAATTTGCAGATTTTGTTACTAAAATGGGTGAATTAGAGCATCTATAAAGATTTTTGCGGAATTCTTTTTGGTTCATGATTCATGAATCTCAAACATTTTATAAAAACTGGATTTTTTGGGGTTAAAAACCGGAATTAGAAACATTTTCTGACAAATTTTTTATTTGTGAAATTATATCCTTTATTCGTTTGATACTTAATAACAAATATTACGGGTAATCAATAAAAAAGTTTCATTTTTTATTTGTCAACAATTTGTTTTGGTATATAAGTATTCATTATGAGATAGAAAAACAATGCAAGTAATTGGACAAAAAGAACAATGTAATTTTCTTTCGAAAAGAAAACATTGTACAAATGTTAATCTATAAAAATATGAAGAAAATCCAAATTGTAATAAAAGTAAATATAAGAGCTAGGAAAATAAAACAATAGAGGATTGTATATGTACCGTGCGAAGGAGGTGATTTCATGCTCTCAATATCATATATGAGCTGTGTTTTTTTCATCACACGACGCTGGAAGCCCTCTTCTCTCCTCTTCTCTCAAAGCTCCGACCCGAAAAATCTCCAATTCCTTCTTCTTCAATTACCCTTTTTCTCTCCATCTCTCTCTTTGTGCCTCACGGAAAACACAAGGGAAGATAAAAGCTTTTAACGGAATTGCTTGAGAGAGGGAAGCTTTATTTGGTTTTTCCTCGCCTGAATTCTCTCCGACCATCACTCTCTTCTCTTGTTTTCTTCACGTTGAAATTCCCATTGAGATCCTCTCATTGTAAGTTTAATGTCAATGCAAATCTCCTGAAGAAAGGTCAGAGATTTTGCTTCTGTTTGATTCCTCTCTTTTTATCCCATTCGAGGGTTTTTGCGTTCTGAGCTATTGAATTCATCTTCTATCTAATCTTATCGTGTAATGCGTCGTTGATTCCAATAGCTAAAGTCTTTGAGTCAATCCAAGTATCTAAATTGCCAAATTCTCTCCGAAAGGTTTGGACTTTTGTTGCGCCAAACGAAGATCTGTGTCTTCGTATGATTTATGTAATTTGTGATCAGCTCTTCAAAGGTTGAGACTTTGAGAGATACATATAAAGCAAAGTTTCAGTTTTTGTGTATCTGATCAAAGAGAATGAGTCGTAGGGTAAGGAGGAAGTTGGAGGAGAAAGGGAAAGAGAAAGTTGTCTTGCCAAGTTATCCTGAGACTAGCGACGAGGAATTAGTAGATGGTTTTGCTGATTGGACTAGTTTGCCTTATGACACTGTGCTTCAGCTCTTCACTTGTTTGAATTACCGCGATCGAGCTAGCTTGGCGTCGACTTGCAAGACATGGAGAGGTCTTGGCTCTTCTTCTTGCTTGTGGAGTTCGTTGGACCTTCGTGCTCACAAGTTTGATGCTTCAATGGCGACTTCTCTTGCCTCTAGGTGTGTGAATCTTCACCAGTTGAGGTTTCGTGGAGTTGAGTCAGCTGATTCCATTATAAACCTCAGAGCAAAGAATCTTCTTGAGCTAAGCGGGGACTATTGCAGGAAGATCACAGATGCGACATTGTCAATGATCGTGGCGCGTCACGAGGTGCTTGAGAGTCTCCAGCTTGGACCTGACTTTTGTGAGAAGATCACTAGTGATGCTATTAAAGTTGTAGCCTTTTGCTGTCCAAAGCTTAAAAGGCTTCGCCTTTCAGGGATAAGAGATGTCACTGGTGAAGCCATTGAAGCTCTGGCCAAGCATTGTCCACAGTTGAGCGATCTCGGGTTCTTAGACTGTCTAAACATCGACGAGGAGGCATTGGGGAAAGTTGTATCTGTGCGTTATCTCTCTGTTGCTGGGACGTCAAACATAAAATGGTTGATCGCGTCGAACAAATGGGATAAGCTTCCGAAGCTTACCGGTTTGGATGTCTCGAGGACTGATATTAGTCCCACGGCGGTTTCTAGGCTCTTGACGTCGTCACAGAGCTTGAAAGTTTTGTGTGCTTTAAACTGTTCTGTTTTGGAAGAGGATACAAGTTTCATCAGCTCTAATAGGTTTACAGGGAAAGTCTTGCTTGCTCTGTTTACTAATGTTTTCGATGGAGTTGCTTCTATATTCGCCGATACTACAAAGAAACCAAAGGATATATTTTCATACTGGAGAGAAGTGAGGATCAAAGCCAAGGATAGAGCCGTTGATGACATGATGCGTTGGATCGAATGGATTGTTTCTCATGCACTTTTACGGACTGCAGAGGGAAATCCACATGGATTGGATGGTTTCTGGCTGAATCAGGGAGCTGCATTGTTGCTTACTTTGATGCAAAGCTCACAGGAAGATGTCCAAGAGAGATCAGCTACTGGACTTGCGACTTTCGTAGTGATCGATGATGAGAATGCGAGTATAGACTGTGGAAGAGCTGAAGCTGTAATGAAAGATGGAGGGATCCGTCTTCTTCTTGAACTTGCGAAATCATGGCGAGAAGGGCTTCAGTCAGAAGCTGCAAAGGTTGCTTGCTTATCTTCATTTGTCTCATATCGATATTTTGTCTCTTATGACTGGACACACTAACGTTGTTCTTTTGTTGAATTTCTTTTTCAGGCTATTGCAAATTTGTCAGTAAATGCTAATGTTGCAAAGTCTGTTGCTGAGGAAGGAGGAATCAAAATTCTTGCTAATTTGGCAAAGTCAATGAACAGACTTGTGGCTGAGGAAGCTGCTGGTGGACTATGGAATCTCTCTGTGGGAGAAGAGCATAAGGTTAGTCCTCTAGTTATCTATTAGGTTCTTCTTGTTATTGCTCTTGTTTCTTCAGCTCACATTTTGTTTTGTTTTCTTTCTCTATTAGAATGCTATTGCTCAGGCTGGAGGAGTGAAGGCACTAGTCGATCTTATATTTAGATGGCCGAATGGCTGTGATGGAGTCTTGGTACGCTTTCGCCACCTTAAAGCTTCATTTTTTGTTTCCTTTTTAGGGACATAGTTAAAACTGTCATTTGTTGGATACTTCTCATCTTTCTATATGGAGGATTTGACCTGATTTGTGTGATTAGGAACGAGCTGCGGGAGCATTAGCAAACTTAGCAGCGGATGATAAATGCAGCATGGAGGTCGCAACAGCGGGAGGTGTACATGCCCTTGTGATGTTAGCTCGCGATTGCACGTACGAGGGAGTGCAAGAACAGGTAAGTTCATTGTGTTGTTTCACCAATTTCCTTGCTAGTGATTTTGTTATTGTGTTGAGTTTGTGTGGACTGATTGATGTTTTCTTTTTTTCTTTCAGGCCGCTCGTGCTTTAGCTAATTTGGCTGCTCATGGAGATAGCAACAATAACAATGCTGCTGTTGGACAAGAGGCAGGGGCATTAAAAGCTCTTGTTCAACTTACGGAAGCGCCTCATGAAGGCGTTAGACAGGAAGCTGCTGGTGCTCTATGGAATCTGTCATTTGATGACAAGAATCGAGAATCAATCGCTGCAGCTGGTGGTGTTGAAGCTTTGGTATGAATAGAAATCTATTTAATATGATTTAACATGTCTCATCTGAAATTTCTAAGTAAATTTTAATCACTTTTTGTTGATTGTTTAGGTGACACTCGCGCAGTCTTGCTCAAATGCATCCACAGGTCTTCAAGAAAGAGCAGCTGGTGCTCTTTGGGGATTGTCAGTGTCAGAAGCAAACAGGTACAAAACTCTGAACTTAATTTGTATCCGTTACATTGATATATTAAAGATCAATGCAGAAGCAATTTAAGGAAAGACAAGAGGTGATTTGAAAGAGTTTCTTATTGTCACTGTCATTTTCCTTCGTAACAATCTTGCCATTTTCTGAATCTTCATCAGCATTGCGATTGGACGTGAAGGTGGGGTTCCACCTCTAATTGCACTTGCTCGGTCTGAAGCAGAGGTAAGCTTTTTGTTGTCAAGTCTTGTGGCTTAGAGTTAAGCCATTTGTGCTATCTGATCAAATTTTCCTCAATGCATTGTTTTCTTCTTCTTCTTCTCAGGATGTACATGAAACTGCAGCAGGAGCTCTATGGAATCTAGCTTTTAATCCGGGAAACGCACTCCGCATTGTGGAGGAAGGAGGAGTTCCAGCTCTTGTTGACTTATGTTCGTCTTCCGTCTCAAAAATGGCTAGGTTCATGGCTGCATTAGCTTTGGCATACATGTTTGATGGAAGGTATGTACATAAACTCATCTTCATAAGTTCAATCTGACTCTTTACGGTTTTTGATATGTTTTGATCTGAATCATCAGGATGCATGAATACGCTGTGATGATAGGAACTTCTACAACAGAGAGCACATCGAAAAGCATTAGCTTAGACGCGGCAAAGAAAATGGCTCTTGAGCACATTAAAGCTTTTGTTATAACTTTCATGGATCCTCAGGTCTTTGTAGCTGCAGCTGTTTCATCCACACCTACTATGTTGGCACAAGTCTCTGAGAGAGCTCGCATACCAGAAGCTGGCCACTTGAGATGCAGGTTGATAATCTCCTCGCTGTCTTGTGTTAAGATCGAATATCGATTCAAACGAACTTTTTCTAATAGACTTTCCTTCTTTATTTGCCAGTGGTGCTGAAATTGGAAGGTTTGTATTTATGTTACGCAATCCTTCTTCCACACTCAGAGCATGTGCTGCGTTTGCGCTTCTTCAGGTATGTTAAATGTGTGAAAGGCATTGTGACGTTTCCTCAAGACATATTCCTAAACTAAACTGATGCATTTTGGTTTTGTTCTTTCTCTGATTCAGTTTACAATACCCGGTGGTCGTCATGCAATGCATCACGCAAGCCTTATGCAGGACGGAGGAGAAGCAAGAGTCCTTCGTTCTGTAGCTGCGGCTTCAATCATGCCTCGTGAAGCTAAGATATTTGCCAAAATTATCCTTCGGAATCTCGAGCATCACCATGGGGAATCTTCCATATAAAGCCTAGGAAAGGATAGTGAAAAGTTACATTTACTTAGAATTATATCTGTATCTCAAATACACAGAACTTAGCCAAAGCCAAAGCCAGGCCATGCTGCAAAAACCAGACTCTCAAGATGCTTTTACCAGACCAAGACTGTTAGTCTTCAGTGTGTTGATATATGAGACTTGTGTTTTGAGATTTTTCTGTAATAACAGGTCCAAAGGATTGGGAGGTGGTGTGTTTCCTCTATCATCTTCTTCTTCATCCTTCTTTTTTGACTCTGTTCATTTCTTGTGACATATGTATTTGATTTTTATCTTTACCAATATATACGACTTTTTTTAGAGATTTTTCAACACTTTCAATACACTGGGAACAAAGCTTTGATCAAGGAAGAAATATGAAGTCATTCTCCAAGCTTAAGCACCTCTCTTTACAAGTTACACTGTAAAAATGCAAAAGACAGACTCTCAAAAGTCAAACTGATGAGAAACAAGTCAACAAATAATCTTCCACATCTCTCATTTGCAAGTCAAAACACTTCGACTTTTTCGCTCTGTAGTATACTGATCTACTTCCGTCTCAGTGATGATTCACATAATCCCAACCATAAGCTTCAATGTTGATCCTAGACAGCGACCAGCTTCTGTAGAGAACTTGCTGTTGTTTTGGCTGATGTTTCACATTACACAATCTGATGATCTGTGTGCTTGTGCCTTTAGTTCTCTGATTCATTGGTCTGAACACGGACGTTCACTCTCTTAGAATACTGCTGCTCACTCTTAACTCCTTAAGTATTTCACTTAGAGTAGCATTTGATAACTGTGATTTGCTTTCACCAGTTGGCTTCCTCGTCTTTCATGTGCATAAGCAGCTTCCCGAGAACCAAACGTACATTCCTCCGATAAGGATGTGTCGTATCTCCCGAAATGAACTCCGAAACAACAGAATCTATCTCAATCGAGCTACAACCAACTTCCTTCTTGGCTTTGTTCTTCCTCATCATGTTCTTCACTACCCCTACATCGTCCCATCTTGAATCCCCCGCATACAAGTTCCTCAACAAAACATAATTCCCATCATTCTCAGGCTCCAATTCAACTGCCTTCTTCAGAACTCTCTCAGCTCTTTCCACATCCTTGTATTGACCACACGCAGACAAGAACGAGCTCAGAACTATCCCGTTTGGCTCAAACGGCATGCTTCTAATCAAATCCTCTGCTTCTTCCAACTCCCCTGCTCTCCCTAGCAGATCAACCATACATCCATAGTGCTCAATCTTAGCAACCAAGCCAAACTCTTCCTCCATCCTGTAAAACCATTTTCTTCCTTCCTCCACTAATCCACCATGGTTACAAGCTGAGAGAACCGCAAGCATCGTGACCTCATCTGGCTTCACTTCTCTCATCATCGCCAAGAACAGATCCAACGCTGCATTCGCATTCCCATTCAAACCATACCCATGTATCATAGCATTCCAAGACGCCACTTCTCTCTCTCCCACCATCTCATCAAAGACTCTCCTCGCCTTCTCTACCTCTCCACATTTGCAGTACATATCAAGAATCGCTGTACACACTTTCACCTTCTTATCCAGCTTCCTCCTCTCCACAAAACGTCGACACCATTCACCGAGACTAACAGCACCAGTGTCAGAAATCGCCGGCAACACACTCACGATAGTCACGTCATCAGGATCAAACGAAGTGTTCGCCTGCAATTCCTGAAACAATCTGATAGCTTCTTGAGGCTGTTTGTTCTGAGCGTATCCACCAATCATCGCATTCCAAGAAACCAAGTTCCTCTCCGGCATAGCATCAAACAAAACCCTAGCGGAATCGATATCATTGCTGTTGCAGTAACCATGAATCATAGTGGTCCAAGTGATAACAGTTTTAACTCTCATCTCATCAAACAGTCTTCTCGCAGAGGTCATGTCACCAAACTTCACATAACCATCCATCATCGCATTATACATCACAACGTCTTTAGCTTCAGGAATCTCATCAAAGAGCTTACTCGCCACATCAAGCTCTCCACACTTAGCGTACCCACAGATCAACGCCGTCCAAGAAACCTCACTTCTCTGAGGCATTTCGTCGAACACTTTCCTCGCGTAACCCATCTTCCCGAATTTCGCATACATGTCAACAACTCCAGTCGAAACGTACATATCTGAGCAAAACCCAGATCTCCAAATCTGGCTATGCAACTGTAAACCTTCGTGAACGCACATACTCAAAGTGCAGGACTTTGTCAACGTCGTGAAAGTGAAATTGTCAGGAGAAAAAATCGTCTCTTTCCTGAGATCTCTGTAAAAGGAAAACGAATCAGAGTAGTGACGAGTTTCGAGATAGGATTTGATCATGGAGTTACAGAGGAAACTGTCTTCTCTGTGAGTCCTTTGATCGAAAAGCTTACGCGCATAGCTAATTCCAACTGCCGACGAAGAGATAACCAAGAATTTGGTGAATATTTGAACGTTCGTCTCTATTGCGTGACGGAGCATGAAAGCATGGATCTGAAGAAGAGAGAATCTTCCGTGTCGATGGCTTTGTTGGAGAAAGTTGAAGCATTTTCTCTCAATCGGAAGCCATGGCTGTTGAGTTTCTCGCTCGTGAAGCATCATCACCATCTTATTGCAGCTACGAGCTTAATGCTCTGTTTCTGTTTCCCCAACTGTAATAACGAGAATCTATCTCTTTCGAGACAAAACGACGACGATCGTGCCTAAAAGTGGGCCGCTTAATGGGCTTTTAAATAGAAATGGTTTTCTTCTTCAGAAACCGAATAAACCGAACTGAAATCAAACTTTTTTTTTGGTTTTCTTACATTTAAGTCCAAACAAAGCCAATCAAACAATGCTCTAAATTCTAAATTATTTCATCAATACAACAAAGTATTAAAGGAAAATGAAACTCCACAATCAGAGATTTGAAGAAGACTCAGATTTGTGCTAATAGTTTAGCAGTTGACATCATCATTCCATGTTCATTTTTGTGAAGTGGAAGCAACAGAAGATGACTCCACTTTCTCTTTCAGGGTTTGAGGCTCTCTCATTCTGTAAAAGAAAACCAAATTCACCAAAAAGAAACTAAGAAAAATGTGAAAACTTGACAGACACGCAACAAGATCAAAAACACACTCTTTCTTCTGACCTTGCAAGCTCTGCTCGTCTTATGGAATCATCAGCAACCCTTGGGCTGTTTCCAGGTGAGTCAAGTGGGTTCTCGAGACCATGCATTGATCTCTGCTCACTCGCCCAAGCAGCCACTCGTTGTTCTTGCCCAAAGTCTCTCCTCCCTGTGAGTGCAATCCTCTGCTCAAACATTCGACTCCAAGGCTTGCCACTTAGACCATAACGAACACCAAATTTGATAGGATCAAGTAACATGTAAGTCACTATGTTGTATATCCATATAACTCCAGTCCATCCCCATCCTATACTTCTGATCCCAGCAAACTTCCAATCCGCCATCGCTGATATAACCGATGCAATCTAACCGTATTCACATTGGAACCCGGTTAGGTGAAATTACAGATGAAGAATGGAATGAATAAGTGAAAGATAAGAGGACGAGTTTGTTACCAGCTGAGCAACGAGGAAAGCGAATAAAAGAAGATAACCAGGCCGCTCAACGAATGACCAGCTTCTTGAACGAGTCACAAAGATGAGAGCTTGGCTAATGGTGCTGACTTGAAGGTAAACAGCCGAGGCCATCTCTTCATTAAGCTTTGCAGCCACTTCCTTGTCTTTCATGTTGAAATGGTGCTGGTTGAAATCCCTCACTGGGAATATTCTCTAACATATACAAGAGAAAGAAAAAAGATAGTTCCATAAGAGAGCTATGTTTAGAGTGTTAGCAAACAGAGATGGTGATGAAAGATTTACAGTGAAGAAGTTGGTTTCGTAAGCCGCCCAGAAGAAGATGACTGTCATCAGCGCCAAGTAAGTCCCAAGGACAACACCGGTGGCGAAAATCTCCTTGAGTTTCCAACAATCTGGTATTGGAGAAGGCTTGACTCTATCTTTAGATATTGTCATTATAGTGCCTTTTCAAGAAAAAAACAGAGCAAAAAACAGAGCAATGTCTTAGAGTAGCAGCTACAACAACAACATCCTACTAATGAATCATGAAAAAGGTTTAACAGCTGACTAACCATCGTTAAGTATTGCGATTACAAGAACCATGAACGGAGGGAAATCAAATTTCCAAAAGACACATAAAAGCATGAAACCCATCTGTTACAACAAGAAACAGAACAAGATAAGTATGTAAATGAAGAAACTGTTGGTATGACCAAAATGGACTCATAAGTTTTTTTTTTTTGTTTGTGTGAAATCATTGTAGAAGGGAATAAAAAAGCTTACCACAATACGTATAGTGATTGAAACAGCGTATATCTGTAATATAAAAAGAAAATAATTCAGAGATTTGTTCTTAAACTAGAATTTAGGAATGATGCAATTTTATAACCGTGTAATTCTTCATTCTCTGGAAAATGGCACGGCTAGTCAAGACAGCACTGATGATAACACTAAGCCCTGGTTCTGTCAGGACAATATCAGAAGCACCACGAGCAGCATCAGTGGCATCATCAACAGCAATTCCAATATCAGCTATCTTCAAAGCAGGTGCATCGTTGACTCCATCGCCAGTCATACCACAAATGTGCTTTTTAGCTTGCAGTCTCTTTACGATCTCATACTTATGCTCTACAAAGTCAAGAAGCAAAATAGATTGGTTCTGGTCTAAGATTCTTAGAAGTTACATAGTATCTATGTATCAGTAAGAAACTTACCAGGAAATACTCCTGCAAAACCATCTGCATTTTCAATGAGGTCATCAATGGGGATTGTTGATTCTGCTTGGCCTTCTACACCAAAGAGAGCAGAAGATGGATACATGTTTGTTCCCATCCCTAGTCTTCTTCCTGTTTCTTTAGCTATTGCAAGCTGATCACCAGTGATCATTTTAACACTGACTCCAAGGAGAAGAGCTCTCGCTATTGTCTGAGCACTGTCACTGCGTGGAGGATCAAACAGAGGAATTAGGGCTATGAGTTCCCATGGACCACCCTCTCCTTTATCATTGCCATCAGGTACTTCCTATTTGAATATTGAATGTTTACATTGTTAGTCAAAGGAGCATATATATTTGGTTATATAAAAAATGTCACACCTGATAGGCCAATCCAAGGGATCTTAGACCACGGTTAGCAAACTCGTTGATCAATGAATGTACACTGTCCTTGATTTCTGATTTGTTGTGAACCATATCCAAAATCTTGACAAGAAAACAAAAAAAAGTGTTGGTATATTACATGTTGTAATAAGCTATAGCGAAAAATAACAAGACAAAGCTTTATATAACCTCCTCAGGTGCGCCTTTGGTGACGCGATGCATTTTGCCTTCTCCGTCAAGGTAGGTTATTGCTGTCCTTCTGTTAGCTGGATTAAATGGAAGAAAATGGACTTCTTCAATCCCTGCACGTGCCTGAAGACAAAGTATCATAAGCAACAAAAATGTTCACTAGAAGCAAGAGTTTTCAACATTCTTAGTCTTAAAATCATTACTTCTCTTGGATCTCCCAGCATTGAAACAATGGCAGTATCGATTGCATCTTGGTTTTCTAAACGTGCAGCTCTAGCAGCCATAAGCACAGCCATATCCTTGTCAATGCCCTTCTTGAAAATCTGCAACAGCACATCACATGTGCATTACAATCTCAAAGATTCACAGTAACGTAAGTGACAAGAAAGGAGAAGAAGAGGAAATAAAAAAAAAACCTCAATCAGGTTTCTGTCGACAGTAAGCTGGTTTAAAGTGAGAGTGCCTGTTTTATCACTGCATAGAACATCCATTCCTGCCATTTCTTCAATTGCTGTCATCCTCTTCGTTATCGCACCCTGCTGAGACAAGCGGTGAGCACCGATGGCCATAGTAACAGAGAGAACAGTAGGCATTGCAATAGGGATACCACCAATGAGTAAGACAAGAAGGTTGTCGATACCAACACGGTACCCTCTCTGTTGGATACCGTATATCACAATGATCTCAATCACCATTCCAACTGCTATTGAGCAGATACAAAAGTTCCCAATTGATGTCAAAACCTTCTGGAAGTGACCAACATGTGTAGTGTTATCCACAAGATGAGCTGCTTTCCCATTGAAAGTATGAATCCCTGTAGTGGTCACAACGGCTTGTATTTCACCTTGCTTGCAAGTTGAACCAGAGTACACTGATCCATAAGGGTTTTTTGTCACAGGAAGAGATTCTCCTGTAAGTGCTGACTGCATTACATAGATAGCCAAAAGTTAGCTACGCTACAAAATGTACTATTCTTGAAAAGTAGAGGGATTTGAGATTTGCCTGGTCAATCTTTAAAGGGTCTCCTTCAAGAAGACGCACATCAGCAGGAATGATATCTCCAAGTCTGATAGCAATTATATCTCCTGGAACCAACTCAGCTGCATCTATCTCTTTCCATTCACCATCACGCCGGACCTTTTAAATGTTTTTGACTAAAGAAGTAAGACTTTTGAATTTTAAACAAGATGAAACCTGAGATCATATAAGATGTATAGGAAGAGAAGAGACCCTGGCTTTAAGTGCCAAGCGAGCCATGAGAGCAGCAGCTGCATTGCCTGCATTGTTTTCTTCTATGAAACTTATAGTTGAGTTTATCACAAGTAACACCACAATGCCCACGAAATCAGGATAATCCGCAGGCTTTCCCTGAACAATATCAGGATGAATATCAGAATCTGATACTGGTTTAAGCCAATCTTTAGTCATTACTAAAGAAGAGGAAACGAAGAAACGTACTCCTCCATGTGCCATAGCAATGGACATGATGGCTGCAGCTTCCATGACCCATGACAGTGGATTCCACATAAATCCCAAGAACTTGAGTATCTTATTCTCCTGCAGAACAACGTAAAGACACAAAACGTACCATTTGTATGGTAAGAACAAATTTTAGGAGGACATATATGTTTAAGATTATAATTTCATTTCTGACCTTTTTCTCTTCAAGTTTGTTGTAACCAAACCTTGTAAGTCGCTCCTGTACTTCATCAGAGGTCAAACCTTCTCTTGTACAAGTGAGATTTACAAATACATCTTCAATGGAAGCATTTTCCTGCAAGCACAAGAAATCACATATTTGTTAGTGAGAGCTTGTAAAGCTAAACAGTAACGCTCATCAGAGACAACAACAACAACAGAGTGGTGGTTTCTCAATATACCAAATTAACGCTTTCATTGCTGATAGCCTGGAGAGCTACCGAATTGTCAGACATATATGAAACTTCCTTTTGCTTGAACCACAAGTTACTAAAATTTCAGTTTTGGAATCTGCAATGGAAAATCATCATGAAACGATCCTAAAGCATCTCTTAGCAATAGTTGCAAGAATTTACATGTTCAGTTTACACAAAAGATGATCATTTGAAACTCAATAAAGTGAAGCAATTAATAGAGGACTAGTTTTGCTTGAAATCAAAGACAAGCTATGCAATGTTACATACCTGAACTAAAATCCTCACCAAAACATCAATCGGTTACTTTCCAAAGACGCAGACAGTATATATATAGGCAATTTATAGCCAAAACATGAAAGGATCTCTGTAAAGGAATATGCCGGCTAGATTAACTCAGTGCACAAGAAAGCGGACAAGTTCAAAATGTCACCTTCCAATCAATTTACAGTGGTATTTATATATATAAAAAAAGGAAGATTCTTTTCCCCACACATTTGATGACATAAGAAAAATACGAAGATTCTTTTGGAAATGTATTAGAGGTGCAAAATTAAAATATTGCACCAAGTGTCAATTAGTTTTGATTGCATCATCTAGCGCAGCAACGGTTAACTATTCTTTGAAGTTTGAACGTGTCAGAAGAAAATAAAATCACAATTGCTTAGAAGTAATCTTATTATAATAAACAATCTAAGGAGTGGTGATCCATCGACCATTCATGTTGGGAGTAACTGTCAAAAACCATCTTTACCAAGAAGTTTCTTTTATTTATTGTTTGACTAAGACGTCAGAGAAAGATTCATCATGGCACATACTAAGTAAGAGAGATTGTTTACCTTGACAAAGTGACATCTTCATGCTGACGAGACATTTATAACATCAATTATCTCAAAATGCATATGTAGATGAGCAAGTATGAGAGCATAATATATACAACCTTTTCCTTCATCACTTTTCCACTCAATTACATGAAACATATTCCAAGTGGCTTAAATAGAATGACGCTGATGTATATATATGCAAAGATACTCTTGACCAGGATCCTGAACGCATTTAGGGTTACGTAAACACTTTGTTCTTTTTTTTTTGGTGCAAAATACCAATTTCATTAAAATCTTAGACCGGTCCCTGACCAAAGTTAACCAAAGCTTTCTTTGCTAAACGATCTGCCATCACATTGGCTTCCCGTGGAACATAGAGAAAAGAGATTGCAGAAAAGGAAAGTAAGAAATCTAGGATGTCATGTAGAATCCCATGGAGCTCTTTGGAAGAATCTCCTCTGTTGATTGCTTTGATTAGCTGTTGCGAATCAGAAGCGACTGATAGGTGGCTGTGTCCGATTTCTCGGGCGGTTTTGATGGCTTGGAGCATCGCCAGTGCTTCTGCCGTGAGCGCCGATCGAACGGCTTCTCTTGTGTCAAATCCGGATCCCAAAGGCTCCGATCTGTCGTTTGTGAAGACCCATCCCAGTCCTGCTGCCTTCGTCTCCTTCCTCCAGGCCGCGTCTGTGTTACAGCGGATTGCATGTAGCCGGCTCGGATGTTTCGGTGTGACTCTTGCGCCGGATTGGCCCTTCTCTTCCTCTACTTGCGCCAGTATCCATTTCCGTGCGCTACTTATCGCCTGTGTCATCGTATCCTCCGGCGTAAATTGGCGTTCGTTGCTGTTGAATAGTCGCTGGTTCCGGCTTTTCCAAATCGACCACAATACCCAAGGCGAGATTGGTCCCGTTCCGACTCCCGTGGGAGGTAAACTCACGAGTTTCCTTGATTCTTCTAGTCCATTCCCTGTGGTTTGAATGTTTTGTGATTCAAAGATTTGAGTGCAGGGAACAAGTCTTGTTGAGCAAAATCGCATCGGAAAAGGAGGTGTGCCGTTGTCTCCTCTTCTCCGCAATGCGGGCATCTGGCGGTGGTGTTGATGTTTCTGCTTCTCAGGTTTTCTCCAACCGCTAAGGCCTCCCTCATAGCTTTCCACATAAATTTTTTTGGCTTCTGGCCTGTGTGTACTTTCCAAATCTCCTCATTCCACTTGAGGTTTGTCAGTAGATGGTCTTGGTGTCCCTCCGGTTCTGGTTGAGGTTCCATCATATTTAGCTCATCCTCCGCCTTTAGTCTTTCATAGTATCCTGATTTAGCTGTGTAGGTTCCATCCTCCGTGTGAACCCAAATGATCTTATCTATCCCTCCCCTTTTGCTTGGATGTAGCTCTAGGATCTGGGCTTCATGTACTGGCAAGATTTGTCTGATTTTCTCCTTATCGCACTCTCCCGTTTCAGGTTCTATCAGGCTTGCTACGGAGAGGTCCTGTGTACTTTCGGTCGGTGGTCCTAGAGGTCTGCATTGTTGGTCAAGCGATAGCCACGGTTCTCTCCAGAAGCTTCTTGATTCTCCGTCACCTATGGCTTTACCCAGGTTTGCTTTTAGCACATCTCTGCCTATACATAAGCCTCTCCATCCATGCGAGGCCGTTGATGATACCTCACACTCCAAGAAGTCCGTCTCATGACAGTATTTGTTGAGGAGTACTCGTGCCAACAGACATGAGGGCTTGGTGAGGATCCGCCAGCTCAGTTTGGCGAGTAGGGCGTCGTTAAAGTGTTGTAAGTCTCTGAACCCTAACCCTCCATCACGTTTTGATTTCACCATTTTTGTCCACGAGATCCAACACATCTTCTTGTTTTCTTCATTTCCATCCCACCAGAATCTCGTCAAAGCCGATTGTATGCGTTTGTACATTGATGCAGGCAGTTTGAAGCATGTCATGGTGTACGTGGGCATAGCTGCAAGCACCGACTTGAGCATGATAAGCCTTCCCGCTTGTGAGAGCTGTCGCGACGTCCAACTGTGAGCTTTTTGTCTAATTCTATCGACAATCAGGCTGACCAAATCTTTCTTCTTCCTGCCAAAGTGTTCAAGTAAACCGAGATATTTCCCTAGACCTCCTTCTTTCTGAATCCCGAGTATAGCTTTTGCGTCCCTTTTCACCGTATTGTTTGTCTTTGAGGAGAAGGTGATTGCTGATTTGGCTTTGTTTATCTTTTGGCCAGAGGCTGCTTCATACTTGTGTATAATCTTCATGAGCTCGATGCAACTCTTGGTGTCTGATCTACAGAAGAACATTGTATCATCCGCAAAAAGAAGATGATTTACCCTCGGGCTTCGCGTTGCAACTCTAATTCCCGGTAACGTCCCTTCTTGTTGAGCTTTGTTGCATAAGCCTGACAACACCTCACTACAGAGTATGAAAACGTAGGGTGAGAGTGGGTCTCCTTGTCTCAATCCTCGACTTGGTGTCACATGTCCTTGTGCTGAGCCATTTATCAGGTAACAGTAGGTAACTGTAGTGAGGCATTGCATGATCCATTGGATCCATTTAGTACTGAAGCCTAGCCTTTCCATGATCTTTTTTACAAAGTTCCACTCTATTCGATCATACGCTTTGCTCATATCGGTCTTCACCGCCATATAGCATCTAACCTTTGCTTTTGACGTTTTCAGGTAGAGTAGCGTCTCGTGTGTGATGAGAACATTATCTGAGATTGCTCTCTGTGGGACAAACGCCGACTGGTTCTCCGTCACGATCTCATTTAGCACCGGTTGAAGCCTTAGTGTAAGTATCTTCGAGATAATTTTGAAGTAGACATTGCATAACGCTATTGGTCTGTAGTCTGCCACCCTTTTTGGACTAGTGATCTTCGGTATGAGTCTCACATGCGTAGCATTGATGTGCAAGGGCAGGGTTCTTGATGTGAAGAACTCTTGTATCTCCGCCGTGACCTTTTCCTTTACTACACTCCAATTCGATTGGAAGAAACACGCCGAGAACCCATCCGGTCCTGGGGCTTTCCCTGGGTGGATTGAGAAGCAAGCTTCTCTGACTTCCTCTGCTGTCGGTGTCTGTGTAAGTTTCTCGTTCATCTCCTCTGTTATACGTGGTTCCAAGGCTTTCCAGACCGTTTCATGGCACTCTCCCTCTTGAGATGTAAAGAGGTCTGTGTAGAAATCCGTGATGACTTTCGTTATTTTCTCCTCTTCATACACAACATTATTCTCCTCATCCACAATGACTGAGAACTTATTTATTGTTTTCCTCCCCTTTGCAGCCGCATGGAAATACTCTGTATTCTTGTCGCCTAGGGCTAGCCACAACTGCCTACTTCTCTGCTTCCAGAAGCTCTCCTCAGCTCTATAGGCTGCCTGCTGCTCATTATTGATCTCCGATATCAAGTTCTGGTTTGAGAGAGGACTTACCATTGCCTCTTCCAGCTTGTTGCGGAGGTCCTCAATTTGCTTTCTGCTGTTCAGGTGCTTTTCCTTATTTCATTTTATAATGGCACTTCTACATCTGGTTACTTTCTGATCCACTGTATCTGTAGCTCTTGTGTTCCAGGCTTTAAACACTAGTCTTTGGACTTCTTCATTCGTTCGTAGCCATCTATCGTAGCGGAAGAGCCCTTTCTTCCTCTTTCTCAATGGATCAAAAATTGTAATGATTGGTCTGTGGTCTGATCCCTCAAACTTAAGGTATTCGCATTTTCCTGTTGGATACTCTTCTGCCCATGTACTATTTGACATTGCTCTGTCCAATCTACATCTGACTAGATGCTCATTTCTTTGTCCCCTCCATGAGAGAAAGTTTTCGGAGTACCTCAGGTCGTATAGATCACACTCTGACATGAAGGTCCTGAAGTCTACAAAAGATCCCTCCGGTCTTGGTGGTCCTCCCTTTTTCTCTGAGGCATCTATGATCTCATTGAAGTCTCCCGTTAGGAGCCACGGGTCTGTTCTATCTCCCACCTGCTCTCGTATTTCATCCCATATTCTTTGTCTTTGTGTATGGTCCGGTTCTCCATAGACAAACGTGATCTAGAAGTTTTTCCCTTCCGCTTTGACTTTTGTATCTATGAAATTTTTGCAGGTGTGGAGCATCTCCATCTCAATCTCTTGCTTCCAGAAGAGAGCTAAGTCTCCTCCCCCGTGCCCTTGTGGCGACACTAGAGTATGAGCCGCGTACCCCATCCATTCAAATTTACTGAGAACAATATCATCTGTATTTTTTGTCTCAGAGAGGAAGAAGATATCCGGAAAGATGCTGGTGCGAATCTCTCGGAGTCTGCGAACTGTCTGTGGGTTCCCCACACCACAGCAGTTCCAAGCTGCCACTTTTAAGGAAGAGGATTTGGTGGATTCTGAAAATCCACCCTCCTGGTTAGAGGACTTGGTGATGGGGCTCGTGGTGATGGGACTCGTGGTGGCCTTGTAGCATTACCCGTCCGGTTGCTCATAATTGCTTTCTGTCTTGGGGTCACTGTCCTGCTCGTGGATGCCCCCGCATTTGTAGCTTGTGATGCTTGCATCTTCCTCCCCCATGGTGACCTCTGTGTGAGATTCATTTTCCTCGAAGGCGAGGTTGCTCCCGTTAACCTCATCGGGCTCTTTCCCAATGTTTTCCTAGCGAGTGGTGGTCTTCCTCTTTTTCGTGTCGATGGCACATGTATGTTTTCCTCCTCCTGAGGCTCTTGGGCATTTTGTATTTCCGCATATCTTTGAGTTTGCTGCTCATTCTCCTGGTATGTTTGTGTTTCTGATGCTGCTGCTGCTGTTGCTGCTGTCACCATGTTCGCTGCTGTGGTGGCCATTAAGCCTTCCATTTCGCCAAGGAGTACACGTTGCCGCCGTGCTTCACTCTCAATTGGGTCCCCACAGTCAACATACTGGACCGTGACCTCTTGAAGATCCGCCATCGCCTCCTCCAGGGTTGGGATGCGGTTTGTAGGCGAGCCTGTGAAGTCCAGTGTTCGCCCCAGCGGGATTTGGCTTGGTCTTGACGTCACTGATTCCTCCCTTCTTGGTGGTGTTCTTCTTGTATCTCTCTCCTTTTCTCTCCAGATTTGTTGCGGATGTTGATAGCTGCGGCGTTCTTCTTCTCTGTTTTGTAGGGTCTGTCTCATGTCTCTAGACTTTCCTGTGCGATGGTTTGATCTCGGTGGGGTTCTCTCCCTGCGATAGCCCTGGGTTTCAATTCGACGGTTTGATTGGTTTCTCCGATGCTCCTCCTCCTTTGTGTTTCTTTCTCTCTGTGAGATCCGGTCGCCATAAGGTTTGCCATATCTGTCCGCCCGTTTGTTGAAATCTCCTCCTTTGGGTTGACCCTGGAAATTTTTTTGTGGCCTTTCTTCTCTTTCCGATGGCTCTTTTAGTCGTGGATTTTGCTCATCTCCCTTCGTTTCTTGGCATCTGTAGGTGTCGTGGGTCAGTCTGTAGCAGATCCTGCAGTGGTTTTCGAGTCCCTCATACTCCAGAGAGACTATTGACTCTGCCTCGTCCGAATATTCTATAATGGTTTCCTTTACTAGTGGCTGGAGACCGTTAATGAGGACCTTGATTCTTGCTGTTGTAGATGTAATCTCGTGCTTCATCATTCCTCCCAGCTCTTCTCCTATGCTGTAGAGGAGATCTCTTTGCCAGTAGTGTAGTGGTATTCCTTTTAGCTCAATCCAGAAAGGAATGTATGCCGGGAACGTCGGAGAGATTATTGGTTCCCATCGTTGGAGGATAAGCATCCAGTGCCCGTAGTGGTGTGGTCGTTTGGCCAATATTTTCTCCAAATCTTCCTCTAGTTCAAACCGGACTTGAAAGCAGCCTCGTCCCAGATCTGACCCCGCAGCGCTTCCTTTCAGCTTCCATTTCCTTATCAGGTAGGGGAACATCGTTCTCATTTGCTGTTCATCGGGGTTTGTTACTCTTCCAATAAGTGTGAGCTCGTGTTTCTTGACTAGGGTTGTGGTGTCTAGATTTGGAGCTTTCACACGGATCCTTGGTGGCTTTTGCTCTACCATCTTCCCTTTGCCCTTCTCTTCCCACGTTAACTGTCTCCTCATGGTGAGTTCGTCTTGCTTGCTTGTATTAGTGTAGATCTTTTCTCTCGTTTAGATTTCCTTGAGGACGTTAGGAATCTTGTGTAGTAGAGAGCGAGATCTGAGTGTTGCGTTCCTTTGAGTGTAGGGTTGAGTAGCTTACCGGCGGTGGCGAGGACCCTCCAACTCTAAGTCGGGGGTGGAACCCGGGTACGTGAAACCAAGGTTTTAGGTTAAGTGAGAAAAGCACCTAAACGGGAAAGAAAACGCTGGGTAAAAGGGGGTCGAGAGCGACAGCAGTTGACTATGGACCGTTCTCGAAGTTCGTGCCTGGGAGAGAAAATCGCCTTCCAAAACCTTTGCATGATAACACGTAAACACTTTGTTCTTCCTACTCTTTTACTTCCGTAAGAAGTGGATTGAGTATCTTATTCAAAAGTAAAAGATCACAAGGAAAAGTTAAAAATAAGAGAGGCGAAATCTGATTCTGAAACACTCTAATCCTGAACAATCGTGATTCAAAAGAAAGAAAATTAAAGAAACTTTTGCATGCCAACTGAAATGATGTAAAGAAACGCAAACTGAAAATCATAGTGCTATAAGAAACGATAAAAAAAAACTAAAACTACTAAAAAAGTGAGAAGAGAGACTGGAAGTAGGGAGCACGGACACAAGTCTGGTAGTAAGTTTGATGGTCGCTTAGAAGCAAAGTTTTAGTACGAGGATCATATTTGAGTAACCTTTCTTTCAAATCCTCTGGCTTCTTTCCTTTAATCAAGACCTTTCCGTAGTTGCAGATCTCAATCGGTGTAAACACCTCCAGATCAGACATTCCACAGCTTTTAAGATCGATAGAATACATTTTCTCCCATGCGTCTCCTCCTCTATCCATGCTCCACATCTCCAAACAGCTAGGTGTTTGCTCTACGATCCACACTTGATCCCTAAGGTTCACGAGCTGAATGCTGCTGGAGGGTATTCTAGCATCGAATAAAGGAGGGTGACAGACAGCACGGAATCTGTGTGTGTGAAGATCAAATGCTATGATTTTGGCAGTTGCTGAGTACTCTGAACGTGGTACCCATAGATAAACAGTGAACCAATAGATGGATCCGTTAACGCTCGCTGAAGCTTGCCCGTCAGGGCAAGGTATAGGAACAGAGCTTACGTATGTCCATCGCCAAGTCTTGAGCGAAAAAACCTCGCATTCTGAGCATATCCTAGTCTCCCAGCTATGACATCGAAATAACCGAACAAGTTTATAATCTCCGCTCACTCTGTCTCTCCCAAATCCTAACAAGTGAAACTTCGGATAACGATTCTCATAGTCATCTCTAGCTGCATGTAACAAGTATAATACATATATTACATTGTATCCACGTACATTTTTAATCATGCTGTAGAGATTTTATTAATTACAAATATAACACTATGTAATGTAGTAACACCAAGAATAATAGTTTTCTTGTGAAAGATCATTAAAAAAATAAACCAAGGCAGTAATGAATATATATGTTACTTACAGCTTTCGAGGTAGTACTTTACATAGAATGTGTAGGGCAAAGGCCCAAGAGCTTCAAATGTCCTTGGACGGTGAGAAAGAGGTCGACCTTCTCCGACTTGGATGTTCTGAAGCGTGGCCGGATTTATAAACAGAAACTTGTTTCCAGGTCCCGGGCAACAGATGACACCGTCGCATGAGAAAGAAGAGCTTTCCTTATTTTGAAGCAGCACGTACGAAAATTGCGGATCATCGTCCCATGGACGTAAGAGCCCAGTTTTTCCGGAAATACGAGAGAACGGGTCCATGACGTTAGCAAGGATCTTGAAACGGTGTTTGGATTTCTGATGAACCAAATAGCGTTCCTTGAAATATGGAGATCTTATCAGACTTCTCCATTTTTTCGAAACCAATTCTAGTCTATGAAGAGTCCTCACTGGAAGTCTCTGTAAGATCTCAATCTCCACATCGAACGGAAGATCCATGCCTGCTCTGCTTCCCCACCTCATAGGCACTCACGCCCCAATTCTTTTTATACGAGAACTGTAAAATATGAGGGAAATTGATAATTTTCTTTAAAGAAAAGTAAATAACATTGTCTTCATGACGTAATTGGTGAAAGAAATAAGGCCGAATATGAATGTTTTAAGGCTGACTGATAGAAAAAGGAAAGACGTTGCGACCAAAAAGGGGAAAGCAAATAGATGATACAGAGTAAAACAGAACAATGTATTTATGTGTTGAATTTGAATCACTCAAAGGATATGAAAGCTTTTGTGTACTAAATCTCATTATTATACCGATGGATTATGGAAGGTTGGTTTTTGGGGTCAAATGGACGGTTTGCTTAGATGCAATGAAGAATGAACAAGGTGTTGACCATTGACTAAGTTCATCATTCAACAGTTTTCAGTTAGGTCAACATACAGAAGAAAATACTGAGTTTTGCCACGTACGTTACGTGTTTAAAAAAAGGAAGATGTCTATCAAGATGTATAAGAAAGGAAAGACAGAAAAGGGGACATTAAATATATGGTAAAACAGAGAAAAACAGAACATATAATTGTATTTTATTCTATATGGGCTGAAAATATTTCCATAACACGTAATACTTCTATGAGATACACAAACGTAACTAAGTTTGAAATATTTATTTATACAAGTGTTATTGGTTCAAGAGTTTAGAGGTTGTAATTACTTTTTTCTTCTATTCGTTCATTAATTAATAAAATAAAATTACGTTTACAAAAAACCTTCCATTCCCTAAAAAGGAAAAACGTCGAGCAAAAAGGGGAAAGTAAATAGAAGAGTAAAACATTAAATATTGTACATTATTCTATATATGGGCTGGAAATGTTTCCATAACACGTAATATTTCTATGGCATACACAACAAATTAAAGGAAAGTAACTAATACCGAAATATTGATTAGTTACTTTTTGAAATATTTTGAAAATGTTTCCATAAATCAGAAAATGTTTCCAAAGCTTTTTCAAAGTGAAATTAAGTGTTTAATATAACAAAATAAAAACTTTTTGAAAGTGAATTTTGATGATATCTTCATTGCAATTGTGAGATAGAACCCAGTTTGGGGTCCGTCCCTCCCGGTATCGTTGTTTATCTAAATTACTCAGTTTTCACAGCTCCATTTTTTTCTCTAAGATTATGATTACTGGAATCTATTGGATAATTCTAGTTTTTTTATGACATAAAAGTAGCGTAAGAAATATGAGAATTATATAATAGGAAGATGCCTAACACGTTCTAATTAAGGCTGTTTCAATATATTTTTGTCAATAATCAAAAGATGGGTATGCATGCTGTTAGTGTTACGTGAAACAAATCTTTACAATAGTCGGATTTTTCCCTTTTTTCGAAAAGAAGAAGAATACATACGAAGACGAAGCCGAAACGAACTCTGAAAGTAAGTCATAAAGGCGAAATGGTCAATGACAAATAAAAGAAGCAAAATTGTTATGAGATCGAGAAAAGAAAAACAGCTAGAGTTTAGGAGATTTTGATTCTAAGATGGATAGGTTTTGGAAAATAAAAACATTTGTTAAGCTATGGACGTCAATGAAGGAGATTAAAAGAAAAGAAAAGAAAAAACCTTTTTGTAACTATCATTTGTCATTGATCATATATTTCTTGCGGAACAAGTTAAAAATGTGTGTTTTAATTTTCATCACTTAACAGCACTAGGGCGTAATTGTTTGTTTGGCTGCTTGTTTTTATCTATAAAATTATACGCAATCTTATAATAATACTGTATATATCATGTGACAAAATCTTGGCAAATTGTAAAGATGGAGATAGATATATTTAGAGAATTTTTTTGGGTAACAAACCCTGACTTTCTGCTTAAGCAGTGGATTCATTCGTTGTTTTCTTTAGAGCTTTTGTAGATCTAGAACAAACATTAGGGAGGTTTGAGAAGACGAGAAGATTAAAAATTCAAAACCATCCTTTGTTTTTAACAAAAAAAAAAAAAAAAAACCATCCTTTGTAATTCGTAGAACAAAATGTCCCTTTGATTGTTTATGTGAATGACCTTATCATAATACTGTATTTTCTGTTCCTCTCTTTTGATATTTTAACCATTTACGAAAGATAGGCTTTATCGAAAACAGAGAGGCTTAACAAACAAACAAACACCACTTATAAAAACATCTTCATAGAAAGAAAGTGCAGCAGTGCAAAACACATAAATAGTTTGCATACCAACATACGCAGACCTAAAAAAACAAAAGAACATTCCATCAGTTGATTAGTGAAACCCATATCCAACCAGATCTCTCTTTGCTCCCTGCAATCAAATCAACCACACATCTAATCAGATCTCAAAAGCAAGCCTTCTCCAATAAAATGATCTTTCATTAACAACGCCACTTACTACATCAGAGAGTTAAACAAGTCTTCTCCAAGCAAAATCTTTAATCCATCAAAAGTATGCTAGGCTCCTCACGGCTAACCCATATCCAATCACAACTCTCTCTGCTTCTGCAATCAAACCAACCACACATCTAATCAGATCTAAGAAAATAAGCATTCTCCAAATAAATTGATCTTTGATTAACAACACCACTTACAACATCACAGAGTCAAGCACGTCTTCTCCAAGCAAAATTTTTCCGTCAGCATTTGCGAGGATTCTCACGTGTTTTAGGCTAACCACAGCTAACAAAGAGCCTTCCCTATTAAACTTTACCATCGGAGACTCCTGCAAAATGTTAGAGAAAGATATTTAGTCATGATGTGTATCAAAAATACCAAACATAAGTTGTCTTACCGGAAATTTTGGATCAGCTATTGTGATCTTAGCCAGCAGATTCTCATTGTCTACATTCCACACTTTGACACAGAATTCATCCCCAACTGCTATGTAGTGATCCTTACAGATGTCCATAGAGTTCTTCTTTGGGTTCTTCACCCCATTGTAGGTTGTTTTCATAAACAAAGATTCTCTGTCAATCTCAAGCAAGAGACCGTCGCTCTGTGTGGAAGGCTCATCACCACCAACGGTGCAAGAAAATAATCTGCGAGTTATTAAGTTTGAAAAAAAATGAGATTACTTAGTATAATTGAAACATAATTGAAATGACTATTCAACTCACCTATTTCCATTGTTGGAAAGTCTGAGTTCAAACCTAGTCAGCTTACATCCAGTGACACAGACTTCAGCTTGGTGACCTATGTTTGCTCTAAAAGCAGTTCCCAAATTATTAGATGAAAAGAGTTGCTGAAACAAATATACTAATCGTTAGTTTCAATTACAAGTACAAAAAAAACAGTAGTAAAAAAGGATAAAGGATTAGGGATTAGAGATATACCACTGTGTTTCCATCCTGGCGCAAAGCAAGAGTATTCAAAGGATTTCCACAAGGCAACGCCCAACTCATTATTCCTTGTGAAAAATCCCATACCCTGATGAAGCCGTCATCTCCGCAAGTTACAATCTTTATCTTTAGCTTTCCTTCTTCTTGAGAGCTAAAGAACACCACATCATTTACTGCTCCACGATGTGCCTCAATCTGGACAAGAGTTAGATTGAATTAATAAGATATTAGGTTAAAGTATAAATAACAAAGGATTTTCACACAAACCTCAATGTGTTGCTTCCAGGGACTATCATCTGCATATATGTAAGTCTGCACTAGACCGTCAGCGAAACCCACGGCTGAAAGTTTCAGAGGAGAATCATTAGTCCAAGTAATATGTGGCAAGTTATGAAAAATTAAAAGTTACTAACCGTAGGTTGTGTGAGATCCCCAAGCCACACAAATTGCTCCTGCAGTTTTAAGGTTTCTTATCTCAAAATATACCTATGAGAATTATGAAAATTAGTTAGGTCTCAGGGTTTGGAAAAAAACACAAGTCCAATTGAGCACTGAAACAAACCTGCAACTCCTTTGATAATTTCTTGAGATTCCAGATCTTGAATTTCTTTAGATAAGGGTTACCCAGTGTGTTGAGACGATATAGTTTAGTTTCACCTGATTTTGTGCAAGCTGACATATCAAAAACAAACATGATTAGCTAAAGAAAATATTCAGAGCATTGAAAATGAAGAATTGAAGAAAGTGCTCTTACCAAGTAGCAATGGTAAGTTGGGGTGGAATTCTAAATCAGTAATGCTATCTGATGTGCCAACCAGTCTCACAATCTCTTTGGGTAGACAGGGTCGAGCAGTACCAACAGGTGGGTTTGAGTGAGGAACCTCTGCTCCCTGATTTGAGTTATCAGTTATTCCGAAATCACCATCACAAGAGTAGTCTGATGTTGACAAGTGTTGGGGACTAGCTCCAGTTTTCAAAGGGAAAGCATCGAAATTATACAGCTGCGACTCAAATTCCATTAGATCAAAGGGGGGCGAGGTTGTTAGAGCTTGACTCTGAGGAAGGGTAGCTGGAATTTGACTGGTGTCCTCTTGGAAACCATCATCTTGTAAGACCGAATCCACAATATCATGGAGAGACTGTTGAGACTGTTGAGGAAGTGCATAAAGTGGAGCTGCAGCTGGAAGAAGCATAGGAGCTGGATTGCAGTGGTGATCACAAAGGAGAGAAGCGGTGCTATGATTGCAATTCTTGAATTGCCACCTCAAGCTACAATGAATCAATCAACGAAGCAGTTAGAGGAGAAACAACAACAACAATAACAACAAGAACAAAAAGCATTGTAAGTGCAATACCTCTGTTCTAAGAGGGTTTCCAGTCTGTTTCCCTGGACAACAGGTGGAAAGAACATAGTTGACACTTCAGCATCTCTTCTGATAAGTGTATCTAGAATTTGAAAAGTATCTTCCCTGTCATTGGCTGGCCGAGTTACGGGGAGGTCGTTGCTGAAATCAGAAAAAAAAAGAAAAAAAAGGTGTCATATAACAGATTATGAGAACATAACACACACACACTGAGACACACATACACACACACACACCTTAAGAAATCCGACAGCTGGTGACATTCCGATGGCAAGCTTTCATTATAGGGAGCAAGGTCGGTGTAAAAATAACTGCTGGCTTGGTCTTTGCGGCCCCTGCATTGACAAAACCCAAAGAGCTCAAGAAAAGGACAATAGAAAAAAGAAAACGAAAAACACAAGATGAACAAAACAGACTTACGAGTAAAGCATCTCCATGAACATCTGCCTCCTGATTTAAAATAATATCTGCAAGGTGGTTTGATTGAAAGTCTTCTGAGCATCTGTAAAGAGTTTCATAGCTGCTTCGAAGTCACCTCGTAGGACAAGGGATCTGAATTCGTCAATATTAGCTATCTTCTTCTCTTCTTTATCAAGGCTACACAGACAAACACATCATGTCATGTTAAGATCAAGACAAACACAAGAAAAGCACCATGTTTTCATTTTCATCATGCTAGAGTCAAAATCACTCACGCTTGAACAGCAGACGGCATGCCGTGTTCCACTAAGTATTGCCTTATGAGCAGCATGATCTCATCATGCTTAACCTTATCCATGATTAGCAAAGATTCCTGCAATTAGCACACAAGAGAGGAGAAAGATTCAACACTTAAAAAAGCAAAAGCAAGTTTCTGCAATGAACATTTTCAGACATCAGACCAAAGTAACAATCTCTAGTTTGGTCGAGCATGAGTTTCAGAAACTTAAATCAACAGAGACGCTAGCTTGAAGAGAAGGATTAGAAGATCACAAAACTTATGAGCAGAGTTCGTCAAAGTGATGATTATCCGTGGGCTGAGAAAGTGGGGAAGTTCGATATAGATCCTAAGTAATACGAAACAAAAGAGACGAGAAGGAGTCAACACTAAGCGGCAAGGGAAAATATAAGAATGCATCTAACTCATCCAGATGCTTTGAGAGCTTCAAGTTTTTAAAAAAGCAAAAGCAAGTTTGTGCAATGAACACTAGCAGACACGATAAGCTTTTCAGACATCAGACCAAAGTAACAATCTCTAGTTTGGTCTAGCATGAGTTGCAGAAACTTAAATCAACAGAGACGCTAACTTGAAGACAAGGATTACAAGATCATATCCACCATAAGACAATCATCCATTTAGTATAAGGACATGCTATAAACATAAGTAACGCAAAGGCTAACATATATCATTTTTAAACAAAACAGGACATCTAACAAACCTACATTGCTGGTGACAAGCATTCAATTCTTGTTTTTCTCATCAAAGATTTCTATTTCATATTACAACTACAACTATCAATTCCAGGAGTAAACACAGAGCTAATACAGACACAAGACATTCCTATAAAGTTTGAAGTTTAAAAAAAGCAACCTTCCAAAAACTACAATATCTATGAGCAGAAGTTTGTCCTGTGTAACACGAAACAGAAGCATAGCATATATACCTTTCAGACAATAATACGGATCGAGCAAATTGGGTAAATTTGGGCAAAAAGCAAGTGAGAAAGATCACAAACCTTGTAAGCAGAGTTGGTCAAAGTGAGAATTATCCGTGGGCTGAGTAAGTGGGGAAGTTGGATATAGATCCTGTGTAATACGAAACAAAAGAGACGAGAAGGAGTCAACACTAAGCGGCAAGGGCAAATACAAGAATGCATCTAACTCATCCAGATGCTTTGAGAGCTTCAAGTTTAGAAAAGCAAAAGCAAGTTTCTGCAATGAGCACTAGCAGACACGATAGGCTTTTCAGACATAAGACCAAAGTAACAATCTCTAGTTTGGTCTAGCAAAGAGTTGCAGAAACTTAAATCAACAGAGACGCTAACATGAAGGGAAGGATCAGAAGATCAAATCCATAAAACATCCATCCGTAGCAAATAAGGGAAGACATTAACAAGAGAAAATGTGATATCTAATGCATAACTAATGTGATATCTAATGTCCTATCTCTCTTATTACTCAACATTCAATGCATGTCAGAGAAACCAAAAAAGTCACCAGTGCCAACTCTGAGAAGCTGTAATATATGTTTTCAGCTACAGAGAAATAACCAAGAGAAGCACAAGACGTATGTTACAGAAGTAAAAGGTAGAATCTCAACAACTGATGAAGATGAAAAAGTATGCAGCAAAAATAAACACACAATTTAGATTAATACAAGAATGCATCTAAAAACCTATAAGCAGAGGTTTGTCCTGTGTAATACGAGAAAGAAGCATAGCATATATATTCCAGTACTAGTAATATCTTGAGACAATAATACCATATCGAGCAAGTTTAACAAAGCAAGGGAGAAACATCACAAACCCTATGAGCAGAGTTGGTCAAAGTGAGAATTCCCCGTCGGCTGAGAAAGTGGAGAAGTTCGATATAGATCCTGCGTAATACGAAACAGAAGCAGCATACTTGTAACTACATATTCTGGTCTACACAAAAGTAGTATCAATTTCTTCAGACAAATAATACGATCAAGAATGTTGTTCATAAGACTTAAAATGCCTTGCAAAGAGAGACAAGTAGCCAAATTTGAAACAAGGATAAACCGGTTAAAGATCCTTACAATAGCAGATGAAAATCAATTTAAAACGTTAAAATCAAGGGATATTAAAAGATCCTTACAATAGCAGATGAAAATCAAGTTAAAACGTTTTAAAGATCCTTTGGCCGCTTAAAATAAAAACCGCAAAATGCCTTGCAAAAGGAGACAAGTAGGCAGATTTGAAACAAAGTTAAAAGATCCTTACAATAGCAGATCTACGAGCACGTTCGAGGCAAAAGGAATCTGCAAACAAAGAAAAAAAAAAATCAATCACAAACCCCGAATAAACCCGAATAAACCTTTAGCCGCTTAAAATCAAAACCGCAAAAATCAAAGGGACGCGTAACTTTACCGTCAAAGTGAGAACTCGCCGTCGAGTCTCGGCGGAGAAAGTGAAGATGTTCGCTAGATTATAGGTTTCTCCTGTGTAAAACGAAACAGAAGCATACTTGAAACCACATATCTACATATTCCGGTTCTTAAAATGCCTTGGACGAGTAGCCAAATTTGAAACAAGGTTAATTAAAAGATCCTTACAATAGCAGATGAAATCTCTACGAGCACATTCGAGGCAAAAAGGCATGAGTACAAGGAATCTGCGAACAAAGAGAAACGCTACTCAATCACACAGAAGAACCCCGAAGAAACCTTTTTAGCAGCTAAAAATCAAGGGACGGTAACTTTACCAGACGGACCATCGATGAAGATTTTGTTCACAGAAGACTGAAACGAAGATCTAAGGATTTTTCACAACCCATTCTTCTAGAGAAGCGACCAAAAAGAAGGAGGGTTCAGGGGTTTTCTCTATCCAGTACAAAACAAAAGGATTTAGGGGGTTTACAGAAATGTCAAAGTTTCAAAGTCAAAGTGGTGAACTTTTTGTAAATACACAAGAGTTTGGGGTAAAAAATAAATAATCTCCTCCATTTATTGCAGATGAGACAATGTGATGGTATGGGGGGATTTGCAGATGCCGTTGCACTGCTTTTTGCAGTCATAATTTGCTACTTTTTTGTTTTATTAAGTGACTAATTTCTCGCTGTCAAAATGTATTTTACACGTATATGTTAATATTGGGATTACATCGTATATATACACCACCAAATTTTATAAAAATTTTAAAATACCATAAAAAATGGCTACTTTTAAGTTTACGTGGCTGCCACGTCAATAATATTTCTAAGAAGCAGCGTTGTGTGTAAGCTATTCTGAGGAGGAAGTTTTCTTACTTTTTTGTCCTCTAAAAATGCTTGAATCCTGACACTTTTGTTTATCAAGGTTTTAACTTTGTGTATGTGATGATCTCTTTCTTTTTGTTTTCAGTATACACAACATCAAATTATCCAATCGATTGCTTCTTCTCTTTGCTTTGCTTGGTTTCAAATCAGTCTACTACGTGGACAAACGATTCGTAACGTTTAGATAAATATTGTCCTACGTGGACAGACGTTTAGTTTTACACTCATGCTATTGGACGGTAAAGTAAAGATTGTCCTACGTGGACAAACGTGACATTAAAAACCTCGCGCTTTTAACACTCATGCTATTGGCGGTGTAAAAGATTGTGTTACGACTTACGAAATCGTACGCGGACATAAAGTGACATTAAAAAAAGACGTAGAAATAAAACGAAAATAAAGATGTAAACCGCATTCATACCCAAATTCTCTAATTAAAACAATAAAATGTATACACGATTAAACTAGAACGAACGAAATACCGTAGCTTTTATTATTTCTTCGTCCAATTTGTCGAAATCCAAGAGTTATAACAAAATGTCCTCAAATTTTGCAACCTCTCTCTCTCACCTGTGATGACTGATGTGAACCAAATGCATTTAATAGCTACTCGGTTCATATTTGAAATATCTTGACCTGACCATTGTGGAGACTAGAGAGTGATTTGTTTATCCTTCAGAAATTATTGAATCTTGACACTTTTGTTCATCAAGATTTTAACTTTGTTATGTGATGATCTCTTTCGACTCTTTGGTTCCTAGCTTTGCCTTTTGGTGTCTGAACCAATCTGTTTTCATTATATTTATAACCATGCCGTGTAAATCTACAACTATTAGATTCGAGAATTGTGTATGAGATCTCTAAGAAAGAGCTGCTTTGAATTCATCATGATCTCTATCTCTTCTTGTGTCTCTGCATTTTTATTGTCATGTGATTTGCTCTTACCATCTTCATCACCACCACATATTAAGTGTTTTTTTGAAGTTAGTCTAGTAAAACAAAAGTGCATAGGAATACAAAGTTATATTTTTTTAAGTAGAACAGAGTGGTGACGGTTAGGAACTGACTTTTTTTTTTTGAACAACTTACGGTTAGGAACTGACTATACTGATATTTTCCATTAATAAAGTAGTTTAGCTAGATCAACATTACTGTTATATATTTTTCTTTACAAATGAAACACAAGAAGAAGAAGACAAAAGTTTAACAAAAAGAGAGACGTTCATGTGAATACAGATGCATCTTAAGCCAAACCCTCATTTTCCATTTTCTTCATGCATGGTGGTCTCTCAAGTCTAGATCTTTTGTTTCCAAACTTGGTCGTTGAATAAAGCTAATTCAGGTAATCTTGAGACCGGTAGCCACTACGGCATCGCCAGTAGGACTGTAACAAGTAATCCACAATCTACTTCCATGCTTCACTGTCATTACAGGTACCGTGTACAACACTCTTGTACCACCCATTTACTTAGTATCTCGATTTGATCACCGGTATTGACAAAAATGGTATTTTTCTTGGATGGTGGGATATGTAACAACTTGCCATCTTTCTTTCAAGAACTCAAGACCAGACACTTGATCATCCTGCAGGAGGAGCAATATGATTCCTCCAGCATCCGTCTGTTCTCTCAATCCTTCGGCTTGTTACTTTGTTGTGAATCCCACTTTTAGCTTTCCGCATGACTCAGAAAGTGTGGGACTTGATCAGTCGACATTTAGGATTCAGAAAGTGTATGCATAATTGGATGGGAGATGGAATATTGGAATAGAAAGCGTCAAACAGAACTTCAACGCGCTTTTAGACTCGCACGCTATCGGTGTAAATTAAAATATGTCCTACGTGGACAAACGTGACGTTATAAACCGCGCTTTTAGACTCACGCTATTGGTGTAAACTAAAGAATGTCCTACGTGGACAATTATAAGCCGCGCTTTCAGACTCACGCTATTGGCGTAAACTAAAGAATTTCCTACGTGGACAATTATAAGCCGCGCTTTCAGACTCACATGCTATTGGCGTAAAAGATTGTGTTACGAAATCCTACGTGGACATTTAAAAAGGACTCAAAAAATAAAACGAAAATAAAGATGTATCACTCACATGCTACCCAGATACTCTAGTTAAATACTACTTAAATGTATGCACTACGATTAAATTATACCGAACGAAATACCGCAACTTTTATTATTTCTTCGTCCATTTTGTCCAAAACCAAGAGTAAATAGTAGAAAAAAAATGTCCTCATTAAAATTACAGATAAGACGACATATAGACATATAGGTCTGCTTTATTGGCCACGCCTCCAAATTTTGCAATCTCTCTCTCTCTCTCTCTCTCTCTCTCTCTCTCTCTCTCTCTCACACACACACACCAGTGATGTGGGTGGGAGCATCCGTACCAATTGCATTTAATAGCTACTTTGTTCTTCATATTTGAAATATCTTGACCTGACCACTCTGGAGACTGGAGAGGATTCATGTTATCAGATTTATATGCATTATTATGCGGTGCTTTTATGTTAATTAACCTTCATGCAAAACCTGTGTTTATAGTTTGAACATTTTTTTTAGATTGGTTTATATACTCTGTGCATACAGCATACGTATGTTACCGTTTCAAACGATGAAATATGAAACTACTGTATATATGTTTATACGAAAACACATATTTCAACCAATTGATAAAATTGTGTTTCAACAAATCCTATCTTTACAAAAATAACACCACTCTGTAGTTTCTTTTTAATTTGCGCTTGCAAAATGGTTTCAGTCCCCAATTAAGTAACATATCATCAGCATTTATCGTTCGAACAAAAAAAAAAATCATCAGCATTTATCACTTCAAGGTTAAAACTACATATTCACAATCGCCAAAAATAGTTGGATTGCAATAAATTGGGCTCGCGAAAGAATCAAGTAATCATTTGGGAATAAATGCAGAAAATTAATTGAAGGCCATAGTATATGTGGTTGGTGAAAGGATATATTGAAAAATAAAAGAGTAGTCAACATGAAAGAAAAAGAATTGAGGAAAATGGAACCCCCCTTAGTTTTTCAGCAATTCATCTTTGTTGTTTGTGTCTTACTTGGGAAACACTCTATTAAGTAATAAGTCATCCAAGACTCTATTGTTTGTACTCATGCCTTTTGGATTTCGTAACATAATCTTTTACACCGCCAATAGCGTGAGTGTAAAACTAAAAGTCTGTTACTCTGTCGCATCATTTGAATTTTTAAGACTTCAAACTGATTTGAAACCAAGAAATCAAGACTCTATTGTTTGTACTCAAGCTTCATCTTCTCTCTTCTCATCGTGCTTCTTGCTAATTTTTCCTAACTAGCGGTTTTTCTTGCCGCGTCGTAACTCGTAACTAGTGATCACTAATCAAATTCGATACAACGTGATATTAATATTATCGATCTCAAATTCTTTGTTTGTTGAATAATGATGAGTCATATGAGTGGTTGTATTGGACGGTCCCTACATTATAGTATACTCTAGACTGATGTGTTCATATAAAAGCATTTCTTTGAAAACGAAAGTAAGAGTTGGATGTAAGAAAATGGACTTTGGTCAGATAGAAAAGACAATCGGATTTGGACCAGCTCTCTGGACTCATGTGTTGCAATTCTTTTTTATCATTTTTTATTTATTAAATAAATCTTAACACGTAGGACTCACAGTCTCACACGATCCGTAGAAAGTTGAGTATCTGGACCCATCCTTGGACTTGGATGAACACGTTCTCTACCCTGAACCTTCTAATCGAAGTTTATAATTCATATTAGATTCATGCTCGCGGAATTTTATTCTAATCTCTTACTGATAAAAAAATTGTTTTGATCATACTCGTTAGTCGTTACACATAATTAAAGTTTTTTGGGTTAAGAAAATAACAGTGCCTATGAATAACTCATTAGCGAATTAAGTTTTTAGACGAGAATCGCATACACGTCGAGCAATAGGTGTTAAAAAAAAAAGATGATACACGTACACACACGTAATTTTTATCAAAATAAATAATGGCATGATGTGTGTTGGGGGCACACAAAAATTAGCTCTAAAAATATTGGTTCTAGGTAACTAATATGGTAGCTCGTTGTTTCAAATTCATAGACGGCAATTACCGTAAATTTGCATACCAGGCCAGGGAAGCCACTTAAATCGCTCTTTTCTTTCTGTTATTTGGTGGAAAATGCCAAAATGCAAATTCCAAACTCACTTCACATTCTTCTCCACCTTTCTCTTGTCTGTAAATCAAAAAGAGATCTGGACATTGATCCCATGCTTTGCTCGCACTTAGCTTTTCTCCCAATCTTACCGTACGAAATCTGTTGATAATAATGACAAATTTTCAATTCCCTTCATAAAGTATAACAAATTTGTAATAAACGTATGATCAGATGCTCTTACTAGACTAGTCGATTATAATTACACTACATTAGTTATATTATTTTAATTTGTTAGGTCCACCAATTTTGGACCAAGCCACCCAGATTGACTAGTTTGAGCATACAAGCTCTATTGACTAATTTAGTGATAGGTTTCCATGCCACTCTTGCCGAGTGATGTCCTTCCACTGAACCTTTCCACAATAATGCGCTACAAACTGATTCATAGTAGTTTGGGTTACAGTTTTCATAGATTAATTAAATTCAATTTTATTTCTTATTTTTTCGCCAATGTACATTCCAATTTACCTTTTTTTTCCTACCCATTAAATATCACTTTGACTACTAATTCTCGAAAAGTTTTCATTTGGAAGCATACATAAAGAAAGATACATAAGTTCATCACCAGTCCCTTTAATTTCATTACAAGATATTTAGATTAAAACAACACAAGGAAACTTAAAGTAAAAATTAGATAGGCAAAAGCTGATTCAAAAGAACGAAAATTAAAGAAACTTTTGGATGCAAACTGAAATGTAAATAAATTATCATAGCTAGTGCTATATATATATATATATATATATATATATATATATAAGAAACAATAAAAGAATTTTTTTCTTAAAAAGGATAAGAGAGAAGCTGCTTTAGAGTTAAAAGACTAAAAAAGTGAGAAGAGAGACTGGAAGTAGGGAGCAAGGACCCAAGTTTGGTGGTTTGGGGGAGAGGCAAAAGTTTGATGGTCGCTGAGAAGCAAAGTTTTAGTACGAGGATCATATTTGAGTAACCTTTCTTTCAAATCCCCATGATTTGAATCCTCTGGCTTCTTTCCTTTAATCAAGACCTTTCCGTAGTTGCAAATCTCGATCGGTGTAAACACCTCCAAATCAGACATTCCACAGCTTTTTAGATCGATAGAATACATTTTTTCCCATGCGTCGTCTCCTCCTCTATCCATGCTCCACATCTCCAAACAGCTAGGTGTTTGCTCTACGATCCATACTTGATCCCTAAGGTTCACGAGCTTAATGCTGCTGGAGGGTATTCTAGCATCGAATAAAGGAGGGTGGCAGACTGCACGGAATCTGTGTGTGTGAAGATCAAATGCTATGATTTTGGCAGTTTCTGAGTAATCTGAATACTCTGAATATGGTACCCATAGATAAACAGTGAACCAATAGATGGATCCGTTAACGCTCGCTGAAGCTTGCCCGTCAGGGCAAGGTATAGGAACAGAGCTTACGTATGTCCACTGCCAAGTCTTGAGCGAAAAAACCTCGCATTCTGAGCATATATTATAGTCCCAGCTAGTCCATGGAAGTAACCGAACAAGTTTATAATCTCCGCTCACTCTGTCTCTCCCAAATCCTAACAGGTGAAACTTCGGATAACGAATCTCATAGTCATCTCTAGCTGCATGTAACAAGTATAATACATATATTACATTGCATCCACGTACAATCTTAATCATGCTATAGAAATTTTATTAATTACAAATATAACACTATGTAATGTAGTAACACCAAGAAAAAAATAAACCAAGGCAGTAATGTGTGTGTTACTTACAGCTTTCGAGGTAGTACTTTACATAGAATGTGTAGGGCATGTTTCCATGACTTTCGAATGTCTTTGGACGGTGAGAAAGAGGTGGCTCTTTGACTAGGATGTTCTGAAGCGTGGCCGGATTTATAAACAGAAACTTGTTTCCAGGCCCCGGGCAACAGATGACACCGTCGCATGAGAGAGAAGAGCTTTCCTTATTTTGAAGCAGCACGTACGAAAATTGCGGATCATCGTCCCGTGAACGGAAGAGCCCAGTTTTTCCGGAAATACGAGAGAACGGGTCTATGACGATGACGTTCGCAAGGATCTTGAGACGGTGTTTGGATTTCTGATAAACCAAATAGCGTTCCTTGAAATATGGAGATCTTATCAGACTTCTCCATTTTTTCGAAACCAATTCTACTCTACGAAGAGGCCTCACTGGAAGTCTCTGTAAGATCTCGATCTCCACATCAAACGGAAGATCCATGCCTGCTCTGCTTCCCCACCTCATAGGCACTCACGCCCTTCCCTTCTTTTTATATGAGAACTGTATAATATTTGAGGGAAATTAAAGTGATTATTTTTGTTAAGGAAAGTAGCATTGTCTTCTCATCCCGTAATTGGTCAAAGAAACTTGCCATGACATAAAAGGCCGAAACTGAAACTTTAAGGCTGTACAAAAAAGGAAAGACGTAGACTAAAAAGGAAAGTAATATTTCTTATGGGATAGACAATAAAGGAAAGAAACTCATTTTAAAATATTTATTTTCAAGTGTTGGTTAAAGATTAAAGAAGTTGTAATTACTTTTTTTCTATTCGTGAATTAATTAATAAACTAAATTAACCTTTACAATTTTCAAAGAGTCTTTTCTTTTTAGTTAAAGGATTTATTTTCAAAGAGTCTGAAATTAACGATCAACCTTCCATTTCCAAAAAAGGAAAGACGCCGACCAAAAAAGGGAAAGTAAATAGAAGAGTACAAGAGAATAAATATTTGTATATTATTCTATTTATGGGCTGAAAATGTTTCCATCTTATGGGATACACAACAAAGGAATTAACTAATTTTGTAATATTTATTTACACAAGTATTAAAGATTATGATGTTGTAATTACTCTTTTCTATTCGTGAATTGGTTAATCAAATAAATCAACGTTTACAACTTTCAAAGAGTCTGAAATTAAATTCGTGTTAGGTGAAATAAATCTTTGCAATAGTCGGATTTTTCTCTTTTTCGAAAAGAAGAAGAATACATACGAAGCCGAAACGAACTTTGAACATAAGTCATAAAAGCGAAATGGTAAAAAAAAAAAAATTGTTATGAGATCGAGAAAAGAAAAACAGAGTTTAGGAGATTTTGATTCAACATTTGTTAAGCTATGGACGGCAATGAAGGAGATTAAAAGAAAATAAAAAAACCTTTTAGTAACTATCATTTGCCATTGATCATATCTTTCTTGCAGAACAAGTTAAAAATGTGTGTTTTAAGTTTCAACACTTAACAGCACTAGGGCTTGGAGTCTCGGCCATGTATGTGCTAAGCGTGGAGAGACCCTCACTTTACCTTGGAGATGGATCGGAGTTGATCCGTAAGAATTGGCTGCTGGCGAAACCCGAGGAGAGAGACTGACTTGCTCCAGTGCCTGTGTGTCTGTAGCTCCATCGGGTAATCTCTAACACACCCTATTCTTGGACCATATCCACAGTCCACTAGTCCATTCACAAGACAGGCTCAAACACTGGTCTCGCTCTCTCTTCTTGCTCTCTACGCATCTCAACTCCTTTCTTAGATTTCTTAATCCTCATATTTTTCATTTCCTTACCTTAACATTGGTGAGATCTACATTGTGCTCCTCCTAGAAATTTTAACTCCTTGAAGTCGTCTTTTGTTGGCATAACAAATGTAGTGTCTTTCTTACACGCAGTTTTTAGCGTAACATTTGTCTTCATAACGTAATTAATTGGTGAAAGAAACATGCCATCTCCTTATAAACTATAAAGGCCGAAACTGAAAGTTTTAAAAAAGGAAAGACGTCGACCAAAAAAGTGTTAAAAAAGGAAAGACGTTGACCAAAAAGGGGGAAAGTAAATAGATATGGTAGACCAGAACATTAGTATGCATCAAGTCATGCTCTGTTTATACATTGGTCTCCCATCTATCATATATATTTAGTATGGTCGAGTCCGGAAGGTAAAAAGCTCACCGGTCTTAGATATATATGTTCCTTCTTGTCCGGTAACACTTCAACCCCTTTTTTAAAGTAGTTTCAGCTGCGTCAAGCAAAGATATAAGCTAAAACTCTCTCGCTTGACCGTGGATAACCTCTTACTTCACAGGGGCTTAATGAGTGTAATTTCATTTCTGACCTTTTTCTCCTCAAGTTTGTTGTAACCAAACTTACATCAGAGGTCAAATCGATCAAACCCTCTCTTGTACATGTGATCATAGTTGTACTGATATAACAACAGTGGTGGCTCTGTATATATATACCAGATTTTCATTGCCGATAGCCTGGAGAGCAACAGAATTGTCAGCCATATAAAACTTCCTTTTGATTGATCCACAAGTATACTAAAATTCAGTTTTGGAATCTGCAATGTAAAATCATCATTAACAAACTCTACTTATTTCCTTTCGGTTAATAACATCATAAAACGATCCTAAGGCATCTCTTGGCAACAGCTTCAAGAATTTACATGTTCAGTTTACACAAAAGAGAATTAGATTTGCTTGAAATCAAAGCAAGCTATGCAATGTTACATACGTTAACTAAAACCCTCACAAAATCATCAATCGGTTGCTTTCCAAAGATGCAGATAGTATATATATAGGCAATAGCTGAAAACATGAAAGGAATCTGCCGACTTGATTAACTCCGTGCACAAGAAAGCGGACAAGTTCAAAGTGTCACCTTCCAATCAATTTACAGTATTATTAAAAAAGAAAAAAAAGGGGGAAGCTAAAGAAAAAATATTTTCCAAACACATTTGATGACATAAGAAAAAATACGTAACAACTCCAAATTCCGTTGTTTCTACTTTCTAATACATTTGATGACACTTGGTGCAAGAATTAGTTTTAATTTTTTACCTCTAATACACTTTCCAAAAGGCTAAACAAAGGTCAATTGTTTCTGATGATAGCTGTGGAAAAAAAAAAAAAAAATCCATCAACCTCCTTAGTGCTAGGAGCGAGTACCGTCTATGACCTGTACTGAAGTAGTTTTGGAAATTCTAGTTATTACATTCGTTAAACTCTATCCTGCCAAATGCGAATAAGAAAGTGAACGAAAATAAAGTAAGAAACTCAACGGTTAATTATTCTCTGAAGTTTGAACGTGTCAGAAAATACAAATCACAAGTGTTTACAAATAATTTTGCAAAATTGTTGGATTAGCAACTACAGTATCCATATGTGTTGTGTTAAAAAAAAAAAAAAAAAAGAGATTAGAACAATGTTGGCACCTAAACAACTATTCAACATTGCTTCTTCCATGATTAAGGAGGTGAAGAAAATATTAGAATCAAAATGCATCTTTTATGCGATCTTCAGTGCAAATCACTCATATCCAACTTTGTATCCTATACCATTCATCTATTATTGTAGCTATTCTAGAATTTTGGATGATGAGTTAGGAGATACACAAACGATTCCCGGATTCAATAAAATGCTATGTGATTATCATTCCAAATGTTTATACAATTTTTCTTAGGGTTTTAAGATTCTATTAATCAATAAACATTATCTATTAGTCTCAACTCTCAAGCAAGAGACCCTGGCATGACCCTATGTGTAAGGCTCTTCACAAATGGCGCACGAAACCATCTGACAATTTATTAGTTGAAAAAGAAAAACAATGAGATTAGCCTGTAAAACTGAAATGACTCGATACAACTCACATATTTCCATCGTTGCTAAGCTTGAGCTCAAATTTATATGTATTATGTCTCTTAATCTATTTTGTACAAGGAGATATAAATATAGATATACATGAAAGATAAAGTAATTGTTACACATTAATGATAAATATTGCATGAAAGAGAAAGAAAGGCGTAGGATAAATCTCTTCCACAATTAATTATAAACTTAAAAGTGCATTTTCCTAAGATTCCTAAAAGAAAACTAGTAAAAATCACAGGACTGGCACACAAGATAGCACATCAACATTGTTATTTGACGACATGGAACACTATACTAGATTTTACCATTTACAACTCTTAAATGGTAAAAACTCAGAAGGTAAGAGAGAAATTACAACATGGAGATTAATTGTTAACATTGACAAGTAACATCATGAGATATCCATAGCATCAATGATCTCAAAGTGCATTTGTAGATCAGCAACTCTGTCACCAAAATAAAACCTTTCGTGGACCTCAAGCTTCCCACCGGAACATTCACCTTCAGATTTGAGCAAACGAACAAGTTCATCTTTCTCCTTAAGAATCCACCCACGCTGCTCATCACACCACTGCCTTGGAGTTCCATGAAGGACAACGCGTAACATGTTTGCTCCTTGTGCAAGGCGTTGAGAGATTCTATGCACCACGTTTTGATCAGTTATGTATGCACGAAAATTGTTCAGTCCTACATCGATGTAATGAACTTCAGAAATGCTGTTGAGGAAGCTTTCTTTGGACGCTGGAATGATCTCATTCCTTTCATGGATTCCAGTAGAAGTTTCCTCCAAGAAACTCATCTCACTCAGGAGCTGATTCATCACAACTCCACCTTTGCTAAACCCTAGAACAATCGTTCTTGGACAGTGATGATCAGCTGATTCAACCGGGTTGATCAAAGTGAGGCTCTTTGAGGAAGACAAGACTTCGTGAAGGAAAGTGGATAAGAGAGAGACGATTGATGAAGAAGCTGGGAAGCCAATTGGGGAATATGATTTTGGTTCTCCACAACGATTCACTGACGGAACAAAGTCTTTGTAGATCGCAAACGGTCCGTTATACAGAGAAGCCTCAACAACCCAAGCGTTAACAGAGTTTCCGAATTTAGAAACTATAATCTCAGCTACTTTCTGCAGATCATAGAGCCTCTCTATCACATGATTCCCAGTCTCTCTAACTCTGTCCCCATGAAAGAAAATCGCATTCGCAGAAGGTACCTAATGACCGAAAGGAAGCATTTTTAATAAGAAAAAAACAGAGATTTTGAAGAAACAGAGCAAATGAGAAATCAGAAACAGAGTAAAAGAGGAAGCGAAACTCACAGCTAGATTTTTTGAGGAAGAGGAAGAAGAAAGGCAAAGAGAAGCTGCGACTCTGTAATAGCTGCTAGTGTTAGTAGCATCCAACGGAATCTTCAAAACGCCGGACCACCGATCCATGATCAAGCAAACTCTGTTTTCGATTCCTCAAAAACAAACAAAAAAGGAAGCGTTTTTTTCGAGATAATCGATTAAAGATGTGACTTTGACAAGACTCGTGTGAGACTTTTAACGAACAGGTGGTGTGCAAGTTTAAAAAGACCGAGAGAGACGACTTCAGAAGAAACGTGATCAATGCGTAAATAATGAGAAGTGATTGAATGCGATGATAAAAAATCTCACTTTCTCTTAAAACGATTTTTTTTTTAAAAACATATTATGTCTTTAATTAATACAGTATAAAGCACGAATACATAGAAGAAATCTCAAGTAAATTTAAAAAACAAAAAACAAAAAAAACTAAACCAAATGATATGCCTTTTAATATAAAGGACTAAAAAAAACTATAAAACATAGTAGAAAAACACTTTCTTTTTCTTCTTGGTTTGTTTATCTCTTCTAACTCCACAATGAAGAACAATCTGTGGGCTTGAAAGAAACGAGCAGTGAAGAAGGATCATAACCCACCAAAAAGTTGTGCTGTGCTCTGTTACCAAAGATAGCATACGACGTCGGATCAGTACACATAAACGCCAGACAATACACTCCTCCAGCTCCATAAGTCACATACGTATTGTACTTATCCAAGACAAGATCCGCACCGCCGGAGAAATGCATGGTGATCACCGGAAACACATCCAACGTGTCAGAGTTGTAGCAAAGCAGGTTGTCCGAGGGACTTGCTCCTCGCTCCGCTTTCACAACGCTCTCCACTGCCTCCTTCACTTCCCCGCAGTAGCTCTCCGGCATGTACGTGAAAGTGGTTCCAGAGTCTATCACCATGTTCCCGTCCAAGGCGTGAAACGGTGTCCCCAACGTCTCGATGCGGTTATCTCCGACGCTGACCGCTTCTAGGTTTAGGTAATAGAAGCCTTGTTTCTCAGTTTTGATAAACATATTGGCTGATACTGTCCCATCTCCTGAAACGAGAGCGTTGGTTCCGAAGTTGATCTTGCTAGTTCCCTGGCCGCTGAAGCAGTAAGACAAAAGACCTAAGAAATTTTCTCCCATCTGAGTGATGAGCGATGAAGATCCCCAACCTAGACCAACAATGCCCGAACTGGCATTTGAGAAACCTGAGTTGTTGTGGCCACAGCCAATTAGGGTTTCAGGCATCACAAAGGGTTGGCCTGAGGTGGACTGGATCGTGACCGTCTCGAACGCGTACGTTCCTTTGGTGTAGCTTTTGTCTGCGTAGGTAGCGTCGTATGGACAAGGACCGTCGTCGCATTTTTGGGGTTTGTAGGTTGAGGATTTCGAAGGGTCGAAGATAGGACCTTTTTGGTTGTAGCAGTTAGCACAAGGTTGGCATTGTGTCCATACGATGCTGCTTCCCGTGTCTATTTCAGCTTCGATCTCGACAGGAGGAGTACCGATTTGTAGTTTCATTAGATAGGAGGCGTCATCAAAGACGGTGTCGGCGTAAGGAGATGATCCATCAACATCGTTGGGGAGTCGAGGAGAAGAGGAGTTGGAGCGAGTTAACTCGATGGTAAAGCCGGCGGGAGGTGATGTTGGTGATGGTGCGGCGTCGAGAGGTTTCGAATGAAACCGAGATGAGGCAGTGGCGGTGATTAAGAGAAAATAGGTGATAAAGATTTGAAGAGGAAGAGCCATGATCATTGTGGTTGCAAGAGACAATGAAGTGTTTTTCTGGTTTTGAGACACAATGCTATGTCTTCATTCATGCACGTATTTATACACTTTGGACTTTCTTGTCGTAATTGTAAATCTGTCTTAATTTGTCAACTTCTTCCATTTTTGTTATTTCTATTTTGGTCTCGTAGCATGGGAATTATATCATTTTTTGCACTTTGGTTAAAATGAACTAGATTCCTTTTCTCCTTAGCTTTCCTTTACTGCAGAGACATCATGAATTCAATTTAGTCAATTTTTTTGTAATCTAAGAACATTACCCTAAATGTAAGGACATTGACCTGCCAAACAAAATCATTCGTGCACATATTTATACACTTTGGACTTCTTGTCGTAATTGTTAATTTGTCTTAATTTGTCAACTTCTTCCATTTTGGTCTGGTAGCATGGGAAATTTAACTTTAACTTCTTTTTTAAAGAGTAAATTTTACCTTTTGTTACTAAGTTTTACTTTTGTTCTGTTTTGTTATACTTTTCACTAATGGAAATTATATCATTTTTGTACTTTTGTTAAAATGAATTATACAGAGACATCATGAGTCATTTTTGGTAATATATATAAGAACACTACCATTTTTTAATTAGTGTGTAAATCTAAGGACATTGACTTGCCAAACAAAAATCTAAGGATATTGGTTGCTGATGTTGCATTGAACTACAATATTTTTTTTAGTATGACGTTCTACCTAATATTCCCATAAAACTAACTTTGCATCGTTCGAATTATACAACATGGTATATTAGTATGTAATTAGATGCCGAGAAATGGAATATACAGACTAAAGTAGTGTGGGTAGGTCAATTAATTGTTTTTATATTCGTGGGACAGTTTAACTGCAATGACATATTGATCCCATCTAGTTTAACAGCTACACTTTTTGTTGGACTTCTTGTCGTAATTAGTTTTAGCTACCAAAAACTCTTCGATCAACCATATTAAAAAAGCCTAACGTAAAGGCCGCATGATGACTCTAAACTTTGAACCATAGTCCTAATAATAAACGTATGACAGTTAAAAACTATACGGTTCATCTTTTGAGTAGTTTTGTTTAACAGATTCCAAGGAAACACGTTATTCGATCTAATAACATGTACCATATTTTTCCATAAAAGAGATACAACATGAACCTATTGTCACCAACTTTTGTCCCCTCAATTTTAGAGGAACATGTGTGAATTAATTGAGATGATTATAGATAAGAGTCCACGAAATGTCTTCAAGATAGGCCTATCCAAGTTCCTCAAATGTTCATTGTGTAGTGTGATGGAAAAAAAAAAAAAAAATTGGAAAAAGATTAGCTGTAACAAAATTTAAAGTTTTCCAACTTCAGTAAAACCTCTATAAAGTAATAACGTTGGGACCATAATATTTTATTACTTTAACGAGATTATTAATTTATCGAGGGATTATTAAACCAAAAACTGAATTCGAGACTTGAAAATTCTATTCATTTATCGAGGTATTACTTTATCGAATATTACTTTATAGAGGTTCTACTGTTGTATATTATGGAATCGAATTTAGCAAAAAAAAATGTCCATATAAATTTCTCCATCACAATACATATATGATCAAACCTCTTGATCGTCTCCTGCATCGATCAATATAGCAAACTTAACGAACAAATTAAATGTACTTATTTAAAACCTTAAATGTTCATTTAAGTCATTCCCGGTTATCAGAATATGAAAATGATGCTTGATCCATAAATAAACTATTATCGGTGTAAAACTGGTCCACCGCAAAATCCATATCCGGGACAACGAACCGACACTCGCTGTTGTCCACGTGTCCTACGCTCTTCTGTTCCGACGATGAATAAACGGATACAGACGGTTCCGGTGAGCGACGGCGAGGCCTAATCCGAACAGGCTCATACTCGCAAGAGCCAATCAAATGTGGAAAGTTGAGCTTAGCTTTCGATCCTTTAAGCTGAAACGCAGCTCGGTCGTAAGCCACCGCCGCATCCTCCGGCGACTCGTAAGTCCCTAACCAAACCCTAGCTCCGTTCTTCTTCGGATCCCTTATCTCCGCCGCGAACTTCCCCCACGGCCTCCTCCTCACTCCCCTGTACTGCATCCCTTTCTGCCTCGGCGCGTGCGACTGCGATCCACTCGCTTCCGCCACAACCGTCACCGTCGAATTCTCGACTTCCTCCACCGCCGTCGTAGGAGTCGCCGGAGATGTAACGGTAGGTGTCCAGCCGGAGCTGAAGGCGTCGCGGAGAGTATTGTAAATGGCCATGTCTTGCGAGTCGTCGACGCTTAAAGGCAAATCGCTCCAGTTATCGTTTAAGATGACGTGGCTGAAACTCGGGTTCCGGTTAAAAACCGGCGAGTTAACGCCGTTACTGACGGAATCAGCTGAGCCTGTTGAGTCGCTGTAATTAAAACCCGACATTGATAAATAGTTAAATGACACGTGGTAACTAATTTTTATATGAAAAGACAAAAGCGATGGATCTCGAATGCTTCTGGATAGGAGAGAAGGTTTAGAGAGTGAAAGAAGCTGTTTTATCAGTTTGTTTCAGTTATGAGGAGTGATGTTTGTTTGAAAGAGGAATGGAGTGAGAAAAACACTGCGGAGGAGATTATAAAGGGTACGGATCAATGAGAAGGTCCATGGAAGCTTCTTTGGGTTTACTCTCTCTCAGAAGTTTCGTTTTTATTTTATTCCCCTCGTTGTTAAAACATAACGCGATAGTTTTTTTATTATTATTTTTGGACTTTTGGAGTTTGGTCTTTCTCTCTTTTGGTCTTTCTTTTCTCAATACTTTTCTCCTTTTTTTGGTATGAATAATCATTTTTATGCCCATCTTGTTCTATTGTTCATGACCTCTCTTTTTTTTTGGTTATGTTGTTCATATATGTATATGTATTCGCTTTGTTTTTTTACTCGAAACGGTACCCACTTGAAACAGTTTCGATGTTGTTGGGTCAATTGGCTATGACTTTCGGTCCGAGTAGTTAATATAATGTGTTTGTGTTTCCAACAAACTTACCTACCTCCAGATTCCAGATTAGTCAAGGTTCGAAGGTTATATAATTAAAATTGTGTTCAATCCGTATTTTGCTACAATATATAGAGATGTTACAATATGAGCAATATTGTGTTCAATCCATATTTAGGGGGGTTAGTTACAATATTGAATGTGAAATAAAACGTAGAAAAAAAATAATTTGGAAGATAATAAAACGTAGTGAATATCTACCGATTTAAAAACAAAGTAATTAATTGATTGATTAAACTCATTTAACTTTGGGTGAAATTAAGTCAAACAGTTTTTTTTTTTTTGGTTATATAAACAATTGTTTTTGACTTTCTTCACTCTAACAACATTTACCATTGGTTCATCAACGTCAACATGATCAGGAGAAAATGCTAATAAATCTATTAAAAATTCTTACAACGCGCAAAACAACATACAGTGGAAGACTTTAACAAAGAAAACATACAGTGGAAGTCAACAAAAATTATAGAAATAACTACTAGATTCGTTAAAACAACGACGGATCTAACAAAGCATATATATTAATTAGTACATCATACAAATTTTCCCAGGTGAGGAATGAATATTAATTAATATCACCAAACAAAACGTAAAGATTTCTTTTTCATTTTTTTAAGGAATAAAGCATAAGCTTCCCCGCATTATAAAACAGTTAATCATTTCCCACTAAAAAAAAATGGATAAGCAATCGGAAACAACACAATTTCCACGTGCTAGCGAATATTATGATATTATCAACTCTGGCGTACGTGGAAAGGGAAAGTCGTACCACTGTGACTGTCAAAGACACGTTTTGTTAATTGTGACTTTTGTTTTACTCACACTCTATTTGTTCATTTCGTTGTAACATCTCTATACAAACAAACGAAAGATATTTGAACTATTCTGAAGAGTATTTTAGTTATCCGAATATAAGCTGAAAAGGACGTTGCTACTTTGTCCATCTTACGTATGGAGTATATGACAGGGATAGATGACATACGTGAGGCTCTACTATCTTCACTTTGCTTCTATAATGGGCCTTTGGCCCATAGATGATACCCTTACTAATGAGAAGCCCGTTAAAATCGGTTCAATCAAACATCAAGAAGACTAGGAGAGTAGAAAAGAATGGGACCACCGTTCAACGCAACAATTTGGACTCGACAAACTAGTAGAGGACCGCGCGAACGCGCAGTGTGACGTTGCGGTTTTGTGAAGAAAATCTAAATTCTAAATCGAGCCCGACCCAAAAACCCTAATAAAAAATTTTAAAACCCAAACCTTTTTAATATATCTAAACCCGAAACCCGAAATCCAAAAAATCCCGAAAACCCTGAACCGAATAAAAAACTCGAAACTTTTTCACCCGAAACCCGAACCTGACCTTTTTTACTATGTCTAAACCTGAAAACCCGAAATCCAAAAAATCCGGAAACCCATGAACTAAACCCAAAAAAACTCGAACCCAAACCGAACATAAATTTTCAAAAAAACTCAAAACAGAAATCCACAATTTGATTTAAATTAGACGTATTTCTATTTCACTATTGGAAATTTTGCAAATATCATTCGATCATATTCTATTGATTTGATATTATCGATAGATTATGTTAATTTTCTTTTTTTGCAGATTTTTTAAGAGCTGGAAAACGGAAGTTTTCTAAACCATCGGTTTGTTTTAAGTTATTATTCTTGTATCCAAACAATTTTTTCCATTTATTCTTCTATCCAAATAGATTTTTCTCTTATTCTTATATCCAAACAATTTTTGTTTCCATTTATTCTTCTATCCAAATAGATATTTCTCTATTCTTGTATCCAAACATTAGAATGTACTTCTCAATTAATAATATAAAGATAAAAGATCGTAGATGAGAAAATACAAAAGTCCACCACTCTACATGGCTGCTTGGGACATGAAAGGGACACACCATACAGACGAAATAGTAATTGGTTCCGTGTTTATTTGAATACTACTAGTTCAGAAAATTTAGACAGACAATTACATATGAAGTTTGTTTTGAAAAATGTATGTATATGGAGTTTTTTTTATATATAAAAAAAAACTAGGACTTGGCTTTTAATTTGTGGGTATGAAATGTTGGAGATTTTTTTGTTCATGTAATCCTCAGCTTCTAAAATTTTAATGAAATTCCAGGACATAAATAAAGAACAATATCTTGCTTGTTTGTTAATCGTTAAGTAACAACAGGTGTTGATTACAGTCTAGGACTGGCCTAGAACTGTCTCCTTTTGGCATGAAACAGGTCCGGTACCATTATATCGATGTGTCTAGTGGGTCCGTTTTCATCGGATTCCACTAGGAGCTGACAAGTCATCATTTCTCTTAGTTTTGTCTGAAGCACATGTGGGTTCTTCTTCGTAGTCCGTAGGCTAGGGTTCAACGAAAACAAAGCGTGGATTGTCTTTTGATCATTCATTCATGGCCGGTTCTCATTTTGCAATCTCTAATACTATAGATGTGATGTTGAGATCATGCCGACTCTTTCAAACAAACCACACACAGATGATGCCAAAATCAGTTCAATTTCGTTTATATACCATATTGGTTCATTGATTTCTAGACCATAAATACATTTTGCTTTTGGGACCATCAAAAACAACATAGCAGTGACATTGCGATATAATGTAAAAAAGATTCCGACAAACCCAACAGCAGTAGTACCAAAAAGAGATTTTCTTAAATAATTCCGACTTGGAGCTTTCCATGTCCTTACAAAAGCTATGGTACCATGAAAGAAGATTCAATCTCCGATAACATAATGAAAAGACCTAAGTTACTAATCAGAAATGGTCTGTTAAAGTCTTAAGACATGGTTACAAATAGACTAAAAATTGCTAATTAAACGACCAAACACATAATACTCTTAGACGAAAAAAAAAAACAAAGCTTTTAGAAAAACTCAAAGTCTAGAAATTTACCACCAGACTTACCATCTGCTCCTGCTCCTGCAGCTGCTGATGACACTGGTGGTGGCATCATCATCCTTTTACTGTTACTACCAAACCCAACCGGATCAATCGGTCCATACTTCGGAGGCGGTTCGGTCTCCATCTGCCTCGGCACTTCAGGAGGAGTACTACACCTTATCAACGCCCAATTCACACCTTCAAAGAACGGATGCTGCTTTATCTCCGTCGCTCCTCTCTTCGTCCCTAACCTGTTCTTCGGATCCTTCACAAGCAAAGCCTGAACCAAATCCCTCCCTGCGTAGCTAGTCGCCGGCGACTCAGGAAACTTCAACTGCTCGCCGACTACATTAAACAGAGTAGCTCTGTTTCCTGATCCTTTAAACGGCGTCTTCCCATAAAGAAGCTCGTGCACGAAGATCCCAAACGTCCACCAATCAACCGCGCTTCCGTGTCCTTCTCCTTTAATAATCTCCGGAGCCAAGTACTCATGCGTCCCAACAAACGACATCGACCTCGTGTTAGGCTCAGCGACCAACTCCGGGAGAGAACCAGAATGCGACCTGAAGAAATCCGTCTGCGTCTTACGCGTCTTGTTGTTCTTCTTGCTCTTGTTACCGAACATGCTCCGTGGCAAGAAGCACGACGGTTGGATGATGCTGCAAGCTGACGTAGGCTCCATACAAGCAGGCTGCACACAGAACGCACCACCGCGTCTTGATGGATCAGAGTCGAACGTTTTGATCAGCGTCGGAGAAACCGCACACCTCAAAGAAAGATCAAAGTCCGATAGCATTATGTGACCGTCGTCTCTAACAAGAACGTTCTCAGGCTTCAAGTCTCTGTACACAACACCTAACATGTGCAGATACTCAAGCGCTAACAACACCTCCGCTGCGTAAAACCTAACCAAAACATAAAGAAAGTGAGATAACCTAACCCTAACAGTGAGTGAATGCAACTTCACCTACAAGAAACCGAAACATACCGAGCAGCGTACTCGGAGAAATGCTTCCCAGGTTGGCGTTGCCTTAACGTATGAAGATCACCTCCAGGACAATACTCCATAACCAAGCAAGAGAACCTATCAGTCTCGAAATGAGTGTACAGCGTCGGCAGAAACGGATGGTCCAACAGCTGAAGAATCTCTCTCTCAGTCTGAGCTCGGTTAAGCTTCTTCCGGTTCTCAAGCGAAGCTTTGTCCATCACTTTCACAGCGAAATGGCAACGAGTCCCACTCAGCTCAGCTAGATACACACTCCCAATATCGCCACAACCTAACCGTTTCAGCAACTTGAAATGACTCATCCCCAAGATCCCATCTCGAGTCCTTATAGCCAAGATCGCATTCCACCTCGGATCGTTCCCTTTGTGCGGCTTGTTAAGACTTCCAGTGAAGTTACTCCAGCTGCTCTCTTCGCTTAGGCCGCTGCTGTCACTCGCTCTGCTTGCACTCGTCTTGGCGCTCTCGAACGAGTCCAACACCATACTGTAGTTCTTATCCATGCTTAGCACAACATCGCTCCTCTGCGTGGAAGAAGTCGCGGATGAGCTGTTAGCGATACTCATAGCTCGCGCGAAGTTCATGCTTTCCACGCTGCTGCTGTGCGGACTCACGTTGGTGCTAGGAGGCAGAGAAGCATCCCACACACATTCCTTATCCGAATCTAACGGTTGCAGAGAGCTCTCTGTGTTCTGAGACGCACGAGCTATAGCAGACTCCTCAAGTAAGCTCTCTGAAGGTGAGAGTGTCTTCTTGGGAGGCACGCAGAGAGAGAGTTCTTCGAGATAAGGTCCTTTGGTCTCGCTGATGGGAACGTAAACAGTAGTGATGAGATCCATGTCGTCAGGCTCAGGAGGATGACTAACACCACGGAAGGAGCTAGAGCCAGCTTCCTCAGACATGTCATTGCTTCCTTTACAAGTCAAATCATCATCACCACCAACAGCTTCAATCTCCAGCAATGGATACTTCGCCTTCATCGTTCTAACAGATGGCTCAAACTCCTGAAACTCGTCTTGTTCCATTATCGTATCTTCTTCTCTGTGAACATTCAGGACTTGGCTTAGCTCTCTCCCCAACGTCGTAGCTGGAGGAGGATTCGCTGATGATCTTCCTGTGTTGTTGTATCGAGCGGCTCGTTCCCTTAGAGACTCCAAACGCATACCATTGGCATGAGTCTCTCTGTTTTCAAAGTCTAGGTATTGTCTTCTTGGTAAGTGAGATTTACTAGGAAGTCTCTTGAGCTCACTGACTCTTTCCATATCCAGCATTCATGCGATCTTTAACAAACACCAAATCTCTCTATATCCCTAAAAAAAAAGCAAATGATTTTTAATCAAATCTGTCGACTTCAATTAACATAAGCACTTAAGAGACCATTATTCAATTAACATAAGCACTTAAGCAAATGTATAAGACTTCAATTTTATACAAACAAAATTTCTACTTAATCCATCAGGGACCATTATTCTGAAACCTTGTCGGCGAATATATAAAATTAAGAACACAGACTAATTTTCATTTATGGTTTCAAGACAAAGAATTTAACACGAATGTAAGTGTGTGTGTGTTTGTCCCTAGTGATTTCCTTCGATCTGGAAATTCCAGAAAACTCTTACAGGAGTTTCTGGAAATTTCCAAGGGTGAAGAACAGCATAGGGATTAAGAAAACAACGAAAATCCCAAACAGAAAACGACAAAACAGGAAGAAATCGACACAAACCGGAAGCAAGAGGACGGATAATCGCTGAGATCGAGCCGGTTTGGTTTTCCGGTACAATGCAGCCGACGCCGGAGAAATGAGGCAGATGGGGAGATTTTCTTTGGGGAAAATTGTAGAAATCGATTTGAATCGGAGAGGAAAAAGAAAGAAAAACCACTCTCAGGCACGAGAATTGAGAGTCGGATTTGGAGTTTGGAGTGGTAAGCTCAAAGGCTTTTGCTTTATGTGTGGGCGCTATCTGCGACTGACGGTAACGGAGAAACTTAATTAAATTCAATTTAAAAAAACAAATGCAAGTGAGAGAGAAAGAGAGTGAGGTGGGACCCCCGGATACTGTAGGGTCCAGTCATTAAAGTGGGACCTACACGTGTCCCTTCTTCAACCTACAATTTGGTTTGAGACGTTTCTTGTGTTATGCTTGATCAAAGTTTTTATGGCGAGAGATTGATTCCGTTTTGTTTTCTTTCTGTGATTGAGAAGATCAAACCTTAGAATCAATCAAATAAATTCACTTGGTTAGTGTTTGATTAAACACATCTGAATCTGATAATGACTACGATCAAACATATTTTAGGAGTTTTGTTAAGGGTTATGTACTATGTAGTATGAAAAGAATAGTTGTACATATTAGAAAATATCTGTAAAACAAAGCTTATGTGTTGTGAGAGATGATAACTATTCCTTTTGTTGTGTAATAAAATATAGAAAATTGAATAGTGAAAGAAAGAGACAAAAGAATCAAAAACCTTGTGGATTTGCGAAAACCACTTTTTTGACCCACCATCGCATATGTTGATTAGCTTTTTTCTTATTTTTCTCCCCATTTCACATCACTTTTCTTTTTCCTTTTTCTTTTATTTTTTCTCCACCCTACTCGAAACTTTGTCTTCATTTGAACATGTGTTCCTAGAATTTGAATAGTGGCCACTTGAAGAACAAGTGAAATAGGTAGAGAAAAAAAACGAGTGGAGTCAGTGCAATAGAAGACCAAAAACATTCAAATAGTAGTAATTGTTTATTATGATGATGAGTAGCAAGGAATTTGAAATTAAATTTAGAAATTAGTGAGGAACTAAAGTTGGAAATATTTATTAAACAAGTAATACTGAGACTGGAAAGTTTTATGGATGGTGAGAAAAGGTTTGAATGATAAATGATCTTGTTTCTCCAGTTCCACTAAATTTTTGTTGAATCTACTAGAATTCTTTTATGTAGATGGTGGTCATACTATTCTGTTTATAATGGAACAGTTGAGTTTCAATTGGCATTATATTTGGAAGCAATGATTAGGGGACATTGTTTTGTGGGTTAAACAAAATGTTGTCTTAATTTCAGCAATAAGAATAGTATAGTTGATTAAAAAAACAATGTTGGACCTCGACGCTCTAATCATGGTGGGCTTAGTGAGTGATGCTTTATTTGTCTGCAAAGTAAATAAAAGCTGCGACGATAATTTTATTAGAATTAAAAAGAAGAAAGATTAACACTGCTAATAATGTATAAAAATCTTCGGTAATTATAATTTGGAAAGCTGAGAGCAAAAGAAAGAACAAAAATTATAAGCAACAGAGATAGTTGTCGGCTTAGAGATGGCAAAAGACGTAAATGACCTTGAGAGTGAGTCGTTGAAAAGGCTTTCGAAACAAGGTTTTGGTGGAGGGTAAACTCGGTAATACGAATCGGTTGGATTGCGCGTGGATTGAGGGGATCTATGTATGTCTGAGACAGTTTTATCTTTATCTCTCTAACCAAACGGTCCAAAACACATGCAGTGTCTCGTCCTTTTTTTTTGTTGTTTTATTTCTTTGCAATCGCTTAAGACAAATTTTAATGTCCTTAGACTATGTAGTAGTAGGATCAAATTTTGTATTTCTTTCCAAGATCGTATATCTCACAATGTTCACATATTATATTCAGAAATTCCCATGAGTTTATTCAAAATGTGATTTCCTACGTAATACTGAGCTTGTAATCTTTGTAAATTTGAATGGTTAGGTTAATCAGTTTTCCAGTAAAAAATTAGATTGAAGTCATAAATCGACTATAACAGAAAAGAAATCATGAAACGGTTATTCTTTTGAAGCAAAATTAGTCTAAAATCTAAAGGTATATTTATTATGAGCCAGGAGTAGTATGCAACTATGCATCATCAAATGATGGTTTCTTTAAATTCATCAATCTTACACACATTGATTTAAAGGTTTATTGAGTTTATATCATGTGAATAATTGTCAAACGTTCTCTGAAACACATGCAATTAGCTAACTTTGAACTTTTAAAAGTTACTTGTATAAACATTTATTAGTCATAATAGACTCATAGCCTCGCTGTTCTATACTTTTGATTTTTCAACTATTTACTAAATACCATTCTCTTAGGTGATGATGTTTTGTATTTAGTCATGTGGAATTAATCGGGTGTGAATGTGTGGTACTAACTATGGTATCTTGTTATCTTTATAGGTGGGGCTTGAATCTGAGCCTTCTCTCTTTTGAAAAGCACTTAGAAGAAAATAAAGAAGGCCTTGAAACTTTGAAAACAAAATAATAGACTTATCGAAACTATACAAAGGGAAAAGCAACACATTTCTTAATTTTTGGACTCTCTTCTGATTCCATTCTCATTAACATTATGCTTTATTCTTTCCTCCTTACTTACATCGTTATTATACCTATTTGAAATATTTGTCAATTTAGTTAAATAATGGTCATCAACTCATTGGTCTATACATAACAAAATAAAAAACTAAATTTGAGTGGTGTAATTTCGTATTACATGTTTACACGTTAAAAATAAATAAAAGGAAGAGCATTTGAGACTTGAGGACAGCTCACATGATTACATGTTTTGTCTTCACAATACCAACACTCACTCAGGAGCTTCATTAGAGAGATCAAAGTCGGCGATCTTGGAAACATCATCTTCAAAGAGCAGGACGTTGCTTGATTTACTTTTTTCATGCAAATACATAAGCCCTCTTGGCTCTTGCTGCTCCAACCGCAAATACATAAAGGCCCATTTAAAAGGTAAAAGCCTGTTAAAGGCCCATCTAGCTCACTGTCTAAAGTAAGTAAAAATGAGTGAACAAACACATTCCAGGCTTGCCATATTCGCCGGCGTTTCTCTTCTTTGCTTAATCTCTCAATCGGCGTCGTCATGGAGAAAGGAGGAAAAGGGATCAAATCTTCAATCAAGTCCGCTTCCAAATATGGTTTCGTTTTCTATCTCCAAACCCTTTCCATTAGATTTTCTTCTTGTTTCTCTAGATTGTCTTACACTCAGATTTTGGGGGGTTTTGGTGGTTAGGATCCGGAAAGGACGATAACTCCAAGAACTCAAGGAAAGTCCAGTTTAAGCTTGTCTCGGAATCTAATGACCCAGCTCAAGGCTTTTCCGCTAAAGGTTTCAGCTTTCTTCCTATTGTTCATGTGATTGCAATCGTTGAGCCTCTTGGCTGTGTCATTTGCTTAAACTCTGCCCTTTTTTCTGACTACAGGTGGCAAAAAGAAAGAATCTCAGCCGCCTGAGCTCAAGATTGAAAAGGGTTTGTACATTTCAAAATCCCTTCTTTGCCTCTGCTCTGCCTGCATTGTGTTCACTCTCCGTTGTGGTCTTTGCAGAGCTTCCGGAGAATGCAAAGTGCTTGATGGATTGTGAAGCTTTTGAGATTTTAGATAGCGTCAAGGACCATATGGCTCTGTTATCTGAAGATCCTAGCATAAAGATTCCTGTGTAAGTAGAGCATTGTATTATTCTCTTTCCATGCAAAGGAAAAGTCTTTGACTTCTCTAACCGTGTAGTTTTGTTTTCCAGATCTTTCGACAGAGGACTCGAGTATCTGAAGTTTGGTCGTTGCTATACGAAACCTGAGTCTGTCAGACAGATTCTTGAGCCATTGAGAAAGCATGGTGTCTCTCAAGGCGAGGTCAGTAAAATTCTGTCAAAAGAGTCTTCAATTCAGACATCAAAAACCCTGAGCGCTCCTTGTAATGGTTTGTGTTGTTAATGTGCAGATGTGTATGATTGCAAATGTCTGTCCAGAGAGCAGCGATGAAGTTTTTGCATTTGTTCCATCGATTAAGGTATGCATTACTGCCACCTCGTTTCTTAGACTAGTGTGTATATTTTTTCAGTTTCTATGTCGAAATTCTTATGAATCTGAGTTTGTTTTTTTTGCTGTGTGAATTTGTCTAGGGGAGGAAAGACAAGATGAGTGAGCCATTAGAAGAGGCATTGACGAAGCTATCAAAGCTCGAAAGATGTACTTGATGGAGTCATTACTTATGGACTGTTGGATGTGGATCCAAGCTAGCTAGCCGTAGTAGTAAAGATGTTTTCTGGTTGGGTTTAGGTGCTTCTTTGGCATGAAATTTATCAAGATCGGTCTTGTAAATGGCTTAATGGTTGTGAGTTGTGTCGTTTTATGTAAGTTTTAACCATTTCCTTTCTCAAAACTAAGCAATCCAGTGCCAGTGCTATGTAATGTTGTTAATCTTCCAAGGATAGTTTAAAGTGATTCTCAACTTTTGATGATTCTCAAACAAAATGGAAACTGAAAAATAGTTTGATTTGGTCCGTTACTCATTCTAATTTTGTAGTTGAGATGGATATTTTTGAAGCAATATAATAAAATTTAGATCATTCCACGTTTGTGACAATATTCGAAAATCTCTCACTGTAATGCTATTACAAAGATCATCAATCTAAGCAGCTAACTACTATTACTTGCCTTTCCTCTTATTGCCTCCTTTCTTTTTCCCTTTCTTGCTTCCTTTCTTCTTCCCTTTGCTCTTTCTGCCACTTCCTCCTCCTTCTCCTCTGTTCTTGTCCATACCGTAACTGCTCGTCTTGTTATCTCTGTCACTGCGTCTTGAAGAGCCGGAATGTAGCAAATGCCTAACATCAAGAACACCGCTCCTGAAATTCCCTTCCGTTGATTTCAGCACTCTCTCCTCTGGCTTACGCTTCCTCTCTACCGGTTTCTTCGTTGTCACAACACCAAGTGGTCCTTCAAATTTGCCAAGAATCGATCTCTGCCAAATAACATGTTAGAGACTCTCTAGTTTGTTGTTAATAGCTCAAGAAGAAGAACAGAGTGAGTGATTGATTTAACTTAAAAAAAGCTCACATTTTCCAACATCTTCTCTTCTCTTTCTTTCTGTTTCTTCATCTGTACTCTCGCTACACTCAGCGGTAGCCTCTGTTTCTTCTGAGGCTGCAAGCAATAACAAAACAAAAACCATATCTCAACCACTGATTCGGAAAAAAAAAAGGAGTCTCTGGTTTTGCAGTGCAAACAAATCTTTACCTTTCCACCAAGTTCAGTGACTCTCTGATTCTCTAACGCTTTCCTATCCTTCCATGTCATATGTGAGGAACCTTTAAACATTAAAGATCTTGTAAGAAGAACAATTTGAGGATTCTGGAAAACTTATTCAAGCCTAAAAGTTGCTCACTTTTCCCTTGTATCATAATGCTAAAAAGCAAACAAAATTGGCAAAGGCTAATGAAAAATTCTACAGCTTAAGTTTGTGTATCGACATGAGTCTTTCGTTTTGGATTCAGCAGGGACAATTGTACGCATTCAGAGAGATGGAGAGAGGGAAGAGAGTGTTACCAAAACGCACTACTTCTTTCATAATCGTGCTAAAGCTCATGTCAATATCACTAGACTCCATGACTTCCTTCTTCTTCTCCTTTGGATTGCGATTATACATTTTGTTTTGAAACATCTGAAACATATCAATGAGGAGAGGTTAAGCATTGAGATATTTGCGAATTCCTATTTATTGATTCCGATTGGCTTAAACATCACAATCAAATTCCGATTCTATGTTCTACCACTTTCCGATTAGATCTCGACTAATCTAGCTGGGGAACAATTAGAGATATCATCAATCTCGTCACCTAATACCTTCTAAGAGGACGTAACTTTAGAGATAGAGCACAAACCTGAGAGTTGAGGAGGAGTATGCGAAAGCACGATTAGTCAAAGAAGCTAGCTTGAGAGAGAGTATGAACGTTCGACTACGCAGAGCGGAGGATGAACAAACGGAAATTTCTAAAAGGGTGTAGGGTTTTGTCAGACGGCGGAGATGGAAGAAGCGTTGGTGAAGATATTGGGCTTATGGGCCTTTTCATTAATGGATGATATTTCAAAGCCCATTTCTAGTAAAAACATCTAATTTAAGTTTGTGTTTACTTTAATGTATAAAGACCAGGAATAAAAAAAGAGAATGAATGGAATGAAAATGAATAAAATATATAGAATTTATTCCTTCTCATATTTTATAAGAAGTATTTTAATATTATAATTCCCTAATTAATATGGAATGATAAGGAATAATATGAAATACACATTCCTTATAAATGGTGTAATTTTTAAGGAATGAAAGAGAATTGTCTTATTCCCCCTCATTCCTTGGTCACCAGTTACAACCGAAATCTCTCTCTCACTCTGATCATGACCAGGGCCGTCCCGTGGCTAAGGCAAGTAAAGCAGATGCTTTAGGCGCCAAATGTTTCATATAGTTTTAGGGGCGCCAAAATTCTAAAAAGTTCTTATAATCCAGTGGTTTAGCTCTACGCCTCTACATATTCTCACTGAGGGAGGGTGTTCGAGTCTCATCTTAGCATTATATAAAGCTTTTTTAAAAAATTAATGTTTTTAGTGGGCTCAGATTTTTTACTTTAGGCCATAAATAACTTCAGGCCGGCCCTGATCATGACCGAAACAAATCACTGAGTTATGATCCTGCATGGTCGACAATGGTCGTTAACGTCACTGCGTGATCCAAGCGATATCCTTTGAAGTTAGACATTCATATATTCGTTGGACTATTATTGTTATATAAAGCTTTTTTTAAAAATTAATGTTTTTAGTGGATTCAGATTTTTTACTTTAGGCCATAAATAACTTCGGGCCGGCCCTGATCATGACCGAAACAAATCACTGAGTTATGATCTTGCATGGTCGACAATGGTAGTGACGTTGACTGCGTGATCTAAGCGATATCCTTTGAAGTTAGAAATTCATATATTCGTTGGATTATTATTGTCACCTTAATTCTAGTAAAACTTCAAATGCGGTTTATTTAATTCGGCTCAGTTTATTCGTAATACATCACCCGGAACATGTAATGATTAATTTATGTAAATCATAGCTTTATAATAAGATTATTATCAGTTTTAGTTGACTAGAAAGTGCATGGGAGAACTTGAAATGAGGATTTTACCTAAAAAGGACAAAATAAAGGACTTGAAATGAAGGCGATTAGGTTGGGTGAGAGAGATTAAGACATGCATTGATTTCGATTATTTGACTATTCTTAGTTCTTTGGTGTGGTTGTTGGCCAGCCGCAATTTTTCATAATGTTGAGATGTAGGAGGCACAAAGGCATACACACACACACCATCCTCGATCTCCTCCTTTTTTTTTTTTTGTTGAATTGCTATTTAGGTTTTGCAAGTACTTGTATTTTGCAATAATTAATGTGTCATTTACACGCCATCAATCGTGGCTCGAACAAAATACTACTATCTAGTAGTTTAATCCAAAAAAGTAAAAACTACAAAGTATCGATGGTATGTGTTGGTTATTCAATATATCCACCTTCTGTCTTCTGATGAGTATATATGTTTGAGACTACGACGTACCTGTGTGTGTACGTATACGGCTTGGTCATGCATAAAAAATTAGTGACGGTGACCGTTCTCGAGCATGGGGTGTTCACTAATATATTTTGGTCATGTTCATAAGACGATTTCATTAATTAAGACTTAATCGTAAATTTAAGTGTAAAGAACTCAAACGATATATCTTTAATAAAAAAGAACCAAACTTAAATGATAAACAATTTCATAACTTTGACAAAAATCAAGTCTCGACAAGTTAATAGTTGATAGGATTTAACAACTCTGAAACACCACCTCAAATTAGGAATCCTAATCTAAGATCATAGTTACGCGACTCTAAGACACACTATATCTAGCAACGATTTACGATGAATTCTTCTTTGTTTTGTCGTTGTGACTTGTGAGAATTTACATTGCAATATCGAATTGTACTTTCTCTGTTCTATAACATTACATGTTTAAGAAATTTCTTTTGTTTCATTTTATAAATAAAATCAACAAGTTTTTATGCAGATTTAAATACTATTTGATGTTTTGACTCTTTGAATTATATAGTCTTTTCATAATTGGGTAACTTATATTTTTAACTAATTATCAAATCAGATTTTATTGTAGAAGATAGATTCTTAATTTTGTGTCATTATCTAAAACATTTTATATTTTAAAACAGGTAGAGTAATATATAAAGATAATGGTTGAATGTTTATTGATGTAATTATTCAATGATCAAATCAATCAAATCAAAACAATGGTACATGTACAGACTCAGTACATTGTTATGTCTGTCTCTATGAAAGAACAATAGTATGTCTTTGTATGTGAAATGATAAACTAGCTCCATCTCATTCAATAAAACTTCCTCTGGCCCTGGATCCATGAGGATATGAGTCGGAGCTTTTAGTTTTGTGAAGTATAAACTTTTCATCTGTTTCCAGGTATTCCATTTGATGGTAACAATAAAGGATTGACAAACTCTTGGCAATTCACTTGATCAGTTGTGGCAAAGATGTAAAAAGTGACCGTGTACAAGATAATGATTTGTGGGTCCAACAACATACTATCTAGTAATTTAATCAAAAAAAAAAAGTAAAAAGTAACGATGACCACTTTCTATGATCATATATACATATACAATACTGAATATAATTTCAAAGCTAGCATTTTAGGTATGGGTCGGTTATTCAATATATCCACCTTTTGAATTCATATTTGAGACTACGACGTGCCTATATGTGTGTACGTATACGGCTTGGGTCATGCGTTAAAAATTAGTGACGGTGACAGGCTGACAGCTCTCGAGCGTGGGGTTCTTAAGTTCACTGATATATTTTGGTCATGATCAGACGATTTCATTAATCAGTACTTAATCGTAAATTTGCAAGTGTAAAGAACTCAAACAATATCTTTAATAAACAAAATATAACTAGCTAGCTTGGATAACTAATATCAAGTCTAATGTTTTTTTTTTTTTTTTTTTTTTTTTCAAGTCTAATGCTTTATCCACGATTTTTGACACTTGGTTAGAATTACAACTCTGAGTCTCTGACACACACCTCAAATTTTCAAAGACCACCAATTCCTAATCTAAGATCAGAGTTATTGATGCCGACCCACTTTATCTTTGAAACCTGCAAGGCTCTCTATGTAGCAAATGATTTATAATGAAATTTTTGTTTGTTTGTTTGTTGTTGTTGTGACTTGTGAGAAGATACATTGCAACATTACTTTCTTTGTTCCATAATATTTGATGTTTAAGATTCATTCTTGTTTTAATTTAACAAGTTTTATCCTAGCAAAATGATATAAAAAAAGTTTGTATGTAGATTTTAGTAATGTCTGACAGTCTTGCCTCTTTAAATCTATAGTGTTTTCATGCTTAACTAAATAAGATTTTATTTTCAAATAAATATTTTTTTGTCCTTTTATCTAAAACATCTTCTTATATAAAGTTAGATGCGCACAACGTGGTTGCGACACGTAGGATTTTTATAAAATTCAGGATCGCGACATGTGTCACTTTTAAGTTTATGTCCGTTAAGATCGTGACACGTGTCTTAGAAAAAAAGAGAACTTAAAAAAAAAAATTCCAGATAAATGTTAATTAAAAAAAAAACGAAATTTAATTTAATCTATTATATCAAAAAGGAAAAAATAATATTTGCCATATCCAAACAGAAAAAGGTTTCCATTCATCAAATTTTTTATTATATAAAGTTGGATGCTTTTAGATAAAGGAATTTAAAAAAAATTAATCCATTACAGTTAAAAGAAATAAAAATATATTTGTCATATCCTAATAGAGAAAGGTTTTCCATTCATCAAATTAATATTATCCAAACAAATAATAAAATCAAAATAATGTAATAAATAAAATCCTATTTGTATAATGTTATGTAATCAAATTAATATTATCCAAACAAATAATAAAATCAAAATAATGTAATAAATAAAATCCTATTTGTATAATGAAATAAATAATGTTATGTAAACTAAATTTCATATAACTGAATAGGTTACTTGAATCCCTATAAAAGAGAGTCAAAGTTTCTCAATCATAAATTTCATCAGATCCCTTTGATTCTATTTCTCCAATTAAAAATCATGTTTTTGAAGTTTTGCGATACATATGATTTTTATAACTCACAAAATTGTGACATTTGTTTTAGAAAAAAAAATTATGAAAGTATGAAGATCGTAACATGTGTCATAGAATAAAAAAAAAAATTAATATGTATAAGACTAAATAAAAATTAGAAAATCAGATAAAAATAATTAAAATGAAAAAATAATAAATCCATTAAAAGTAATAAAAAAACAGAAAACAAATAATTTAAATTCTTTTGTTACATCTATTAAGAAAAGGAAAAAAATGCATTTCGAAAAGGAAAAATATCAATATATATTATTTATAATGGTATGAGGCAAAAAAAATTGAGAAAGAAAAAATATAAATAGAAAACTAACAAAATAATATTCAAGCAATTAACTAAAATTAAAAAATTATAATCGATATTCTAATTTTAAATAGTTTGATTTTCAATTTTTGTTAGGTAAAAAAAATTGAAATAAAGATTTCATCAATTAAAATCTCTTGAATGGAATAATAAAAGTTTGATTAATTAATCAGTTGATCAGATTTAGACATGTGTAAGTGTTTATGTATTGGATAAAAATAATATTAAAACAAATTAATTCATTTTGTCATATCATAAATTCAAAAGAAAAATCAATTATAATAAAAATGTAAAAGTATTACCAATTTTATTTTATTTAAATATTTTTATCGGGTTTTCAATATTATTTTGTTTACGTTTAAAAATGATCAAATTTTGTTTAATATTTTCCATGCTTTTATTATAAAATCTTAAAATATACCCGCGTATACGCGGGCCTTAATCTAGTCTTCTTATATTTTATAATAGATGGAGTAACATATAAAAGCTATACTTGAATTTGTATTGATCTAACTATTCAATGATGTGAATATAACTTACAGAATTGGATTATGGTTGCCTTTTGCTTTTGCATTACCAAAACAATGTTGTTGTAATGTTTTTGATGGGGGAAAAAATTAACGCGTCGATGGCTACTTCCTAGTAATGAGGAAAATACGTATAAGGTAATGGACGGCGCATGATGCGTGTTCTTATTTGGCTTTTGGATTTAGATTTCACAGGTAACTGATATCTTTTCAAGATTTTGCAAAGTACACTTTAACAAAAAGATTTGGCTAAGTACACAGTTCCAGTCAACTTCTTCAAACGGGTCGGTGCTTACGTGGCCGCATCGAGAAATTCTCAAATTTTGGACGGAGATAGGGATATGTTTGTCTTTTCACTCTCTTTTCGGCCATGTGCAGACAATTTTCGACTTTTTGGAGTTTAGATTTTAGAACACATGCGTCTAAATTTTATTTAATTAACAACATAATCAAAGATAAAAGCAATATATATATGTACTATTTGAAATTATTCGAACTTCATTACACTTTTCGCTCTTTTAGAGCTGTCTTTCTATTTACTTTCTAGTTCTTCTACCATTGAGTTAGAGATGCATCATGCAAGGAAAATTTATATAACCGAAATCAAACCGGTACGGTTTCTTGATTTACTTTCTCGGTTTAATGTTTCTCTACACATTTTTTGTTTTCGGAGGACTCTTCGAGCCGTCTCTCTGAACGGACACGTGGAGCTCACGAAACCTCCAACCAAATGTAGGTACGTCTTCAGTTCGTGACACGTCGCAACGTTGATACTGTTCACGTACGGCGAGTCACGGCTGCTCAGCCGTAGCTCTTTCCCGACCTCCGCATAAACCCACGGCGTCTGCGTCTCCTCCACGCGTTTTTGTATCCAGCTCGGCATTGACGTCGTCATCTTCACGTTATCTTGCTCTCTGTTATCTAAAACGACGCCTGGAACTTTGGTGATGACGTCATCGGAGTTAACGATCCTCAGGACCTTGGTGCCTTGCTTCTCAAGGAGTTTACGAAAGCATCTGTTTCCCACACGTGGACCTCCGAATGATATAACGGTTACCATCGGCGCGCGTTTGAAAGTCGTTTTGATATCGTACGCGGCTAACGTCGCGATCGCGGCTCCGAGACTGTGTCCCGTGATCGTTAAGCTCAACGGCTCGTCGCCGTAAGATTGGAGCAGCCTCGAGATCTCTTCTCTTACCATGCCTCTCAAACTGTGGGCCCCGGAAGTGTACAAGCTTAGAAACCCGCTCTCGACCATGGGCCCAGAGTTAGACCCGTTTAAATTCGGTCCAGTAGGCCCATCAGGGAGATGAGTCAGCGTGGCGCGAAGGTTCTCCAACCACTCGAGACACGTGGCGGTTCCGCGAAAGGAGATGACTACGTCTCTACGCCCGAGCCGCGAGATCTCCTCCTTGTCTTGACATACTGCCACGTAACCAATCCAGCTGGACTGTGTAGCCATCCAGTTAGGCGCTTTCTCAATCCAACGTGGTAAGTTAATACCTGATGTGGCACGGAGGTTCTTGGTTAGTCGATAACCGGAATTAGGTAAACCGGATCGGTCTAACAACGTGCTCCTCGGAAACCGGCACGTCGCGTAGGTTGGAGACGAAGGATCGAAATCGAAGGACTGGTAAGCCGATTCGACGAACTGGCCGTACCGGAGAATCTCTCGCCGGAGATTTTCGTCCAATGGGTCTAGAAGACCTTCCCAATTCTGAAGCCCCTGGTACTCCATCCATTTCCGGCCGAGCTTAACCGGGTTAGACGACGACAATTCGTCAGAATGTTGATCTTGATTCAGCAGCAAACCCTCCCAGGTTTCCGGTTTAGGTATAACCGGTGATCGAGAAGTATAAATTGTAGGAGAAGGAAGCGTAAGTACGCAACGACACTGACGAATGGACATGGTAACATTTACGTGAGACACTGCGTCGTATTTTGGTAGTGAGGTTACTACACTATACGGACGTACGGGAGATAAAGAAAATTTCATTATTAGGAAAGTGTGAATGTTTTTGAATTTTATAGATAATCAAAGTTTTAAATGTTACAGAGAATGGAGTTTCTTGTATTTGGTGCAAGAAGATGAAGTGAAGAAGAAGAGGGAAGTTGATGGAGGAGAGAGAGAGGAAATGTGGTTTGTTTTATAGTGGATCTATAGTGGAGCTAGAGATCTTTGAAAAGGAAAGGACTTGACTATAAAATTTGTGGACTGTGCTTATATAAGTATATAAAATAATTATATATCTAATGCCCTCATAAACATTTGGTACTCGATCGATTGTGTATTTAAAAAGAGTTTTTTTTTTTGTGTATGTAAAAGCAATAAATAGACCAACATAGCATTAATAATTTGTTTTTTTTAAACATAGCATTAATAAGTGAGAACAAGCTTTCGCAATTATATCCAATGCCCACATAACAAATTGTATATTAAATGAAGAATGAGAAACAATCTTCCACAAATGTGGTACACGTAAGCTTCCTTTTTATTTTACTTTCACTTAACTTACCACCTAAAAAGAGAATGTGAAATCAATATCTGAGATCAACTCATCAACAATGTCAATATTTATAACTTATACGTTATTACTTTTTTTAATGTGACTTTGTGTAAACACGAGAAATACAATTAAAATGTAGTATAAGATAGTTTTCATATCATCAACACTAGAAAAGCGCTATAATTGATACTTTGTTGAATTAAAAAAGAAAAAATAATTGTAATCTGTACGATAGTGATTGATATAAAAGAGCAATGGACGGCTCAGGATGGAGATAAATATCTGACCGTCGCTTCTTACCAAGATTTGATTGGAGGGGACACGTGAGAGTTTTCCAAGGATACGGCTCATAAAGGCTTTGACACGTGAGGGAACTATTAACAGCTCGGCTCGGCTCAGCTCGACTTTTAACTATTCGCCGCCAAATTGCTCTCTATAGTCATTGCTGAATAATGATTGCTGAAAGAAAGTACGCACGTATGCAGCCTTTTTACATTACACTCTTTTTTTGCAATTTGTAATTAGCAGAACTCAGAAGACAATTTGTTATATGAAATATCCAAAATTTGATAGACTAAATTAAGTTGCAAGTAAAAGCTTGATTGAGATCGATAATGTAGTTAATGAAAATACGTTTTCGATTTCAGTAAAAAGGACTAGAGAAACTGAGAAATCATGCTGCAAAAATATTACGTTGTTTATACTTTTTTGTTTTGTTCGTGTTCTCAATGATTCACAACACCGTACGTGTCAGATCGAACACATATATATGCTTTACACAAATACATGAACTTTCGCGATGAAATTTAACTTATTTGCCTATATCGTGGGTTATAGAACAAGTCCAGTTTAATAAGTTGGAGTGATGTGTTGTTCGGACAAAACTAGGAATAAAAGAAGTGCGACGTATACGTGAGCTACAAACTATTTGAATTTCACATCACATGTTTTATTCATATTAGTCTCTATATAGCTTCATCTTATCTATGAAGACTCCTAGCTGTTTTACATTATCAAATTTGTTTCTTTATACCATCATCAATCTTCCCAAAACACAGATGAGGAATCCTTTATCTATACTTGGTTCAAATTCTTCCAGCGATAATTCATCCTTGAAGAGTAGATTGCTTAACGTGTTTTGTCTTTCTTTTCCTCTAAGCGTATGATCTAAAAACTCTTGACTTGTATTTGGTATCCCATAAAGAGATTTTATAAAATAGTACTATTCAAAAAAAAAAAAAAAAATTGTTTCTTTATACATTGTATATATAACCTTCGTGGTTTATGAAATAATGTTTTAACGCTAATATCATTTCACATTGCTTACATCGTTCCAAATGTCACCCACGTGGGACTCGCTAATCAATAAAAAAAACTTTAGCTTCTCAATGTTCTCACATAGTATACGTTTATTTACAGTAAACCGAATTACATAGACTATAAAAGTCAGAAACTAAATTGAAAGAAGAGTTTCGATTTACACGATAAACCAAAAAATACCAAGGAGGAGAAGATACACATGGGATGCATGAAAAGATACCTTCGTTAGGGATGCGATCAAAATGATTAAACAATATAAGTCATTTGGTGTTCCTACCATTTGGGAACTGATTTCCTATTCTGTAATAAACAAAAATTGCATGCACTTCTTTAGGTTTTTTGGTTATAACACGTACTTGCATGCCCCGATTCAATGTCATCGTTTTGGATATATCACAAAACTACGTGACCACTAATATATTTGTGGACACAAAACTACACATCACAAAAGCCATTAGTTAGTTTTTTATATAAAACTTATATATATTAACCCTTTTAAAGAAAATACTGATAATTTTCCAATGGGCCTATTTCTATGTCATTTTACATTGGACATTTTCTTCTTTCGGGACCATTTCTCCACGTTTTTATGGGAAAAGCTAAAGGTTTTTTTATCCTATGCCAAAACAAAACTAAAGGGAGCTTTATTAAATAAAAGGGTATAGGAGATGAATGGATCTTGGAATGATACCGATCGATAATATGTGTTTCGACTGATGCAACCGACCCTTTTTGAAAGCCTTAAAAAAATGAGAAAAAAGCTACCGACCCTTTTAAATTTTAATACAACTTTTGATTACGCGGTGAAAAATCATCATAGTAGCTATTCAATGTTTTTTTTGAGTGATATTGCTCAATACCCATGGAAACTTTGAAAATTAAGTTTTTGCCAATAACTATTTCTAAATTAGGTAGAAGGAGAGAGAAACAAAAATAAAAGCCTTTAGTATATATCCTTTTTATTTTATTTATCTAAAAAAATGCCATTGATTTGATTAGAAACTGTTCATTAACCATCTGATGACACTGTTCATTGATCGATTTCACTGTTTATATAGAATCATCGACATTAATCGTCTAAAGATAACTATTTACTTATGGCAACAAATAAAATATCATAAAATATTGCTAACTTATAGTAATATATTATACAATTGACATGCTAAACTAGTTAGCATATTATTAAAAAATCGTGTTAACCAAATTATCATGACATAAAAATACAAAATATTTCGAATACCATAGTTATTATACCAACAATTATCATGTTAGCATAATTAGCATATTAACTAACACAATAATTACCGTGTTAACATGATTATCATGTAAAAATTTTATTAAGCTAATAAAGTTATCATACCTTAGGAAAATATGAAATATAAAATTAAGAAATTACCTTGTTAACTCAATTAATATTTTATGAAATTACAGGTTTAACCTAATTATCATATCATAAAAAATATAAATTATAATGTTTAACTGAGTTATCATTTTAAAATACATATCGGTAACCAATTAACCATCTAACCAACATAACTCACCATTAACAATATTACCTGTTAGTGTTGTTATCACCGCCGTTCATTGATATTATCGGCTTTTACACAATAGTCACCACCGTCATCTTCATCACCGTAGATTCAACCGCCATTGCTGACTCCCCTCCTCCTCCTCTTCTTCTTCTTTCTTCTCTTCCTCCGTTCCTGCCATCGCTGGCTTCTTCTTCCTCCTTTCTTCTCTTTCTCTGTTGCTGCATCGTTGGCTTCTTCCTCCTCCTCTTCTTTTTTCTACTCTTTCTCAATTTGTGTTTTTTTTTCTGTCAGATCTACTAAAACAGAGACCATATATATAGTACACTTGATTCAATTAGAGAAATAAAAAAAGATCTTAATTTGATCGATTGATAAAAAAATCAGATCAGAAGAGCTTGGTGATAACAAAAGTCATCGGAGGACAAAAAAAGCATATCGGAAAAAACAAGAAAATAAACAAGGAAAGATTTAACTGAATAAAGTCGAGGAATTTTGAGTAATTACCTTTTGTTGAGTACTGTTGAGAATAGTGTCAAAACCTATCAGTTAATTTCAGAAGTATTGATGGATAGTTTGTGCTATTATTTTTTTTTTTTAGAAAAGTAGCTATTCAATGTTGTTACCAAACAAGAACCGGTGATCAATTCCAAGTTATATTTGATTAAACAATAGATAAAAACCTGATGTAGTTATTGCACATTTGCATGTAAATATAAATTTGTGTCGTCGTACTATCGTAGTTAATTATATAAAAAAGATTCCCAACCATAGACTGTACGTTTGTTAGTATGTCCTTCGGTAAGGCTCGATTCTGTATATAAATAGGAAATTACATTTTACATTTTTAACATGCGTAGCGTAGGTTTTTCGGCGGAACACGTGTCGGATAATCAGGTACGCAATGTTATTTACCTTCGTCTATAGGGGAGATATATTCAGCTTTCTATTTACAACGATTTTTCTTCACGTGTTACTTAAACAAAAACATAAAACTGTCGGAAGCCAGCTAACATTACACCGGCGCGGCTCGAATAAGCAGCCATGGAGAGCCGCCAATTCGTGAACAGCCAGCTAATGCATATAATGAACTTTTTCTTTACTATAATGAATTCTTTTTTTCGTAACATATGCAATTGATTGAAAAGGGGAATAAAATGATAGAAGAAAATGGTGGAATTAGTTCTATAACTCTCTCTTTTGTAGACTCTACTTAATTGTATGATCTCCTCTTCTTACAACTTTCAAAATCTATAAGACCTCAAATTCATATCCATGTAATACTTTTCTGCATTTTTTTTAAAAAAAATTATCAAAAGAAGAAGGGATCAAGGGAATGGATTGTACACATTAATGTATATATAGCTCAATAGCTGCTACAAGCACATATAATATTTACTCTAAGATTGCAAATTTTCAAATGATTTGTAACTACACGTACATAAAATAAGTCAATATATCTAACTCTTTAAGATAATATCTAGGGAAAAATATCAACATATTAATCATTATAACACATGAACTGAAATTTGATAAATTAATTTAGGGAATAG